TCTCACCCCTGGTGTGTCCGCACCGGAAACATTGCTTTTCTCTTTTGAGATGATCAATGTCCATAGGTTCACCTTCACTGCCATAGGTGAATCCAGTGGCGTCCCTTCTGCCCTTCGAGCCACTCGAAGAGCCCCCCACTGTTCCGGGCTTGGAATCAGCGGTCCCACTGGGATACTTCCCGCCTTGGGCGAGATGAACTCAGTAGTTTTCATCCATTTGTAGGACCCTGTGCCTCCACTCCCATTAAGTGGTAGGCCACATATTGTCTCCACCCATAATAATCTGTTTGATATTGGGCCAGATTGTGAGGGCGACGACTTCCTCCATTTCCTCGTCGTTGTGGAAGTGCTCAGCTTCCACAGCCAATTGTTCGAACTTCTCAAAGAATTTGATGGCCATCTTGAACTGTGCCTGTTGCAGTTTCTTCCATTGCATTCGCTTGATTTGGACCTCTGCTACCTCCCTGAAACGTGTTCGGACGTTTTCCTGAAAGGTTTCCCAGGAGGGAAGGCGATGTCTCCCACTGTGTGGGTCCTTGTAGTGTCATTGTTGATGGACCCACCAGGTCATCGCTTCCCCACCAAATCGGTGGGCTGCAAAGACTACTCGACTTGGGCCATACCCATATGCTTCATTGAGTGCGAAGTATTGGGTAAAGACCTCAAAGTAGTATTCACAGTGATTAAAGAAGCAATCTAAGTCGCTGGCCTTCCCATGGAATTTGTCAGGGACTTCTATCAGCATCGGTTTTATGTTTCCCCAAGGATTGAGTTGTCCATCGGAGATAACCCATCTATTTGGCGGATCAGGGGGTAAAGGGAGGTTGGTAGGTCATGGTAGTGATTGGAGATTTTGATCACTATGGGGTGACGGTGGTTGTGCCGGAGGTCGAGGTGGTATGGGTGGAGGTCCTCCTCCACCTCCTCCACCTCCTCCTGGTCCTCCTGGGCCACCACCACCTCCTCCGGGAATCATGGGTGCTGGTTCACCCTTTTTTCCCGTTGGCATGGTTTGTGAGGCTTCTCTGACCATGCTACGAGCATGAAAGGTGCCTCCTCCTGCTGCTTCCATTCCTAAGGTGTTGGAAGGTGCCCAGGTGACATCCAGAATTGGGTTTTCTGGGCCCACTATTCCCAGGTTAGGAAATGATTCCACACTGTAGCGCCTTCCTGATGCTACGGGGTGGTCGGGGTGTATTTTGTTCCAATCAATGGTGGCATGATACCATGTTTCAGTGCGAAGTATCCTGTCTTCCAGTTCAGAACCTAGTTCTGCAGCATTGTACACTTGTCCTTGATCAGACATGGTCCAATCTACATTGTACTGCAATCGTCTGCTTGTCCATTCTAACATCTGCTGCCATGTTAGATCATATATTTGCCGGTCTGTAAGCCCCTGTGCTTGAGCCCTGGACAAACTTGGGTGGGTCGTTGGAGGGGCTTTCACTTCGGGGGCTACTGGGCTCATCCTCCTGGAGCCATTGTTCGATGACCATCCCAGCCCTGGTCTAGGGATCTGTCCTATTGTCGTGATCGGGCAGGTAGCCAATGACCTGGTATCTGGAGAATATTGTATATCCTGCATACCAGTCATCGTTCCACTGCCATATGCCCCAGAAGTATCGGCGGTACTCATCCCAGATCTCCAGGGCATCTTCACATCCCCAGATCCAGGGCCATAGTCCTCAGGGAGGGAGGAAGCCTCCATCATAACTGTCAGGTAAGAATCCTCCCTCTGGTGCAAGGAAGGGTTCAAGCTCAGCAGGGGGCTTTGCTCCCTCGTACTCGACCATGGCCAAGGCTCTGAGATGGCGACAGATGGGGCAATTGCAGTAAGGGTATGGATGGGGAGAGGTCTGGTCAAGCTCCCTCAGGATGCAGTTCAGGAGGACGATAGGGTCCGGAAGGGGTTGGTCTCTGGCAAACCAGTCGAGGATCCTGTCTCCTTCTGGGGTGTCTCCTGGAAAGATGACCCACTGGCCCCCACTAATCAGGGATCCTGGGTGGGTGTAGTACTCTGGGAGCTCCTCATTATTACTGTTGGAGTATTCAGTGAATACAATGTCATCGGGTCCATCTCCGACGGCGTCGTTTGTGGAAGTTTCTGAGATATGGGCAAAACGTGGCTCAGCGAAATCTCTGAGGTCGGCGATGGTGATAAGGGTCCGGGGGAGGACTTCGGACTCAGGTCAGAGAGAGGGCCAGACAAAGTCTGACTCATGGATGGAATCGTCATCCCACCATGAAGGGGGTCCTTCAACTCTGTAGGTTCCATCGGGGGTGTATGACGAGAGAGAGGTTGGAGCGTCATGCCACTCCAGCTCTGGAGATTCATCTCTTCGATGTCCTCCTGCATCACCCACTCCCCATACATCTCCTCTGTCCCAGGCAGGGAGGAACGGGTTTTCACCTTCTTCAAAGGTGGTTCTTTGCCTGGTTTGTCCATGGACAATTCGGTTGAATGTGTCGATGTAGAACCCACTCATTCCCCTTCGATAGAGACGTTCTCCATCATCGTCGAACCCTGGGATGGCTGCTGATAACTCTGTGGAGATTGATGGCTCCCTGGAGTCATTGTCGTCGCCCCAGGTCATGGCATCCCAGGACCCATCCGTATTGGTCCAATACTCGGTAGTAAACCTGGGGTCGACTCGGTCATCTCCGTCGTCTGGAGGGATGCTGAGTCATCCGAGATCTTCTTCCCAAAGGGATTCTTCGCCTTCACCATCTTGCTGATCCTCGCTCTGAAGCTCGAGCATGGGGGCTCGGTCTTCTCCGTCGGATAAGGGAGGTCGAAGTGTGTCTCGCTCTCCCCTTGGCCATGGGGTAACTGACCTGAGCTGGACGGTGCTTCCTGTTCGCGAGGTTCCTGTTGATGAGCCATTGAGTCCATGTACTCTCCCTCTTCCAGGGGTCAGTGCTCTTTGGTGTCGGGTTGGTCGGGTAATGTGGATAACTGCGACTGCAGTTAGTAGTGTCAAGATACTGAAGGTACTTCTGAAGATAATGGCGGTGTGGTCTGAGGGGGTGAGAGGCATAAAGTTTGTTGTACCACAACGAATGTTTATGATCTCGAGGTATGGTGGGTGCCGTTTTTTAAATAACAGGCTGAAGATTTCTTTGGAAGTATAACAGTGACTGCCTTGAAGCGGTACAGTTACCGTTGACAACGGTAAGGGTAGTAAGGGCAAGCTTCAGCTAATTGTTAAGCACTAACTCTAATCTGAACCAAAGCTGATCTCTATCCTGTCACTCGCGTTCAGTGATTCAGTGTTAGAGAGACATTGGTAGATTGTGAGAAGTTAGGTGTCACTTATAGCGAAAGCAGGGAGCTTGTAAGAGTTAGGAGTATATAACCTTAGCCGAAGCTGGGGTCTGAGGCCACAGCATAGGCTAGCTTAAATACATGTTAGGCTCATACTAATAATAGTATCTACAAGGGCACATGCAACGAGAAGTGTGCCCTTCAACAAATGAGGAGGGAGGACACTAAAAGAAGTGTACTCCTGACGAATGAGAGTAAAGAGCACATGTCACCTGTATCTGTATGGGACTCCGTCTGAATAGGCTGCATCCCGTAGACCACCCTCGACTAGCAGTCGACTCCTGTCCAACTACTAAGAAGCATGATGCCATCAAGAGAAGCATGATGGTGCATGCGGTTTGTCAGTCATCCGGGATGCAGCAGCTGTGAACTGGGGTGATGGCAACCGAGTAACCAGGTAAAGAGTGTGCCGGTGGAATATCGTGAGTCCAAGAGATAAGATAGGCAGGTCTGGGGTTAACTGAGAGATAAGGATAAGATAAGATAAGATAAGGAAAATAGGGGTAAAACTGTAATAGTCAGTATCTAGAACCAACTGATCATGATGAGTCAGCCACCAAGACTCAGATATAAATTCAAAGGTTCAAATTGTGAAACATCTTGACCTCTGACTCAGCTGACAAAGGCAAGATGGTATGTTGCAACCACTCATCACTTGTATATCAAGGCTATATCATATTTATTCTAGGTGACAGTCACATATTTTTCCATCACAAAAGTTTCCAAATTGAAACAAAGATATGTCTTACATAATGGTCTAGAAGAGAGTTGCAGACCAAGATGCTGGTATGCCACATCCAGTAAACTATTAGGTCAGCCGGCCAGCTCAAAGAGACCTTGAAAATATCTTGCCATCCTTTTGTATGGAGACAGAGGAGGTCCCTCATATAGTACCTGTGAGCAAAGGAGCATCACTCCTGTCATGCAAGATTGCCTCCTGGTTGAGGGTCTAATGAAGGTGTGCAAGATGGTGGCATGTGAAAACTGCAGTCTACATCTCACATGTTCTGCATGAATATCTTACCAAATGCAGACTTATGTACGACTAACAACATTATCTTTTAGCATCTCTTGTTTTTTTGAGCCAGCTGCCATTCTCAGAGTTGCTGTTGAATGGAGGATGTCGTGGATGGATGCACACTGCGCAGATCCGACTACTGTACCATTTTGATCAATTCAAATGTGATCCAAGAATTTTTGACCAAAAAAAATTCAAAAGAAATCAGAATACAGTAATCGAGAAAAAATCATTTCCATTGCCAGATTTTTTTGCTGTGATGCGTGACATTCGAATTGAACGAAATGGTACAGTATCAGTATTTCATTTTAAGGATGACATCCATGTGCCTTGCCAATGTCAAATGGCATCTGGGGGCTGCTAAAGGACCACTGGAAGGTAAATAAACTGTGATGTGATCCTACAGTAATGTCACATCAAGCATAGAATCACACTGTATGAGAACAACCCTGAGCTAGTTCGAGTGTAGTAAAAGATCGGTCACCCTTTGTTCAATGAAAATAAGTGTACGCTTGGGACATTCATATTTAATAAGAGAGGATATAAGTACGGGATCTAAAAATGAGGGTGAGTAATATGACAATGAATGTAGTAAGGTATACATACCTCAGTCGGGCACAGCGAAGGTGAAACGACGAGGTATCTAGATACGTACGGCTAGAATATATACGGTGATCAGAAAGGACGGGAGGCACGTAAGTATATAAGGTAAGTAAGAACGGAAGACGGTTGAACAATAAGCATACGGGTATACAAGACGGACATCCTTCAACAATATTGTCCCAGAGCAGAAGAGATGGATACGTAGATGATAGAATTTTTGTGTCTTTTGTGTCAGATTGTTCTTGTAACTAGTACACCACTTTGTAGTTATACGAATCAGGTCCTGATAATACGCTACCTACACAATACAGCGGGATTCATTGGATGTGCGCACCTCGATCATGGTCTGGTTTGTCAGCGACACCTTAGTGCTACTTAACATGCTACGGAAACCCCTGTATCTGGTTTTCTTAGACGGGGATAAGTACCGGCTTTCAACTAAGAGTCAGATAAGCAAGGGCACATAATAGAAAAAAGGGAACCCCCCAGGAACGATCGTGTTTGAATCACCACTACAAACGGGCCCTCACGCGAGGAATCAGCCCCGGGACACCCATCTCGACAATCCTGGTCTTCGTCGTTATCGTCCTCTTCATCGTGCTCACCCTCGTCACCCTCGTCCTCATCCTCATCCTCATCCTCCTCATCCTCATCCTCCTCATCCTCCTCGTCCTCATATTCCTCGTGCTCGTGCTCGTTCTCATCATTCTCATCATCGGCACCTTCGTCTGACGATCCACCCCCAAACGGCTCCCATTGTTCATCGTCCTCAAAGTCCCGAACGGCCCTTAACGATGTACCTTTAATCTCCCCAGGACCTCGTTCTCCAGGAGATCGAGGAACATTCAGATCCTTGACTACGGCAGCCATCATGCGCTTCTCTATGCCACTACATCTATCGCGATGTCTCACCCACGCATCGACATCATAATCCCTTTCACGAAATGCAACGAGGTCATCGCATCCAGCACAGACGCACGCGCCACGAGAAAGTAGGTTTGGAACAATCCATTCCTCGTCAAGCAGGAAACGTTTGCGGCGGTATCGGATTCTGTTGTGGCAGGGTAGAAGGGAAGCGCAGTCCTTATAAACTACGAGCACCGCGCGCGGTGAAGAGGCGCGTATCTCATAGCGAAACGTCCAAGACTGACTGTAGGAGACGGGTTGGGAAGTGGCTAGTGATGGTCTGTAGACTTCAGGTTGCTGGTCTGGGATCCTGAATGAGAGCGGATGAGAATTTACTACGCGAAATTGAGATAGATTCATTACCGTCGTTTTTCATTTGCTGCATCTATAATGAATTCGATGTCGCGCATTCGGGACTTGGTGACGAGCACGCACAGTAGGTGAGTGCGTTGTCCCAATGGCCTGAAGTCGAGCTTATAACCTGAGAAGTCGAGGGCGTTCATGGGCGAAAGTGAGTGTCCGTAAGCACAAGGCAGGTTGAAGCAGTGGTGAAAGGTGAAGATGCTTAGGTGTTTGGCTCATTCCACTGGGGGCGTAAATACACGTGACGGTGTGGATTCCGCGCCCTCCCAATTATTTGTACGCGTTAGCTGGCTGCAACGCGTGAGCAAAGAACAGCAGGACGCGCCGACAGAACTGCTCACCGAACCACCACGACCATAGACGACGAGGGGATTTATGACGGCCAGACGCTTTTCTTCGGACACGACGCGCTATGGCCATTTCGCCGCGAATAGCCTGGATCCACTGGGGATCACTGATTACTGAGTCTCTACCACCTTTAGGACACAGGCAAGCCGCGACGCCAATACAGTCGAGGCCACTCGACTCGTGTTCGCCATGGACCGTAGAGTTTCATACCAACCGGGACACCTTCCAATTCGACCGTAATATGGATACATCGGCACAGAGTTTGGCCAGAGTCAGTCCTACTCATTTCGTGAGTAACTAGCGGTATCGACGTCCACATGATCTCGCTGGCACTCAGTGAGGGGCAAAGAGGGAGGGAGTCATTGAAGGCGTTGCGATTTTGTAAATGAGACATTTGAGTGTGCAGAGGTCACCGGGAGACGCGACAGCCGGCCACTTGGATGTGAGACTCCGACGCGCGTGCTCGTGGATGTTAAGATACCAAACCTGGGGGAACGTCGAGAGAGGATGTCGACACGTTCTCGTTGTATGAAACCATCAAGCGCAGGAAGTATGAGCAGTCGAATACAGGTGACTTGATATCTTGATTCTCCAGCTGATTCCATATCCGAGCCTCCTGGAAGAAATAGTATTATACGTGAACCTTTTGTTCATTTCATTTCGTACTCACTCACATCTTTGGAGGCCAGCAGTACTATTGCACCTGGCGCAGAGGTGACCCAGGCGAGCAGCACCTTACCCATAATACAACTATCTGCTCAAATCTAAAGTATCTTAAATCAATGGCCATAAGATCTCTAGCATACGGGGATACCTTCAGCCGTCATAGTTTCTTTGAGTCCCAGAATAATCGCCAAAAGTATCGTCTAGGAAGCCGTGGACTGCTAGCGGATAACAACGGAGAAGATTCATGTTTTTCTTCTCGGCACGTTCCGACCCGAGCTCCTATCTCGTTCATCGGACCGAATGCCGAAAAAAAAGTTAAGTGTCCCACGATTCTCTCTGCTTCATTTCGCCTAGGATCACTCTCCAACACTGTAAAACTTCTAATGTCTACCCAAGTACACGGCAAAGGACTTTTACTCAAAGCGGACCCCATCGCAGCCGTATTTCGAGAAGAAGTGTCGTCTTCCCTAAAAAATGCACCCCGAAAACCAAAACTCGTGGGTATTCTCGCAACTTCCTCCTCTCCAAGCAGGGTGTACGCAGAATTCACGAAAAAACAATGCGAGGAATTCGGTATAGACTTTGTGCTGAAGAAAACTGGGGCTGCGGAGTCGGCGGACTTGCAAGAGGGCGAAGGTGTTGAAGAAGCCATAATGGAAGCGAATGAAGATGATCAAGTAGATGGTATCATGGTATGGGTTTGCTCTGCTCCGAAAGTGTCACACAAATACCCTTCCCCCAGGTATACTACCCGATCTTTGGTGCCCAGCAGGTTTGTAGCAAATTTAGAATGATCCCAGCTTACTTGAACTCGTTTCTTTGGTAGGATCATTATCTTCAACAGGTATGCAATACCTTTGCATATAGAGAGCAGTGGTCTTAACTATTTCGTCTAGATTGTCACTCCATTCAAAGACGTTGAAGGTCTCAATGTCAAGTTTCATTACAACTTGTACCACAAGTAAGGATCTAGATCTTGATCCTTACTCAGGCTAGTCCTAAATTATCTCCAAGCATTCGTTTCATATCGCCTCAAACCCTGACATCCTCGTTACCATCCAACGTCGCCGCTTCTACTACGGATGGCGATACGCCACCTTCGGGTATGGTCAAATCGATCATACCATGTACCCCACTCGCTATCGTAAAATGCCTTGAATACGTTGGGGTATACAATAGAATCCTGCCGTATGGTGATCGTGCTTATGGTAGAATAATTACTGTGATTAACCGGTGAGAAGCCAGACCTCGCCCTCCGAAGCAAATCCTGATAATCATGCAGATCAGAGGTCGTTGGTCGACCACTAGCAGCACTCCTGGCAAACGATGGCGCCAGGGTATTCTCTGTTGATATTGACTCCATTCAGGAATACAACAAGCGCCCACGGCAAACAGACGCCACTGGGACGCGTCGGTTTTATCCTCGTCACGTCGCGCAGCCTAGTGCACTCACTTTACATGAGTGCCTGGCCCTCTCTGACGTCGTCGTTTCGGCCGTACCAAAGGCGGATTATCAAGTCAAGACGGAATGGCTCAAGGACGGCTGTATATGTTTAAATATCGCCGTTGAGAAGAACTTTCAAAAGGACGTAAGGGACAAGGTAACGCATCTCTACTTGACTGGCGTCTCTTTCGATCTAAGACTTGCTTCGAGGCCTCGCTATATATTCCTGCCGTAGGCAAAGTCACGATTCTAATGCTTCTTAGAAATCTGTATGTGGTGTCTCGCCATCTTATGGCCATGTTCTAAAGCCTTTGTAGACTGCGACTCCAGCATTACAAAACTGTATCATCCCAATAGAGGGGGCTCGGAGGAGGAAGTGGCGGCAGCGAGTACTATTATATATCCATATAGACAAAACAGTGTATGATTAAATTTCCGGGTTAACATTCCCATATTCTAAGTGCTGGAGATGAGAGTATTTATACAGAGCAGAAGAGATCATGATGTGTTTGCGACGGGAAAAAAATGCTCCAAGGAATGTAGTAGGGTACGTTATTCGTATTGACGGGCATTGTTACCGAAAGTGAGCGTCTGTAATATCAGACAGTCGCGCAGCATGGTCTACTGGTGTCTGCGCTCCAGAAGAAGGAAAACTCGGTGTTACAGGGGTGGCGATGCCGGATGCGTCGTCAGCCATGAAGCGTACGCGCTGACGGTGCAGCTACAGGACCCACGGAATGTGACGTTAAATGCATGACGTGGTGAACGGAGAATGGAGACACGTACCTGGGGTAATTTGGGAATCAAGACAAAGATGAGAGCGGTAAGATTGACGGCGAACAGCCATGGGTTATAATTAGTGTAGTGTGTTGACGCAAGAAATCTAGACAGGTAAGCAATGAGGTTCGACGGCAACGAGAATGAAATGACGGCGTACAACACGACTGGCACCGAGAATAGCCATTTCTTTGCGGGAGTGTATTGTGCGCCGTCGTCGATTTGCTCCCATAGCGTTAGGTCGTCGTACGCCCCTCCACGCAAGTCCCCTTCGAATGGCATACCGGTGACCCAGTGGAACATTAGATACGATAGCTGAAAGACCCTAATAAGCCTAGAGATAAGACAAGGTGTTGGTAACGCACAGCCAGATACAGAAGGTTGACTAAAGTCCAGCTGACTTGCTGGGACATGCCAGGCATAGTATCAATCAAGACCTTGCCTGCACAGATGAGAACGACGTGTATGAGCCATGCACCTGAAAGTCATTCAGAAAGCTGTCGTGGAGACGGCGCTCAGCGACGCACCCTTGGCATTGACCCAATTGGCGTTGATGTTCACAAAGAGGCTCTGGTCGAGGGCGTCTTCTGCCGAATGGTCACCGACTTGCTCGACCTTGACGATGCTGCCACTGCGCCCACGTACTCTCATGGGCGAAGGCTTGGAGAGGTCGAGCGTTGGTAATTTGACAGAGGTGGTCCGACTGCCCATAGTCGCAGTTTTCTTTTGGCGGTGGTGGATGGTATCACGAGCTAAAGCCAAGCGCAGGCTGCCGAAAACGGAATCGGGACACGCTAGTACTTTCTCACACTTTACTCCGTCCGGTCGGCGCAGACGTCGACGACGACAAGCCTGCCTGCTCATGAAGCTCCTCCACTGGTGCTCGATATCGCCTGAAGGACCATCGGGGTTGGCAGCCGTCCGTTTCAATAAGCCAGTTCGCGTGTCTTTTATACGCGTCTACCCGTCGGGCGCCCAACCGTTTGTCAATTGTCCGGACATCGTGGCGTACGTTGTCCTGTTACCGCCGTGAATATCGACTGCTGAACGAGACACCTGCTAGTGAGACGGATCCCAAAGCATTCTACCTTGATATTTTCTTCAATGCCCACCCTCTTCATCCAGGAGAGTCCAAGGAGAAACAACGAGCTCCAAATGCGCTGGTACCAACGTCAATTGCGTACTCTGGCGGACAAGTGGATTTTACGGTCGATATGGGAACTGAGGTGCGTATTCCATCGTCTTGGTGCTTCAATAACTGACGGCCGTAGTATTCAACGCGTCTCATGATTGTCAAGGGCAAATTCCAAGTCCTTTCTCTAGCAGTTTACGGCGAGATAGTATCAGAGATACCACCAGCAGCAGAAACTTATGAACCCGCTCCTCTGCCACTGCTGTCATCTGCCCCACTCCCCAAGTCAGTCGACCCAGCCAATGCTGCGGATCCAACGCAGCTCGCCAAAGCCCTTCTCATGCTGGTTCCCGATTCGCCGCCCCTGCACCTCGTAATTCGGCTCATCTTCTGTTTAAAACCGGCCTATGAAGACTGGGATGATCCTAAATTTCCGTATCATAATGACACCAACTTGCAGACTGATAGCGACTTTAGTCTTGAAAGAGCCTGGAAGATGATTGAAACACCTATCCGTGACGACACTTCAGAGGAGCTGATATCCAGCTTCTCAGAGAGAGTTGCAAGCTTGCTTGGTAGCAAGGTATGTATCCCTTACTCTGTCCGGTAATCGTCTTGTGACTGGATGCTTTTTAGAGCGTAAATCAATCATATCATATCGCTAAACTATTCAGTATATCTGCATCGCAGATGCCTTCATTGGGGCTGGCTCTATGTGTAAGTCTATTTCCCACAAAAGTGGTACGATCTGTTAACGTCCACTTAGCAACAAATTGACCCAACAGATGTTTTCGATGTCAGTGTCGTCGATGATGGAACAATTTGCCATCTATTGGATGCCGTCGCCAATGCTGATATTGCTCGGCATTTTAGTACTGAGGCATTCCTGAACGTGCTCCAAGATATTCAAGACAATCCAATTTCAGATCGATTGTCCAAGCTGGCCGCTAGCCGGCTTGTGGATAGGATCAAGGGATGGGGCGTTTTGGAGGATGCACTTTCAAACTCCAAGGCCAATTTTGAGACAAGCATGAAGATGCTGAATGACGTCGGAAATGAAGAACAGTCATTGGGGACGTGGCTAGAAACTATGACTTTTCACGAAGATTTGGTAACAAAGTTATCTGAGAATTCTGCACCATCTACACAACTTCCTCCTCCGCGAGTCCCTTCCACCTCAATCGAGCATGATGAATTTATTCGTTTTGTGAGGGCCTTCATCGGTGTTGGCGCCGTCTTCGCAGCATGGGCTTGGTCCGATAGCACTGGAGCTGAATCATGCAGAGAGCGTGCTCTAGCAATCATTTTGATGTGGCAAGGCGTTGACGGCTACCGGGAGGTAATGACCGTTACATCACAGCTCCCGCATATATCTGACTGGCTAGCATCTAGATTGTGAACCGCCTATTGCTGGTTCGTCAATTCTCACGGCGCCTGAAATGGATAGCTGTAAATGAAGACGGCGAGCCTCCCAAAAAGTCTTATACCTTAGCGGAGCAAATCATCATCGAAATGGCGAAAGACCCTCAAGCTCTTCTCCATACTGATTTCGCCGAGACTGTGCTCGATCTGGTTCCACCACTCTCTTTCATATCTGAGAACCAAAGGTTATCTTTGCGGAAGGCCGCTTTGGTTGCTACGGACGGGCTACCTGCAGCCATCGAGGAGCTTACGTTTTCCAGTGATCATCCCCTTTCTTTGCGCAGGCTCCGTACTATTCGAGTGTCGCTAGCAATCGTTGAACGGGAGCTTCGGACTGAAAACGAGGCCCGTGACGGTGAATTCAACGTCCTGGAAACTATCTGGGACGAGCATTCTGTCGGGCTCGTTCCCCAGCTTCTGTCGATCTTGACAGGAGTTTCAGGGGATCTGAACGAACATTTCGTAATCACCTCTTCTCCTGCCCCGATGAACCAGGAACTTGTTGAACAGTTGTTCCATACCGCGAATGACCTTCTCCGTCTGATATCCCTGCTCTCCCTCTCCTTCCCTCTGACTCCACGTCCGTTGCGTTGCTTCAGTGTTACATTAGCAGACATTTTTGCCTGTTCCGAAGCAGCAAGAACCATGTACAGTTCTGCATATGTTCCGGCGCAAACAGCCCGGCACACGTGTATAGCTCTCATTTGCGAAGTCTCCAAGCCCGACCTTCTCACTGAGACAGGGAAATCTGCGAGCCAGATTGTCCTCCAAGCCTTGCTCGAGCATGGCGCTCGTAGCAGCAGGCGTGATCCACTATCTCATTTGGCACAGGTGTTCACTCTTATTCTCGACTACGTGCTCCCACAGCCACAGGATGGGAATGATGTCTGGGTTTCGACGGTTCTTCCGCCACTTTTACCCTCGATCAAGGACTTCCTACGTTTACTGGACGTCCAGAGGAAAGCGCTTATGGTCAGGCGCATCATTGCGTTGGACGACGGGGTCATTGGTGTTGCAGAATGGCTTTTGATCGAAGAGTTGAAGGCTTTGCTCCAGACAGTGACAGCGCTGAGACTGGCACAGGACACACCCGTCACTGTTGCTCGGCAATGTCAGGTGAATATGTCGCTTCAGCTTCTTGTTGAAATGCTGGAGAGCTCGTCGAGTTGGTTCGTTACTACCGTTTCCGAAGTCCCAGATGTCTGCGACGCTCTGAAGGCATGCATCATGGCATTACTCGATGGCCAATTCTCTTCACCTTTTCTAACGACGCTTGTTCGCTCACTAGCGAGATGTACCGAACTCACTGACGTTATGTTCCCGGTTCTTCTTGGTCTTGTGAGAACACAGCATGATACACCAGAACAATGGTCGTTGTCTCTCGAGATCCTGAAGAGCCTTCCTCCTGCTGCTATACACGCAGGGCCTCTTCGTCAAGAGCTAGGACAGGGTATGTCAGCTTTGGCAAGATCGTCAGGTGACATGCTCAGCGCCAACGTTGTCAATTCGTTAATATCCATGCTTGAGTGGATGCTGCTGCAGGAGGATAAAAGCTTTACAATACTATCAGGGATCAAGCCGGATGAGTTTTGGTCGCTGCATGAACGCGTGGTGGAAAAGTGCCCAACCGATAAAGCCGAATTCTTGGCAGGTCTGCCATCTCAAATAACCTTCGATGAAGATGAAATCATCATTCCACCAAGTATCAACCTTAACGCCAATGTGGAGCTCTCCATTCCGGAGATACATGCACTCTTCGAGTCAACAGTCGTCGAAGAGCCACCTTCGACTCCCAAAGGCACAAATGTCCAAGATATCTTAGGGCTCGTTGTATCACCCCCCAACGCGCTTCTGCATTCGCCACTGGCGACGACACTCACGAAGACATATACCAACAATGACTTCCGTGAATTGCGACAGGTACCTTCAGCAAGGCAGAACACAAGCCGTCTGCCTAGTACGCATGGTAAGTTTTTATTGATTGATAGCAATATTGCTTCGCACTGAATTTTGGAGCACAGTCGATGTGGGTATTCATGGTCATTCGACCTGATGACTGACTAAAAGCCGCAACCTCAAATTGTGGTGTTTTATGCAGGATTTTGAATTTGCCTCGCCGACTCCCTCGATGCAACAACTCTCGGAGCCCTTTCAACCACGTCTCCATACACAATAACATTAGTGATACATACAACGGTACCGTGGAAGTGAGGAGGGTTGGTGGTAAGAGACAAAGAACAATAAAAAGAGAGATGTTATTTTATTCAGGGTGCAAATAGGATCGTCGCAGGCGAACGTGATTTGGATGCATATTTGGCGATCCGTTGGGAATTATCTGATTCTGATTTAGATCATCATAAGAGCGGAAGTAACGGTCCATGTCTGCAAGGTCGAATTCTGATGGTGGCCGGGACGAATCTTGATCGGGAGGGGGGATGGTCAGGGCCGGTGCGGGAGGCTCTGGTTCTGGTTCTGGTTCTGGAGGAGGGGGTTTGACCGCGCTACCTATGTGATAAGTCCGTTTTCTCTTGGCTTTAACAGGCTGTCTTTCTGCCAGGGACGCGCCTTCTCCGTATCGAGGTGGGCCGCTGCGAACAGTGAAGTGCTGCAAGGAGCGGGTGTAGGGGGATAACGTGCGGTTGGAATGGCTCAGTGTGGAGAAATGACTGATGGTGTTGTTCAGTAGAGAGGGTCGAATAATTATTTTTGGAGATGACTCTAAATCAGATAATATCGTATATGTTTGGTGAGAACCGCTAGGAAGAAAGGCGCTGTCCATCGTAGGCGACGATGAGACAGAGAAACGTCGGTATCGTTCTGAGGGAGGAGCTGGTGGTGTCGGTATGGCCTGTGAAGAAGATGGAGTGTCAGGGCTTTCGGGAGTTATCGGCCGTTGATGCGGGATGCGGGGAGACGCGGTTGTCGGCGTTGGTGACGATCTAAGGGAGCTGAGACCTAGGCCTGTGAAGGAACGATTGCCTAGTTGATAATCACTGAAGTAAGGACCTGTTAAGGAGTTTGCACGTCGAACGCCTGACGCGAAGCTCGGAGGAGGGAAGCCTGGTGATGCAAAACCTGGACGCGAAGAACCTGCCGTAGAAGGTAGCGATATTCTGCTGTCTCTCCGCAGAGGTGCTGTCGAAGACCCGTCGCCTGGACTTTGCAGCATAGACTGAGAATGATATATCCGGGGACGAGTGATCATTCCACCACCTACGGCAGGAATGGTCTCGTATTCAGTCACCACATTCTCCTTCCCTTCATTCACGTCACTGCTCGGCGGTGTTGTGTGCTCGATGTCATCATCCCAGTCAACGAGGTCGTACGATGTAGATTCATCATCATAATCACCAGCCTCGCTTTCTTCTTCTGCTAAGTCCGCAAGTCCACGATTAGGTGTGAAGAGACTGCTAAACCCATTGAATACACTTTTTGTAGGGACTCCTTCAGGCCTTAGACCGTATGTCGGATCGAAATTTTCGAGATCAGGGAAGGTGCTACTGGATGTGTCTTCAGCGCGAGGTGCAGGAGGAGAAGAATGTGTCGATCGGGTGGTAGCAGCCCGACGACTTTCACTGGCAACAGAGGGTACATATGATGAAGGAGGACGTCGGTTGTGATTGGAAGAGTGGGAACCATGATGCTGGAATTCAAGAAACCTCTGTTCAGCACTCGTCACTTCAGCAACATTCTTGAATGAAAGAGGAGCCAGCTGAGGCTCAGATGGAGGCTGTTGGACAGGGCGGGGTATAGGTCTCTTGGCGAGATAAGGTGCTTCCACTTTGGCCTTTATCCACTGCTGGCTTAGGCGGTGAATGATACCAGGGAGATCTTCACGAAACATTTGACGAAGCTGTCCTTCGATCTCCCTTTGAATGAATTTCTGGATGACAGCTATAGAGTCGAACGTGCTGTTGATGTCCACGCTTTGAAGGGGGTCGGTTTTAAATACCAAAGTAATACCCTTCTGCTTGGATACGACAAGAACGACTATCGATCGTAGTTTGAATTGGGAAAGGCGGAGAAGCATTGGGACAACGAGCGGCTGCTTAGCAGCAAGCATGCCTTTGGTTCCGGCCATGAGATGGATATCGGGTTGCTTATGATTCAGAGGATTTGCCTGTTATTTTTCAATGAATAAAGACGGAAAATGTGTAGCATATATCCTGCGCGTACCTGCACTTTGGTCTTGAGTACCAGATGTGCATCCCCAGCGTAAGACATTCGAAAAATACCACGAAATTGATCCATCGTAAGCTCTCCGATCTCTCGTATCTCAAGTTCTGGTGGCTTCGTAATGAACATGAGGCTCGACATGAAGAACCACGCAACAGCGAAGCAAGTACCTCGGTGCCCATTTCCAACTCGACGACCTCTATTTTATCGGCTATGATGGGGGGCTTGTCGCCTTTGTTGAGAGCATTGTTGAGCATCTGGATGGCATCGTAGTGAAATTGGTCCGAGAACCGAGGCCAATTGAAGGTGAAAGACATGACATTGCAGGAGGCAAGCAGTAGTGACGCTTCAGCTTCACTTACGGCTTCTTTTTCCGGCTTCCAGGGTCATCATACTAAGCGGCATCTGCCGACGTTCAAATACCGATTGCGTCACTGGTCGGCTGCTAACTTGCGCTGATGAGCGCGAAATATTTTTTCCATCCTCCACACCTCTGCTACGCGCTTTCATTTTCATATCATAATCTTGATGCTCCCTCGAGCTTTGCCTAGTCTCGGCTGGGCCTAAGGCAGTACTGAGGATCACTGTCGTCTGATCTATTTTTCCATTAGTACTGTCTGTCGACCTAGTGCATTTTTGTTCATCAAAGACTCTTTGTGCCGGACTTCTGGACTGCAATTTTTGAATCTCGGATCTTTGTGATGTCCTGCGACTGTCCGTTTTGTCCGTTCCTATTGGATGTACATCAGACGCGCTTCTGGCCAGGCTCTCGAATTACTTCTGGACTTGGTCAAAAATGAATTCTCCCCACACCTACCCCGCTTGACTGAATAGACGCGCCCGTTTTCTTCCGTCATGATTTTTTAATAATTACCGCCCTTGCTATTATGGTCTAGTCGTCTAAGCTCCGAAGGCCTGTGGACGCTGCCAGCTTTTCTCACTGCTCGTACTGCCCATGCTGCCGTGTGATTTCATCACATTGAACCGCGCTAGCTTGTGAAAGTATATTCCTCTAGTACTGCCGCACTATCTGTATGAGCAATGTCTCCATTTCTCCGAGTTGACCTAGGATAATTCCATCTCAGTAAACGAGGACCCATGTACCAACGTTCATCCTCTACGACGCCTGCTACTTCACTTCATATCTTGCCTTCAAGCCTTAGCTTTCGGTTCCGATGGAACATGGTAGACCGGCCGCCGCGAGCAGTAAGTACCAGCGCTTGGACGCACATTGTCTCATCTAGATACATTCAGTTGAATGTGGCCCTAGTCTTACAGGTGTATTTAGTCTATGTATGTCCCCAGCTTGAAACTGACGCCAAGTCTAGATATCTCCTTCTATGCCCTTAGTCAGCAGTAGGATGTTAAGCCGAACAACTTTGTGGTTCAAAGTATTCTATTTTACCACGACTTGTGGCAGCATATTCAGTATTGTAGTGTCCTCCTTGCTTGCTTTCATCCTCCCTTATCACTCCGATCTGAAGCCTTACATCCGCTCTGCTACTTGCCGTATGTCGTTGCTATGTATACATACACGACAAACGCCACGTGTGCGCCACATATGGATTTACCCAACAACTTTTAAATTATCGAATCTCAAGCATTCAGTTTTCTGAGCACTGCCATTGTCGCCGAAACGTTGCTACCATTCGGGATGCCACACGCGGACTGGTTACATTGTGTCAGCTGAGGGCATTAGCGTCATATTCCGTCAACCCGATATCCGAAACTATTTCCGAATCCCTCACGATGACGCGACCGGAGGTTCCGTCCTTAGGCTTGGACCTTTCGTCACCAATTCTCTGATAACAATATCCGAGACTTCGTGTACTTGCCGACGTCACTTTCTCGTGGCCAGATATGTCAGGGGACTAGTATCGAACAATCTTCGTTGGCTCCTGGATTCCCTGGAGTCTCTGGACGCGGTGGCATTCACACTATGAGTCCTTATGATTAAGCGTCCTCGTGTGAAAGCAATGTTAACTTAGGGAATTTCCGAAACCTTGTGAAAAGGGAGGTAGGTCAATATGAACGGCGGTCCAGACCCGACCCGGGAGATAAAAGGTCCCATGCACACCAAGGATACCTCCGCGCATCCCCCCTGCTTGCAACCATCATGGTTTCTGAACTTTTCGACATTAGGAAACAAGTAAGTGTTCTCTCCCTCGTCATTCGTTGTCTTACCATCTTCAGTTCACGTTCTATGGATCCTACCACACAAATCCTATCAATGTCACGATTCATATAATTTGCGTGCCGATGATTCTGTGGTAAGTACGACGCGCTTATCTCGTCTTTTCAGCTCATAATCGTTTTATAGGACTGGTCTAGTCATGGGCACCCACGTCCTGCCTACATGGCTACCCGACATCCATTTTGCGATCAACAACTACCTTGCCTTCGACCTCAACTTCTCTACCGTCTGGGCTGTTACGAACTTGCTCTACTACTATATCCTAGAGCCCACTGCTGCGGTGGGTCCGACATTCTCATCAGCTCTATATCCTTAGTCACAACGTGCTTCCAACAGTTTATATACACCCCTCAAATGACGCTTTGTTTTTTGTCAGCCATGAAATTCTCCGAGAGATCTGATCATATGGCTATTGCTTTAACTGTGCATGTGCTCTGCTGGATCGCTCAGTTCCTTGGTCATGGTATAGCAGAAAAACGCGCCCCAGCGCTCCTGGATAATATTCTTGGTGGTGCGTTGTCCTGTTCTGTCTCGACTATAATGGATGAATAAATCTTCGTGCTAGCTGCCGTTCTCGCTCCTTTCTTCGTGCATCTAGAGATCCTCTACAAACTCGGATATAATCCCAAGCTTCATAAAATCATCATCAACGATATCGGCAAGGAGGTCACCAAGTTGAGAAAGGCGGAGGGTGTTAAAAAGCGCGCTGCCAGTCAAACGGTGGCGGATGAACCGCTCGCAAGAAAGAATTAAATGGAGTACATAACATTGTACATTCATTAACTCATGTACATGTAACCTTATTTTATATAAGCCTTAACGTTCAGAGTATTTTTATATGGCCCAAGTCCGTAATTAATAATTCAATGGCAGAGCAATCGCGATGGTAGTAGTAGTACTCGTAATCTCTACTTATACAGTGATTATTACAGTGGTATATTAGATGAATGGATTGTATGCAGTAACTCCGCCCTCGGAGTACGCATTCAAAACGTGCAAAGAAAGCAAGGAGAGCTGAACCAAAACGAAGGAGGGAATGGATCACTCCCTAGCGCCAATCATTTGAGGCTTATATGATGCCAAGCTGAGAACTTCTCGCTGTTTCACGAGAGGTTTTATACGAACGGGTAGTGAGCCCGGTACGCCATTTCGCGTTGAATCCAATACTGCATGTCAAGTCAGCCAAAAAAGAGACAGTACAGAATGTAACAATAGTTACCTTCTTCATAGTGCTCATTGATATGTTCCCGTCTCTTATCGACTTCATAATCGTCCTCTGCCAAGGCATCTGAATCAAACATACGTTCCCGTCCACGATGCAAGAATTGTCCCCAAGCCTTTCCACCGTTACTCCACGCTGCGCGATGGCTAGGCGTCCCAGCGGCCAAAAGCCGCATTATCTCTTCATCATGTCGCTGCTGGTGGTCATCCATCTGCTCTTGAAGACTACCTTCAATAGTAGAAGGTCGAGCGATGTCAATGCCCTTGTCGTGAGGAACCTCCCGTATCTCACTCAGTTTCCGTGGCGACTGAGCGGAGCGCCTCGGAGAGCCAGGAGATACACGTGCGATGGACGGATCCTCGTCGGGTAACGACATCGCCATCCGAAGTGGCGACGGCCGTTCTACTCTTGACGTGACAGAAGAGGCAAGAGGGGATGAAGATAGGCCGTTGGGAGACCCACGGTGAGGAGAAGATAATAGAGATAAAGGCCGGAATGATGATAACGAACTGGCTATCTCAGGCTGTTGTCTGTGTGAACGCGGCCGGTTTGGACGGGTAGGTGCGGTTTGCTCGATCAAAGGTAATACAGGTCTGACTTCGACAGGACGTTCTCCTCCTTCCTCCTCTTCAAGATCGAAGACCATATCTAGATAAGACATCAGGAAGAGGTAGCATGACATACAAAGATCTACAAACCTGAATCGATGCGTGATTGCGGGGAGTCTCCGGTACTAGATCTCTCCTCCGATTGGACATCAAAAGTCACCTTTCGCTTAGGCTTTAATGATGGTGGTCGCTCCCCGCTACTTGGTGATTCCCGTTCTTTGCCTTTGGAACTAGGTGTCGACTGCGGAGCTTCCGGCTCGGAGGGTGCAGCCTGTGCACTCCCACTTGCGCTTCTCGGCTTCTCTTCCGGTTGTTTGCCAGATTCCTTGCGATGTCGCGCCATTTCGTCTTCAAGATTGACAAAATACCTGTAACTTGCTGCAGTATTAAGGCCATCATCAAGATTTCTGCGAAATTGTAACACCGTGCTGCCTTCTTCGTGCAGGTGGGACTTCTCGGACGTGAGCGTGACTGAAGACGCGATAGACGAAGGGCGCCCGTCATGGGGAGCTTGTTCCTTGATTGCCCGGGGGTGGTGAAATGACGAAGTGGCGAGAGATGCCGAAAGCGTCGAAACACGAGGAGCAGGTGGTGACCGTGATGGACTTGTTGCAGGCACTTGCACGGGGACAAAGTCTCGTACAGAAACTGTAGCTCCATTGGAGTCACCGGAACTGGTCTCTTTCCACGAACGGAGTGTGGGTGACTTTGGGTTACCTTCTTCTTCTGCAACACGTAAACCTTCTCTGTATGTGTCTACAAGAGCCTGGACTTGCGCCTTGAGTTCATCTTCAGCTTGAAGCAACTGCGCTATCTTGACCTTGACGATCTCATCGACTTCTTGCTCTGCCTTTAATCGGAGCTTTTCAGATTGAATAGCAGCTATATTCGATAGGCGAAGGAAGACGGGATCGGAGGTAGCAGGAGTGGAAGGATACATGGGCTCCAACGCTGCAAGATAATGAAGTTCTGTCGGTTCTGGCGTTGACAGGGTTGGCGACTTGGGGAACGGTGGAGCAGCGATAGGAGGAAGAACGAGAGAGAATAGTGAAGAATACTGTGGCGATTCTTCTTGCTGTGATATGTCTGCTTCGGTCTACAATTAGGAAGAAGTCAGCCTTCAAACTATAGAACGCCACTGAGAGAAAAAACGCGTAGAACTTGCAGACAAAGCAAGGAAAAGCGCCCAAGAATTGGACTCACCAGTGCTCCTTCAAAGACCTCAATCCATCCCGACGGCGTCCTGAGCACATCATCCTCCACCCATCCCGACTTTGGTATAACGGGCCCTTCTCGAGTCGCCAAGTTTGCATGTGAGTTGGTCTGCAACGGTGCAGAAATAAAGGCACGATATACAAGGGTCCGACAAACTAAACAGCCCAAGGACATAAACTGAGCGAACCGCGACGATCCCTCAATGGGCGTGCCACGAGAACGGATCCTCAATGTCAACTGGGGATGCGCCTGCGACAATTAGCGTGAACGACAGCCAGCTCCACAAGGAACAGCATGCTTACCGCCGAAATCCCGTCGTGCTTCACATAGACCTGAGTGAATCCTGGCTCCGATGCAAGCTCTGCCGGTACTGGTCCGACTGGTTTCGAGGCCTTGATTTGCACATTGAGGCATTTGCATGCGAAACGGGATTTTTTCTTGCGCGAAACCTCTGCCGCCATGGCAGGATGCAACGAAGAAGCGCGAGGTGGATGAAGGTGGGCGTCAACAACAGACTGATTTGGAATTGAATGCGTGGATATAACGGGTCACGGCCTCGCTCATGGCCGAGTCATAAAATGTCATTTAGTGCACAGCTCTCAGGCTACGCCATATGATGGTAGCTCCGAGCATGTCGTGTTCACTTCGTAAATGCTCTATTGACACAAACATTATGTATATAATAGACCGGCATTCATTAGTCTAGCGAGTTTTCTTCGACTCCTTGTTCGCTGCATCCACCTCCTCCACCATGACCTGCCCATATTCATTCACTCGCTTGGGATCAATTCGGTATATCCACCGCTGGAAATAGAGTTCAGTCTCTCGAGTCGCCGCCGGTCAGATGGTGGCTCACTTGGTACAGGAAGATCAGAAATACCACATCGTCTCGGAAACATGCCAGCCGGTGCAAAAACGGCATCTTAATGCAAAACCTTGGCACACGCGGGCATCAGCATCAAGGATGGGTCTTGGGCGTTCCGGACGTACGCAAATAGATCATCAACAACAGTCGAAAGAGTCTTATAGATCATTGCCTTCATTGGCATATGGGCTACACTCTGCCAGCACGTCAGCATCAGCAGATGAACTGAGAGTGAACCCCACCTTGAGTTTGTAGTTGATAATCAGCTGAGGGACCAATTGAGCCTGTCGAAAGTGTTAACAGCGTAAAAGCATCACAGTATCTGCCACATACGAAACCGAACATGTACACGAAGGACGTCAGGGTCGAGATGACGAAGCTGTACCATCCTTTGTGGGTGTTGTAGACTAGCGAGTACACAGTATACGCAGCGAGCAGCGGAATCGCCGCATACGAGACATAACGAAAGGCCAGTTTATCGTATCTGCAGAACAAATTATTCAGTATTAGACGCCGGACAAAGTGGCGCAAGGCGTTAACACCGCGGCTGATCGCTAGCACGTCCTGCCTGTTCATTTTTGTCAGGGTTTAGCGGAGACAGCACCTAGATTCACGGCTAGGCAAACCCAAATGAAAAGGCAGGACCTGTCATGATCTACCTCAAATAGGACACCGGCGCGAGGATGCATCGGGTAGAAGGCAATCAAGATGTTTCCGAAATCAAAAAAACTTCTCACTCTTGGGTCTTCTTCTCGTCTTCGCTGAGAACATGCTTGTCTTTGATGTCGAGCTTATACGGGATTAAAGAACCCGCCGGAGCGGATACCAAAGATATATCCACGGCTTTTGTTATCTATACATTTTGCGTCAGGTTTTGTTGATGAAACATTTCTATTCTCACCTTCCATGCTTCGATGAGTACGCCCATGCCGGAACCAAAGAGAATCATCCAGCTGGTGTTCTCGTTGTTGTCGATGAGGTATAATAGAATAACGATCTGGACAAAGACGTTGGTGACAATAGTTCTAGGCAGGAGTCAGCACCTGCGTCAAACTTCACTCTGGACCCCCGAAGCTTCTCGCGGACGTAGCTGCGGAGCTATCCTCAGGATAAGCTCACTATCGCAGACTGGAGGATACCAGCTGCGCGCAAAGAAAGACTACCGGAGCCCAGATGTGAAGGCCTAGGTGAAGCGAAATACCTAACAGAGACTCCAACCATCTCCTTCTTCTGGCGCCAATGAGAAACGTCGGATTTGAAGGCAAGCATCTCGAAGCTGCACTTATCAGGAATCGCGCCACAGGGTCATAAGGAAGGGAAACACTTACAGTACATGAAGCACGCTAACGATGCCGGTCAATCCGAGGAACCAAGGGTTTGTCTCTAGCAGCATTCGCTTGACTTCGTCAATTTCTGCGTGGGCCGCTGTACCTTGTTGCTTCTCAGCGTCTTTGAATCCCTGGGTCATAGTGGCGAATAATTGGAATTTCATGTATGACATGGGCTGGAAAACAACTTGAACTGGCAGCGCCTTGGTAGTGCTGTTCACCTCAACATAGTGACTTCGTAGGTGCCAAAATTCGTTGGGGAAGATGATGGGTTTGTATAAACCTAAGATACGTTCAAAATTATTATATATGAACTATCGGGAAGGGTCCTGACCTTTCGTTCCAGTTACATCTCTCGCATCGGGCACGAGGTGTATGTCTGAAATGCAACGGCGTGTTACTAGAGGCCAACTGGAAAAAAAAAACGGTACAACTCACGCTCAAGAATTGGTGGCGGAAGCGAAGAGTAGGGAAGAACAGCTGGATCCGAGATGAGAGCAAGGGTTATGTTCTACCGAGAAATGAGAACCTTGCCAGCGAGAACAGACTTAGACTAACGCTATGCCAATGAGGGACAATAACATCCGCTTCTTCGGCCTCGTCCTCGACAGGTGCCTCGCCACTCAAAAGGTTCTTTTCCTTGCGAGCCTTCGCTCGAGGGAAATATGGCGTAAGAACTGTAATAAATGAGACAAGGTTTTTCATGCAGCAGACTCACGCACGCTTGCGAACATGGTGGATGTTTTCCGCATCGAACGAGGTGCTCGAAGGATTTAAAGTTGCGCCGTTCCTCAGTAAGAAAATATCCGCCCACAGCGAACCATTGTTCTTGACGACCTACAATACCGATTAGACAGAGTCATAAAGATGGAGCCAGTCACGCACCTCCGGGAAGTCGATGGTATACTCCACGGACCGATGGTCATTATAGTCTCCAAACTTGATGTTATCCCACACGAAATGTGGCAGATTGTCTTCCTTATTAATGTTACTCCGTTGCTTCGCGAAGCTATCGGTATGTGGGGTTGTAGTAAAGTACACCTGCATAGAATATGTTTCGCCAATCGGCCACGCCAGAGATGCATGCGTTGGGGGTTGACTCCATGGATCTACAGGTTGCGTATTGACGGCTTGCTTTCCTCCAGTAGATACTGCTGTATCTGGCCCAACTGTCTTTGGTGCAAAGAACTTCGTGGCTGCAGTCTGTAAATACGAGCCCATCTGACAAAAATAACTTGTTTTGCGTACCCAGTTGCGTGATCGTCCAAAAGATGATTATTTGCTGGAAAACAAGTATCGTTACCGCCGGGCTCGAGCTGAAATTACTCAATGCGCACCTGAGCAAATCCGAAGAACTTACGAAAGCCTGATTCTTCTTGTTGAGGGCCGTCGTTGGCTGGAGCAGCTGCAGGAGCTTGCGCTGTCGACATCGCAAGTTCGAGTATGTGAGCAAGAAGCGTACGTACCCACAAAAGGAGTTCGGGCCGATTTTACCGCAGTTTATTCAAAATTTATTAGCCGCTACGGAACGAGAACTTCTACTCTCGTTTCGAACGCCAAATGACGGCGTATATCAGCATCTACCGCCACCGCAATATTCTTTTTCGTTCAACCTAACTGAGTTCAACTTTGCTGAAACGTTCAGAAAAGCACTCGAAACCTTATAACGTCTGCTGTAGCCATAAAACCGTCACTGCTATCTACGTAGTGTGCAAAGTCTCGCCACGGCGCAAAATGTTCAGAGGTGCGCGCAGCTCCATGGGATATAAGTAATCCATATGCGTCCCGTGCACACGGCTGCCCCTCGAGAGCATATCCCAGCATATCCCAGTCTCGTCCGTGCTTGTTCCCTGAGCATTAAAGTTGCCGCCGTGATCCAATAACGCAATTACCGCTTCAAAATCATCTCCGAAGCCAACTTGAACTTCGACTGAAACGTGGGTTATCCGAATCCAGAGAATGACATACATGTAGAGATGGGACTTGAGACGAATATTTGCTGAAACTTGCAGCCATGAAGGGGGGTGTCAATCAGTCTCCAATGTTTCTTGCAAAAAAGGTTTGTTCCATTCATTGCAACGAATGTACGCGTTACAAAGAGCAGTATCGTCGGTCAGCTACGCAATGTAGGGAGTGCGAAGAAAAAGATCTATTAGCTCTGGATCCGTGATTTTATGCAAAGGGGGGGGAGATGACGGGGAGGTTTCCACGTCCAAAATGGGGAGTGTCCCCTTGTATCCCTGTAGCAGTCGCGTCTGCACCACACCACAAGCAATGACATGTTTCACTATTTCGGCATCCTAGGAGTCAATTTGACGATGTAGCGGTGTGCATACAAGGTTGTCGATAAATTTGACCGCTCCAGAACCAAGGCCATGAGGCTCATAGCAACACTATCTCGAAACGCAGAATGAGATGGCGTGGACCCGTAGTAGCTTGGCTATTACACTAGAGGCTGCAACGTGTAGAGGGGTGGACCCATGCCATGTACATCTGCGCCGGAATCGATCAAGGCCTGAGCGAAGCCATAGATTTGGCAATATGCAAGGGTGTATGCCTATAATTATCTCGTGCATCGACGCCAATTTTATTTTTGAGAAAAATCGGAATGACCTCCACAGCCAAATGAAGGAGTATTCCGCATACTCTCTGAGCTCGGGTATTTTGCTTGCCAAAAATATCTGGGGAAACTCGTAAAATCGAGTAATATTTCCGACACGGAGGTAGTGGAGGGCAAGTTGTATGGCCGAGACCCATTCCCAGGTCACTCCTCTACTCGACTGTTCGAGGTCATTGAACACTGAATTCGAATACTCATTGTAACGCCAATCTTGCAAAGTCTGTGATATACTCTCGAGCAAAAGAAGGATAGTAGACACTAGATGAAAGACTCACTACATGGTACCAGCGTTTGTGGTATCCACGGTGCTTGCTGAATTTGAAGTTGTCGATTGTCTTTTTCAGTGAAATACTAAACACATATTAGCAGCTACTACGAGTGCCGTGATTACTGAACTAGAAGCTAACCTCTGTTATGGAGAAATACCTGTTTGGAGAAACGCAAGACGTGCCTGCAACGAAAGTACGCATTAAAAGCCTAAAGCAGCTGTGTCTCGGTCATCTTCACAATGTAGGGGAGTGAGTGTTTCCAGAAACATGAATTTTCGTGATCAGCGAATTGTGACAAGCCGTTGCGAAGAAAAAGATCCATTAGCTCTGGCTCTGCATGATTTCACGCAAAAGGGTGGAGATGACGGAGAGGTTATCCTTCAGAAGAACTATGCTGGAAGTGTTCGTGAATGCTTCAAACAGAGCACGGTATTCAACGATGTTGAATATAGCAAAGTTCCCACATCCAAAATGGAGAGTCTTCCCTTGTATTCCTGGAGCAGTCACATCTACACCACAAGCGATGGCATGCTACCTTGTTTTGGCACCCCAGGAGTCGATCTGACGATGTAGCGGTGTGTATACAAAGTTGTCGATAGTTTTGACCGCTTCAGGACTGCTGACCATGAGGGCGATCTCAAAACGTGGAATGTAATGGTATAGGCCCTTGTTCTAATGGACAGTAGCACCGTAGCACCATGCTGCGCCAAGATGTATACATCAGCAGAATTAACAGTGTGTATCGACGACTGAAAGTGTGGCGTCATGGTTGTATCCATACAGAGTATGCGCACAGATAAGAGGCTATTCACCAATGCTGCTCGGAATGAAGGACGATATTGCAGTAGTAGCAGCGACAGCAGCAAAACAGGCCAAAACTATTCGATAGCCCTTGTTTTGCTTACTTATATTCAAGTTTACATAGAATAATGAAGCCCCCGTTGTCTAATGGTTATGACGTCAGACTTCTATGTATTATGTAACGCTTACATAAGCGCAATCTGGAGGCTGCGGGTTCGAGTCCCGCCGGGGGTTTTTGCCGGCCGGCACTCTGGCATTTTGCCCGGCATCCTGCTTCCGACACTTCGGCAGAGCGGCGCTCACTGTCTGCCGGAGATCGGCATTTGCGGCAGACGGTTGAAACGCTGCTTGCCGGAGATGCCGAACTGATGGCAGCTTTCATCTTGGCTCTCTGCCGTATGCCGGCTTCTGTCAAGTAGCACCATGACGCCACCATCCGGCTTAGCATAGGGTACTGATTTTATATACAGTCTATCACAAGAAATCTTCTTTTAAACATTATATGGTAAAACGCTCCACCGAGGCGTGGTATCACATTGGCATCTGTCTCTATGCAACTCGTTGAGGGTGCAAGATGCCATTCTAGTTGAAATGACGGGAATCATCGAATGGAATACGAGAACAAAAGATACAACAACATAAGATACAACAGACCAAGGTGTTATAGACATAAGAACAATGTTCAAAAGGAACTTTCAGCGTTGCGAAAATACAACTACGGTTTCAGCTCCTGGCCGGCGTCTATCATGGCTTGTGACCAATGCCCATCCCAAAGTTCGTCGAGATCTTGCCCTGAAATATCGTATTTAAGTATAAACAGCTAGGCAGACTGTACACGACTTACCAGGATTACGAATACGGTCTGCAACGAGTTTCCCGTAACCATACTCACTAATACGATTATTTATCAGAACCGTAGCGCCCAGAGCGCCATCGTGAGCAACTGAAGAGACGATGAGATCCCTCCATATCCAGACGATATGGGACTCAAGGTGCTCATCAACGTCATAAATATCGCAAACAGCCGTTTCCACTCTGAGATAGCACGACAAGTCGGAAAATCTGATACGTGAATCAGTAATCAGCACGAGGAAGTAAAATGAACACTGACTTGTGTCGCGACAAGGTGCCCGGCTTTTCTAGCGAACGTAGAGCGTACGTGAACAACGAAAGGCAGTCATAAACAAGCTTGATGTCTGGGCTTTCATGGACGAGGCACCGCCAGACACAAGCCAGCCATCTGGATACTTCAGCGGATGCTATATCCCAGTTGTAAATACCATCCGCGAACCCCCGAAGATAGCTGACACCAGAATAAGTCGACGCAACGTGTATATTGTATTCAAAGCTCTCCACATCAGCAGCGGGTGGATTGGGGACAGTTTCCCTCGCAGCGGCGAGGAGCCTGTTGTGCACGGCTACCGAGTCTATTAGGGCATTCATTGAATCAGTACGTTCCTCATCGGAAGGGCCTTTGGCAGCAGACAGGGCTGTAGAGGAGTCTTGGCTGACGCGTTCTGCAGATGCGACAAGGTGCCAGAGAGACGCAGAGTTGTTTGAGGGATAAGTTCGAGCAGGCATGTTGTAAGATGTGAGGGGAGAATCTTTGTCATCGTTTATAAATGAAGAAGTTGCTGAAATGGAGGAGTGGCGTCTTATGCCAAAGGGCAAGCCACAAAGGAACAAGACATAGAAACAATAAAACCGCCCAAAAGGGGTGATACTTAGACAACAGTCAGCACGTTAACAAAACAAAGTAAAGGGTGAAACGCACTGTTGCCTTGTCCAGGTCTGGCACTATGGCCACCTGTAGCCCTCGTACCACTTCATCCGCTGAGAAGGAAATCCCTTGTCCCACAGATCCCGGTTGATTAGATGATGCTTCCATGGTGCACTCCTCTTCCGTCGCAGCATAGCGAGCTCATACGCAAGATAGGGAGGAAGAGGCGGTCGTTGCATGACCTTGGCTTGAGCCTTCCAAGCGAAGATGCGGCAGCACCAGCACATCTTGGGGAAACGGAAATACGGATCCTGACATCCACGCCCACTAATAAAGTGTGTCGAAAAGGAGACTACGGAGCACCTGATATCAGAAACTTTTCTCCAGGCAATTGTAACGCGCTCGATCACCTCGCTCCCATACCTCCCCGTAGCTCCACGTTCCCGGCGCCGAGGAAGGCTATCCGTATCCATCGGGTGGTCCGTAACACTGTCTTGAATTGATTTCTGAAGCCCTATATCAGCCTATATCTCGAAGGGAGCGTTATCTAGACTGCCATCGAGATAGAAAACCCTGAGGCGTCGGTTAGAGCGGTTTGGCGCCACATGACGAGATGTTGAGAACGTATGGGACAACATTCAGGAACTGGGGGAGGTGCATGGTAAAGGACCAGGGTGGATGATACAAAAAAAAAGATGGGGACAAGATGGAAAGCCGGATCATCGCCCTAAGCGGTGTTTGGTGACCGATCTGTCACAACCAGTCTTAGAATAGACCGGACGCCGGCGATGATACTGGAAATGATTGGAGATGAATACAGAATGGAATGTTCATATACACATGAGGGTATTTCCGTTGAGAACAGAACAGCAGTAGGATTTCACAGGTCGTAAGGATTGCATCGTCAAGGTGGAGAATGTACATAATACCAAATGTGGACTTGGTCGTGACGCTTCAGATAGCAGTGGCAAGGAACTTGGCGAGAAGAATGATATCCACAAAGAATCATCGCAGGTAACACTGTGTATTTTTTAAAACGCTGATCAAATGTCAACGTGACCGTGTCGAGCAGCCCACCGAGAGGCAGAAACATTCGGAGTGTATTTCAAAGTCACAGGCTTCAACTGACTCGCCGAGCGGAAATTCATAGGCGCTCCATGAAGATCTGCAAATGTTACATTGGCTCCCTGTGAGAGCTGGACCAATGCTCGCAGAGCCCCAAGGATATTCTGAAACTCGATAAACAAGTCTCCTTCTGTTGAGTTAGGATCCTCCCTGCACGCAGTTAATAATCACAGCTGAAGAATGCCATGCCAAGACGTACGGGAAATGAACTGAGGTTCTCGCTATATCACCGAAACGCGCAAACATGTTCATAAACGCGAGATTCAAGTGGGTCCGGTTGATGCGAAGGTGAAGAGTTCGGTTTACGCCAAGGTCATAAGCGGTGAGAAGTGCTGGAGTGACAAGTCGAGGGTTGGTTCCCCCTGCCATTGAGACTGTGACGCCAAGTTGTTCAGCCAAGGGCGCAAAGCTGTCGAAAAATCTTTGTGCGGTTGTCGACATTTGGAAAGTTACTAGCATAGTCTGTGAATATACTTGATCAGAAACGGATACCTTGAGGATATTTCATTCTTACCTTTCGCTGCTTGAATCGAGCAAGAGTTACTGGATCGACGTCGAACTCGATAACGGCATTACGACAGCGGAAGTATGTCTGAGCATCTGCGATATCTCGGATGATGACAGTGCGTAGTGGGTAGAGATCTCTTTCCTTCATGTACCAACGAGGATACATGTATGCATCGCCTATAAAATCGTTTGCGAACGACGCGCGCGCACCTCCGAATTGAGAGTTTGAGACGTGACAAAAAGCAGAATAAGCCTGAATGAATGAATTAGGGACAAGTACATATATCCATTCCAAGAAATGATACCCACATATCTTGTTTTATGTATGTCCAGAAAGCGGACATGTACACAAGATTTTTCTTCATCAATTTTATAAGAGTGCATAGTGTACGGCTGAAAGAACTCCGCTATGTTTTGCATCTTGACAGTAGAAGGAATATTTTGAATCATGAGGCATCGAGTCATGAATAGTAATCCCATATTGGCTACGGCATAGGAGGATATTGGCTGGCACGGAGTCTCGTCAAGTGTTAGAGTCACATCCTGTCGTCCGTTATGCGTCTCAATGTAACGATTGGCCATTTCTTCGGAGAAACAGTGTACCAACATACTACGGTCTTCTCGAGGTTCTATCCTCTCCACTGGGCTTGCCTGTAAAAAGTCATCTATAGCACCGAGATCAAGCCCAAGTTGCTGAGGGATATTGTCGACGCGAACGATGCGTCTAAACGAATATTGGTCATTTGGCGAGGACGATGATAGATAACGAGAGAGGACACTGCGACGATGACAGAGGGCGCGTCCCAGTCCCAGCATGACGGGGTATGAATGAAAGAAAGAAAAAAAGATAGTCCGGCAGACCGGACCGGTAGTGACGCCGGCAAAAGTTAACTTGGACAGGTATTGTTGCGCTTTGGCATTACAATGGCATCGGTGTCCACAATGGTTGCTGGTTACCCACCCGGCTATATAAGGACTGCGGCTTCACGTAGAGTACCCTCAGTCTTCCGCCATGCAGGTCATCGACACGAGTGCCGTTTCTGCCGTCGTTTCGTTCCTCACTGACGACCTTGCTCCCCTTTGCTCGTCTCTGGTCGTCGACAAGCTGCGATGCTTGCTTAAAAAATCTCTGCAGCGAGTACGGTCTCTTTCACTGTCGCCATATAGGCCCCCTCCACGACCCGTTCACGATGCCTGCATGTCCACTGGCCTGCCCTGGCCTTACTGGATCCTTCTGCTCGGGAACCAGGATATCCACATAACCATCACGCCTCTTCATGTCCAGGCCCAGATTGCAGCTCGTACAGTTGCTCTCTGGGATGCTGATGCTGACCTGCATGCATCGAACGTCCGTTTCATCGCTGGGAAACAGATTGTTCATCCACGCACTTTGGTGCCTATGCCCATACGCGTACCCACTCCTCCTGACCTCGCCCCAGTCGACAGCGACTCGGACTCGGATACAGAATCCACGTCATCTTATTTTTCTGACGTATCACTGTCCTCTGTGACAAGTGTATCATCCGCAGCCTCGCAGTCAACGCCTTACCCCCGCCGTCCCAAACGACTTCATATCCGGGAGTTTTGTTACGGAAGGCGTCAGGCTCGCTGCACCATTCACCGCCAAAAAGGCTTGGCTAGGAGGATTGTCGGGGTTTGAAGAAAAGGACTTTGGACATTTTTACTGATAGAAGGACTCAGGACTCTCATTCATTATCACGGACTTTCACAGGACTTTTTTCGTATTTGACATCATGACCTTTTGTAGCCATATTACTCTTCCAGAACTCTACTCGATTTAATAACGCTTGTATCCACATTTTCTTCGTCCTCGAGACCTTACGTAGTTTGCGTTTCATTTATAGGCTCCATTTTTTGGACTTCAATTCATAGAGGTAGCACGAGGAGAAAGAGAATTCTCTCCTTTGGACATGGATACATAATTCACGCTCGATATCAGACTTGCCAGAATATCATGTTTATCTTCATTTGGACCAAAGATGAACTAGTACTACAGAAGCGTTCCACGAATAGCCAGTAACCTGTCAGGTGCTAGTGTGATAACTAAAGCATCTGTATTACAGCCGCCTTCTGACTAAAAGTATGCTATATTCAGATCTTAGTAGCTCGCACTCTGGAACGTTCATATACAAGGAATGGCTGCGATTCTGAACGTCGTCCTGCTATCCAATCGCTGTCGAAAACCTTGGGGTTCACTGTGTACCCAGTTCGATGAGTGTGATGGCGGCGTGGCATATGGAAATGGAGACATGTTGTCCAACCCGACACGCGCACGCCTCTAGTATCCTAATCGGTGTCTTCTTGGAGTCTGCACCAGTTTCAGGATCGCCGAAGAGAACGAACGGAGGTAAGAATGACTATCCAATTCGGTTCAAACCCCCAGACCCGAAGGTGGTGATCATCAGCTGGAGGTGGCCATTCCAGCCATGACCGAGGAAAAGGGTCTGTCAATTCAAAACCACAGTGCTGCAATTTGCGTCGATACTTGTACATGCAACGCTCCCTACGGGCAATTCTGCAGTCGATCTGCGTCAAGTGTAAAGCAAAAGGCATTTGAACTAGATGAGTTCAGATAATTGCTCCGGTGACACAATTTTTCTTGGTCAGCCCAGAGTTAAGAGAGCTATGACATGCTGATGGGCGCCAGCGTTCGGGTGCCGAAGAAATTCACCTTGGTGCCCTTCATATCCATCGTATCAACACCCAGGAAAGACCTACCAGACTTGGCCAATCCAAGAATACATTTCATAGCAGAGCCTATGTCCTCGAAAACGACAGCAACGATGGTGGACTCCGTCTCGGCTCTGTATTTCAACCATCATCAAGAGCTGCACCAAGAAGCAACAGACGAAAAGCATACCTGACTTGCGGCATGATGGTAATCAATCTTCCGAATTGCCGGAAAATCTTGTAATATTCCACTGTCTGTTTCATCCGGTTTTGACGTGAGACAAGGCGAACCGTCCTACGTGCCCCCAAGTTTAGGGCAGTAACCATGCCACGAGTCACGTAATCTGTTCGGTCATCATATTCCAGCACAAGATCTGCGCCTAATTTGCTCGCGTCGGCTTGATGAATGTCGACGAAGGACCGGGCAAAGTTTGCTGTTGGAAATCGCATTACAATATTCTGATAGAATTGTTAGCCTGAATGATATTATGAAAGACATAATCCAGCATACGTTTGTAGCCGGAAAGATACAGAGGGATAGCACCGGTAGGTGATCCTTCTCAAAGGTGCGCACCGACTGTCGTATGAACTTCTTGACTTCTGAGCTCGCACCGTTGACCGACACCATGCGTTGGACTGGCCCGTCATCTTCGGTTTCAGTATACCAGTCCGGTAAGTCGTAGTTGTCGTTGTCGTTAATATAGACTACCCTGGTTTTTCTGAGATCTGCGTCTAACTCTCGAGCAAAAATATGGCGGCAGCCTGATATGGGATGAGCCCAAGCAAATTGTTAGGGAAAATACGCACGTCTATAGACTGGCTCACTTCCAAAAACCGAACATACGCGTTGGCTTCGCAGTGCAATCACTCCAGCCCATCGATGGCGGCGAACTTTTTCCTCAATCTGTCTTCTGTGGCAGTTTCAGGCAGGTTTTCTAATCGAAATTCCCGCGAGAGATTGAATGCGCCGAGACCCGCGACAATCTTAGCTGACAACTTCGGTGAACCCTCTTCATCTATTGTCAACGTCAGGCTCTTAGCATCCGTGTGCCGCTCCAAGCAATGCTTTGCAGCAGCACCGTCAAAAAATTGAACGAGTAGATGGTCCTTCTTTTCCAGTATCTTCTCCACCGGGTTGGCTTTGATAGCTTTAACAACTTGGGTGACATTATAACCCGCGGTGAGGTCCCCAACGCGGACTGTACGATGTTGATGGATTGGAGAAGATGAGGAGAGATGGCGCAACGTAAGAATGAAACGATTAGCACTACGGCGACGGATAGTAGAGCTGATACGTCCCAGCATCCAGCCTGCAATGACGGAACTGAGGAAACCGAAGTATTGTGATTTTCTCACGCCACAGACGCGATCATGCTTTCCTTCAAGTTCCCACCACGAGCCTCCCTGCCCTCCCGTGCTTCAATCCCCATTCAAAACTCTTTTCGTTCCTCGCAAATAACTATCTAAGGAAAATCGTGGTACCCATGCTCTTGAAACAAAATCTCCACGGGCTGGATGAAGCTTCATGCATTCATGTCTTATCTCGGTACTTATTGTTTCTCTCATAGGCGTATACACTAGCATCAATGATCCCGGTGATGCGCCATAAGCTTGTCATTGTCTTTCGCTTTGATTTGCTATGGCAGTAAATTTTGACTCATCTTACAATAATGCCAGCCTTTCCTCGATCGTCCTAGTCATGTTTTCCCTGGTTCGCCTATCATTCTTGCCACCGGAGTGCTTGAAATAAAAGCTCGACGTCAATTAACTTATGCCTCACAACCCTAACACGATCCCCTTCCTAGTCCGCGATTTATCATGCGCTATACTACAAATCCCACGCTCGACCTTGAGACGCACAGGCCATCGTTCGACCGCATTATCTCACACCTTTTTACTCTTCACAAAACTTGGCCTATGACTGATCAGATACAACGGCTGATAGAAGAAGACATCCGAGCACTCTTCACCGAGTTAGTCGAATGGCTACACGAACTTGGGTGGTTTTTGACCAGCGGCGATGCTAATCTCGGTATCATTGCCTGCTGTCTTGACGCCTGCTCCGACGCGCTGCAAGCGGCGGAAAGCGCCGTTCCTGAACCAACGTAGGTCGCAAGCACCAGTCCATCTTGTGCCTTCAAAGCTAATCATCGATTGCAGATTTAACCGCTTGTGCAAACGGCCTTTAACCGTGAAATCATTCGGACAACCGGGCGTTATCGTTTACAATGCCACGGCAGACCTGGACGACCACATGGTGTGGTTTTGGCGAGAGCTCCTTGTCAGGGCGCTTGTTGTCTCCCGTCGCTACTGCGACAAAGATTCAGACCCCAGGAACACTATACAAAACATTATCAATTACATCTGCAAGCATGATCGCTCATCCTTAGTCTTTGATAGCATTCATGGTACGACAGTCTTCATGTATTCAATCCAAAGCTAGCGCTCATTGTCCATTTTCAGACATCCGGACAGATGGATGGCATGGATGGGGTGGCCAGACATGGACAGCCCACTGGACAGAGACGATGAAAACGAAAGTAAAGTGCTCCCTGCAGCTCCTCAATCGGGCTGCAGGTGATCACATAGAAAAGCTCGTCTTCGTCGAGCGTCCCTGAAATTAGAGATATACAAGTCCTATATAGATTACTTCGAATCATGAATGTCTTTCTTTACTAATCACAGCAAGATGGGTTCGTGAAAATTAAACAAGATCTTCCACCGGTACGGACGATTCCAAAGCACCGGGTGTAAGGAGTCAGGATATACTGCTCTCCGGGAGGGAATTCTGCGGGTGCCCGTTCATCTAAAGTGGTGCGTGCTACCCATGCTCCCAAAAATAAGACGGAATTGCCTTTCCGAATCATTACCAGCAAAACTTTCAGATATAAATGTGGAGATGCGTTTCATACCCATACTTGCTCATATAACGAAGTTGATTGCTTGCTCTGAGAGTTGAATTAAAGCTTTAATTCACCTGCATCAGAAGACGAAGAATACTGGCACACTCACTCATTGAAAACTTTCAGCAATCCAATTTACTATCAACGGTGCCAATTCTCCCACAGGTTTGTTGTGCAATGCGAACTCGTGCAACAACTCATCGTGCACGCCGTCTTTCTGAACGAGGTACTGGATATCCGGATGGTAGCCTTTCAAATGCCACTCATAGAAATGATTATGAGCTTCGTGCATACATTCTACACCACCCGAAGTGATCAAAATGCGCTCGGCCAACCCATCAATGCCAGAGAACCAGGATTTGGGAGCCTTGGCGGGCTCGATGAACGGCAGAGCTAAATTGGATAGATCTCGAAGGCTCGGTTCTGCCCACAAGAGCAGGTCGTCTGCGCTTATGATGTCGGTTTTACTATTTCGCCTAAAAGTCTCTGCACCGATCTCTCCGCTGGGGGATACCCACGGTGAAATGAGGCATGCGCCACGAAAGCGAACGGTTTCGAAAGGCTTCAACGTCGGGAGGGGATGAAGAATGTGGGAGAATATCTGAAGAATAAGGTTGCAGCCTGCGGAATCGCCTACGAGTTCAATGTTTTCCGGTTTGACGCCGGATTGTAAGAGATATTCGATGGCTGATTGAGCCTCGTGGAGCTGGCTGGGGAATCTAGCGTTTGGTATAAGGTCTTTTCCCTGGATTAGCAAGAAAGAAATTTGAAAAATAATAATATGGCTTACTGTAGGAAAAAACTGCCACGCCCACCTGGATGTTTTGCGCCTCAAGTTCCAGTTGAACGTATCTGCAGAAAGCAAAGAAACTATCGAAGGGTGGGAGGACGTATCCACCCCCTACAATGCGACGTCTTCATGAAAGGGTTATTATCATCCAGCTGAAAGTGCCTACCAGGTATGTACAAGAGGACCCTATCCAGTCGCTTGGGTCCAACCCATAAGAAATAGGTGCCTTTCTCTGGGAGTTCGTCTATAGTAGATGGTAGCCCTCTGAGGAATGTCCATCTTGCGTAAACATTGACAGCTTGCCCAGATAGATACTGAAGTTCACGATAACAGAAGCTATCCATTAGGTACCGAGCCACAGCGAGGGTGACCGTCATCCTCCAAGGTTTGTTGGGACGGGGTGAGGCCACAATTTTCCAGACCACATAGAGAGCTATTTTCGGCAATAGTTAGGAGGAGACGCAGCGAAGGTTGAGAGACAAACGCAGCAGGAGAAACGTAGTGACGATGTTGATGACATCTTTCCATGTGATATGCCCATATTGACTCTATAAAAGCGCAATCATGATATTTTAGTAAATTACAAGAGTTGACTTTGGCATCCCATACCGGTTCGTCCTTCGCTGGCATCTCGAGCATAATTTCTTATTTGTCCTAGGGTCGCTAAAGAGCAGAGGTACGCAGTACCGAACGCAGTGAGGTGGATGCTCTTAACGAACGAGCATAAGGATGATGAGTTTACCAAAATGGTCACGCGTCATCAATGCATCATCAAGTCCGACGTTTAAGTTTTCACCGCGACGAACATGTACAAAGTGCCCAGCTACTCGAATCTAGGACTATTGCTGATTTTCGCGTGCTGACGTGTGGACACAATCGGAGCTTGTACCATGGTAATGCATCATGATAATCAAGGAAATTTTCAGCTCCTGTTAACGGCGGCGATTTGGTGGTGATCTATTTGCAGAACATCTCGTTGGATATGATCATCTCACACGAAGCCACGAAACACCAGAGATCTTCCCACCGTTCCGTTGGCTTCGCCTCTCTTTGACCGTGGTATAGGGAGCGTCGATACCATAATCAACATGTTTCAAGGGCATACTCCGTTGAACAATCTGGGATGATCCCCTTCCTATGCCGGTATCTGCTCCCTCCCGCCCTCTATATATAAGGGTTTCGACATCCTCTCCCCGTCTTGATCCCATTTCATTTGTCATGACGGACACAGACGGGCTCGATATTCTGTACTATACGATAAGATTAACATGCCAAACCTTAGTTTACGGTGAGCCCCGAGTCTCTCCTCGTCGAAGGGTTGAAGTGAACCTTAACACGCAGGCATGTACACAATTCTCATGCCGATCTGCTCCTATGTTATGTTGTACGTCGCTTTCTTTTACCAATATGCTGGCGTTCGACTGATAGCCCTATGTATAGGAAGCGAGGTCTTCGAAGGAAATCGCATATCTTGCTGTTCTGCATGCTGGTCTTCATGTTCTCCCTTTCGACTGCGTATTGGATCCTATCTTTATATCACGACGTGCATCTTATCACCACCTCATTTGTTCATGGGATTCCTCTGGATGATATCGCTTCTACCTACAGCGTACAACAAGGCATGTTGATGAATGCCCTCGTCCTCTTGAACGTGAGTATCCATTTCCTGCAGAAAATCTCAATGTTCAGCGCTCCATAGTATGTACTAACCGACGGGGTCGTCGTTTGGCGGGCTTGGGTACTTTGTCAAGACGGGTACAGCAAAAGTTTGATTCTCCCTATGGTGTTCTTATGCTTGACTCTCCGTGAGTTTTGGATATTTTGTACTGGTCATTTTCATTCCCGTCCATGGTCGGAATGATTCATAGTGTCTGTTATGGTCACAATCGGACTGCGCATCGCAATAACCGTTATTTCTGTCAGCCAGCACATCGTCATAGCCCATAGAGGCTTAGCTCGTGCGATAGATTACTACTGCCAGGTGACGAACTTGGTCCTGTCATTGTTGACCAACATTTTTTCCACTTCGATTGTCGGAATCAAGGCTTGGTCTGCTTCCTGGTTGTTTCTTACCCTGATAGGATTTGACCTTGTATTTGTAGGCATCATAGACACTGGGTCACATCCGAACTTCAAATGAGGCGGAGAAATATAACCGTAGCAGAACGAGTTTTAACTTTGCTCGTCGAGTCCGGGATCATTTACTGCCTTTCTGGAGTATGTAACTGTTCGAACGATTTTATTACAGCGGAGTCTCAGACCTCCTAGATAACGGTTCTAATTGCCACTGTGATTCGACTTCCTTTTGGCACTCTCGGTGACGTCTACACTCCGGTCAACGTCCAGTTCGCGGTATGTATCTGGTAATACTCGTTCTAACTGGCCAAATTGACCGTTCGAACCAGGGGATCTATCCGACCATAGTCCTTCTTGTCAGCCACCAAGGTGAATTAAACGAAACTGCCATGTTCACGTTTCAGTCGGACAAAAGCAATCCCCCGGAACAGTCGCCGAATGTATCCAATTTGGATGCCATCGAGTTTGGCGGTAATCCTCACCTCAGCAGCTCTTTTGGAAAAACAGAGACCTTTGCGGATGTTAGGCACAGCGGGTCCATAGCATCACGATCTTCTCAGGCTTAGCGTGCAGGACCACGCAGACATATGTTTTACTTTACATTAACACTTTGGCTACAGATATAAGCCCATTTTCATTTTAAACATGTGGACTACGAATAAAAACTATGGTAAAGTATGATTTGCATAAATCGTAGGACCGTTCATGGGAGCTCTACCGAATTTGCGCAACTTCTAACCATCTGTCGGCCGTAATCGTGGAACCTGGAAAATCGCATTTAAATATATCCGATGTAAGGAAGGATGCAAATTTGAGTGGCTTACTGATTTCGTGGCAGTCTAATCTATAAGCAACGAAAGCCCACTTTTCTTCCTTCATCTTCGCTACTCTCTCTCTCCCCATTTTCCATCTGACACCTCCTTTCGTAATACCAAATTGTTCCAGAACTGACAGCACATACATTTCGCCTTTCCCGTGTCCCTTTTCGAAGATGTTTACCATCGTATCTTGGGACATATGTTGGACCATGCTTTCAATCGATGTACCACGTTTATAGAAGACGAGGCTGAATACCGGGTCGTAGTTTCCATATTTTTCCATCAAGGTCGAAGGACCAAAGTCCTTAATGGAAAGAGGTGCTTCATAGGTGTTGATATCATCTCGACGTAGACGCAGGGATACGGGAAATGGTAGTGCTTCATAGCTTAATGCTGTTATTGTCTCGCACTCGGCAAGCCAAGGGTTCAAGTTAACTCTCCGACATGAAGCGCGTCGTGCCGGTTCAGAGATAGAGATGGGGAATTTTCCTCGGTAGGGAACTAGATCAGTTACCAGATTGTCAGCGAGTAGTGTGTTGAGATATTCGGATATCCAATGCGGGGGGTATCCAATCGCGGGAAGTCGCATAAGGAGCCCAAAGAAGGCCACAAGGTTGTTCGGGTATCGGACACGGCACAGAAGTTCCGTGCGAGGGTTCGGGGGTTCGGGTGGGAGAATCGTAGTGATGAAGACGCGTGTCAACCATATGATGAGCTCCTCACGGGTAGCAAGTGTAGACAAAGGACGAGGGAGTGGTTTGGCCGAGAATTCAATGACGTCCCAAGGGCTACTCGCCACAATATGGCAGCCAAGGAAGCGAGCGAGTTCGTTTCCTGTCAGCAAAGCAGTAGCTGAAAAGGGTCCCTAGTCACAACGTGGGTCGTATATACACGACATAGACCACGCACTTGTAGATTAAATTGTCACCGCTGTCTTTCCAAAGGCTAGGGTTCAGTAGACAATTGGCCGCAACCGAGGCATCAGGCTCAGATTCTAGATTGGGTATGGCGAACACAGCCATGTTCATAGGGCCATGAGTGTAATCGCTAACATTGCATGAGAAAAACAGCCTGACGTCATAACAAACATAACTCACGGGACGTTGCTCAGCCACATTCGAGTGAACATCCGCGGGAAATCAGGCGGACGGTTATCAATACCATGAGCCATCTTCATTAGCTCCTGGGAGATGTCACCCTGGAGGAGTTCTATCTTGATATGATCTTTGAGATTTACTAGGCCATCGACCACGGCATCAAAGAAGATCTCAAAGACCGAGTAGGCTGGGCAATCTTCGTCCATTTTTCTTTCTTTTAATAATCCCATACGAGAATTGAATTGCGTGATACGTTCAACCATCTCAAACGCATTGAACTCGACTGACGGGTAGTCGAACTTGACTTCCTGGACACCGTCCTATGCGATCATCAGGTGAAGAACGTGGAGGGGAGCGACCTACTGCTTACAAAAAGCGATGGGTTCGGTTTCCAGGTTCCTTCAATGTGATCTAGCGCCTAAAATACACATGAATGCATGCCCTCGACGACCATGTGCATCATACCTGTTTCTTCAAAGCCTGCGAGGGCGATTGGGATATACTAGCCCAGAGCTTGTCGAACGACTCATGACGGGACCTCAAAACTTTGGGCGGAAGGAAACACTGAGTAATACCATACCACGCCTCTTCTGTGGAGAATTGGGAAGAACGGCGTCCCTCATTCCCAGAGGCCAACATTCGGAACATCATGATGCGTATTCCCATCAGCCATTCCTGTCGTGCTTCTTTCTCGGAAGGAGGAGACATCTGCATTTGCACATGACCGAAGTCGATTATTTCGTCGTCAGTCATAGTATCGATCTCGGCTTTGATATCCTGTAAGTTCAAGTTGGGGAGACTGATGGGGCTATTCTCGAACTGGCGGTGACGGTGAAGCATTTCTTGCACTGTCCGCTGGGATAACTGTGTATCCCAATATCTCAGGGAGGTAACAATTCCTGGAATCGAATCTTTGGTAACATGTAGCCAATGAGGAAGCTGGTATGATGGCGTCTGCAAGTTTCTCAGGAGGGATTTAACGATGTTCATAAATCTAAAAATCATGTTACTTAAAGATAAAAGCCGTAATTTTAGGGGATTGGGGTACCTAACATGGCAATAGGATGGTAGAGCAACTCCCATCCAGACATAGAAAATGGTTGCCTTGATTTCTGCCTTCTCGATACCATCAGTGCGCTTGCATAGCTGCATCACTATCAGTTCGTTGATCATCATAAAAAGACACATGTTCCGAGCAATAGTCGTGGGATGTATGTCAAGGAGAGTAAAATGAATTCTGGAGGCTTCACGTTTTTCCGGAGCCAGTTCCAGATAAGTCTGATTGAGACCTATGATAGACCCGAAGATATGGCGACCTGGAAAGAAGTGTCAAAAGGTGCTACTGCTGTATTACAGAGATGTATACCGTCGCCACCTCCACCCCAAATAAAAGACAGCTGTGAAAGACGCTCCGCCGAGACCTTGCGAAGATCAAATGTATTGCCTTTATTCTCTAATCCCCAGTCGGAAATGATTGACATGACATCGTCATGACCAATCTACAAATTCTCGTCGGTGCGAATGGTCTGAAGTCTTCGAACGTTACTTACTGTGAAATACTCCAGGTCTGAACGGCTGAAATACACTTCAGTATTCATATCAAATAATAAGAAATGGATGACGCACGCCGCTTTTCTAGCCATTGATAGAGAAACAAAATTCATTCTTGCAGTACTGGCATGCTTCACAACAGTGTCAAATTCATCGATAGTGCGTTCCCATTCCTCCCAAGCTTCTTCGGAAACACCAACAGGCGGCTTGAGTTGTTCTATGGACCGTTCGTGATAATAATAGTCTTTCGGCAAGACGGTACTGTTCCGAAAGCCGTACGTTAGTGTCTTGGGTAGCCTCAAAGAGAGTTTTGCAGCCAATGGCGGGTTGGGGCTTTCAGAGAGTAATTTTGCAGATCGTAAGATCGCCTGGCAGGATGCGGCATAGTCTCCCATTTCGTACAAGGCTGCGCTCAGGTTGGACGGATAGACTGGGTTATCGGATTCAAACTCTTCAGCCTAAACCAGACGAGTCAGGATTGGAGCCTTTGTCAAAAAAATCAATTCAAAGACCTGTTTGTAGAGTTTTACGGCCCTAGAAAAAAAGTTAGAAAAGATCCTGCGACCGTCGAAAAAAAGCACGTACTGAGCAAACTGCCGGGCCTTGAAGTATCTATTACCCTCTTCTTTAAGATCTGCAGCACGAGTTTTTAACATGTCTCTGTCCTCAATGCTGATGACAGTTATTGATATCAGCAGTCGGCAGAATACCAGCTACAAAATTTTGAAGTTGTCATTGACTCGGAGCTGAATCTAAAAATGGGCAACCTCGTGTCACTGGTAAGGTACTTGATGCCACGTGGTTGCTATCCAGTATTCAATGTTCCTGTACCGTGTATGGTCATTGAGGCAAAGTCAGGGTTAACGGTAGGGTGAGTTAACGGTTGCAGAACTTTGGGAGTTGACTGTGTGGCTGTGGAAGTACACGTGACGTAGCCATCGACTTATTTGTCTTACCAATGACATCATCAACTTGATCTGCTTTGGTCGCTCTCTGAGTTGAGTATCTAGAGCAATGCAACAAATATACATGGACATTCCAATGTTTGACGCTTCAATAAAACCAGCAGCAAACATCTAGCTTGCTACTTCCACCCACTTGTCGGCAGCCACGGAAGAACCTGCAAATGAGTTGACGTGTTTTAGTCAAAATAAAACTGAGAAGATAAAAGATGAAACTTACCGATTTCATGACAGTCAATTCGGTATGTCATGAATACCCATTTCTCTGTCTTCATCTTCTTAACTCTTTCCTTCCCATCCTCCACCTCACTTTGCGCTTCTTGTAGCCAAATTCATCTAAGGATGTAAGCACATGAATCTCGCCTTTGCCATGTCCTATTTCGAATATCTCTTTCATGGCGCCGAGATCCATACGCTGAATCATATTTGCTACCTTCGTCCCGCACTTGTAGAAGACGAGATTAAAAACAGGATCGTGATTGCCGAACATCCCCATCAGCGTAGCAGGGCCAAATTCGTTGGGAGAAAGAGAAGCCTCGTACGTGCCTATATCGTCTTGGCGTAGAGAACCAGTGGTCGGGAAGGGGGTTGCTTCATAGCTCAACGCAATCATTGTCTCTAGCTCAACCTGCCATGGGTCCAAATTGACTCTTCGACACGGGCCTCGCCACTTTTCTAGTGTGGACGGATGAATACCATTCGGGACATCATCGCAGTACGGAACAATATCGGTCACCAATTTATCGGTAACGATGTCATTAAGGAACTCTGACACCCAATGAGTGAGGTACCCAATTGCACGGAGGCGCATGAGGAGGCCAAAGAAGGCTGCTAGATTGTTTGGATATCGGATACGACCACTTAGCACTACACTCGGGTTTGGAGGCCGAGGGGGAAGAATGGTGCTAATCAGGACTCTGGTCAGCCACATAATGAGTTCTTGGCGAGTAGCAAGTTCCGAGAGGGGACGAGGAAGTGGCTTGGCAGAAAGCTCCATGTCATTCCAGGTGTTATCTGCCATGACACGACAGCCAAAGAAACGCGCAAAATCCTTTGACTTTAATAGTGTATAACTGTGATACAATTCGTGGTCAGTGTATTGTCATATATGCAATGGGAGTAGCGCACTTGTATATGAAATGGTCCCCGCCTTCCCAAATGCCTGTATTTAAAAGACAGTTGAACGCAACGGAAGCATCAGACTGCTGTTCTAAGTTGGGCAGTGTAAATGCGGCAATATTCATCGGTCCATGAGTGTAGTCTCTGCGAAGTAGTGATGAGGGAAACATGTTCATAGCTTGGAAATGAAGGCTTACGGAACGTTACTGAGCCACATACGAGTGAACTTTCGCGGAAAGTTGGCTGGACGGTTGTCGACATTGAATGCCATTTTTGTTAGCTCCTGACACATGTCTCCCTGCAAAAGCTCAATACAAACGCGGCCTTTGAGTGCTATGAGACTGTCCACGACGGCATCGAAGAAGACCTCGGTAACTGAATAGGCTGGACAATCATTTTTTATTTTCCTTCCCTTGAATAAGCCCATTCGATTGTTGAAATTCTTGATCTGTTCAACCATCTGAAACGGTCGAAATTCAACGTCCGGATACCCAAAATCGCCTTCGTCGAAAGCATTCTAGTAAAGTATGAGATGAAGACCCAATCAGGAAGCGGCTATAGAGCGTACAAACAACGATGAGTTTGGTTTCCAAGTTGCGTTGATGTGCCGATTCACCTAGCACAACTGATGGATTATCCGGCGTTGGGTTTTCAAACACCTACTGCACCTTTTGCTTCAATCCTTCCGGGGGTAATTGTGAAAGACTGGTCCAGAGTGCACTAAAGGCCTCATGACGGACCCTCAAGGTGTCTGGTGGAACAAAGCACTGTGTGATTCCGTACCACTTGTCTTCCACCCTAAATTCCGAAGGAACACCCTGAAAAGAAAAAGGATTCTCAACAGGTCGATCGCAGTGGTGATGGATCATTTCCTGGACAGTTTCACGAGATAGTTGGGTGAGCCAAAATTTTAACGAGACTATAATGCCCGGAATCGAGTCCTCGGTGACGTGTAGCCAGTGAGGAGGTTGAAATGAGGATGTGGACAGGTCTCTCAAGAGGGACCTGACAAGTTTTAAGAATCTGAAGAGATAACGTTGAGATGCGTCAGGCAGCCAACCGTCTTACACACCTAACATGGCAATAAGAAGGAATGATAGCTCCCATCCATATGTATAGAAGGGTTGCTTTGATTTCTACCTCCTCTAGCTCATCGTGAGCCCGTTCCCGCAAGGCAATGAGTTCTTCAACCATCATGAATAGACACAGGTCCCGAGCAAGGACCGTGGGATGTATATCGAGGAGCGTAAAATGCACGTTGGTCGCATCTCGCTTCTCCGGGGTCATTTTAACGTAATCCTTTCGGAAACCAATGATGGAGGCCAGAACATGTCGAGCTAGGGAAACAAAGTTATACTGTGAATTAACGAACTGAATTAATTATACCATCACCGCCTCCACCCCAGAAGTATGATAGGCGCGAAAGGCGCTCTGTGGACAGGGTGCAAATATTGAAGGAACTGCCTTTCGTCCTCGGCCCCCAATCACTAGAGATTGACATCGGATGGTCGTGGCCGACCTAGATGATTTTAGATTTTACCTGTAGGTCGCTATGGTAACGGCGCTTACACAAAAGTATTCCAAGCCTGAATGACTGGTAGACGACAACTCAGCGCGCATGTATAAACGGTCCAAAGAAATACGCACGCAGATTTTCGGGCCATGGGAAGAGAAGCAAAATTGGCCCGAGCACTTCTAGCCCGTTCCACGACGGAGTCATACTCGCCAGAGATGCGCTCCCATTCATGCCAGGCTCCTTCAGAGTCCCCGAAAGCAGCATCTCTGAGTTGTTTGAGTATTGTTTCCTCCTCACAATAATCTTTCGGCATGATGGTGCCATCTCGCAATCCATGGCTCAGAGCCTTGGGAAGTCTCGACGAAAGTTTTGCTGCCAGTTTCGGATTCGGATTGGCGGACAGTAATTTTACTGATCGTAATATCGCCTGGTAAGACCCAGCATAGTTACCCAGCTCATACAGCGCTGCGCTTAGATTCGAAGGATATATTGCATTGCCAATATCGGTTTTTTCAGCCTGGATGCTCATTAAGAGTATGAGATAGAGGTAGAGAGGAAGACACTGCACCTCTTCGTAGAGTCTCGCAGCACTGAAAATTTTATGAGCATACGCGTCCTACGAACATCCCTAACAATAGTAGATCTACTACTTACTTCGCAAAGCGCCTGGACGCGAAATGCGTGTTCCCCTCGTCTTTCAGATCAGATGCAGAAACAGACGACATGTCCGTTATTGTAGAAGAGTACCGAGTCGTCGTTTCAAAAAATACCAGCGACTCGGGTCGAGTTCGAGCGGCGAGCCTGTGGAAGCCCAATGGAAGCCTCAGGAAGGCGACGCATGAATATTACATAAGCTCTGGAAAAGCAACGGAAGAGCAAAGAAAACGGATGCCAGGAAAATTGTGACCCCCTGACGATGTTACTTTACTTGGAGTAATGAAGCTGGAGAAGGGATGAGGTTGTCCATGTTAAGTAGGTTGTCCTGAAAAATTCCATAGCTCGATAGCTAAAACACCGATAAAAACACGAAAGCTACTCAACACGAGTCGTCCTCTACATAAGTCAATTAAATCCCATTTCTCGGTCGCACTGGGCTGATACTCATCGCACCCAAGGACTCTCCTAGACCCTTCGTAGCTGGATCCTCCTCAGTCTCCGTTTTCCGGACAACAGGAATCCCACCTTCATCAAACGTATCTCGCGTCTCATCCTCATCGTCGTCCTCGCCGTCCTCATCGTCTTCGTCTTCGTCATCATCAATAGCCACTTCGCCCCACTCCCGGTAGATACCCTCGATATACACACCTGACCGTGGAAGTTTGTACGGATCAAATGGGAAGAACGTGTTTAGCTCAGCATTGACGGCAGCGGTGGTAAAGATACGTGTCGGAGCGGTCGCGCCCATCGCATTTTGTCGTTTGTTCATCTCTAGCACAGTGTAGCAGTACATGAACCCAACAGTGTTGGCCACACGAGCAAATTGCATCGCGACGTTCGGTGAGCACACCTACCAAATATCAGTCAGAAGACGTCCCAAAATTGTACGGCATGAAGATACCTTAAGAGGATTCAGAGACGAATTCACCACTCGATGCACCACACTTAGCTCCCGCATCCATTTCTTTCCTTCCGTCTTCGTAAGCTCCTCATCTTCGTCTTCCTGCATATCCCTCCACCGGAAACAAAAGACCAAAAAGAGGCTCTGTGAAACAGCATAGAATACGCTGTTCTGAGCAGAATCCCCGCTACCTGTCTGCTTTATGTTGTCCAAATGTGCAGCAAGGAAATCGCACAGGACTCTGAGGACTGTTCGTACACCCTCACGGTCAACGAACCGCGCTCGACTTACAAAGCTACCTATGTAGGACGCGGCGGCTGCACGTGTGACAGTTGGTGTAGACGGATTGATCAGGGCGCGGTCAATAAGCATACCGAGGAAGATATCAGCAAAGTCTGGATCTAGGGAAGTGTACCAGAAGAGGAGAAACTGTGTATAGCGAGATTTGAATGTAAGAAGAATTGTGCGGTCAAAGATGGCGAGGAGGCTATTGAATGTTATATGGAGGGCTGGGATTTTGGAGGGTAGCGTTGAGGATGATGATAGAGGTATTGAGGGTGCTTGTGTTGATGGCGGCGGAGGCGATGATATTGATGGTGTCGGTGATTGGACTGGTATTCCAAGAGGACTGAAAGAGTCATATACGGGAGGTAACGGCGGGAGGTCTAGTGGAGGTAGTGATTCCGGTGGAGATGGAGATGGCGGTTTGGGTGTCGAAGATTGGCTCCGGTCAAAATGTTCAAACGTGAGTGTCAGTATGGTGTCCAGTTTCTTCACCATGTCTTGAATATGCCGAACATTTGTGATTGTAGCCTCTGGCTGGCCATTATTATCGAGGTCGAGATCATCTCCTGCATCAGACGAAAGGTCACTGAAGTCATCTTCGTCTCCATCTTCTGAATCAGTCTCAGAAGCATCGCCTTCTTGTCCTATTATGACGTCGAACGGATCCAACTCGAAGACTTCCTGATCTTGTTCTGCTTCCGCATCTTCTAGTTCCTCTAGCTCGACTTGGATCTCGACCTGAGGAAATTTGTCAATTGGAAATATAATGTACAGTGCAATCAGGCGTACATCTATCTGAATGGCACGATCGACAATTGTTCCGAGAATCTTGTCAGACAGTTCGGGGCAATAGCCGCAGACCCTCAACAAATTACGAATATAAGTAGACTGTGACGCTATGTTTTGCCGCTTATGGGGAAAATTGCGGGACAGGAGGGGCATCAGGGTCGACGGAAGTGTTGGTATAAGCGACAATATATGCTGAAGAAGGTAATGAAGTCGGTCATAGACGGTGCGGCGGGTAATTGGGCCAGACGAAGCGGACGCATCAAGGGCTTGAGCACATGATTCTGCGCAGACAGGTGAACATGCGCATAGGAAAGAAGCAGACTTGACATACGATAAGTAAAGCCTTGGGCAATCATGCCCAGGACGAGGGAAAGGTACTCGGGTCTCGCCGAGAGCAACATTCCAATGAAGATGGTATACGACTTGACCGTAGCGTTATCCATCGTAGTCCATGGCATGCGAACGATAGCCTCTATCAGAGCATAATGGACACGCTCAAGGCGAGAAACAACGTGGGAGAGCGTCAAGATCCAGGCGCGCAGCTGGGCTGATGACTGGGAAGTAGCCTTTGGGTTGAATTGATTGACAAGGTCATCAAATCGTTCGCTTCGTCCCTGCGGTAGCTAAGTCAGCGAGTTGCAACAAACATGGAAGCTCGTGTGACGCACATTGGCCTTTTCCTGCAGCGCGCTAGTGATAAAAGACAAATACATCTCATTACGGTACTTTTCATCTTGTTTGACGCGTGAGTTAGTCGCAATTGGCCGGCGAACGAGTAGCAATGACGAGGACGAGGACGAAGCGGTAGTTGCAGAGGATTTTCTTGGTTGTTTGCCTGGGAAAGTGGCAAGGGACGGCTTTGGTAGTGGCGCCTCCATGAAACGGGAATTCTGAGGTCCAGATTTCGGAGTTCGGTGGTTGAACTGGCTCAGTCGAGAATGGGGGTCCATTCTCCCGCAACCAGACGCGGAGCAAGGAAGGGAGAGCGGAACAGGCGTCGACTCGCTCGGTTCCGCCAGAAAAATTACACAGCCTTAGGTAAGCAGGCCTAGAAAAGACCAAGCGGCCTGGTCGGTTCAGTCCATCCTTGCCTTTTTCCCATGTCCTCCTCTACCTTCTCGTCCGCCCACCGGCTCTATGTCAAGTCGCTTTACAAACGATACCTGAAGAATGAGCTCGATTGGACAGTCACCAGGACTATCTGGCGGGCCAAGGCCCTTCTGATTAGAGCAGAATTCGAGAAAAACCGGTACGTTGATGCCTATTCTTGCGTGGAATATATTCTCACCTCATGACAGCAATGTGCACGATCCTAGAGCACTGGCTGTAATTTTGGAGAGAGCAGAGGCTGAGCTGGCAGCGAAAAAGCACCCCGACCCATACATTAGTGAGTCATTCTGCTCTGCTATAGTCTCGGACATTGTCTCAGCAAAGTGTAGGTCCCTTATTCCCTGATGGTACTAAATGGTGTGTGGTCATTCATTCTCTCCGCTATTTCCGCGTGCTGACCGCTTCTTGTCCTGCAGGGAACGAAACACTCCCGTAAGTCTCCGTGGACCCTGGTATGCCTTCGCTTATCCGTTTCTAGCCTCCTATGGGACCTCTATATGATCATGAACTAGCCGAGGCAGCCCACTAGATGACCACGCGGTCGGGAGAAGAGGACTTAAGGCACATATGAACTGGGTGGAATTCATTGATCCCTTGGATTACCGTAGCGCAATGGATGACTCTGGCTGCAAGAGATCTGGTACGGTTGTATTATCACGCTGAAATTTTACCAGTTGTATGCAAAACATTCGTGCAATGGCAATGGCGGCATTCGATGACATATGCGCGACATACGTGTGTTCACGCTTTGCGACCCCACTGCTCCGTACAACGTTCTTTCACAGTTCAAGCTTAGCTTCAAGGCCTATAAACAGTTTCCCTCTACCTCGTCGTCATTGACCCCTGTAGATTCAACCAGTCTGGCTCATGCCACGTATCATACCATCGAATCTTAGTGGAATTTTAGCGGCTGGATTACTCATATATGCACTACGCTTGGTCCTATTCGCCTTCTTTGTCAGACAGCGCTGTACGTGAAAGGCCCGGACCACCTCTCGGAGTATGCGGCTCTCCGTATCTGCAACCATGAGAACGCGTCGAACCAGGTCGAACCTTCACAACATCACGAACTTTACATGCTCATTTCACATCAGAAGCACTACTATAACAGACACTAGCGTTGGTGTTCTATAGAGCTCGCAGTGGTACTGAAATGGGCAACAATTTATTCGGCTTTCTGGCTGTGGGCTACTTCCAAACGCGCAGTAGCCACTATCATCCTCACTGACTAGGCCCCACAGGCGTGTGCCCATATTCAAAAGTGATCGTCAGAATATGCTTTGATGGGTGCCCACGGGATTCTCTGGCTGCATCATCAGGAATCCCGGCTTTTAACATGCCGGTGCCCCGCTCTCTTGTTTCGTCCACTCTACAATAAGGAGCAACGAAGGAAAACGGCCGCCGTGTCTCCTCGGCTTGTTTATATCTTCTTTGAGTTCCAGCTATTATTCGACCGTCCGTGACGCACAGAATGAAAACCTCTGGAAGATAGACAGGCGGTTCATTCCCCGGAAGATACGGTCCAGAAACAGGCCTATAACAAGAACGAACCATTATCCTCGATGATAAAGTGATCACTCAAGGTTTTGAGTACGATCAGGATTCCGACCTTCTAATCTTGGCTTCCGATGTCGTGGTTGGAATCGACATCCATTTGGAACTCAGGGTAATATCCAATCTCCTATTAATGCGCAATCTGCTTGTTCTGACTATCAACTACAGTCCTCAACTTTATCGCCCATCAGCAGGGTTTTGGTTGGGAGAGACAAAAGCCCTGATTGATATTCAGGACAGGTACCAGATTCAATGCCAGGAGAAGGAATGCCCGAGTACATACAGTATACACCCCGTATACGGCCCTTGAAGCTCGCCAGGCAGCCTTCCCGCTGTGCTTCGCACGGCAGTCTGCACAAACTGAAAGCACTATGCCCAACCCTCTCTCCAAATCCTTGAAACTCAAGCCTTTGCCAACTTTTATAGGAGGCTTTACTTGGTCCATCTTGCTTGGGCTTACGGTACCCCTTAAATACTATTCCTTGGTCCTCTTTCCCCTTTGTCGGCCCCGGGGTAAATTACCGAACTTTCTACTGACTGATGCGCTGATGTGATGGCCAACAACGAACTGTCAGTTTGAGTCTAGGTTTCAAGTTCAAGAGTCAAACCAAAACGAAATCTTGGAGCGGGATGTCGATTGAAATATGAAAGCAGCGTAACTATGCCAGTTTCAGTCCATTTTGGTGTTCCTTCTACGGATCTGCGAATTGACAAGTTCTTGACGAAAAGTCGCGTTGTCTGGATTATTCTTTTAAAAAAGAAGCACGAGTCTGCCGTCCACCATGTATATTATATCTCCTTGGTATGGAAATCTCTCTCCCGACGATAAGCCTGTGTATAGTCAACTGACTGCTTCCAGGAATTTCATTTTATCCGGTGTTCCTTATTCATCTTTTGATGAGTTCCTCTGGTATTCTAGATGCTGATGCGCCGACACGGGTTGCAACTCCTTGTGAGCTGAATCCCGGTCCCTCTCCCCTCAAAGATCAATGTCTGCCAGGAAAATGAAAATGGCGTTCCTGAGTCTCGACTCGTTCAATATATATGGTCAAGTCCACGACACCCTTCTGCGTCGACCCTTCGCTTTTGCTTTGCCTTGCCTGATGGCTGCCAACAGAGATGGACTCGACGTCTTCTATTACACAATTCGATTAATATGCCAAACGCTAGTATATGGTGAGCGCCTTCTAATGAAAGCCTTAGAAAATTGTCACTTATTCGTGTTCTCCGGACCAGGCATGTACACGATCCTCATGCCCTTGTGTTGTCATGCAATGTTGTATGTACTTTGACCCTAGTCGGGACCCGATACTCACGGGATGAACAATAGGAAAAGAGGCCTTCAAGGAACAACCCGACGACTGTTATTCTGCATGCTGATTTTCATGTTCTCTCTCTCGACCGCTCATTGGGTTCTATCTATATACCATGACCTGGACCTCATCTCCAGCGGGTTCGTGAACGGAATTCCCTTAGACAATGATGCCGCCAGCTACCGCCGACAGCAGTGCCTTCTAATGAATGCCTTAGCGCTCATAAATGTGAATGTCCTTTTTTCTTCAAAGCAGATCACGGACTCAGATTCCGTGACATACAGTGCGTCTTGACTGACGGCGTCGTTGTCTGGCGTGCATGGATACTCTGCAGGCAAGAGTACCGTAAAGCATTGATGATGCCTATCATACTTTTATGCTGTACAGCATGTACGTACTACCTTTTCCTTGTGCCGACATCACTGATCCTCTCCTACGCAGTATCCGCGGTGGTCACGATCGGAATACGGATTTCGATAACCGTTATATCTGTCAGTCAAAATATTGTCGTTACTGGCAACGCCTTGGCCCGCTCTTTGGATTATGCTCAAGTGCTATGCTTGGCACTGACTTTGTTAACCAATTTGTCATCGACGTCAATCATTGGGATTAAGGCCTGGTTAGTGAAGACATCTTTTTCCGATACATTTCAAAATGAATCTTGTTGGGTAGGCGGTATAGACGATGGATTACCACGGAGATAGTACAATCTAGAAAAAGGAGTATGACCCGAGGAGAACGAGTTGTCGCGCTGCTGGTTGAAGCGGGAGTTCTTTATACACTCTCTACAGTGAGTACTTATTCAGATACGGTTTCTTTACTTGAGCTAACTCTAGCAACACTTTGAACTTCAGTTATTTTTTCTTGCCGCTGTTTGGATTCGGCTTCCCTTCGGCACCTTGGGCGACATCTACGTTCCTGTCAATGCACAATTCGCGGTACGAATTGATCACATCTGCATCTAAGCCTTGGTGTGCTGACTGGATGCCAAGGGCATGTACCCAACAATTGTCCTTCTCTTTGTCAACCGGCGTAGCGCTATCAGCGAGACTGTTGTCTTCACTTTCCAGGGAAAACCCGATGCACCAGACCATGAGCGAGATTCCATGCGTCTGGAAACTATAGAATTCCGTTCAAATCCTTTGCTCGACACATCGGCCATCAACGAGGGTGAGACAGAGATCACAAGTGACGAATCTTTGAGGCTCCAAGACTCACAGAACGGAGACCCAGAAAGGTTCGAAAAGGTCCGATATGAGCCTCTACACCTCGTATAGGTCCTACCGTGCGCCAAATAGTAAATTAAAATTACATGTAAAATTCTAGTGTAGCTGTATAAGGATCTATAGGAAAGGAACGTTCTTCATCTCTCCGGCAGCTAAGAGATCTTCATCAAACGCATCCTCTTCCGCCTCTTCATCAGCCATCATGCTTCCTTCCTCACCGAATTCCTCATTCTGTTCGTCCTCAGCACCGTCCTCCTCCTGTTCATCAAGCTCAAAGTGCATATCATCCAAAGCACCCGGTATACTACTCATGCTCCGCCTCCGCGTTCGCTTTTTCCGCTTTCCAGTGCCGTCGTCACAATCGGTATCAAATTCATCCTCCGACTCTGCATATGTAACCGAAGACATCGAATCTGGACTGGCGCTCCGTCTCGATGAGCCTGAGAACCCAAAGGTACTGCTGAGTCTCTCAAAAGACGACATTTGCCTCAATTGGTGTTCTATTTCGCCTTCTGGCGAGGATTCCCTCCGAGTCGGTGAGGATGAGATAGAGGTCGCTGATCTGTAGACATTGACCTGCCTACTTCCCACAAGGCTGAAATTGCGTAGTCGGGCTAATGCACTCTGGTTTGATGTATCAGAACGAGCACTCAAGGCAGGAGAAGGCGGTGAGAGGTCTGGAAGCGGATAATCTTGGACTGGGGCTTTCCAGTAGTTGAAATCAGTGAATTCTGGAGCCCATTTGCGATGAATAGGAGGGAACATTTGGTCGACAAGATCAGTCATGTGAATATAGCTGGTATGAACCAAGATTAGGACCATCATCCTTGAGGAAGGAAAAGACTTACGATGATTTATACCCTGCCAACTCCAACAGTTCCAATTTGACCTCGCCAGTCGAATCGATAGTAAATATTCGTGAACTGGGCACGTTCACACTTCGATAAGACATAGCGTCTGTAATCCGGTTCCCAAACCCTGCATAGAATGGGTTTCTCGATGCTTCACCGAAGAGACGCTGGATGTCTCTCAGACAAGCCATCTTGAACATTTCCGGCTTTCGCATAATAACCTCTCTAGAAGGACACCAGTTCAATTAGTCTAAATTGCCCCTGCTTGATGAAATTTACACACCGATGCAACGACGCCATTAACCGGTCAGGACTCATAATGACAGGCCCCTCGGGAAGCTGGTAATTATTCTGCTTTATGCCCTTCAGATAGTCCCTTGTAGAGTCCGCTTGCCCTATCGCTCTCGAAGTCAAATACATGATTTTGTACCCATTTCGGCAGATATCCGTATAGAGCTTTGCCACTCCAAGGTGTGTCCAATCGCGTCCTATCATCGCAAAGACATGGCCTAGTCCATCAGACCTTTTCATCGAGTATCAGCCACGCTTTAGAGCTACAGAAGAATTCGAAGCTCACTTAGTGATTGTCCCATCAATATCGGATACAACAACCAAGTCCGTCGATTCCCACAGGAATATGCGAGCAGTACATGCAATAGCACCAGTCACGGACAACGAAAAGGTTATCGTATTAGGGCCTAACTTTAAGTTCAGGGATTTCTGGACGCAGTGTCAGATATGAGCATAAGAATGTGAGATGATGGTACGCTTACTAGCTGATCTGATGTTAACCGCAATGTCTTAGCAAATTTGTGGTCAGGTTTACCGATTACAGGTACCGGGGTAGGAACATCCTGAACGGGCTTCTGCAATGGTGTTGAGGGAAGGGCCGGTGCAGATTCTGCTGGCGGTATATCTTTTCGATGAGGCGGCGGCGTCTGCTGAAAATGTCAATGACGGAAAGAATTCGCGTGATCCATGAAACAACGAACAGATTCCAAGGGGACCGAGACAGATTCTCTTAATTCGGGACGTCCGGGCTTCCCATTACTGGTTGTACTGGAAGGTGTGCCTCTTCTGCTCCGACTCCACCATTGTACCCAAGATGAGGAAGTTGGAGGTTTTCGATTGCCTATTGGTGTCGTTTCTGTGATGGAAGAAGAATCATCGATTCCAGACTTGACGGCTTGATCGTCATCCGAAAGCGGCGAAGAGGGTCTGGTCGGTGTCATTCCTGTATCCCGCTGGCGAATATACTCATTGCGCCACAGTCTGAGAGCTTGCACCAATGGCGAGCCATCACCGTGTCTAATGTACCTGTCAACAGCGTCAGAACAACAGAGAGCACGAGTAAAACCGCATAACATACTGGCCCTCATTCCAATTTATCACCAAGGCTGGATCGTCAATGATGCTCTCGTCGTCCAAGAAAGTATTAAGATCAATCTTTCCTTTCTCAAATAGTCTATCAGTCTCAACCTCGTCCATGCCAAAGGCATTGCCTATGTTGTCAGTAGTAGCGGGAACAGCACCGTCTCGATTCCGTCTACCGCGCCTCTCATCTGCCTCATTATGCACCAAACTCAGCTCAAATGGCACCCGCCGACCCTCTATTGCCACTCTAAACTTCGTGGGGTCTGATGGGCTGACAGTCAGTCTACCACCGGCACCATATTTCTCCTCTGTGACCTCTTCGTCATCGTAATCTTCATAGACTCTCTGTTCCTTCTCTTTTCCCTTCCCTTCATAAGCTGGGGGCACGCTCCTACTCCGAATCTCACCCTCTTCAACTGCCTCCAAACCACTAATTGACTTAGACTTGGACTTGCCCAGACTCTTTCCCCATGTCGTCGGTTTGTCACCACTGTCAATACGTCCGCTCATTCCAAATGTTGTCTTCAAAGGGGATGGTTGCGGAAATGCACCCCATTCCCAAAAATATTCCTGGGCTGATGATGAGGGAAGCTTCAGCGGCAAGGAACTGGACTTCGTCATATCGGCAGGTGGTTCAGGAAAATCAGGAGGCTCCGAAGTCGCGCGTATAGAGGGAAATGCATAGGGTGGTGGCGAATCGTCAGGACTTCCAGACCGAGATAGTGAAGGCGTCGAAGATCTTGAAGAGGTGGGAAACTCGATGCCAATGGCATCAGAAGGTCTGATGGTACGGTCGGATCGCTCACGGTCATGCGAGGTACTATGACGCCTACTTGAAGAGTGATATCCTTCAATGTCATATGCGATACCTGCAACCAAAGATCAATTATCTTGAGAACGAGTCATACAAGTCCACGGACCATTCGAAAATGCGACCTCGGGTACATGGTTAGTTCCCCGTCTTAATTTCTTCTTCAGTATTTCGTCCGCACGTTCATCCTGTTCCTTCTCCGTCATATCTTTGGCGTCTGTTCCGGATGAAGTATGTTCTTGAGAAAGTGACAGCCTCGACGGCCGCTTCTTGGTCACAGAACCTGATGACGTCAAGCTCTGTGTCTTCATGTGTCGTTTCTCGGCGCTATCTGGTTGGGCGTCCAGATCAAGGTAATCTGGCTCTTCCTTTGGTAGCTCGACATCGTCTGATTCGGCTTTCTCTCCAAATAGTCCCATGTCGGGATCTTCAGGCGCAGTTTCCCCGTCTGGTCGTGTAGGTTGAAGGATAGGCGAAGTGATAAGGTCGTCTGGCACGTCGTCATCAGTCTCGAAAACGAAGAAAGCCTCGCCAGCATCTCCAATCTTCATATTGAATGGAATCGAGTGGCCATTAACCATTACGCTGACCTGGGACTGATTCGTCGGCTTTCTGGACTATCAGATGCAACAATGAACGCACCTTCTTCTCTCCTGGCCTGAGTACCTGCCACTTTCCAAACCGTACATGAAATGGTGAACAAGCTAGTTCCGTCCCGCCATTGTCGGTCGGGCGCTGGATGACGATGACATCAATCGCACCGGTGAGCGTCGAGGGATTTATGGGTGGTAATTCCTTGTAATATTGGTACGGCGCACTGATGGCATTGACGGCACCGCGGATGTAGTTCATGGTATGAGAAAGAGATGGGGTTGCCTAAGGTTAAAATGGCCGCACAGGATTCACACGTGCGAGACGCGCTCTTTGGGGCACATGCTTCGGACCGGAGATCAAATGCGTTTTGCCAATTGGCAAGGAGACACTTTACTACTACTTATGTAACCAATTTTTTAGACAGAATATCGAGACGATTGTGAAAATGCGCATCCACGGAATAGATGACTCGGTACACTGTGCAGTTTCAAATCATTACATTTAGCTTTGTACAAATGAGTACAAGTTTTCTGAAACTCGTCAAATCTTCGTTCATTCTCATTCTTTCAACCATGTATTCATAGATGCCAAAGCGGACGCCTGCACCTTGCCTACCATTGCATCCACTGTACCCGTCGTGGTGGACAGATCAGAACAATGGAAACCATCCGATAGTCCGATAGGCATTTCCTCAGTGCTAGGAATATTAAGTCCCTGCGCGGATACAGTAGCCTCTCTCCAAGGATCCCCTAAACCATTATGTTAGCCCTTCCTACCATACTGCCTTCATCTAGACGTACGAATGCCGTTCGCAAAGAAAATCCTATCGAGACTAACGTCCCATCCTTCGTACAGCGTATTAATATTACTCGTGTCTGGGTATGGGGGGTCGGGGAAAGCCTCAGGGAAAAACATTTGGCATTGGCGCTGATAGTACGGCGATTATGGGCTTGAAATTTCTGTGGATGATGAGGAAATACCTGATCGTAGAACGTTTCAACGTTGACGAGTCGCGTCACAATGGGTGTTTCTGTAGCATTTACTGGGGGACCATCCTAAAGGGAGTGTACATAAAACAAGCAGCTAGATGTTTTATAGAGGACTCAAAGCTTACTTGATAATAACTTACTTCATTGCAGCTGTCGGTGCGGGTCAATAGGGTTGGAACTTGGATGAGAATCATTGCACGTACACTATCCAATTCCAGGAACGATAGCTGTTGTCAATGTCGGTGTTAGTCCAGAAATCTTGGGACGCGTTATATGTTCCCAGACAATCCCTACAATCATGTTGAGCTTTCGCCGATCTGATTTATGAATTAAAGAGTGATCGAACTCAGCGCTACTATCGCCACAAACTAGGTAAGTTCAAGTTTAAAGAAAGGTCAGACGAGTTTTGGTATTCACGATGGAGTAGATACTCACGCAACGTATAGTAATCATCTTTGAAATAGGAACCCCAAGCTGAGAGTGCGTAGTCGAGGCCCCACCCTGCCGCAGGTGCATTTGCACCGTTCTTGACTTCTAGGGCGTCACAAAATTCAAAGAATTGAGCACCAGCACCAGATGTCGGCTGGAGAGACTGCCAATCCCACAGATTGTTCCTTACTATGGAAACGTATCGGTGAGAAAGAATTCATTTAGATGGTCATGCTCACACGCGCCAGCCACATCATCGAGATGTGTCATCTCAGTCAGACCGAATTTGTCTTTAATCGCATTGATGGCTGTTGTATCGTTACCAGAGAAGACGTCGTCCACATAGGCAATCACAGCGGCAACATCCGCAGAACAATTTTGTGGCATATTCTGGTGAATGGGTTCGAAATACCTCCAGAAATCGCTAATTTACTGTGTCAGCCTGTGGAGATATCATGGAAATGAATATCGGCTCACAATGTTGCTTCGACGACAGCAGACGATGCATATCCCGCCCAAAATACATCAGGCTTACTAGAATTCAATTTGGTCAGATGAGTATTGTTATGGGTAAGTAACTGCCTATACATCACCATGGTCCAACTAGTTAAAGCACCTATTGTATTCGAAGATATAGAAAGGGATGTTCAAAGAGAATTGATTGGCATACCTGAGTAGCTGCCCCCAGTGAGGATCCATGGGGCTTTATCGGGGCCAACTTGATCACCGTTGGGCATTGGAAGCACGACATTCTTAGCAAAATATTCCACATCGTCAATAGCTTGCTGAACAGTGTGATATTTCAAGCTCGCGACGGTAAGGTCAGGGTAGGGGTTGCTAAGGCCGTAAAACCGATGTTCAACAACGATGACCGACCCGTGTTCCTGTTGGGCGATAAGGCCGTTGATCGTGCGGTTCGTAAGGTACCCATAATAAGCTGCCGAAAGAAAAATCGGAAAAATCTCTGGTCAGAAATCAATTTGATACGAACGCGCTGCGTTAGCCTCCCCTGGCGTCATAAGAATAATCGGTCCGCCTTGAAAAAAATCACGTTAGACTTGAGAATAGAGAGCGCGGCAGATAAGCACTACTTACCTGGCTCATAAAATTCATAAGTATGCCAATACCTTTGCTGGAACGTTCCAAGCGATGGGTCATTATGATCGATGAGTTGGTCGAAATAATAGACCGTGTCGTATGGAGGTAGTTCATCCGCTAAAGAAGTTGCTGTGTAGCTAGTGGTATGCTCTACTTCGATGATAGGGACCACTGGTATCGGCATGGCGTTGCCATGCGGACGTCCATCGCGGAGTAGAGCACTAGCGAGCGAAAGGCAAGATGTGAGAAAAGTGAGCTGAAGGAGTCGTAGGCCAGTCATCCTTCACGGGTAAAACGCTTGCAGAATCATCTTGAGAGGCGCAGTTCTTTTAAATATGTGGACCTCCAGATCTTATGGATAAGTAACGCCGAAGGAACCTGGGTCATATGGTCTGTGGATATCCGCATGCTTTATTCATCTTGAGGCACTGATTCGCAATGTTTATACAATATTCGAGAAAACGTCAAGCCCGAAAGGTTCGACCATCTGGTAGAAGGGCAGAAAGATATCAGACGAGAGTTATTCTAAATAGGTTTACATACCTTTCGCATGGTCGCCCTCAAAAAGCTTAAGGTAATGAAATTCGACTGATGCTATCGAGGATCCATTCTCGAGTTTAGAGTCTGGACGATCATGGATCGATTTAAAGTTAGTGAGTCGAATCAACGACGCCACGTACCAAGATGTAATATGCCCTCGCAGGCTGTCATAATGTCATGAAAGTATACATACATGTCTGAGACGTCTCGAAATAATACAAGTAACAGTAGGGATATGTATGCGTGAGATATATGCAAGATTGATATAGAGATCGTGGTATGCGGAATGATTATATTAGATTGTGATAAGTAACTCGTGAGTGTTATGTATCATGATTCAAAAAGCGACTCTTCGGTCGTCCACCGCCAGGCGCACCATCTAGGAATATCTTGCTGAGCGGTCGCGCAGGTCTCGCTCTTCGTTTCCCATCTCGCATGCTGCGAATAGCCTGGTCAAGGTCACCTCGGCCCACTGATTTACCGCCAGCAGTTCGGCCATGAGAGCCCTGGGTATCAGTAGCAGCCTTAATGGTCTGTGGCAGTTGCGGGATGAGATTCGTGTCAGTAATAAATTGAAAGGACATACGGGTTCTGACGGCTGGTCCACTTCCACTCTGATCTGAATGTTAGACTCTGTTGTCTGGACTGCTGACTTCTGTTGAGAGTCGTGAACTTCTAGAGCGCATTTCTGTGCGACATATTTAATGATAGGATCAGACTTATCAGAGACAGGTTTACCTGAAGAGATGACGAAAACGATATAATCAAACCGAAGAATTCTTCAGGTTTGGGGGCATCGGGCGCTTCGGGATTTTCGCCATAATACGCAAGAAGAGAGTGTAGGTCCCCTTCTAGGGACTGACCCATATTCTTCAGCGCGACGATGCTTTCTTCGACCTCGATCACAAATGGCTGAATATAGAGGTCAGGATAGATACAAGTTGGTACATGAGTACCCCTACCTGCATCACCAGAATGAAACGATCGTCGGGTAGGACAGGCAGCTGCTTGAGCCAAATCATTTCGGCCTTGATTTGAGCTAGACCCGAAGCCATGCCGCTAACCGACTGCATAATGGTCTGAACGGAGACTGCCGAGAAATATAAGTCACCAGAATACATCCATGCGGTCGAAACCAGGTAACATACGGCGAGAAGCAGCTTCAACATTAGGAAGGTCCTCAATAAAAGTGACCAAGTTAGGATTAGATCGAAGGAGTACTCGAGCCAAGTAATGCAACAGTGTAGGGCAGTCAGTACCAGCTTTAGCTGTTTTTGTCTCCTTCATCTGTCAAGAAATGAGCCACAACGGCAACGACCGTCCAATCTGAGTTTACCTTCAGAAGGGCCTCGAGCTGAAAACCTTTGGCACTACCCCGGAAACTGGAACCGTTCAACGCGTTTCCTACGGCAAGGACGGCCTATTTTCAGAACATCAGGAACATCGCTAGACCTTGTGTCGACAGACGCTCACTTGCAAGATCTGCCTGAATTTTGTCGACCCCCGGAGTTCCAGGGCAGCATTACGTAGAGTATTCAGATCCGGTCGTATCTCCGCGATATCAAGGTCTAATTTACGACGGTAGAGCATACAATCCAGTCGTTCTGACAGTCTCGGAATGGATATTATCTAGAGCGAGCGTACGTTCAATACCAAGCATAAAGCAAAGAGAGTAAAGATATCTACGTACCTGGCCGAAATACTGGTCAGCCATGGCAAGCTTCCCAACGTCTTCGAAGTCTTTGATTCGGTTCACCTGAGAGTCAATAGTATCAAGTTGAAAAATAGCCCAAAAATATTCCAAGTACCTCGTCAGGCGTTGGTAAATGCTTCCCAATTGCTCGCAGATCATCAATGGAAAGGTTATCGTTCAACTCAAGTAGTGCTTTGCGTATTCCTGGGAAATCCAGTTTAATTCGTTTCAGCATTATAGCTTTTACGTAGAGAATAAGGATTCAGTGACAAGGATACAAAAATGTGAGACAATGTTGACCTACCGATATGATTGGCTCGTGTGATATCTAACAGTGTTGTAACGGCGGGTTTCTTGGATGGATTAGCCTGGAGTTGTGAAGGTGCGGGAGTCGAATTATCAATTGTGAATGTCATTTCTAGATCATTCAAGTCGAATTCAATGTCAGTCGGAACCTCACGCCATACTGTGTTGGAAATAGTTGAATTGTTGATCTTGTTCCAGAAGAAGGGCTTTAACCGCTTCGCAGGCCGAGTGATCTTGGGTCTCACATCTCCCATTCGGAAAGCAGGGGGCGGAGGTGGGGGAAGGGGCGGTCCAATGCTTAGAGACTGTGGCGGCGGGGGTGGAGGGGATAGAGGCCCAGTAGAAACAGCAGCAGGAGGGATACCAGGAGGAGGAGGAGGAGGAGGAGGTGGTGGTGGTGGTGGTGGTGGTGGTCCAGATGTCGTTAATGGTATGGAAGAAGCTGGTTCCAGGACAGCAGCCGCGACATTAGCCATCGATGGCAACCGGGCAGGAGGAGCGGGCGGCGGCGGCGGCGGCGGTGGTGGGGGTGATTTAGTATCTACCTTTGACAATGCTGCAAGTGACACGAGCGTTGGCGCCGTCGCAGTACGTTTAGGTTTAGAAGGAGGTGGTGGAGGAGGAGAACGTGCTTTGAACTCCTTCTCGGTCTTGGGCTTCGCAGCGAGCGTAGCTTTCATGTCAGCTACCTGAGATTTTAGATCAGCTACTTCAGTGCATAACGAAGCAATCTGATCATCCTTCTGCGATAAACTTTCAATGGTACGGGCTGCCATGAACTCAGCGTCCATTTCTGCCCCTCGCGCTTCTTCACGATGTTCTTCCCTGGCCGAAAATCGAGAGTAAACAGACTCAAGGGCTCGCTTCAGGTAGATAATTTCCTTATCCTTAATTCCCAAGGTTGTCTCTGCGTCACTGTTCTGTTTTAAGTAGTTAAGATCCAGGTACGAAAGCATTTGGTAGAGACGAAGAAGTCCAAACACACCTTGACCTTCAGCTTAGCAATCTCATCCATCAGCGTATTCCATTTCGCCCGATCACGAGCTTGTTTGGCACGCTCGTCCGCATCGCGTACCTCGTTAGGATGTTGCTGGCTTTTGATTCGATCTAGCTCTGACTGGAGCTGAAGAACTTGCTTTTCTTTCTGCACGAGACGCTGAACGACACCGTGGAAGCTCTGGGGGAACATCAGATTCTACAAGGTCGTTGTGCCAATTTGACAAACCTCGGGACCACCTTTTCCGAGTGGCTTTCCTTGAGAGCCCCCAAGAGGTAAAGACTTTAATGCATTCATCTCGGCAATCTGCTGGTTGAGTTCATTCTTCAACTTCGTGCGCTATGAAACGAGGAGTTGTTTGTCAAGGAAAAGCAAACGTGGACTCTGCATACCTCATCGCTAAGTTCTTCAACTTTCATCCGCAGAGACTCTAGTTCTTCTTCAACAATGTGGTCACTCTCGGATGCGGCCTTGACCTCGAGTTCTTGGCCGGTGATATGCGAAACAGACGCTACGAACCTCTTCATAAAAATGTGCCAGCTATCATCACTGTACGTAATGGCCATCAGTATATTTATTTTGGTTGGGAGAGAAGACTTACAACTTGTCAAGCATTGCCGCCTGCTCAACAAATTTATCCAGCACAGTAAGAAGGTCGGCCTTTAGTTGCCTGCAATCGAGTCATTAGCGCAGATGACGGACGAGCCTCAGAACGCTTACAGTTCTACGTCCTTGCCAAGAATGTCATTGTAGTTGTGAAGGATATCAACCATCACAGGATACAGTTCACCGTGCTCTTGGGCCAGTTGAACTATGTCCTGCAGTACGTCTTCAGCGTCAGATAATGCAGCGTCGCTAGTAGTCCGCCTCATCATTCCTCTGGCCCTCTCTCTCATTTCCGCATCGTCATCCAATTTCTCCTCCGTATATACGTTGAGTTGATTCATCACATATTCCGGCGGCTTAACATATCGCAGGGCCTACCAGACAAACCCAAATCAGGAAGACTCAAAAACAAAAAGTAAATTAGACTTACCACAGTAATCTCATTCAGACCCCTTCTGCTAAATTCTTCGCGAAGAACGATTCTGTCTTCCAAAGCGTCGGGACAGTTTGTCAAGGCATTCACGAGGGACATCACCGCGGCCCTAGGGTTCCAAATTCGCTTGACCTCTTCATCATCCATATCCATTAAATAACTTGCAACATCACCGCCAAACTCCCCTTCACCGGAAGGTAACTGCAAGGAATTTACCAGGCCTTCAAAACGGAATGTTTCATCATAGGCAACGCGATAATCCGACAATGCAGAGAGCGCCGCCTTGTGACCATCAGCTGATAGAAAAGAAAGTGCCGCGAGGATTTCCGACGACATAGTCCTTAGTTCCGGAGAAGGGACGTGGAGAGAATAAGTAATGTATGTTACGACCATTGGAGCAGCAATGATTCGGTCGAAGAGTTCCTAGCAAAATATTAGCAATGATACGGGCAATCATTGCCCAAGTCTTACATTGCTTTTGTCGTTACCGGCATTCAGAAAGACTTTGAAGCATTTGACGATTTCCAGCAGGCAGTTGGTTTCAATCTCTGTCAAATCCTTCCGTTTTCCGCCTTTGCCAACAAGTCCTGCGAGCATGGCCGTCAGGGCATCCAGTCCCTTTTCAGTGCTAAGGAACTCTTCTACCCATGCCAAACTGGCATTGCGAAGGTGCACTCGTAGTGATATGATGTGCTTGAGCAGCTTGATATCTGTTGTCTTCCAGCTTTTCAATCCATCGACGTACCACTTTGGCGAATTCTCAGGTGCCCTACTATCACCGACGCCTCCTCTGTCACCGCTGGACAAGGACCACCAGCTACTCCATCGCCCTCCCGTGCTCTGAGGTAAGACGGGCTTCGGTTCCTCAGCAAGCTTGTCGAATGACCCTTTCCTACTCTTGTTAAATTCGCCACTAGTGTGAGCCCCTTCAGAAACCACGGGAGGTGCGGCAGGTGCTGCACCCCACATAGAGAACCGCTTCATGAGGCCATCCCCAGTCAACTGTGGAACGATTCTTGGCATTATACCAGCGGCGCTGCTAGGCCCATAGGACTGGGCGTAAGCTGGACCTCGCATAGATCCAGATGCTCCCGCCTTCATCAATTTATGTTGCGACAAGACTGTTCGCTTCCTCTCTGGTGACATAGTAAGCATCTCAGTCCGCTTGTCATTCTTTAATCCCAAATTGTTCACTAGATCTTCGAATTCCGCTTCATCGAAATCGGACTCCTGGCCTGAACTTGATCCCGTTATCGAGCCATTCCCGGTTTGGTTTTCAACTAGTATCGGTTCGCTGACTATGCTTTTGCGTCTCTCCGACGTGGCTACAACACTGGATCGGGAAGGAGCTGAAACCTGGAACCATCCATCAAATAGAGTCGACAAGCGGTTTTGGGAAATGGTTCCGCCTCCAGCAGTGGAAGACGCAGGAGAAGATGCCTCCGGACTGGACATCTTGTATGTTCCTTCATCTTCTTCGTCTTCGTCGGATTCTTGTAAAGCTGCGAGGCGCCTTATGGTAGACTGCGTGGGTTCTGTAGATGCTGTGGATACGCTTCTCGATTTGGAGCGACGGTACCATTCGTCGGGAACGCAGAAACGGAAGCTGCGAGTGGCCGCAGATGTGTATGGGTTTGTGCAGAAGGAGGATTCCACGATGCTGAATACCAAAGAGGAGCCGGGTAGTCGCGAGGATTCTAAGAATACAGATCAGGATGTACTCAGACTATATAAGGTGTGCAATGCGCACTTTCAGATTCAGAATCCTTCCACACCTCCTCCAGGACGTATTCCAAGTTGCCGCCCCCCGGAACTGGCAAGGATTTGGTCAAACCTAGTTCGTCTATTACTGAATTTACAACGTCATGAATAGTCGTGGTCTTGGAAATAAAGACCTTGTATCGAAAATCGTCGTGAATTTCAGGGACCCGAAGAAAGGATAGATAGATGGATAGGTGCGGATGGAGAGAAACCAAACGAAGGACAGGATTGTGAAGATGTGCAGTCATGGGAAACGAAGAGAAATGCCGTTGAGTTGTAGCCTTCGCTGGCGGGGCGTTGACCAAAGGCGCGACCAAAGTAGAAGGCTCCAGGGTGCCTGTACAGCATTAAGACACGATTGATCGCCTAAAAACCAGTCCACTCACCATCGCCGAGAGCTTCCAACTCGTCTTCTTCCCAAGGGCGGCCATTCCGCTCCACTCTGATCTTCTGTAGAGCCCATCCCTGATCTTCCAGGCCTCCAAGAACCTCAGACCTAGCGGTTTCTACCAAGGCATCAATGACATCCTGCGCGGTGGCATCTTCAGCTACTTCAGCAAAATGAAGGGTTGCCGTGGTAAGAATCGTAGGCACTGCAAAGGAGCTCGTCGGCATGACAGTTGTCTTCTACGTCACTGCAAGGAAAGTGTTGCTGCAAATGCAGCGTTTATGAATGCATGAGATTGCGGTGGTGATAGGTAGTTGTGTCAGAATCGTGCCGTTGCGTCGTCAGATTTGGACGATGCTGGTGATAGAGCCTCCACGTGGTAGGGCGAATCTCCCGATTTTCCAATTCCCGCTTTCACTCGACCACTTGTCCAATCAAAGCAACTATCAAACACTACTCGTCGAGCTTAAAATCAAACGATAGTGAGTACAAATAGCTCCTAGTTATTGAGCTAGTATGGCCCTATGGACCGAACGTCCTTTCAAGTGACAGTTGGATTAAAGACATCCTCGTGATTGGATTCTGCTTCCTTGGCGAAGAGCCAGATAGATAAGATGCTAAAAGTCTGCAGAAGGCCGTCAAACTCGAATAAAACCCGATATTTGGTCTGGAAGGCGCAGCAGGAACGTTGGCTAGTCGGTAAGATACTGGCCTTTTTGTGCACAGTGAGCTTGGCGAATTATAAAATATCAAGGTGTAGCTGAGAATGCACCCACAATTGCGGATCGTCAAGGCGGTACGTTGAAAATGCTGCTTGAAGCCTGCTCTTGCGAAAACATCAGTGCCCTACGAGATTCTAAAAATCTGCCAAAATTATCGATTCATGCACCTTCGAGCTGGCTGCCACCGAGGAGGCAGAGCGATTAAGTGTAGAAACGTTCCGTATTACGATGGTGACCAAACATGCATGAGCACTGAGTCTCATTATTTTCGAAGACTACTTAATGGTAATGCAACTGGTAATGCCAGGAGGATATGCCCAACAAGTGACGTCACTTCGGGTGCTGTGGCCGGGCAGTGCACCCCAGTCACGAGCCGAGATGACTAATCATCATATCCAAAATTTGATTGAAGTTTTCAGGGATCGATAACTGACAGCCGACTACCATGGCACCCTCAGCTTCCAAACAAAAGCGCCTCGCTGAAAAAGCAGCCAAAAAGGCCGCTGGTGGTACCGGTGCCTCCACATCAACGTCTACGCCGTCGGGGTCAGTCAATGGCGGAAGCAGTGTCAATACCCCAATTACCAGCATGAGCGCTGCCACGAGCCAGGAGGATCTCACTTCGATGGCGAAGCTTAATATTGCTACGGAAAGGTGTGTATACGGTTGCTCCTTTATCCTCTTTCTAATGCTGACAATGCTGCAGGAGCGCAGCGGGGGTACTCGTATCCGATGTGAAAGCCCGAGACATCAAGATAGATTCGTATACTCTTTCTTTCCATGGACGTCTTCTTGTCGAGAATGCAGAGATAGCACTCAACTATGGCCAACGATACGGTCTGTTGGGTGAAAATGGCTCCGGCAAGGTGCGTCAAATAGCCGCTGTGTTTCTTCCATCCCATTGACCGCTCCTGCTTAGTCGACGTTCCTCCAATCCATTGCCGAGCGTGACATAGAAATACCGCAACACATCGATATTTACCTTGTACGTGGTGAGGCCGAACCGTCAGAGGTCAACGCCGTCGATTTCATCGTTGCTTCCGCCAAACAAAAGGTCGCCAAGCTCGAGGCATATATAGAAGAGCTTTCTGTTGCAGATGATGTCGATGAAGTCGCACTCGATGCTGCGTACGAGGAGCTTGAGGAGCTTGACCCCAATACCTTCGAGACCAAAGCGGGAAGTATTCTCCACGGTCTTGGATTCTCTCAAGCTATGATGAAGAAACCTACAAAAGACATGAGTGGTGGTTGGCGGATGCGTGTGGCTCTCGCTCGAGCGCTCTTCGTCAAGCCGCATCTACTTCTGCTTGATGAACCCACTAACCACCTCGATCTCGGTGCTGTGGTGTGGCTCGAAGCCTACCTTTCGACGTATAACCACATCCTCGTGATCACATCACACTCCCAGGATTTTATGGACTCCGTCTGCACGAACATCATGGATTTGACGCCGAAGAAGAAACTGGTCTACTACACGGGTAACTATACTGTGTATGTACGAACAAAGAAGGAAAACGAAGTCAACCAAATGAAGGCATACAATAAGCAGCAGGAAGAAATTCTGCATATTAAAAAGTCTGTTTGCCTTGCCTCATCATCATACATCGTTCTGACAAACTTTCAGATTCATCGCCTCTGCTGGTACCTATGCTAACCTTGTGCGCCAAGCAAAATCCAAGCAAAAGATCCTCGACAAGATGGAAGCCGCTGGATTGGTCGAGAAAATTGAGATGCCCAAGCCTTTGCGTTTCAACTTTGAGGATATCCGGAAACTCCCGCCGCCTATCATCGCATTCGATGATGTCGCTTTCTCGTACTCGGGTAAGAAGGAGGATTATCTCTATGAAGGTCTATCGTTCGGTATAGAGTGCGTCTTGTTTCTCTCCTTGTGAAGTCGTCGCTCATAGCCGTTAGCATGGATTCTCGAGTAGCCATCCTCGGTGCGAACGGCGCTGGTAAATCAACGCTGTTGCATTTGATCACCGGAGTGCTTCAGCCGTCGCAGGGAACTATCTCCAAACATGCCGCTTTGAAACTAGCAAAGTATTCGCAACACAGCGCGGATCAGTTACCCTATGACAAATGCCCAATTGAATACTTCCAAGAGTTATTTAGCCAGAAGTTCCCAGAGAAGGATATCCAAGTAGGCACATCCAACTTATCACACCCTTCCGCCCATTGATGATCTTTCGTAGGCATGGCGAGCACAGCTAGGTCGTTTCGGTTTGTCAGGAAGCCATCAGACATCGCCAATCCGGCAACTTTCAGACGGTCTGAGAAATCGGTAGGTGGAAACTTCATTTCAACGATCAGGCACTGATTATCGTTGCTTTAGGGTGGTATTCGCCCAACTAGCCATGGAGCACCCACACATCCTGCTGCTGGGTAAGTACCGATTTCTCTATGCTCGCTATACAATACTAATACCTGTCAAGATGAACCTACCAATCATTTGGATATGGAATCCATCGATGCTTTGGCCAAGGCCATTAAAGAATTTGAAGGAGGAGTGGTTATCGTATCCCACGATTTCCGTAAGCTTATAGCTCACATTGCATGTCGCCTTTTCTAACTCCTCCTTTAGGTTTGATCTCTCAAGTAGCCGAAGAACTATGGGAGGTGGCAAATAAGACCATCAAGAATTTGACGAAGGAGGACATCAGCATCGTTGATTACAAGAAGAACTTGGTTCGACAAAGTACGTACTAATTCTAGGCGGCGTTAAATTTTATCTAAACTCTGTCTAGGTAATGCCGCTATCGAGAAGGCGAAATTGTTCAGCAAAACTGCACCCAAAGGCAAAACTTAAATGGGCGTCTGTTGTATTGTTACGATTGTTGACGATTGCATGTGCATGTGGTATACTTTTACATACAATACATACTATATAGACTTCATAGAGCAGTGGCCAAAGTGAATGATAGGGTGATGAATATATAGCTTCAAAAATTTCCCATAGTGACGACATTTACTAAAGTTTCAAGACGCAGGTAAAGAATAACAGTGCTAAGGATACGTGGAGGTTGATACAAGATTTGTTTGATTTGACTTCATTACTTGACTACTTAGGCGAGCCCCAAAATCCCACTAGACCTATACACCACTAAACCCTTTGCCCCTGTTATCAACCGCCACTGTTCCTCTCGCCGAGTTCGTAGTACTGAACGTTGAACCCTGCACGCCCTCCGTGACCTGATGCCTTCCCTTCTCGAGAATGATTAGGGCAACATCGACGTCTTTCGACGTGCCGAAGACAGTGTCCAATTGTTGATTAGATGGTTTGCCGAGAATCCCTTGCGGGCCCTGGCCAGAGTGGAACGCCTGGAAGGCTAAATAATGTAACGTAAACGAGGTGCGGCCGATACGGAAGGGAGAGCCGCTTACAATCCACCACTTCTGTCAGTGGGATAGAGCTATATTGTCATCAGTATGTCGCACGCGCGTGAAAGAAGATGTAGTCTCATTTACGTTTCTGAGGAAACGAAATTTAGTCTTGGGACCGCTGACGATCAGACGGATTACTCACCACCTCCTTTCCACTTCTTGTACTGAAGCGTTGGAAACAAATCATTAGCGGTGCAAGGTCTGCGATGTCGAGCAACGACTTACTTCTTCGGTGTGCACGAGCAGACAGAACTCGTCTGTTGACTGAGAGTCAGGCTTGTAGATGACCTTGCTGATGGATTTCGTCATGATGTAGGAGGGCGAGATTGGATAGATATACGATAAGTACGGATGATGGAGGTGTGGAAGGAAGCCGCGGCAGCACAGTGGCCCTTTATACTGCTGAGTCCTATGACGTCGAGGGCATCTGGAGCATATTGCGTCACGCGACATCATGCATCATAGGCCGAGGCCACCGAGGCACATGGACTCGCGCAAGCACCGGCCCTCAAGACGTATGTGACAGGTCACAACGCACGTCAATTTTCGGGCGCGTCTTTCTTTTCATCATCTCGGTCACTTATGTCGTTCTCATCTCCCCAACAACATCACCAATCATCCCTACCGCCTAGCAGTGCGCCTGAGCCACCCTTTGAGGATGCGAACACATCGAGATCGCGCTCTGGGACGCCTGCCGCTGGCGGGACACCTCGACGACCAGATGCCTTAGATTTAGATGATGACGGTGGTAATGAAGAAGATGACGGTAATGTGGCAAGATCCAAGCGAAGAAAACGTGTAAATGGCGATGCACGACGCGATGTTCCTTTGGTGCGAGATGCGGTCGGAGAGAGCGTCGCTGAAAGCTTTGAAACCTTTTTGAAGACGTGAGTGCATCTACCAACTCCAAGAATGACTTCACATACCATTCCTCAGCTTCACAGAAGATGTCGCACTCGCAGCAACGCCTGCTTCCGACGGAGATATCTCAGATGCACCAGATGGCGAGCTTGTCTACGTTGAACAGGTTCACACAATGCGCGAGTACGAGCTTACTACGCTCTACGTTGACTATGGACATCTATTGGCGAGGGATGATGTCCTTGCAGACGCGATTCAAAAACAGTACTACCGATTCCTCCCTTACCTTCGCCGTGCACTCCTTAATCTCGTCACGGAATTCGAGCCTGACTACCTGAAAATCAACCCTACCGCCGCGACTACTGATTCTGCCAATCTCCAGTCTCGAGAGTTTAACATCGCCTTCTACCATTTACCCCTAGTATCCGGTATCAGGGATCTGAAGACGGAGAAAATTGGGACATTGATGAGTATTAGTGGCACTGTTACTCGTACAAGCGAAGTGCGGCCAGAGCTGCTCTTTGGGAGTTTTGTTTGTGAAGTGTGTAAAGGGCAGGTCAATGACGTAGAGCAGCAATTCAAGTACACGGAGGTGGGTATGCTAGCTGATTCTACAGTCATTGACGTCTTATCGAGTTTCCTTCATCAGCCTTCCCTTTGCCCGAATCCAACATGCGGCAATCGCTCTGCGTGGCAGCTGCAAATTGACAGTTCTAAATTCACTGATTGGCAAAAAGTCCGCATCCAAGAAAATCCCTCCGAGATACCCACCGGATCCATGCCCCGCTCTCTTGATGTCATCTTGCGATCTGAGCTTGTAGAGCGTGCAAAAGCCGGAGACAAATGTGTTTTCACGGGCACATTCATTGTTGTCCCGGACGTCAGTCAATTAGGTCTGCCGGGCGGGAATAAAGCGCAGCTCCAAAGGGAAGCAAATCGAAACAGCACTAATTCGGCTACTGGAGGTGTTGGAGGAACCGGCGTTACGGGTTTGAAGAGCTTAGGTGTCAGAGATTTGCAGTATAAGACGGCATTCTTGGCATGCATGGTGCACGATGCTGATGCACGAGTAAGTAGGCACTTGCCCACTTTATATCTTCAAGCTCACTGCTCGTTCATGACAGGGAGGTACCAATGTGCGTGGAGAGGAAGACGCCGGGGAAGACAGTGGACAGGCATTCGTCCAGACTCTTACGGAACCCGAATTCGATGAACTGAAGGCTATGATTGAGTCTGATCACATATATGCTCGTCTTGTGGAGAGTATGGCGCCTACGGTTTATGGGCATGAAATTGTGAAGAAGGGCCTTTTGCTGCAACTCATGGGCGGAGTTCACAAGCAAACGGCTGAGGGGATGCATCTTCGTGGAGACATTAACATCTGCATTGTCGGTGACCCTTCAACCTCAAAATCGCAGTTCTTGAAGTGAGTGGATCCTGTTGGTCTCAGGGTAGTCATTAAAATTTCCTATAATAGGTACATTTGTTCTTTCCTTCCCCGCGCAGTCTATACGTCTGGCAAAGCTTCATCAGCTGCCGGTCTAACCGCTGCGGTAGTGAAGGACGAAGAAACCGGCGACTTCACCATTGAAGCCGGTGCCTTGATGCTTGCTGACAATGGCATATGTGCTATCGACGAATTCGACAAAATGGATATCTCAGACCAAGTCGCCATTCATGAAGCCATGGAACAGCAGACGATATCCATCGCCAAGGCTGGTATTCACGCCACCCTCAACGCGAGAACATCCATCCTCGCTGCTGCTAATCCCATTGGTGGGCGATACGATCGCAAAAAGACTCTGAGGACTAATGTCGCCATGAGCGCACCTATCATGAGTCGTTTCGATCTCTTCTTTGTTGTTCTTGATGAGTGCGACGAGAAAACGGATCTGAACATAGCGAAGCATATCGTAAACGTCCATCGATTCCAAGACGAGGCCATCAATCCCGAGTTTAGTACAGAGACATTACAGAGGTACATCCGGTATGCGAGAACGTTTAATCCCAAGGTAAGGTGCTTGCCTTCGGTCCATGCGTTACTGATTTAATGTTCCCCTAGTTGAGTCGAGAAGCTGCAGACGTGCTCGTTGAAAAGTACAGGATACTGCGACAAGACGATGCCTCGGGTGCAGGCCGAAATTCATACCGTATTACTGTCCGGCAGCTAGAGAGCATGATTCGATTAAGCGAAGCCATTGCCCGGGCAAATTGCACGAACGAGGTAATTATTCATACTACTAAGCCACTAGACTCTTTGCTTATACGCTCCACCAGATTACCCCCGCTTTCGTGCGAGAAGCTTACGGTCTTCTGCGGCAATCAATAATTCACGTCGAACAAGATGACATTGATTTCGATGAGGAGGAGCTTGAGGGTGGACGTGGACATGAAGCGCCTACCGGCCCCGCCCCACAAGCATCGGAGGACGTCGAAATGGCAGGTGTTGAAGAGAGCCAAACGCAGATGGATGAAAGCTCCGGCGTCCCTCACGGCGCCTCCTCTTCCAAGAACGCACCAGAAACACCGAAGACCTCAACGTCTCAATTACCTCCATCGGACGTCCCCCCTCCTCCAGCGGTACAACCCAAAAGGAAGATAGTCATCACACACGACAAGTATATGATGCTTCAAGAACTAATTATTCTACATCTCTCTGAGGTCGAACGGACAACCGGACAGGGTCTTGATAAGGATGAACTCATAGACTGGTATCTCGAGTTGAAAGTGGATGGTGGGGAGGTACAAACTGAGGATGAGCTAGATTACGAGAAGGAACTTATCACGAAGATGCTGAAGAAGTTGACCAGGGTGAGATTTTCCTGTGATAATTGGTGCGGGTGCGTTTTATTGATTCGTTTGGATAGGACAGCTTCCTTATAGAAATGAGGGGCGATGTTCAAGATTCCCTACCTTCTATGGACGGCGAATCTCAGGAATCTTCGGGTCCTGCAGAAGGGGAGAATCTCAAGCTGTACTACATGGTTCATCCGTCTGTAGACAAGGATTCATCCTTGGCATCCATGCCTTAATCTCATGTTTTGTTGTACTATTGCTTTGGTTTATTGTTGTTGTATACCGATCTGTATATTGTTTGGCATATATTATCTATTTGTTTCCTAAGAAGCATTTTCATTTCACCCGGGAAAACGCAATGGGACAGCGGGCGTCTGTGAAACTCGTGTGATGTAACAGTCATCGTTTTCCCATTACCTTGGCCAGGCTATTCACAGTTGTCTTGATTCAGAGAAACATGCTGGGAACATCTGGAGGCTGAATATGGCTGATTGTGCAATGGGAAAAGACGGTTGCAGCCTCTCCTGCGAACGCAACAGGATACAATAGAATTTTAAAGACGTGCTGTGATGCCAGCCAATTTGTATGACTCCACAGCACCAAAACGGCAGTAGTAGTATATATCGTTGTAAGTGAACATCATTTATATTCGTGCACTGCCGTGACCTGAGGCTCCAAATACAAAATAATGTGCAGCCTTCTGATGCTCTTTGATGCGCACATGTGTCAAATGGCGAGTTTGACAGCTCAGTTTTGAATCGAACAATTTTATCTTGCGAGTATCTATAAAGCGGCTTTCCAGGCCCAAGTTTAGGTTGAAATAATAAATGAATTCTCGCGTTGGTTGATCACGTGGCCGTGTATGCCTCATGACGTCATAAGCGTCGGGCAGTCTTTGTGACCACGCTTCTTCACTGCTTCTTCTTCCCAACGACCATGTCCATCCCTCACTCAGAACTCTCCGTCACCTTCAAGGTCAAGCCCACCATCGAAACTTCGTGGCTCATGAAGTCAATTCGAATTAAACTCGCACATCCAATACAAGGATCTGTGGGATCTCTATATGCCCTACATATATTTCGTTCGAGGTGCTCTAATCGCTTCTTAGAGGCCATGGATATGGAAAGCGAGGAAATGTACGCTTTTGGAACGACTCTGTTCGATAAATTCGGTCGTATCAAGCCGCATATAGTCAGCAAAGGCTATCGTAGCGGCACAGGATGCTGGGGAGAGGAGCTAAGCGAAGGGCAGATCATTTATATCACACACATCGATGTTTCCGAGAAGGTCCGGGGTCCTCTTTTTGTTGGGCTCATTGCTTTTTTTAAACCTTGTTTGACAGTACCAGCGGCAGGGTGTAGGATCGTTGCTGCTCGACAAACTTTTCAATTCTGAGCACGTTCAAGATAAGGATTTCGTGATGTGCTGGCCGTTTCCGATCAGTAGGGAGAAATCCGATGACTCTGGCCTGTTCAGATTCTTTCGCAAGGCAAGATATTTATATTGAGCTGGTTGTATGCGCTCTAACTCTTCCATAGAATAATTTTAGACGCGTCGGAAAGACTAAATTCTTTGGATACTCCCCTCTTCCCCACCATCCATCTCGCCTTGTTCATCCTGAGACCGATGCCAATTACATTGGTGACAATTTCTGTGCGCCTTCTCCGACAGAAGAAGAGCTCAAGATCCACGGACCGGATTTCTTTCGGAATCAGCGCGAAGAAAACTCCCCCCTGCATTATTCTATCGTAGGGGACATGACTGCAGCTATAGCAGATACGATTCAACTATTCTTCGACAAAGATCCTCTTTCAATCTCTCGTCCTGATCCTGATGGACTGCGTCCTATCTTCATCGCAGCCGCCTCTGAAAATATTCACGCCGTCCGAAAACTTCTCGAGCTCGGTGTCCGTCATGATCTCTTTGACTTCGAGAACGGCGACGGTCTTACACCGTTAGAGATGCTTCAAGGCAGTATGAGGTCTCTGCGGGAGTTCTCCGAGACGCTGCTGCCCTGCTGGAGCGGTTATCCAGACTCGAGTCTTCGGATCGAATACCTTCTGAAAAGCGCTATGGGCATCTCTGTGGATGGGCTCTCGGATCATGAATACATTTCTCGTAACAAGTACGGATGCACATGTGGACATTGTGGTGCTGGATGGCTATCTCCTCGCATGAGATTTCAGCTAAGCTGTACGTTCACTCCCGGGCCCTGGATCGATATCATTTCTAACATCGCATCATGCATAGGTCAGGCAGGATATTTCAGGGACATAATGCCTGACTCTCTGGAGTATTTCACGCCTCGTCAAGCTATTGATATTCACACCCTTTTGCTCGTCGTCGCCAGTGATTATCTTCCTCAGCAGCTTCACTCCTCACTCTATAAGACGTTCTACGCTGGTTATATCTCTATCTTTGGTGCTCTCTATAATCTTCTTGAAAATTCGAGCGCCTCATTCTCTCTTGACATTGTCAATCAAGTCGCTCGGAACGACTTTTCTGCGGATTTTTACTTTCAACGGGGTGGCAAAGTAGAATACGCTCTCGACGCGATAACAGACAGTGCACTGAATCAATCTTTGTTGGGCGATGGTGAATTCCATGCAGTGTTCGATGATGACAAGGACTACAGGGCATTGCCCAAGTGTGCTAATGACCTGGAGTTTCAGTTAGTTCGCGATATGTTGGGGCTGACTGCTGATAGGCCATGGGGACCGTACAGCAGCCATCGAAACCGCGACCCTTCGGAAATGTATGTGGACTCAGAAGATTCGGAGGAGGACGAGGACGATTCGGAAGACGAGGAAGGCATGCTGTTCTGATAATCCTGCTTCCTTTGGTGCTGTAGTCATATTCTCTGTGGAGCTCGGCCAAGTCACCGTGTCCGAAGCGTGCTTTCTGGACAGTAATATAACGCCATCGTCACACCGCCAGTGCCGTGTTGTACATTCTCCTCGTTTTGCGTTTCAGGTGCCCGTGGCTCGCTCCGCTACAGCGACGCGGCATTCAAATACCAGTTGCCCGTCCATGGAAGGGAGCACATGGGAGAGCATTATAATGACAACGAGCTAAGCCCTCCCGCGGCTAGGCTCCAATTCTCCGCCGCTTCAAATGTGCGCCAACGTATGTTAGCCGGCGTATACTGAGATACCCGCATTACTATCAGGGCTTGCCTATTCACTTTCTTGGAGCCACGGTCTATAGTGCTCTCCTTCTTGAGTGTGCAGTGTTTGTTGCTTTAAAGCAGAGGCTGCATCTTGAACAATATCGGCATTAATCATGACTTGTCCATTGGTCATGTCCGATTTTGGTCCGCATACGAAGTTTTCGGGCTGATGACCTTTACATACGCTAACGCCCTTCTTTCTCCGCGGTAAAACAGTAAAAATTTGTCGAGGCTGGACCACCTTTATCGTCAGATTCACACGCAACCCCGTGAGTGGAGTTGGGATTTCTCTGATACTCTGATTTCCATGCGACCTGATTCTTCTGGAGACGATCGCGGATTCGATGCCCTAATGTGGAGGAAATACCCGTCGTCGAGACACTGCGACGGCGTCTTGGATCTTGGCTGGGGCTATTGTTACGGTCTGAAGCTCCCGTCTCAAGGCTTCATATTCAAACTTTGGCCAATTCATTCCTCGAAAGGCCGTTCAATACTCTCATTGTCAAGCCATATGGAGTTTGCCTAAATCCGCTGGCAGGGCAAGAAATGTCAGCCTCAATCAGACGGTTTTAGCACTGTCGGCAGGACGAGAGAGGCCCAACGGTCGGAACGGTCTACCGTTGATTGACGACGGATATGGCTGTTCAATATGCTTCATTGCTGCGCGCCCACGAGACGCCGAAATGCTGGGCGGCTGGCTGTCTGTAAACTGGCGAAGGACCTCGAAAGACCAGGCACAGCACGCCATGTGTTGGCGCTTGGCGGCAGCATCAATGATATGGGCGTCGAACATCGCGCAATGTTTATCCTTATCAGGTGGGTCCCTGCAGGGGTGGACCCTTAATAGGAGTGGAATGATCGGCTCCTATTGCGGGCCATTAACCAACGTCGAGTACGCTCCTGATGCTCTTCAATTTCTTCCCCGCCTCTCGTTTATATTCTGTGCAATGATTCGCTCCTACAAGATATACATTATTTGTGCTCTACTTTTACTCGTCTTTCTCTCCTTCCATCGTTGGCCCCCAGAGAGCCAGACCTCCCTAACACCGCTCCGACAGAAGCTCGCTGCAGCAATCCATGAACCAGTCGTTTATGCTCCTTCGCCGCCTCCCGTTCTCTGTCCAGAGCCCGATGTCCAAGTGCAGACCCATGTTGAGAAGGTGACTCAGGTGGAAACTGTGTACGTCCATGTGCCACTGGAGCCCGTCGCGATATCTCTCGTCATGATCGGGGGAAATATCGCCCACGAAGGAAGTATTGCAATCAAGTCGGCACTCATGCACACGAGTCGTCCTTTGCAGTTTCACATCGTTTGTACAGAGGATAACGTGCCGTACCTGGAGAAGAAGTTTGCTCTGTTCACCAAGCCGATGTACAGCGTCGAGGTGAGAATTTTTGTAGGATCTAATTCGGGCCATGTTTAGCCCTCTTCAGGTGACGTTCTACCCAGTGACCATCGACCGTCTCTTTGAGCGGCTCAACCGCGCCAACATGGGCCACAATCCCGCACAGCGTAGCAAACTCCTTCTTCACGAGATACTTGTCGACGTCGAGAAGGTCATATTCATCGATACCGATATGCTGTTCGTCGTCGACCCCTACGAGCTTGTGCGTAGTCTCTGTCTCAGTTGCGTGACTTGTAACAACAACTCACCGCCTTACCGCAGTGGAAGAATTTTGACGCCTTCGACGAGAACACTATCATACAATTCCCTACCCTTGGTCCCAAGTCTCATGCGGGTCAAGTATGCAGCTGTGTCATGCTCATGAACCTTACACGAATGCGAAATCCTTCGGCGATGTTCGTTCCCTCTTCGCTTCTCCCCCAAACATCGATCACCGCTCTCACCGTCATGCCATTTGCTCGGGCTTCCCTCGAAGGAGTACCCAATCCTTTCAATCCCTCCGAAAACATCCCCTTGGACCCATCACAACCCACACCGTTCGGAGACCAAGACATCTACCACGTCGTTTGGTATTACCGAAAGGATCTCATCAAACATCTCTCACTCCGATGGGACGTCAGCTTCTGCCGAGGAAATCATCAAGGTCTATCTTTGGGTCACTGGGACGAGAATCCCAAGGATGAAGACATGACTGAGGCTGAACAGATCAGACAGCAAAGCGATCTAGACGGAAGTGGCGATGAGCACTCTGTGCTCAGCCCTGGCATCCTTCATTTGTACGTGCTATGACCACCTACTACCAATCTCGTTGTTTTACTGACATCGGTGCAGCAACTGCCAAAACCAAGGGGGCGAGAACGTCTGGTTAAACCAAGATAACCATGTTAAAGGGGCTCCGACAGGTAATCCGACATATAACAACTACGTTACGGGCAAATTTGGTCCATGGGTCACAGCTGCGGTGCGGTATAAGTGGACGTGGCTAAATCGTGGTGACGGCTCAACTAAGGTGACGATCCGTGTTATGAGCGATCTGAGATGGTGGGACGAGCGGTTATTGCGCACCCAAAATCTAGAGGAATATTGAGCGTAAGCATAGACAATGGGTCTTGTTGGAACGTACTAATCTACGTCTTGTATATATTTCTGGGTATGAGGTTGGGAAGCCTCGATTGTCTATATTATGCTAACTATACATAAATGTAAACGGATAGATCTATAGCCCTGCGCTAGCCTGCGCTTCATAATGACAAGAGGGATCAAAGTCGGCCGCGGAAGTTTCTCGAATGCACGGCGGCTCCGCGTTGACAAATTTCATTGTGAACAGCCGCATTGCACCGAAAAGAAATATGGATGGAAGTAGTCGGGTGCGGCGCAAAGACGGCCGCCACCAAGCGTACATGCCGACGTCCAAGTTATTAAGTATCCGCCCCAAGTCAAGAACTGCCGAGAATGGTTACGTGGTATCCTACTAATACACATTACTTTACACACATATCGTTTATCTGACAAGTGCCAGCAGCAACTTTCTGTACGATCCACTCGTTTCTCCACCGATGCGATCTCCAAGTGATTTCCTATATCGCTTTTGATACGCCGCTTTCAGTCTCTCCATACGGGGGCGATCCCAATGCGCACGCAGTACTCTGCATATCTGTAAGCATGTGCGTCTCCGAAAACAACTGTCATGCTTACCTCCAAATTAATTGTTCATCTTTCGTTCCGAATCCTTTCATCGAAGCCTCGAGTAACTGTGCATCTCGCCAGATACCCGGTCCCTCACCTAGCCGCTTCTCTTTTACGCCCTTAACGATGTATAGAAGCGCATCTCGAGAGTGACCAGAGCTGGAAGGTGGAGATGAGACTCTGAGCAGAAAAAAAGAAGACATAAGATGAAACATACAACTCTGATTTGATCACCCTCGACAGTGTCTTCTTGTATTTTATTTTATATGCGTTACACCTAAACGGGGCTAAATAAATCACAGGGATTCCGTGGTGGAACACGTTACTCACAGAGCTGTTAGGTGAGGCGTGGATCGATTTACGAGTATATCAAAGAAAGCAATCTGGAAAATCCAGTCCGTGAGAAACAAAGCGAAATCTATCACTGATAGCTTTACCTCGTCGGTCCCTATCTTCCCGGTCCCAGCCTTGTACAATGCCTGCACGTCACTGTCAACTTGTTGAGGGTTCACAGGGAAGTGATCCGGAGGCCGAGAGGCGGCCAACGCCATGGTGAACACTAGGCTTGCATAAGGAAAAGGAGTGTCTGTTATCATAGTGAGCACTCACATCTCTTCGTCTTCCCACTCAGATCATCCCGGACCGCGTCAACGAGACTTCGATGATGAGTCTTCTGATAGGCGCCAATTAATAGTTGAAGCTCTTCGTTTGAGCGTCCGAGTAGGAGTTCTGTCAGCAAGATCTCGTTTGTTCTGATAACCATGCATTAGCATAAACAAGCGATAGTATCGATCTCTGCAACGTACCCGGCTCCATCAATGGCCAAGTGAGCAAGCCAGACATCACAACCTAAAGGGCCAAGAGCGAGACCATGCAATGCCGTCCTGCATCACTCGTCAGAACCTTCAGCTTAATGCTCTTGTGGGGAGCTCACTTGAAATTATAGCTCGTCTCCCCGTCCAATGTATCCTCCATTGTTTTTCCAGTCTTGGCTAAAAACGCGTTCGAAAGGGCAATCATCTCCATTGACGTGCGTGGCGCCAGCGTAGAGATCACTAGACGTAAATTTCAATATTCCGTACGTTGAAGAAAGCGTAATAAAGTCGCGAACCTAAGTTCTCATCGGTACCCATCTTCTTAGTCGCGTTCCTGATGGCCTCTACATCGCCCGAGGGGTTATATCCAGGGATCATAGCTGTAGAGGGATGTGCATGTGGCGCTAGAACCGTGACGCCCAGGTAGCGCGCCTCCTGTCCTGGAGGCGCAAAGGACTGCATCGGTGGCGGCGGATAAGGCAAACCTTGTGGTTGGTAAGGTGCTCCATGAGATGACTGATACTGTCCTAGAGGTGGACCTTGCGGAGGCTGATATTGCTGTGGTGGCACATACGATGGATTCTACAGACAATGGTTAAAGACGCTCTAAGACAAATACGCCATGAGCGAACATAATTTGCATTTGGCGGAGGAGGTGGCCCAGAAGGTGGCGCGTATTGGTTGGGGTAATTCATTGGCATAGGAGGAGGTGCTCCAGGATAAGAATGGGTTGGAATGGGTGGAGGTAGCTAGATAAATGCAACACGAACAAAATCAGCACTCTGATGGTGTAAGAACCGTGTTAAGAAGAGCTTACACCACCCTATAATGAGAAAGAAAGGGAAATGACGCGTGTTAGCGCGAGCGAGAACGGAAAGAAGTCTGGGTCTCACGTAGCCTCCAGGAGCTCCAAGTGGCGGCGGGTACATACCCTGTTGAGGATATCCAGGCTGGCCACCACTATAGTTGGGGTAGTAATTGGGCGATTGATTGTAAGCCATCGTGGTAAGAGATAAAGATGAAAGATGACAGCGTCTCGTTATAAAGACGCTAAGGGGGGCTGTGTAAACTTGGCGGCACAGCTTGCTCCGAAACCCGATCGATCAGACTAACCTCGGCCCGGGAAAGAGCGGCTTAGGCAACGAAAACCTTTGAGAACAACCTTGAATGTTCTTTACACTGGTATAGCCCATAAATTCGTCGATCATCCCATGCATAATATACGCGGCCATTCCGACTGGCCTAGAAATTTGACTACAGGCCGAAAGACGTGGAAGCTTGTCTCAGATTCCAGTACAGTAAGCACAGCCGCAAACTATCCGAGTCAACAGCTTGTCAACAGCGAAGTAAAGGCAGTCCACAAATCCAGTATATGGATTGCTTCGAGTCAAAGGTAGTGGCAGTTGTATTCTTCTAGTCGCCCAGGGCCTTCATTGGTCAATCGAGCTAATTCTGTTCATCCACCAGCGACCGGGTGGGTTTACCGCCCATTTCACTGGGTTCCCCACGGTAGTTATCTGCCATGCCCATAATGGGTAGTAGTATTCCACGCTTTCGCTGATTTTTCCTGGAGCTATTTCTTTACGTTCGGGCTTGGAAATCTGCTAGTAGATGAAAAATATAATAATTAATAATGTGTTAAAGTTGTGAGAAGCCAAAAGTGCTGTGTAGCACAATACTCAAGAAAAAGTGAATCTCTTGCCAAAAGTTATCTGCCAAGCCCCTATGTTATCTGCCACCGGTCCGAAGGGTCCGAGTTACCTGCCGCGACGACGCTTGCGCTTGCGTCCAGAATGTATCCTCCTCGCATATACAACTAATGATGCTATGGATAAATTCTAGATGCACTTTCCTTCCTTAAATGCTCATTTATTTTGTGCTGGGCATCAGTACTAAGCATATAAAGCCCCCATGACCTCTTCAGCCACTGAGCTTCAAGTCACAGACAGCATTTAAACCAGAAGAACGGACCAGAAAAAATGTTTACCCTCAAAATTGTTGAATAAAACCCGCAGTTTTCTTATGCAGGGCCATCTGCCCATTGCCCAAGCCTACTATTCTCATGATATGTATAATAGACATACATGTCTTGTAGCATACTCCCAGCTAGCTTTAATGCTATAAACTTATCCATCAGCGAAAAAAATGAAATGGAAAGCTCAAAGAGCACTCCTTTCGCCATTTTTGAGCTTCAAATCGAGGTCGGGACACCAGTTTTGGGTCCCCGATCATCTCCCGAAGTCTTTCTTTTTTTATCCTTTTTCTCGTTTTGGAGCGTGCGACACCCAGCGAAATGGACGGAAAACCACCGGATGTGATAATGTGTTTCAACCTTTTGAATAGAGGAGCTGTACTGTATATACAATCCATGTTATTCGCTGTCGCGGATGAGGGCACGGCAATTTCATATTCCGGCCCAGGCGTGGTAACAAGAAAATCCTCATCTTTTTTGTCGTGCGTGTGGTAGGATTTGGAACAAAGCAAAGTCTACAGTCCATCTAGAAGCGGAGAGCATAGTTCTAAGATGCAGAGGGTGTGAGAGAGCAACACCAAACTTTGATGTAGCACAAGAAGCGTGTCGGAAGAAGTATTATAAATTGGAGGACAAGCGCAATGACAGATTTGAGCACCAGGAGTTCAGGGCAGTTGATGAAAGTGGCCTCATAAAACGAGCTTCTGCAGCGTTAAATGAACAATGCGGGGTGTCGTCACCAGTAATGCGTCCTCCCATAAGCAACGACGCCGGATATCGAATGTTCCAGGTAAGGAGGTGCTCAGGTATAGCGAGTCGAGTTGCTTGTGGTAGAGGTGAGGAGCATCAGGTATATCGACGCCGTAGTGGTTGCCGGTTAATATGATACATGTTGAGATTGTGAATATTTCCGCAGACAGGTGAAAGACGTCTCATTAGCCGTAAGAGACTATTGAAATTAATGGAGTATCGAAGTTGAACCATCATATTCAAGCTTGCAGAACATCGAAAAAAAGTGTGTTCATCCATAAAGCGAAGAAACATCCATGAGAATTTCGGGAGGAATGTGGGAAATGGATGCCAAAGCAGTTTTGTATTCTCTGTTGATTTCCTCGAGCCAGTAACATTTGTTTTCTAAGAATGTCAAAACGCTAGTGACGCGACGAGTTTCAGTGAGCTCTTTGTCGGGCCCGAGCCGTTGAGACGTGGTGAGCTGGCGGCTTCAGAGAACCGGCTTCATATCCAGTGGCGGGTCATTGACAACAGAATTCCCTAGGGAAGGACGGTCATCGCGGTTATATGCAGTCGTATTGAAGCATGGATGTTGGGCATTTCGGGCAGGGCAGGGCATGATCCATACGATACTCAGATTGTCGTCAAGGCCAGAGAAATCATAGTTGGCAGATCCGAAAATTTGACGCGTCACGATTAGAATTTCTCCACCTAGACAACAGCTACCACACAAGTCAGTGCGGGTGAGCATAAAAGGAAGCATTCTACACACTTTTTTCATCTTTACAGCAGAGGACGTTGATTACTTACAGGTAAAGATGCAAAGGCACAGCCACATCACAGGTGCGCAGTTTACGGCAGTCCGAAGCAAATCAAGGAAACTCAGCCACCTGCAACTTACGGCAGCATGTCAAGAAAATAGCAAAGCGTCCATCTGGTATAGTATAGCCACTTGCTTCTCAATTAGCGGCAAACGAGGACTAACCGAAAAAAATGCCGGACCTATACAGCTACTTGCAACTTGAACTAGTGAGGGATACACTGCCAATACAATGACAACACATGATGCAGGTAGATAGAATTGTACCATGATCTCGTACAGAAGTCCTACGGCTATGTATCCGTTATCAGCCTTCTCGAGGTGCCCGGCGTTGGTCTTCCAGCACTTTCAGAATATCGCTGAGACGACGAATTTTAACATCTGTCTCGTCGGAGCAGCGGTAATGCGGAGAACTGATGCTTTGAGAGATCTGAGTATGATTTCTTGCTAGAGTGTCATTCGCGTGGAGAAGCTTTGATAGTTGCCGTGATCATGAGACGGTACTATCTTGATTCGCATTTCGGGCAGCACAACAGGTAGTGCCGCATCTGGGATGTGAATAGGCTGACTGGTACCGGTGAAGATTAGTAGCTAGATGAAAAAGGGGACTAGCTTTCTTTACCTTGTAGCTCAAAGATGACTCTGATGAGCTACTAAACACAAAATAAAAATCAAGTCTTCTCCTTGACGGGATCGTGGGGGTGAAGATTCGATGGCGGAAGTTAGTGATGTAACTAACATCTTCTAGGGCAGATAATTAGCTGACAAAGAGACAAGAGAAAAGACTGCAATTCTCTGCATCTACTGCTAACAACATTTAAACTGGTCGAAAATAAATTAAACAGTACATAACAACAGAGCACTTACTTTGAAACTACATCTACATGGCAGATTCTCTACAGACCGGTATACAAAATGCCTGGGTATAAAAAGCATCAACCAAGCATCGAAGATTAATAGTTTGTGCTGCTTCCGCTACTGGGAGGGAATCTACCCATCCATGAACGTTTGAACCGTCAGCTTGAAGAAGAGAGAATGTGTGATAATAAACGAGAAAAACGATCCCAAATGAACGAAATACTTTCAACCACTTCAACACCAAGACTTAAATCAACAGACCCCACAACGTCCGGAACGTAGGCGCGGCTTCACGCCTCGAAAGGGTAGTGCCAGGAGCAGTATAGAGATTAGCACGATAGCTACCACCGCACGTCTCGGTTGAATCACCTGTAGAATTGAATGAGAACCTGTTCTATAAGGTATGTGCGATCAAACTCACCTTGGCAGGGCATATTACAGTCGTTAGAAGACGTGGACGAGCCAGCTCCCCCAGTTGTGTACAACGTGTTACCGCAAAGGCATTGGTACATATACTCCGTAGCGGCCATTGTGAAACCAGCACTGGAGCAGGAACTGATACAAGCGTCTGTCGTCAGCCCATTGATAGTGGTGAGAGAACCACGGAGAAGACGATCGGCACTGTCGGTATAGCATCCTTGACTCGTCCACTGGAACACAATGTTACTGACATGGCTAGCTGAAGATGAAATGCAGTACATACACTGCTTACACTAGTTCCTTTGACATACACGCTTAAATGCCAAGATCCACCACAAATTTCGCTGTTGTTTCCGTCGCAAGGAACCCAGCACTGGCTCGAATCCACAATCGCGCCAGAAGCGCCGTTTTCAGTGATAGAATTGCCGCAATAACATTCCTGGCTACAAGTAAAACCATATAATCAGTATAAGAGCATTTTATCCGGTTTCGAACGTACGCATATTCTGTTGCGGCATAATCGTAGTCCGCACAAAGACTTTGACAGACCTCTGCCGTCATGCCTGACTGAGTATAACTAGCACCTGTCAGTGCACGTCCTGATGACCCCTCGGCAATACATCCATAGTAGGAGAAGGTCGAGCTGCTGGAGGATGACTCTCCCTTACCCCAGAGATTCAGAACCCAGGAACCGCCACAAGGCTGGCTTGAATCGCCGTCGCACATGACATTACAACTGCTGGAGGATATAAGGGTGCCACTTGCACCGTTGCTCGTATATGAATTACCACAATAACCTGTACAGATATGAGTCAAACCGATCGACACAAGCAAGAACCAAGCTCTACGCACACTCTTTCCTGAGAAGAGTACATCATATCAGCAACAGCACCATTTCTGTAGATTACGGTGGCTTACCCATACTCCATGCCTGCATAGCCATAAGCGGAGCATAATGAAGTGCAGATTGCTGGCGTCATTCCATCTTGCACGTAGGAAGGTCCTGAGAGTGCACGACCAGTCGTGCCTTCAGCAATACAACCAATCGAATACCAAGAAGTTGACGTCGAGGTAGCAGCGGCTGCAGTTGTTGAGGCTGTAGTAGACGTGGATGAAGTCGAGGTCGCAACTGCTGAAGCGGCTGGAAATAATGACATACATATAGAGATCACATAGATGTGAGATAGACTTACCAGCAGCACCGGCATACGCGTTGTAGTTATCTGGAATCGACTGTTAGCGAGTTTGAATCTGAGAGCGTTTGGGGAAGGATTACATTGAGAAGGACTTGCGATGTAGGTGAAATCAGTAGCGGTCTGGTCAATGACAGTCTGGGAGTTTTTGACCATTGTGACAGTTATTTGGCCATAATCCAATGGAATCGAGAGCTTCGTAACACCAGCTCCGACGCTAAAGGTTTGCGAAGAGCCGCCGATCTGCAAAGTAACAGACGCAGACGATGTGGCAAAGACCAAAGCCCATAAACTGTCCTGGATGAAGACGTCAACGACTTTGACGTCTTCAGGATAACGTTGAACATACTGTTCCCCAGTCCCAGCCAGTTGGCTTCCCGAGGGAATCGGCGTTTGCATTTGCAGCATATGGATGAGGACGAGCCCAATAATAAATGACATCTTGCTGCACGAACCATTACACCGAGGAAACAACAGCACTATTTTAATGAGACTCACAGTAATGGCGGGGTAGCTACCTGTCTTGAACGCCGTAATATAGTATTGAGACAGATCGTAGAAAATAGTATGGGGGAAGTTCTCAGCCCAATATGTACCTGGTTAGATCGTAAATGTCCGATCAAAATAATACCACTTCAAGCTTACCGTCTGGCTGCGCTCCTTTGAAAGGTCCGAAGCTTTAAAATTCCCGTGAAGTTAGAAGTCGGGGCAGGGTCAACATCCAGATGCACTTACTAGTCCGACTCGCCGTAATCATTCCTATTACATCAAACTGAGCATCATTTTAGTCTGAATCGTGGAAAAATACGCATACCAGGTTACCATCTCTACAAACGTCAACTGGTCGCGCATAGAAATCAGTTGCTCCCAGCGATTAGCAATGAGCCAGTCATCACCCCGAAGGTAGAAATTCTTGTCCGCCCATGAATAATGAGTACTATTCGGAAGGATTTATGTGAGGATTCCTTAAAAGCGTAGAACGGGACTTACAATATCCACATGCTGATGGTCGTGGCATAGCGCGTTCCTAATTGACTGATGTCTGTTCATGTAAGGTGGGCGCTTTCATACTCTAGCAGCGGCAAAACTCACAGTATTGATCATCGCTGGTCTGTATGATAATCAGCGAAGCGACACAAATTGCGATAGAAAACACGCACGTTTTTATCGTAGTCGCCTTGTGGCCAAGCACATCCCCAACTATCAAGTAAAGCTCAGAAAAGAACGCGTCAATAGCACACGAGAGCTAACCATAACCAAGAGTCCAAGAACGACCAAGTTGAGCCGAAACTGCCCTCCAGACCCCAGATGAAAGGCATCAAGTAGGCACTTGTGGAAGACTTGATCGTCTGCCATCCGCCCGTTCCCAAACAGTCGCCGGAGTAACTAGACACCATAACTTGTCCATTATAGTAGAACTGATTGGGATGACTCTTGAACTGATTGATATAGCTAATCGTTTTGGACACATCGCATGCAAAGGCAGTGTAGTCGAAAGAGATGAACAATTTCATGTTCGTGCCCACGGCAGCTGCATACGCATCGGTGATTCGTGAAAGTTGCCAGTCGTCGTCACCTATGTTCAAGGCAATAGCGTCGCTAATATCCCAAGTGAGCCAAAGCGTCATTTAATAAGATGGTGAAGGAAAGTACGTACACGCTGTTGGTGCCGATTCGAGCGATGTCATCCGCCCAATCAGATTGGGTATAGGGATACCTTATGCAGAAAAGGTTAGTGATAAAAATCGGTGCGGGAGCTTCCAACATACGTATCTATTGGTTGAGAACGAGATCGATATCAGCGATAGGGAGGGGGGCATTGGATAGAAAAACACGTACTTCCAACAATCTGATAGGGAGAAAATTAGTAGAAGAAAAGTACGAGAGAGTAACAACTTGCATGATGCATAAAAATATACTTCGTACTGTCCCTTTTTTCTAATGTATCGTTACCGGCTGGAGCAGCGACACGTTTTGCCTTGTGAGCGGAGCTGAGGGAACCATGACTTCGCTGGGAGAAACGACCAAGAACCGGCAAGACCGAGAGCGCAAAAAAGAGGGGTATAAATAATAAATGAGTGACGCGCATGATTAAAGAGCGTGGGTGGCCTGTTAGCCTAGTACTTGAGGCAGGAAGTCCTCCAAGGAAATCACCGGCGATTAAAAGATGGGGGAAGCAGAAAACTTGGACAACAACGAAAGCAACGCCCATAAAAGACTGACGGGAGGACCCCCCTTAATTATGACAGCTCCCGTTCAGGATTATTATCTTGTCCACCCTTGCTCTTGACCAAAAATAGGGGGATACACATCTGGAACTCCGTCGATCGAAGACCAAGGCAACGATTTCAAGCTTCATTCTTAGCTTTGCCGTCGTTACGTAGAGGAAGTATGATCATTCAAGATGAAGTAACTAAACAAGCGAAGCCGTGAGCGCATCAAACCATAGAGATGTGTCGTGATGTTCGTATACCAACTGGACTTTGAAGATTTCTGGGCGCCGAAACGGAAGACGATCCACCGGACGTGAACTTGTGTTCTCAGGAGGCGACACTGCGGCAGGTACCTGGAGCTTGGCAGCGTACGCGGGATATCGGATCGTGGTGAAATCCTTGGAGATCCTTGGTGACGTCGGGGACGATGTTGAAATATTGATGCGCCGAGGCACAAAAACACGCGAAGTACTTATTTGCTCTTGTTGCTTTCAAGGGCCTTTGCACTTTACGTCCCCATTTACTTTCCTTCCTTAGATTGACAGCCTTGTATCCATGGTGCTTAGAGGCTTCTGAATAAACTGTATGGGAACGTTTAAATTGTGTCATAATGATTCGAATGTTACTTACCTTGGGAGAAAAAAGGTTTCAACCTAAAACATAATTCCATTCCGGTCATCTGACATGACAAGACGGATCCTCCCGGTAAGTACAGATGCCTACCGAACCAGTTTAGCTTGAGATGCTTATCCTTCACGCTGGTAAGACCATAATAGATACATAGATACATAGATACTAGATGAATACAATCGATAGTGATTTCCAAACTTCACAACAGATGTCAATCTCTCACTCTTAGGATCAATATCACCGCCTCCCAGATGTCTCAGCCCACTCTTTGCTCCCCATCTGCACAAGTCTAGAACATGCCCTCGCAAAGGCAAAAATCTCTTCCTCGCCCGAAAACATCGAGCTGGCCCCGAAATGTTGTTCCGACAAGCCCTGAGAGAAAAAGTGTAAGATTATGGGCGCTCGCGCTCAAAGGTACACCAGGGACAAACCAGATCATCCATGACACTCCGCATATGCTCTGACGGGCCTTTACCCGCATCCGTCTTGTCACTGGAAAATACTTGATGAATGGGCACCTCCGAGGTAACGAAGAGTTTCGTCTGTCACAGAAAGATTGTCAGGAGCGCGGAGGCAAGATAAGAAAAATATTCGCCTTGCTCTCATAACATGCATCGATGAAAGTAATAAATCGTCTGGCTTTGTCTTTGCTGTCCAATCCCATCTTGGGAACGTCCAGCAAGAAAACGGTATGAAATACCCTCGTCACTTCCAAATAATCAGCAGCACTGAGTGGTTGCCCGCACAGTTCTTCGAAATGGAACTTTGCTACATGCTGCGTACTCTCTGGTATACGAAGCGTCCGACCCCATATTGTGAGTGGTCTATTATGTAAGACCGGATCCGAAGGATTGTGCGATGTAAGGGACTTGAATATCTTGTTAATCTCGAGGGCATTTGAAGGCGTGAGAGGGTGATAGTAGACTTTAGAGAGGGCTCGGGGTATTCGACGATAGTCTTCAGAGATTTAGTATCCTTTTCACGGCTGCGAGTGAAGAGCACACTTACCGGTGCCCGAATCTAAATCAGTCACTTTGAAACGTGTCTTTAGTAAATCTATGGCGGGTATGAAGCTCGAACGCTGGATGCCATTCTTGTAAAGTTCATCAGGATGTCGACTGTGGCAAATTGGAAGTCTACAGAACACTCAATATCAGCTGAACACTTACTTTGAGGTAATGACACAGACGACGCCATAGTTGAGCAAATTCTCGAGGAGCCGTCGAAGTATCATCGCGTCTGCGATATCGGTGACCTACGTGGGAACGTGTCAGACCGAACTCGGGCTGATAACGGAGAGTATGCACCTGGAATTCGTCGAAACAGAGAATAGAGGCTTGGCTAGCGAGGTCACGAGCGACAGGTATGATTGGGTCGCCGCCCTTGTGTCCCATTGCAATCTTGGCTGCATGCAGTCGTTTATGTACGTCTATCATGAATGCGTGGAAATGGACACGTCGTTTACGGTTCAAGTGAGAAGGTAGGGTATTGTAAAATAGATCCATGAGCATAGTTTTTCCTGTCCCAACATCACCATACAGATATAGACCCTTGGGTACATTTTCTGGTGGTGAAGCAGGCACTGTATCGCTGCGAGAGAAAAGTCGGAATAACTGGGTCCGTGGTGAGACACAGATGAGACAGAATAAAGATAATGACACACCAAAGAGGTGGAAGCAAACGAGTCGGGAACTGGCGGTGGGGTATAGCGTACCAACTGGTCGTGAAGGTTCTGCAACTTCTGAATGATCCTTGTCTGATGCTTATCACCCTTAAGCGTCCCGGTATCTATTAATCTACGGTACTGAGCCAATGGTGGTGGTGGTCCTGCACCTAGGGTACGGGGGTCAGAGTTACGTGGTGTCGAGAACCGGTGTCAAAGGCTCACCTCTGCTTGTCTCTGCTGATACAGCGGCCTGGGCCAGTGCTCTGGCCCCGTTGGCGTAAAGCTGCTCTTCCGCCGGCGTTGACTCAATCGCCAAGGAGGAATTTCCCCGACCTCTGATGGGCTGCGGCCTTGACGTAGAAGGTGTACAAGATAGGAAAGTACGGAGTTGTAATACCGAAGGAGACACAGCTCGTCGTTGGTGTTGCGATGAAGAGACGAGCGCCCTCGCTGCCCTCGACGACATTATTCTAGTCTATAGCTTGGGCAATGGGTGATAAGAATCAGATTATGATGCGGTCCAGCGGCCGCGGTGGCCGACGTGATTCAGAATGGGCGGTTCAGAACGGATCTTATTTTGGACACGTGTGGAATCATCGGCTGCCACCGGAGCGACGACCTCGAAGTCATGAACGACGACGACGAGACATATATCCTGCTTTTGCTCTCTGATAGCAATCTCCCGACTGGCGCATTCGTGGCATCGTCGGGCCTCGAGTCATACATGAAGCATGGCTTCGGATCCAACGACCCTACGACGTTCATCCGCGACAGCATGGCCTCCTATGCGCGAAGCGCGTTGCCATTCGTCTCCGATGCTCATCGCCTTGTCTCTCTGTACCGCGAGCTCGATGTACAAGGCAACAGTTCTGATCAAGCGCTGTCGAAGCTCTTGGCGGATATCATTACTCTCGAAGGGCTTTACGAAACTATGACCCTCAATCACGTCGCCAGACGGGCATCAAAATCCCAGGGAGTCGCCCTTTTGACGTTGTACTCAAAGGCCCTCTCTCCACCTTCGTCGTTCCCGCTAGAGCCCAACGCTAAGCGGGTCCATGAACGAATGTCAGCTTTCTTCACTCAGTTCAAGACGCTGGTCAGACGAGAAGATACACACGGGCATCTACCAACGTGCTGGGGAGCATTGACAGCCGCGCTAGGGCTGACTCTAGGTGCTTCTCTCTCTGTGCGTACCTACCATTATCTTCTGACGAGTTCACAGAACGGTCCTGCTATCTTCACCTTTTCCTTCACGCCCGAAGCCTTCTTTCCGCTTCTGTTCGTTTGAATGACATTGGTCCATATAATGCTCAGCAAATCTTACTGCACGCTGTACGCCCATTGGTAGCAGCTGAAGCCAGCCAGTGCCGTAGTCTGACTACAGGAATAATCCCTCATCTCATCGATGACAGTACATTCGATGAAACAATTCAAGGACCAGCAAATACTTGGCCTCTGGGCGAGATATTAGCCGCCAGGCATGACCTACAGCATTCACGGATTTTCAACAGCTAGCTTAACCCAAGCAACATCACTACCTAGGGGCGAGAAAACGATGTCCCCTCCGCAGTATACGGATAATCATTGCCAGAAGCGTCACTTGCGACCCTTGGTCGGCGTGACTGGAACAAATACTACCTCGTCATCAGAATTAAACCCCTCCCCTTGTGAGCTGATGCTCTTCAATAGTAGAATGTCGGGAGAACTGCTTGGCAAATCCCACACTTCCTCTTCCTCATCCTTTGCCGCCAACTTTGATGAAAAGAACGAGGAAGCGACCTGACTTTGCGAATTATGTACCCTGCTCAACCCTAACCGCCTCGTTGGTTTCGGTTTCACCGGAGTAGCCTCCACCAGCGTCACACCCTCGTTTACAGGCTTGTGTACCACTGGCTTCGGTTGCTCCCTGGGCATTTCCTCCGCTTTGGTCTTTGGTTTCCCTTTGAACACCCTAGACATGCTAACTTCCCGATTCAATACGCGTTTCTTCGAGTTTGCACCGACACTCTCGGCACGCTCACGTTCCTTCTCCTGGGCAAGAGAAACAGACAAAGAACGCGAGCGTGAACGTGCCAGTGATCTGGCCTGTACTTCTCGTGTTGAAGAAGATGCAATCGATAACGCAGGAGAGGGATGTCGGTCGTAGGTATTGTCGGCAGTCAGAGTTCGAGCCCGCTTAAGCCGAGGGAGAAGTCCTTTCTGAGCCTGAGTCTCCGGTGACGGAGAGCGACCAGAAGAGTGTGAAGACGTTTCATCGTCTGAGAAAATGGATGTGCGGAAAATTTTGGAGTGAAGGAGGGAGCACTGGTCGGGGAGGCTGGTCTTAAATCTATATGGATATCAAAAAAATGAGATATACAGTTTCTGATTCAGAACTCACTGAGGTTCGATAACGTCACGAAAGAAGCGTTGTATCCAGTCAAGCTCAGCCTCCTTCTCATCTTTGGAGGATGGAGACGACTGTTCCACGGCATTTATCAGCTGCCACATGGACAGTTTGTCCATGAATGTTTCGAGTCTGTCTTCCGTGGTCTGGGTCAGACTACGAGGCGCGTCTTTACGCGGTGATCGCTTCTTTCTTTTCCGAGATGGAGATCCTGAAGGTGACGGTGGTGGACCGGGCAAAGATAAAACAAGAAAATGGAGCAGAATTTGAATCAGCACCCTATAAATTAGTGAATAGAAAGATGGTGAAATGGAGTGAATGACATTACTCTCGTCTTTCCATACGTTCCAACCACTTGTGCCGCCATTTCTCATTCATCCATAGTTCCTCTGCGCGTTCACTGGATCCAGGGCGAGACTGACCCTCGCTCTCGTCCGCCTTTTCGTGGCTCAGAGCGTACCACATCATCGTCTCTTCAATTTCACCGTCCCCTCCGCCGTCTGATAGAAGTTGTGGTAGGTCGATATGGTATTTGTTGGCAGCTGAGCGACTTGTCAACAGTAATGGCGAGACAAGCACGTGCAAAGGATGTGTGGTGGGTCGGGATGAGGACGCGATATTCACGCGTAGCAGGCTCGGAATGAGGAGCGTTAGTGGCATTATAGACTGTAAGAAAGATCTGTTCATCTAGATGCTCCGTTTTATGAAGAAATAAAACCGAACAGACCTCTGGCAGCCAAAGGAATTGCAGGTATGTTCGCTGCACGTACATGTCAGGCGTTTCGTTGGCAATGTCGGTAAATGAATAGTCCTTTGAGAGCGCTTTTGCGTGAGATTCTGACCAGTTCACTTGACTTGGGGCGAGCCTGAAAGCAAATGAAGAAATTTCCATCATGATGGTTTGAAGAGAAGAGCGTTGACGCGGACGCGTGACGTGCCGTCGGCTATTTCATCATGTCTTGCTCTCTACCTCCATCAACGACGATGCGCCCCATTCGAAGCTAGCTAACATATTGCGCTCGACACTGGCATTGCATACATACACAACTTTAACTTGTCATCGCGTCTGGCTACAGGGCTTCTATGGTCATGGTCTTACGATAGCGCAGACGAAAAATGATATATATGATGAGTATTCGTCGATAACTTGGAACAGCGAAGCTACCGCCATCAGAACATTAGGCGGTATGGGCAGAACCTTCCTACACCAAGTAGATTCTACTTACCGTGGTATGGACAAGCGCGCGACAAACGGCATTCCACTTACAACTTCCCCTGGAATGTTTTCGTTTCTCTTGCAGGATCTTGGAACGCAAACAATACCTCTGGGTTGGCTCTTAGATCTCAGTCTTAATGTTGTAGGGGCAGAATGGGCTATTCTTTTGGCTTGTTTCCTTTGACTTTGAGTAATAACGCTAGAATCCCGGTCCTTGCCAGAATGCAGCCGCCTACTCTTTGATAGGGTAGGTCATATGACAATGCTTTTGAAGAATGCGGTTCTGTCGGAATCTCTTCTGCATCTCTTCGTGACTAAAAAACATTCTGAACCCCCACCCTTATACCTATTTATGCGCCAAGTTCCTTCGCGATGCATGTTCTCTTTATGGACGCTTTCTAGGACATTACAGCTTATTCTACTCGTCCGATATACTGCATAGAGGTAATTTGAATCCGTCCTTTCGGAATGTGCCATTGATAGAGGCTTCCAAGTCTGGACGGACCACTGAGGTGGCGGTCTTAACCCTTTTACCGGCTCGGCAGCACTCCATGAAACTTGCTTACAAGAGGCACAACAGGACGGAACTCTCAAGGCGGTATTCTAGAACACTAGACGTCTTTCTGTCCACCTTTTCATGCGAGTTATTAAATAACTTCTGCAGAATATTTCTTACGCGGCGACAATCATGGCAAATGCCGACTGTAATAATAGCCGTGAACTAGTACCCTGGTACCACGGAGGAATCCTCCGTGTTCTCATCTGCAGTGCTTAACGGAATTCACCATACGATTTGCTAAAAGCTCACTGTTCTTGAGTTGGCCAAGTCGTAGTACCCTTCGCATGCATTTACCAAGCCGATGACAGAAGTCTGGATCCGATGCACCGAAATTGGCTATGAAGAATCTTGTAGAACTCTGAAAAAATCGGTTCCCACCGGCGAGTCAAAAGGACGACGTTTTCGTGCCGCCGGCTTCCCCCCATTCGCGGCCTCGTGCATCTCCGGTGAGAACAGTGATTGCCGTGCGGTGTACTGTTCTTGCGTTCTCGCTCTTTCGCATTCTCGCTCTTAATCGAGTCAACTTTTAATTCCCCAGTGCTTCCCCCCTTGAATCGACGATCATATGATGTCATGCTGTGCCCGAACAGAGATTCGCATTTTTTGGAGGTGGTAGTAGATCTCTTTGCAAGTGCGTAATCGTCGTTACGGTACGACGTGTTACTCGACCCGCATCATCGCACGACCCAAAATCTGGGCGTATTTGTTAGTTCCGGCGCCGAACCTGATATATCATATAAATCCTTATTGGAATCATTTTATCAAGAAAATCTCATGGTGATTGTCACCGGCACCTGGCAGAGTTTGAGATTGGTACAGATCGTGTGTGCCGTTCAATTTTAACGGCTGCGTCAAAATTGACACCAATATTTCCAGAGCTTCTCGACTTGCGATCTTCTATTCACTGTCATTTTTCAACTGGCATTCTCGCAAGTGAATTTATTCAAAATTTAGGATCCTACATCGTGGTAGTGGTGGGAACTTGGTAACTAGGGCCCGAGGCCTCGCGGCTGCGGCGTGAGTAGACGAGTCGATCCCCACGGACCGTGGGCACGGTGAAGATGTGCAGGTGCGCCGGCCCAATGATTTTTTCTTCAGGATCATTGAAGTTTCTATAGTTATCATCTATCCCAGGTACTAAGCGATACTTCTAACGGCGATCCCCTCTCGAAACACTGCAAAACTGCAAGCCCTCGTGGGAATAAATAGTGTCCAGATCGGCATTATAGAGTCATGAGCCTTGCAAGCGTATTGGAGGGACGTAGCAATGCGGCATCATTCCAAGACACGGACTGGGTGCAAGACATGCAGGCGTCGTAAAATCAAGGTATCATGCCTCTATTTTCATGCTCTGTACCAGACGCGCCTAACATGTGTTCATAGTGCGACGAGGAAACTCCCATATGTAATAACTGCACAAAACGGAAGATCGAATGCATATGGGAGGGGTCTAACGATAACCACCCCGCGTCATCGCCGGTGGAGCCACTGCCAGTGGCCCCATACCCTCAGGGAACGCCGTCCACGTCAAGTCTGCCTCCCTCTGAAGGAGATGACATGCTCGATGTCCTTGGACTCGAACTCATACATCATTATACCAACAGCACATGCTTCACCTTTTGTCGCGACGAGGCCAGAACGGAAATATACAGGTCCAAGCTCCCGGCGCTTGCGTTTCATGAAGGCAACTCATTCCTTCTCCATGCCGTCCTAGCCATTTCCGCTCTACATCTCTATTCCCTTAACCCGGCATCTAGCAGATACAGCCTGGCCGCCAGCACTCATTGTGCGCAGGCTCTCGCTGGAGTCAAGGCTGTCTGGTACGAAGAGGGCTCCTCCAGCGCAGACCCCAACGCAGTATTCCTGACGTATGCGGTGCTGACTGTATACGGCCACGCTACCAGCACGCCGCCACTCTGTCACGAAACTTCTAAAGACTGGCTCAGCGTCCTCCGCACTCTAGTGTCATTCGGACAGAAGTGGCCACTAGATCGCGATATTTCAGAGGCTTTCCAACGGGCGCTTCTCCCGCAAAATATAGACGAGCCTATTAACCCTGCGGTACGATTTCCGGACTCCCTCACTGTACTCCCGCTCCCTCTACCTGGATCCCCGGATATTGCGGAAGTGCAGAATCCTGTGGTATCGGCGGTGTACCAAGAATGCGTTGCTTTGCTGAGGCTTGTGTGGAAGGCGTCGTTTCACCCACATTACCAATCGTACGCACTCATGTCGTGGTTCGGACGCGTACCCATGGCGTTCTTTGGTTTTCTTTTTGAGAGAAGACCTCGAGCCTTACTCCTCATGGCGCATTTTTACGTGATTTCAAAGAGGGTAGAGCAGACATGGTGGTCGAAGAAGGATTGGGATCAGATTATTCTGAATCTGACGAATGAGATCGGTGTGAAGTGGGAGGAATTCATGGATTGGGATACCGGATATCGGAGCCCGGCTGTACGAGATGACCATCTCTCATTCCCTTGGCTCACGAACTATAATTTGTAGTGTATCTTGTAGGATTTTGGGAAGGCTACGTTAGATGCAAATAATGTAATGTAACAAGTGTTTCCGGACTTGGACGACGTATCAAATGACAACGAAAAGAGGTGGGAATACGCCTTTCACTACGAATTTTCTGATCATACTATTCTTGCCAAATAGCACACCTCATTCCTGTCCCTACTCCAGAAAACACTAAGATAATGATCCTCTTTCACAGTGACTATTCGCGGTGCTCGGCGCGTCAATAGTGTGAATACAACTTGAAAAAATAAGAAAAGCGATTCAAATTGGTATTTAGAACTCAAGGACTCAAATACTCGACCCTGACGAGTACGTAAATATACCGTAACTGAAAACTCGATTTTCAACGATCGCCAGCCCACTCCCTTCACATGTTGTGGTACTTACCAGCGGCCGTATTGTTTTCCTCCACCATTTCCTATTGGTGGCATATCCCTTCTGGCACGAGCCTTACGAAGGGTGGCGTTGATGGTAAGTAACCAGGAAGAGAATCCGCCGTGTCACCGAATAACAAACCTTTTTCTAGTACGGCCGGGTCATAGCAACTTTCAAGATGTGACAGTCGAGTTTCTTCGGTTCGATCGTTGGGCAGCTTTCTGCAACGCGAGGACAAGAGTCCTCTTCCAGACCTCCCGTCTGAGTCACTCTGATTTTCAGCTCAGCGCAGCTCGGATTCGGATTCGGATTGCACGGCACCTCAAGCGATATTTCGTAAAACACGGTGACGCGTTGCAGCATTTCGTTATCAAGCAAGTACTGGTGTCATCCCACCGTAGTAAAGCAAGAGTAATGAACTCGGAACTACCTGTGTCCCAGACTGCGATCTCTCAAGACCTGTGGAACGAGTTCACACCGCGGGCTTAGCTTTATCTGTCAGATAAGAGCTGGCAGCCAATGAAGCTCATCTCGTTTTCAATTTTCTTTCGAGATGCACTGCGCGTTTATCCCGGATGAAGAGAGTAAGGCCAAATAGATGACCGCAGAATAGGCGTCCCATATTATGGCGCGCGCTGAGCGACTTGGCGTTTCCGAGTCTCTTCCCCTCGCCTTGCGGTTCTGGCCCCCGTGTGAAACAACCGTATATGCGGAAAAGAAGGAAGGAGAACTCTTGGTCATTGCAGTATCTTACCAGCAACATTTTTGGACGATAGCTCCCAGTAGAAAAACTTGAAGGTAGGCGATGTCGTCGGCCCGGAAGTCCGTTCCGTCATTCTTGAATCATCTGCCGACATTTTATATCCACACGGAACGCCTTCCGACACCATTCTCCATACCCCAGAAGGTGCAACTACGTCCAAAATAGCATTGTTTCTTGGTCCCTAGTCTACCTGAAAAGGGAAAGGTTGGGGTTTCGGGCGTGGATGCCGCTCAGTTCATCGACGTGGCCGCCGATGGAGATAACGACCCACACTGAACTGTCTTATCTCCCACAGTGTATCTCCTAACATTTGTTTATCACCTTCCGTTACACGATGAGGACCGGAATATGAAGCTCGGCCCACTTTTTTCTTTCCACTGAACCTCTAGACCAGCATTGAAGCCGTCCAAGCTATCTCATCTTCTAATTCGAGCGCGGTCAATATCATGACGAGCAAAGACATACCCTACGACATTTGGGAATGTATTTCTACGTTCATCCCCGAAACCCAGTTGGCAAAGCTGTTCTCCGTCAACCGAGCCTTGTATCGTGCTGCTATGAATGCCCGATACAGGTGCGTGGAATTTAATGAATTCAATGATCATAAGATGTGGCTCTTGGAGCGGATGAAGTAAGTTTGTCGAGTCCTAGATCTTTTTCGCCCAACTCTGACCTATAAGCAAATAGAGACCCTGCCGTAGCCAAACGCGTTCATACCCTTCACGTTGAAACGTGGTCCGTGTTTACTTCCCACCACCACCGAGGGTCAACTATCTATTGCTCCGACGAAATCATCCGAGCCATGATAGGCGCTGTGCGGGGAATGACAAACCTCCGCGAATTACGCATACACTGGCGGAACCATCTCTTCTCACAAGACCTCGTGCCATTCTTCACCGCAGTGTGGAACCTCAAGGCCGCTGTCCACCGCCTCGTTCTAGTAGCGCCGCTCGGGCGCTTCCGCACCCTTCTGTCCACCGCAACCCGCAAGTTCAGTCATCTAAGGGAACTCGAAATTGTAGTGCAGAAGGACAGCTTTTCTTCCACCACGGAAAATACAAACGCGGCCAATGTTCAGGAAGACATTCTTACACCTTTCATAAATAACGCGGGAGAAACGCTTCGAAGTTTGTTCATTCGGACCGCGCCCGGTGTTAATTTCGCGCCGGTCATCGCCTCGTTAGGTTACTTTCCGCATTTGCGTAAACTGGCGTTGGTAATCCATCCATCCGACAGTGGCCTGGTCGAAATGCTCAATGCACACGCAGAGACACTCACCCATTTCGAGTGGGCAATATCCTCTCTCGACCCAGATGCCATGGAGGACATCGACGATGCAGTGGAATGCCTTATCTCGAATGTTGATTTGGCGAACATGGAGACATTGGGGTTGTACATCACCCAGCGGTGCTACCCCACAGCGATCAAGTGTATATCCAAGAACTCGCAGTCTCTAACCAGACTCCATATTGATGGTCTCTGCATGCGAGATGACCAGCTTGGTAAACTGACGGGACTACTTGGGAACTCATACTTGAGAGCTTTGAGTACCACGGTGGAAACGCTCAGTTTCGATGTCATCCGGATCTTATCTCGTTTGCCATCCAGTCTGAAATCTATATGTCTTGAGTTTAGAAACATCAAGCTTCCGAAGGAGGTTTGTCATCTTGGCCTTGCATATCTTCTTTTCTAACGATATCATTTTGCAGGTATCTACACTTGTAACTCTACCGATGCTACCTGTTCACCAACTTGACGAGCTCAATATACGAGGAGCGTACCTCTCACTCTCCCAACTGAACGTTGTCCTATCTGCTTTTGCGCATTACTTCCTGCTCTCAGGCCTCGAGACCTTCAAAGTCGACGTCCAGACCATGAGCCCTCCGCTCATTGATTTGCTGGCCACTCGCCTCCCGATGATATACTCGCTATGGTTACGAATCATCGAGCTTACTGGAGAGAACGATGAGGATGAACGTTGGCTAACCAGACTGGTGAGTGACTGGTTGCTTCAATTCTGTGTTTGCCGTACTAATATTGAACTGTAGGGCGCCTTCACGACTGATATGAAAGGACGACAGTACCCTCGATGGAGACTCGAAGAGGCGAGGATCACATCAACGTATTTCGATGCCTCAAGACCAGGCGAAGCTGTGAGACTGACGGAACATAAGGAAATCGTTGAAGTCTTGGCGTTGTCGGTACCGACTATGCGATGAAATATATCAAAACTATAGTTAGAAATATATTGTCTGCCGGGTTGTGTCATATCGTAATACAGTACTACGTAAAATAGATGAGGACGGAGATGATAAACTATGTCCTTTACGCCGTATCCTTACTGGATACTTAAGGGGAAGTCAAAGACACCTGTTGGGTCGTATTGAGTTTTCAGACTCTCCAGCCTGGGATAATGCGATTTATAGTAAAGATAGTGCTCTGTACAGAGTGTATCAGTCTTCGTGCTAAAAGCTGTAGCAATCAGGACGTACCATTCTCGAGTCGATCGTCGGCATAGTTCACATAAGCTCCATAATTCCAGCCATCACCCATGGTTGTAGTGATGGCATCAGCGGCACCTGAAAGTACAATAATGAATGGGGGAGACGGAGCAGAAAATTGTAGCGACATCATACCATCTAAGAAAGTGAACCCGTCGTCAGGGTATGGCGGCTCGAAACTACTCGACGAGGCATACAGCTGGACTGTGAACAATGCGCTTCTTGTGCCAAACGCTGTTGAATTCACATCGACCGAGTTGATGAATGAGTTTCCTCCGCCGTAGAGCTCAAATTGCATGAACCAGGCCTACGTCAATGATGAGTATATCTTTAGTGTTATATATGTGAGTAGACAGACCGTATCGGAAGCGTAGCCCTCATATGCCAAATATTTCATGTAGACCTCCAAAGCTTCCAAGGTCATCGGTTGATCTTCCGGTGTCATCAACGATTTGACATAGAAAGTATCAGTTGTGTCCAGGCCCGCGGTTTTGGTGTTTACGATACCGTCACCCAAAATTGCAACGGTACTTATGTACGTTCCATTACCAGAGTAAGTTCCACTCGCCGAAGGCATAGACTGCAAGAATGGAGCTAATACGCTCTGGAGGGCGTCTAAGGACCCGCCATACCACCCGCCGGTCAGCACAAAAGAGACGCTCCCCTCGGAATCACCTTTTCCAAGATTGACTTCGGCTCCAAGTTCAGGTGGAATATCCGTCATCACGTATTCTTGGAAATTATATAGAGCGGCTGCAGCAGCGGAGTAATTCAGCTGCCAGTCGTATTCGTAGATAGTTGCGAAAGAGGGCACAGCGAATGTCTCGAAATCTACAGAGGTGATGATACCAAACGAGGACGCGGCACCTCTCATTGCCTAGAAGGATCCAAATAACCGAGTTGTTATGCGGACGCTGAGAAGTATTGGGTCACGTACCCAGAAGAGATCTGCGTTGGAGGTGCTTGACGCCGTTACAATCGTTCCATTAGCCAATACTACAGTCATTGATTGGGCTGCGTCGAGGGTAAGCCCCCACATTCTAGACGTAAATCCAAAGCCTCCGCCAGCTTGTTATGCGCATGAGATTCGGGTGCTTTTCGGTATGGAAATACCGAGAACTTACAGACGTGACCACCAATGCCCACGTAAGGACAACTTCCATGGGGGATCGCTCTTCCCTGGTTGTTCAATGCGAACGCGACATCTCCCAGCCTATTGCCTGTTTCTACTGTTGCAGTACCCGAAGATGCATGCACCTCGACCTTGGTCATATTTCTCAGGTCAATAACGAGGGAGCCATTTTTGCCTCCCAACCCATTAGCAATGTAGCTGTGCTGCAACGATGTTAGTGACGAGGTGAGTATGATAAAGAGCTTACTTACGCCTCCACTCCTTGCAACGACCTGTAGGCTTTCCGAACTACCAAGGGCGACGACGGTGGCGACCTCCTCTGACGTTGAAGGAAATGTCACTGCAACTGGAGCGAAATCGTAACGCAAGTTATCTGTGGGAACGACACTTTTCAATGTTAGGGCAAACAGAGAGAAGACAATTGCTTACATGGCCTGCTCGCAGCATCATAAGAAGAGCTGCCAGGGAAAACAGCCGTTATGTGAGCATCGGACAAACTTTCCTGCAGACCAGAACTCCCCGCAAAAGCGGAGATGGCAAGTGTTGCGATCGTAAGAAGGAAAGAAGTTGGACTACCCATTGATTGTCCTTGAAGCTCCAGTCATTATCATCACTCGTTTATATAGGCAAGATGAAACAGTATGTGCTGCGCTGCACATACTAATGGAACAAACCTGAACGGCGAAGTTGGACCTTGAAATTGTTTCAAGCTAAAAATGCTGCTATAAATGGAGGATAATAACCCGCTACTAAGGTAGCGGGAATTTCTCCAGTAAAAGCACTGCATGTCCACCCACTATTTTGCTGTTGACGTCGACCTGCATTCGTTCTGTGTATAGCGTACATTATAAGCTGTTTTCATGTCAAGCGCTACCTTTTGGTGATGGTGGACAACCGGTTCGGTACTCGGTTTTCTACCTACATTCCCGTTTACGAAGCAAGAACGGTCTCTAGTGAGCCCCGACCGCCGCCAATAGCGCTCTATGATGCCCGCCAATACATAAGTACCCCTTCTCTTGCGACTATACCTTAAGGGACAACTATGGGTGCCTAGTGGAGCCCGAAACCCCATGGTCATCCTCGGCTTCCCGCGTAATGAGTAGCATAAATTCTTTCCATTTTGTCAGATGATTTCGGACCTCTTCCTTGGACAGAATGTTAGAATTGAAGTCAGCGCTCAGTTCGATAAGGCCTCTCCATGATGAAACGCGAAAGAACCTATACACCAGCGTTCAAACCAACTATCGTCAATTCCGGAGAAAACGCCTACGGTCCGGGATCATTTCTGTTTAACGAGGAGAAAAACTTCGGAACGGTCAAAACAGTTTTACCACTATGATCAACATATGTCGGTTGCAGATATCTTTCGCCTACACCGTCACTTGATAACATATAGCATTGGTTAGGTGTTAGTCTAATAATATACGCAATGAGCCGACATCATGAGTAATAATAGACGGGCTCACAGATTGGCTACGGCTGCGTCTTTCATAGACACAGACATGATCTGTCCGAGCTGCGCCATGCAGCTTAAAGGAGCGGAAATAGCTCTTTGATTGTCATAGAAGGCGCGAATATGACCCATTGCTGTGAAGAGAAGATTCCTGTTCAGCGGCAACAACTCTCCTGATGAAGAGCAGAATATTGATACTGGTATTCGCATCATTGTTATGCCGATAGCATAGCCAGGATATCCTTCATGCGTTGGTTCAGAATAAGGCTCTTTCAAACGACTCCGGCAGTCCACAAGGCTGTAATTGTTTAGGAAAGAATCTAAATCACTCTTTTCTGGGGGGTTGTCAGACATGACGACCATGGCTAGTGCTGCGTGAGCTAAAATCGGACGTCAAATACAGAGTTCAAATTAGACGCAAGACATCGAACCTAAATGCGTGACAGTGTATGATCTTTGGGACGGAAATGTGTCTTTGAGCCGTTTGAGTATCGAGTTTGATTCCCGGTTTGAGAAGATGATTTCGTCTCGTTGGCAGAAAGGCCAGCGGGTGTCTCTGTTGCGTGGCCGGAACCCATAAGCATTCTGCTTTTAAATGAGGATTATCGGGCAATAGAATTCCCTGCTAGAGCTTACCTGGGATGCTTTCAAGACACCACTGTAGATAGTTTGTATAGATTGGTAATAAGGTTTGTCAAACGAAGGGTGTTCACCAGAATGAGGGGATATGGGACGAGGTTCAAGAGTTGATAAGATGTTGTAGACACAAGGGCTGAGGTTATGAGTCTCGCTGCCCCATATAAAGTCACAGGGCGCGGAGGAACCCAACGAGCGTGCGACTTGAGCCAGGTAGCGACTGAATACAAGTTTGATTCCCGGACCATCAAATGGAGCATGATGACTCTGGAAAAGAAATCCTACGCGAGTAATGGTATCGTCTACGGTTGACGCATGAGCGACGAAGTGCAGCCACGTTTGGTCACCAGCAGCGGATGGTATCCTCGCTTGGCCCACTTTCATCCGGAGTTCATTTAGGTCTAGGACTTGCTGGTCATGAACAACAAATGTGCGTTCTGCCCACTCCTCCACGCCATTCGGCGTCGGGGAATGGTACTCCAGATAGCCAGAGTCGTCATCGTCAACGGAAATGGTGCATGCAATGATCGGTACATGATATCGAAGCCATTTCCAAGCGTCGCGGCAGGTATCTATGATTTTTGCTCGTGCAAACGCAGATGTGAAGTCTGCGTAGACGGCAAAAAATAAGGTTTGATCTCCCTGGGCGTGGCGATTCATGATATCATGCGTTCGCTCGCCCCCAGCGAGAAGGCGAATACGAGCTTCTGCACCATCGTCAGCATGAAAGCATTTCCACTGGAACTGCTCGAGGTCGAATTTCGCTAGGAGTACGTCGTCGTCGTTCATGAAGACGAGTATCGTCAGGCCTGATTCAAGGACGTTCGCCAAAGATCATCCCTTTACTTATATAGGTAGTCATGGGAGAGGTGTGTTGATGAGACAATTTGCAATAAAGTGCAGAATCAAATTTGGACGGGGATTTCGACTGAAACTGCAATGCTCTTGAGTATTTGGGTCGAATTTTTCATCCGGACACCGGGTTATTCATTGTTGTCAGGTCCTTATCCATCGTATTGAACGTAGCATAGGCATATATCAATACCCCAAAAAGCACGAGCGGAACATTTACAGACGAGTAACCCCTTCACTACCCAAATCTCGACCTCTGAAAGCGGCGGCGTCGTTGACGGTCTCTGCGGCAGGTTGAGTTGACGTCACCGTCAACTCTGATGATGATGTCGAAGTGACGGTTTGCGTAGACGAATGTGGTTGGGTCGGACTGTTAAGCGGCGGTGCTTTGCTCGCCTCATCATCATCGTCATCGTCACCTAACATGAACGGAGCCCTCTCCTCAGTGGTCCCTTCTTCTTTCCTCTTCGGATGCTGCGGCTGCGGCTGCAGATCCGGTTGAGGTTGGGGTTGTGGATTTTGGACTTGGGACTGATGCGATATAGGATTAGTTCTCCCTGCAGTTCCGTTACGAGGCGGCCTGACGAATCCCCTTTCGAAATCTCCCGCATCCACGCCACTCTGATGGCTTACAGGGTTGGTTCTTCCGCCAAATCCACCGGTCCGTGTCCAGCCTGCACCTTGACCGCCTTCATACATCCCTGCCATCCAGTCTTTAAACAAATCTACGCCTTCCTTGAGATGGTACCGCATCGACTCAATGTTGAACTGAGGAATTTGGTCGAATCCACGTAGACGTAGAACGTATCGATTGTGAAGAGTTCCGAGGGTAAGGTAAAGCATGAGAAAGATGAGAATAATGACAATAAGAGATGCGAAGAATCCCCATGGTCCAGAGCGTTCGCCGGCAGGACAAGCAAACTGCGAGTTACGCTTCAGCGCAAGACGACGTTGAGAAACTAGTCGGGCGTACATGTGTCCGCCATTCCACAAAGAATGCACAGGCTTCGTCATCTCCTTGAGGTAACTGCACTAGCAGTCTGGGCGTTCCGGCGCCGAAAACAGAAGTATCACATATGAATTCGATGACGGTGTTGGCTGTATTCTGGGAATTGCATTGCGAACCAGAAGTCAGTACTATTCGGACAGTATTGTCGGGTGAGAGGTCCAAAGTGGTGTTGGTCTTTCTGCGACGCGTTCAGCGACGGTAACTATGTAGAGAACACTACGCACCCAAGTGAGAAATCCCCGTGGTCCCGTCTAACAACCCCGCCAACGTCCGGGTCGTCAAGACCCCAAATCTCTGACGCGACAGATCTGCACACATTGATCCTAAATTCCTTCCCACCCGGAGAGGAGAATGTGTAGTCCTTGCTGCGAAGCAGTCAATACTAGTCAAGGGAGGAATATTATTCAAAGTTTGTTTACCTGGCTTTGAGTGGGTTCAAATCGAAGTAGTCCCCATTGGAAGCATGTGTTGTACACGGCTTTTCATCTGCTGTAGCCACCGATATTGAACACGACAATGATAGTAGAAAGAGAAAAAAAGGCGCCTTCATTGAGCAATGACGATAACTAAACTCGCGACGTCCAAGCGATGCAGGGACGCAACTTCAATCGGAGATTGAATATTTAGCTGGGCGGAGATGGAATCCTCGGCGACCAATCAGATCATTTCCAAAGGACACCGCGTCCTTCCGAAACTTTACTGGTCGTCGTCGACATCAACGACGATGCTCAGCCGTCTAGCTGCCCGCTCTCGGGCCTTCGCGCCCTCATTCACCAGATGCATTTCTTCATCGCACGTTCGTCGCGCCACAGCCGCAGAAGCCGCCGAGACCAAAACTGCGTTTGATTACCACACAGTGGAGGACCTTCAGGGCATGCATGCCTCAGAAATTCTTGCAGAGGCGGATACTAGGTCGGCGACCAATATGAGGCATTTTACCGTTAACTTCGGGTGGGCTGTGTCCTGGTATTTTTGGAAACGAATGTTGACTAGCGGAATAGGCCTCAGCACCCTGCCGCCCATGGTGTGTTGCGAATGATTCTCGAGCTCAACGGCGAGGAAGTTCTCCGTGCAGACCCACATATTGGTCTTTTGCATCGAGGGACAGAGAAGCTAATTGAATACAAGACATACATCCAAGCGCTACCTTATTTCGACCGGCTGGACTATGTCTCCATGAGTAGGTCTCTCTTTTCATTCTATTGTGCGGAAGTTGACCTTGCCACCAGTGACAAACGAATTGTGTTACTCGTTGGCTGTCGAGAAATTGTTGAATATCGAAGTGCCGGACCGTGCCAAATGGATACGCACATTATTTGGAGAAATCACGAGGATCTTAAACCGTGTGTTTTATAGATGGAAATGTCTTTGTCTATGCTTATCTTCGTGATAGATCTCATGGCTATTCTTACGCACGCTATGGACGTTGGTGCCCTAACGCCTTTCCTTTGGGGTTTCGAGGAGCGAGAGAAACTTATGGAAGTAAGTCTGATTGGCCTCACTTTCTCAGTACACATGGGGTAACGTTTGTTTATAAGTTCTATGAGCGGGTTTCTGGCGCACGTCTTCATAGTGCCTACGTTCGTCCGGGGGGTGTAGCTTTTGACCTCCCTCACGGACTATTGGACGACATCTTCAAATGGGCCACCCAGTTTGGATCAAGGGTAGATGAAGTAGAAGAGGTAAGAATATAAATGTTGCTAGTATCCCTTTTTCACTCCTGTTAGGTTCTTACTGGAAACCGTATCTGGAAAGAGCGTACCATCGGAGTCGGCGTTGTTAACGCTGATGATGCTCTGAACTACAGCTTTAGTGGTGTCATGTTGAGGGGCAGCGGCGTGAAATGGGATCTCAGAAAGGCATCACCCTATGACAAGTATGACGAAGTAAGCAGGTCCTCTCTACCGCAAATGATATGTACTGACAACTACAGGTTGAATTCGACATCCCGGTGGGCCAGCATGGGGACTGTTATGATAGATATCTTTGCCGTGTGCAAGAAATGCGGGAGAGTTTGAGTATCATCAACCAGGCAAGTATCCATTTCTTCATGACTCTCAAGGCGTTCACTCATGTTGTTTGCCACAGTGCTTGAATAAAATTACGCCCGGCGCATTCAAGGTCGATGATCACAAACTCGTGCCACCTCCAAGAGCAAGTATGAAGGAGAGCATGGAGAGTTTAATCCATCATTTCAAGGTCATCCTACATGTTCTCCGCAATTTGCTGCTTAACTGAGGAACGTGTTGCTTAGATCTTCTCTGAGGGATATTCTGTGCCACCTGGCGAAACCTACAGTGCCATCGAGGCCCCCAAAGGAGAGATGGGTGTATACTTGGTTTCGTACGTCGGTTTTCTTGTTATTCTGACCCGTTTACTGTGCTGATCGATTGATATTAATAAGGGATGGAACGAACAGACCCTATCGTTGCTCAATCAGAGCACCCGGTTTCGCACATTTGGCTGGGAGTGATTTCATTATGCGACATGTGGGTCGTTTCCTAAGCTATGTGGACATCGCTAAGATTTCTTTCTAGCACATGCTAGCAGACGTTGTAGCTATCATCGGAACTATGGATTTGGTGTTTGGAGAGGTTGATCGATAGGACATAGCGATTCACCTGGCGCCGACACCGCAAATGTATACGAGGTGCGGATGTAGAATAAATCTTATTACTTCTTTCTCCTCCGCGATTATTGGGGTTCCCTTGAGGTTCATCGGGTGAAGGCTTCCGTGTCGGACCCTTGGTTTTGGTATGACGTCGTCACTTGACCGCGTCTCATGCCATTCGTCCGAGGTTTATCCGATGAAATGTCGTTCGTGAGCACAGATCCCACGTTAGTTTGAAACACCCCACGATAACCATGACTTTCAATGTTGATGAAACACTACTAAAACTCACCCTCAATGACAAAGTCAAGCTTCTGACAGGACTGGTCAGTCGTGAATTCATTCATATCGACTTCAATATTGATTCTTGTAGGGATGGTGGCATACTGAAGCGATTCCACATGCAAACATTGAGTCAATGAGAATGAGCGATGGTAGGCGGTTCATGTTTATATTCTATGTATCGAGACCGACCGAAATTTCGATATTGTTCCTTAGGTCCCAATGGCGTTCGTGGTACTCAGTGTCGGTAATTACTCACCGTCGATTAATTAGTTCTAACGGATCATCAGACTTCAATGGCGTGCCGTCGAGCTGCTTTCCTTCGTCCACCGGCCTCGGATCATCCTTCGACCTGGAGCTTGCATACAAGATCGGTGAAGCCCTTGGAGACGAGTGTCGCGCCAAGAGCCAGTTCCCTCGCCCAAAAGATTTGACTGTGAAATAATGTTGCCCTACAGGCTGCCACATACTCCTTGCACCAACTGTCAACACCCAACGTTCTCCACTTGGTGGAAGGGGTTTCGAGTCGTTTTCTGAGGACGGCGTCTTGAACGGGGAAATCGCTGCTGCGTATATAAACGGTTTACAATCGAAAGGCGTTAGTGCTACCATCAAGCACTATGTCGCCAACGATCAAGAGCATGAGAGATTTTCTGTGAGCAGTACGTCGATAATCCGCTACTGAATCACCAATCTCACGCTGAATGATGGGATAGGCGAAGTGAGCGAGCGAGCTCTCCGAGAAATCTATCTTAAGCCTTTCCAAATTGCGATTCGCAAATCTGACCCGTGGGCCCTTATGTCATCGTACGCTCAGTTTCGACATGTAAACGTACAATCCTCATCAGAACCCCTAGATACAATCGTGTCAATGGCCTTCATGTTTCTGAAGATAAACGTCTGCTTGACGACATACTAAGGAAGGTGTGTACAATCGTTCACGGCAACTTATGACATGTATCTAATTTATATACAGGAATGGGGATACAAGGGTATGGATTCAGAGACAGCCGACATTTTGAAGCTGAGCCACAATACGTAGGCTTAATTATGAGCGACTGGACCGGTGTTTACAGCACTGTTGAAAGCATCAAGGCAGGAGTTGATCTGGAAATGCCGTGAGTTCCTGCTGTTCTAACGTATCCTTGCTTGCTTAGTCCGTTGAAAAGCGGTCCAAGCGTTGTTCGCGGCCCAGCCGTTCTTCGCGCGATTCAAGCAGGAAAACTTGTTGACAACGATATCAATGATCGGGTCCGAAAGGTGATGCCCTTCCCCTGAGCAAGACCGTCCCATCAGTGCTCACACCGGCTTACAGGTTCTCGAACTCCTGCGCAAGGCTCATAATTCAGGTATCTCGTTTAATGGCCTAGAGGAAGGCGTCGACACACCGGAGTTACGCAAACTCCTGCGACGAGCCGCGGCTGATTCAGTAGTGCTCCTGAAGAACAAGGCTGGTCTCCTTCCTTTAAGCGCTCCAACATCCATCGCGGTAATAGGGCCTAACGCGAAAACAGCCATGACTTCTGGAGGCGGCTCGGCGCAGTTGTTGTCTACTTATACTGTCAGCCCCCTTCAGGGTATCATTGAGGCGGCGAAAGCCGTAAATGCGCAAGTTAATTATACAGTTGGCGCCACATCTCATAAATTGCTGCCTTTGTTGGATGCATCCATCAAACAGCAGGACGGCACGCCTGGGGCCCTCTTGGAATTCTGGAATGAACCTCCCACGCCTGACTTCATATCACCACAAGCCGACCTGAATTCGTCATTGAAGCAGCCCGTATGGGATACAAAGACTTCGGTTTCTAATTGTATCCTCCTTGATGGTGTGGTAAGGCTATCAGTTCCAATACTTGCAAATAAATGCCTAATGTGTGTGTGCTGCCTTTTCAGAAAGCAGAGAAGGTCAGCACAAGTTGCTGGACCCGCGTAAGGATGTATAATCACTTCCTGCTGCATCATCTCACCCCTTTTCTAGTACTCCACGACTTTTATTCCTGACGAATCCGGTGACTGGGAGTTTGGCATGAACGTTTCTGGAATCGGAAATATGTTCATTGACAAAAAAATCGTAATCGACCAGAGCACCAAGACAGAGTATTCAAAGTCCTTCTTTGGTGCAGGATCGACAGAAGTTAGGGCCATCGTTGAAGGAATGAAAGCTGGTCAGGAGTATGGACTTGAAGTTCGTCTGAGCAATGTCGAGTTCATTGCAAGGGGACCTCCGTTCCCTTATTGGGGCGGTTTCCGGTTAGGTGGTATACGTGTTGTTGGAGGGCAGGAAGCCATTCAGGAGGCCGAGGCGTTAGCCAGGGCTTCGGATGGTCAGTCAGTTTCGCGTCAGGTTTCTAAAAGTGACTCATCGGTATCTTTCTCTGGATAGTTGTTATTCTTTTGATCGGCCTCAATCATGAGTGTGTATTTCTTCAGCTTCAGTTGCGTCGGTACTGACTTGGGTTGAAGCTGGGAAAGCGAAGGTTTCGACCGGGATCACATGAAGTGCGCACACAATTTTGGCTTCATCACTGTTCAATTTGACTTAAGATATATGTCTAGATTGCCGGGATTGACGAACGATTTGGTCTCTAAAGTTCTACAAGCCAACCCGAGAACTGTCGTTGTGAATCAGTCAGGGACACCCGTAGAGATGCCTTGGATTGACGACGCCGATACTGTGCTCCAGGTACGAATATCGTAGCCTCAGTCATTCGTGGTCATATATGATGGCTCGTTGCACAGGCCTTCTATGGGGGTAATGAATTGGGCAACGGCTTAGCTGACGTGCTATTTGGAAAAGTCAATCCCTCAGCCAAATTGTCGCTTACATTCCCGTAAGTGTGCACTCGGTCTGATTGTCAATTTGCTGATCAGGATTTTCTCCTAGCAAACGTCTTGAGGATAATCCATCTTATCCTTCGTTTGGCAACAAGTGCCAGGAACATGGGAAAGTCTTGTACAACGAGGGTATCTTTGTTGGATACCGAGGATATGAGATCAAGAAGACCGCGCCTCTTTTCCCGTTCGGCTTCGGCCTATCGTACTCAAAGTTTGACTATTCTGATCTGAGCTGTTCAGAAATATCTCCCGACGGGAAATTTAGCGTACAATTCAAGATCACGAACTCCAGTGGCATTGACGGACGGGAGGTCGCGCAAATATACATCTCTGATGTGGAAAGCTCTTTGCCTCGTCCAGCGAAGGAGCTCAAGGGGTTTGTAAAGGAAATGTTGAAAGCAGGAGAAACCAAGGTTATAATTTTTTCCCTTGACAGAGATGCATTGGGATACTATGACGACCGCAAATCGAGTTGGATAGCTGAGAAGGGCGAATTTGTTGTGCTCGTGGGACCGTCGTCGGCAGATGTCAGGATGGAAAGAAGCATTGAATTGAAGAACACCTTCAGCTGGGTGGGACTGTAGGCTGAATATGTATCCTGACAAGGCTACTTATAATGCGGTGCCCGTACTCATGTTAAATATAGCTCTTTTACTTCGCAGATTTACGAAGTTACCGGTCCAAAGCCGGAGCGAATCGGTGCCGGCCTGATTGAGTGCACGGTAGCCGAGTTGATATTTTCGCATATTCATGCAATTTTGCTGTCGTATATTTCTTATCTGCAACTTCCAGGTTTCTACCGTCTTTGCTCCTGCGATCAACCGTAAAATATTCGAATCCCCAGGCCGATTGCTCGTTGCAACTAGCTACAGCTTGTCCTCTTGCTATTAGGTCCGAGTCCGGTATTGTGGAACTTCCCCATCGCCGACCTAACAAAAATTGATCGACATTTTCGGAGAAACCTTGAGAGAGCTGCAGCTGGGTTCCACGCCATTGCGACTTTATTCCGAAGTCGCGCCGAGCTCGAGTCCCTCGAACCAGAGTTGTCCGTCTTTTGGCATCAGTCTGCTTCCTAGCTCTTTCGGGACAGGAATCAAAAATTCTAGACGGAACGGCCACTTACTATCCCATGATGAAATTGCTGCATGGCGACTGCAGGAACGGTGAATTTTGCGTGGCTATATCTCTCCTTTCACTCAAAAGAATATTTCTATAGAATAAAGTTTTCCCAAAGTGGCCTGTGCTTTGATCTGGTTTGATTTCTCAATACCCCGATGGAGGTGTAACCAAGCCTCAAGAGTTCCCGGGACCTTTACCTTCTTCGCGACACTCGTGTGTTCCAGGGACTTCTCCGTTGCAGGTCCCTGGACTAGAATATAAAGAATCATTCAATTCACGATACCGTCTTTCTTGCCCCGCTCATCATGTCTGAGGAGAAAAACCATAAAGACTCTCACGAAGACGATTCCAAGGAGACACCCCCGTCTCCAAGCGCACTTGTCCCGAATGACGTCTCTCACAGCACGAAGATCCTTGAAGTCACCAATACAGATCTTGCGTTGGCTCTTTCCACCGGTCCGCCGTTGAATCCAAGGAGCTGGACATCCATCAAGCTTTACTTGTGCCTTATGGTCGTGTTCATGGGAAGTATGGCGAATGGCTTTGACGGGCAAGGTGCGGCATTTTACAATAGATCGGAGTTTCGCTTCTCATCATGAGGGCCATTTGGCAGTCATGAGCGCCGTTAATGGAATGCAGTACGAATTCTTATCAAGTTCCGGATTGATACAAAACCGACCATAAACCACAGACAGTATCTCAACTACTTCGGTATTGACGGTCAAGATGCTGGTGGAGGCGTCGGTACGGTGACCGCGATTATCTTTGGTATTGTGGGTATTTTAAAATATCTGCCATTGGGCGAGGTTTCTCATTTCATTCTACAGTATTCAATAGGTGAAAAGAGTATCTGACTCCTGTAAGGCCCCAAACTAATGAGGTCTAATGTGTAAAGGAAGCATTGTGGGGGTTGCGCTCGCTGGTCCAACTACCGACTATTTTGGACGTCGAGGAGGCATGGTATGTTTCTGGTTGGTTTCGTAACATGATGCTCAAGGCGTATCAGTTCACTGGAGCCGTCATTATAATAATTGGTCAGACTCTGATGTGTTCACTGGCAGATAATTCGTCTAATTTCGAGGCTTTATTCAAAAAATAGGTGCTGTTGTGATTACTGTGTCCAAGACTCAGGACTACCTTCTGGCTGGTAGATTTGTTCTCGGGTTTGGAGTTTCTTTCGCTACAACAGCAGCACCTTCATATGTTGTCGAGATGTCTCCTCCACAATGGCGCGGTCGTTTGACAGGATTGTATGTCAATGTACCGGTGATTCAATTGCGTTGCTGAAGTCATTTTTTAGATACAACAGTATGTCAAAATCTCGATCACGTTGTTCCAGTATCTCAGAAACTTAATCATCCAGCCTTTTATTATACTGGTTCCATCTTGTGCAGTAAGTCCCTCTACCGATCATTCCCATAATTTACACGCTCCTCGTTCTGCGTAGCCGGTGTTTCAATCGCAACTGGCCGTCTTAGTACCACAACATCGTGGCGAACACCTTTGGCTATGCAGCTCATACCTTCCGGAATTCTCGCTATTTTCTCGCTGTTCTTGCCTGAGGTGACTGCCCGATATATATTTTCTCGCATTCCAAAAACTGACTTACGTTTGTTTTCTACAAGTCACCTCGATGGTTGATGGCTGTCGGTCGCAAAGAAGAAGCACAAACAATCCTTGCTAAGTATCACGGTAATGGAGACGTTAACGCACCTTTAGTGCAGTTAGAAATGAGGGAATTCGAGGAATCTATAAAAACGGATGGCTCCGACAAGCGATGGTATGTTTCATCAATGCAAACATTTCGCTTGAATAAAAAACTGGTTCATTGTAGGTGGGACTACTCTGAACTAGTCAACACGCACAATGCCCGATACCGTACATTTATGATGCTCCTAATGGGATTCTTTGGACAGTGGTCTGGAAATGGTCTGGGGTACGCAAATTTCTCTACTTTGTTCGAATATACTCATCTTGGACCGCATTTGAAGGTATTTCCTTACTATTTTGTTCAAGAACGCAGGAGCGAACACGCAAGAGCGACGTCTGATTTTGAATTTTGTCAACACACTTGTCTCGGCTGCAGGCGCGCTTATTGGAACGTCTCTAACTGATCACGGTCCGTGCATCTTGACGATCATCAGGCTACACATGCAGATTCATATATCGTAGTTGGGAGACGTACGATGTGGTTCTGGGGAACTCTCGGTAGCGCGGGCATGCTTGCAATTGTGACTGGTGCGCAGCGAATCATCCGTTCTAGAACATTCCTGACTTTCATCCAGGTTGCACTGCAAAATGGGGATCAGAAGGAAGTAACCCGGCGGGTTCCAATGCGGCTATCGCGTTCATATGTAGGCTTTTTTGTTCCACTTGATGGTTGTGTCCTATTAACAACTGATCTCGTAGTTCTGTTTGGCTTCGTGTACAGCTTGGCATATACGCCGTTACAAGCTCTGTATCCTTCAGAATGTCTTGCATACAACTCTCGGTAGGTATCCGGTTGATCACAACAGAACGGTTCAGTGGTGCTGATGCGGTTATCACTGCGCAGAGCGAAAGGCATGGCAATGTCAGTTGCTCCTCGAATCCCCTTTATGAACTTCTAATAACTCCAGTGTGTCTCCAGGTACTCATTCGCTGTGAGTTGTGCAGGCTTCGTCAACACCTATGCGGGTCCCATTGCTTTGAATAACATACAATGGAAGGTTTGTGAACCCTAACCAGTGACCCTCGGGCACCGTTGATGACCACAATACTACAGTATTATATCGTCTATGTGGTTTGGGATCTTTTCGAATGTTTGATCATCTTTTTCTTTGCTGTTGAAACGAAAGGGCGTACTCTGTAAGTAGTGCACAGTACTTGAATCTCCACCGGGTAGCTGACACTTCCTTTTGAAACAGCGAAGAGCTGAACGAGATATTTGATGTGCGTCGCGCGAGATTGAATAGCGCTTCTTATTACAACTGACCTGTTCTTAGGACCCCCACCCAGTGAAAGCGTCAATCAGTAAGAAGAAAGTTGCCGTCATGGAGAAGGAAGGTCAGGTCCAGATGGTGGCTGTTCAACCAAGCGGTGATCAAGTGTAATTTTATGCTGTATCTTTGCGTTGGCGGCTATTGATTAATAATAGTGTACGGGGACAAATGCCCATGTAGCCCTGAACCCTGTAAACGAATGTTTTAGATTCCAACGAGTCTGTTACGCTAAATTGTTACGAGATCATTCTTGCTTCAGGTGGCTCGGCCCCGAAGTAACACCTATTTAAAGTACGGTCAGATCTCTTTATCTGGGTTGTGCTGACAACGGTAACCTGACAGGAGGCTCAGCTGAAAAAATTAGGGAACGAGAACGTACATGGAGCTTGAAGGAGTCATGCACTCATGGCCATGACACTTCGACTCGGACCTACTTCACTAAGTTAGTGTGGGGCCACCAGGAAGGAGCACCAATTTGAATTTCAAACAGATCGTCGTGAGCCACGGAGATTACATAGCCTGATCACGATCGTTTGAGATGGGAATAAAAGACTCAAAGCGTGGGTAGGGATCTTTGACACTTAATTCTCTCTCTTTCAGTTCTCTCCCTCTTCGACCTTCGTTTGTTGTTATTACTGCCATGATTTGGCCGTCATTATTCATACTTTCCTCTCTCCCGTTCATACACGCAGCCGAGGGTGATGCTAGCTGCGATGAAAAGGTCGCTACGACATGGTTTGCTGGATGGCATGCCAAAGACGGCTTCAATGTTAGCGATGTGCCATGGTCCAAATATACCGAAGTGACCTTCGCATTTGCGTGAGTCTCAAATGCACATCCCGTGGACCAGAGTCTGACCGAAAACGTAGCGAAACGACGCCAGACGTCAATACACTCTCTTTTAACGTCTCTGGGATAGACACGGAAGAAGTGCTTGTTCAACTTGTAGCCACGGCGCATGAGAACGTGAGACACCTTTCAGCTCTATATTTTTAGCTAAAATTATGATGGTTTCATAGGATGTTGATGCCAAAGTCTCAGTCGGAGGATGGACAGGTTCCCTGTATTGGTCTGACAATGTCGGGTCAGCGGAGAATCGCACAGCATGGATTAAAACCCTCACCAACCTTGTGTCCAAATATGACCTCGACGGGCTTGACTTTGAGTGAGCCAGTTCAGACTTCTCGGGCGTACTATCCGACTAATATTTCGTTTAGCTGGGAATATCCTGGGAAACAAGGTATTGGCTGCAATACCCTAAGCACCAATGACACAGAAAACTTCCTCGCATTCCTCAAGGAACTCCGAGAAGACCCTGTTGGCGCCAACCTCACACTCTCAGCAGCGGCGTCGATTGCCCCATTCACCGGTGCCAACGGAACAGCCCTGACCGATGTATCAGAGTTTGCCGAATACCTGGACTACGTCGCCATTATGAATTACGACATCTGGGGATCCTGGAGTGCCACGGTCGGGCCAAACGCTCCCCTCAACGATTCCTGCGCGGACGCAGCTAATCAAGCAGGCTCTGCTGTGTCTGCAGTAACAAAATGGACTGAGGCTGGTTTCCCTAGTGATCAGCTCCTCCTCGGTGTCGCCGCATACGGACACAGTTTCAGCGTGCCGCAAGCCGGAGCGTTTACAAACGGTTCTGACACGCTGGCACTCTATGCAAGTTTCAACTCTTCTGTACATCCTGCGGGTGATGCTTGGGATGATCAAGCCGGTGTCGATGTCTGTGGTGCTGCTACAACAGCCGGTGGATCAATCGACTTCTGGGGATTGGTCGAACAAGGATATCTCACAGAGAACGGTGACGCCGCTGATGGTGTTCCTTACGTGTTTGATAACTGCAGTCAGACGGTGAGAAAGACTCCTGCTTATCATGTCTGTTACCTTGATCTCATATGTTTTGTACGCCAGCCTTTCATCTATAACACCACAACCGAGGTTATGATATCCTATGACAACGCTGAGTCCTTTGCGGCCAAAGGACAATTCATTACTGATATGGGTCTTGCTGGATTTGCAATGTGGGAAACAGGAGGAGATTATAAGACTATTCTCTTGGCTGCCATTCGTGCGAAAGTCTTCGCGTAGCGACGTTGACGCCGCCGTTCGCTCTACATATGATAATAGTTAAATTATAGGATTCCTCTAGTCCAGACATGGGCATTAAAGATACGGCTATACGTGGCCTAACAGATCATTACTTTGCAAGATCGAAACCAGTAACATGAAGCACTGTAGCGAACTGAAAGAGCAGATCAGCACGCATCTAGCCTCAGAGACGATGAGATAATACCTGAACTTTAGCTATTGCCTTTAATTGTTCGAGATCGTATCCCTCTCGGTCACTCAGGTCACCTAGAAGCGAAATATTTAGACAGGAGTTGGCAGATGTGATGAAGATACATACCGCTATTGTGGTACATGGGGTCAATAACTTCGGTCTGGTCAATCACAGGCTAACATGTATGAAACTGACATGACATACTTGGTCCTGCTCGCTCGAACACTTGCGTGGCTGGAAATCCTTGCTCATGAAAGGACTACAATAACAGTTCATGAATTCCCACGACATTAGGCAGAAAAAAATCATACTTGATGGTCACTGCAGCAAGCCTACGAACCGTTGTTAATAAGCTGTACAGAGTTCATCAAGAGACAAACATACTGAGGTGTATCCAACAACCAGTTCCGGGCTGTAGATCCCAGCAATGGTAGAAACAAGGTCTCCAACTTCTGGGCTACCAATACTGATCATTCCTGTTAGTACTAAAAACACTCGGTCGCAGGTATAAGACACCGACGTTTTGGGAAGACCCAATTGAGCGGGCTCATCAAAAGCATGATACGCAATCATGTCTGCTTGTATCACGAGTGTGAGATTCGACCCAGCATCCCTCAATTCACCTAGAGCATGGCATGTAAAAATGAAAACCGCACAATAGGTACCCAGGCTCACGGGAGTAAGCTCTGGAGCCTAGTAAGCCTTGCTCCTCTCCAGCGAACAAGACGAGTTCGACGTTAGCATGGAACTTGATGCCTTTCGCTCCAATAGCGCGCGCGATGGAGAGAATCCCTGTGGTACCCGAGCCATCGTCATCCCCCCCAGGCGCGCGGGTGCTGCCAAAGGATCCACGGCTGTCGTAGTGGGCGCTGATGAGCACCGTTTCAGACGTGTTCACAATAGCTTCATATCGACTGAGAATAATGTGTTAGTGGCCGTGCAACAAAATCTCATGGACTCACCATACGACGTTGGGCGCGAAACCCGAGAGGAAAGGCTTCAGTTCGCAAATAGCGCCGGTATCCTCAATCCGATCCTTCAGCCACGACGCTACTGTTCGCGATCCCTCAGCAAAGGAGTGCCGTGAAATAATTCCTGACTTCCCGTCTTCTCCGGTGAGAAAGCGGATGTCGTTCTTCATCTGTGCGACAGACAGGCTGTTGACCAGAGACGCAATGACGGGATCGAATTCGACAACCGTGATCACATCCTGAATACGCTGCGTAGCATACGAAGGGACAGGGATGTAGTCAACAGGCGACGTTGGCAGGATAGTCGATTTCCAGAACCGTGGAACAAGCGTGTCAATGATGCGCGCCTTATCGTGGCTGACTGACAGCAATGCAGCTTGGGGAGACCGATAGAGAAATTCGTACTGAATCTCCTGTTCTCTGTCTGTAAGGACATCTTGTTCGTGGTCCTCTAGAGCCTGGTCCAATCCACGGTAAGGCTGGCGAGACGGCAACGATAGCCTCTCCAGAAAACTATCCAGTCCACTCCCTAGCGAAACCACCTGAGATTTCAAGGTCTCATCCACCGACTCTTCCTCAACCCACACAAGTTGCTGAATTGGGTGAAACGCGCCGGATATCGTGGCAGACTCTGCAGTAAAGTCTGATAACCAATTGTCTATGCATGCTTGCTCAGGAGCGTATACGGCCTGATACGCTGCTCCATCACGATATGTACCATAGTAAGATGTTGATAAACAAGATTCTCCCTGAAAGATGGCACTGTCGAAGGGAGTGATAAGGAGCAGAGCCAGCGGTATGGCGTTCATGGTGAAGATACCGTGGGAAAGACGCGGTAGCTGCCGGCAAGCGATCCGGTACTGATCTCGATCACATGCCTCTCTTAATTACAATCCCGTTCTGCATACCTCGACGGTAGCCTACATGGATTTTTTCGACAAGCGCAACGTCGATAATCGGGATAGACGAGCATCTGAAGACTCTGCAGACCCTCCTGTACCGCCAGCCCCTCCGCCAGCTGAGCATCATGAAGGCATATTGGGCAGAATCAGTCACGCGCTGGGTAGTGACCAGGACTCATCAGCCCAACCGGTTGTAGCACCTCCACCACCACAGCCGGCGCCAGAATCCCACGAGGGTATATTGCACAAACTAGGGGATGCGCTCAGAGGGGTGCATGATACCCCAGCGCCCGTCCCCGCTACCCAGCCACCTCCGGAGCCCAAACATCAAAGTTTCCTCCACAGAATTGTAGGTGATTATCACGAGGAAGTCTACCAGGCCCCTTCCACCCAACCTCCTACCGTGAAAGAGGGTTTCATGGATAGGCTCACGGACAAGTTAACTGGGAAGGACCACGATGTGCCTGGACCTGTAGCTGCTGTACCTCCGCCAGTTCCAGAGAGCCACGGTCTTTTTCACAATATCAGTAGCAATTTACGTGGTCAGACCACAGCTAATGTGCCACCGTCGCCAACCAAGCCAGAACACGAACATGTCATGGAGAAAATCCACGATGCATTCAAGAGCGATGAAGCGAAGGCGGCCGAGAGGCGAGCCAAGGAGGAGGCTGAGCGAAAGAAACAGGAAGAGGCGGAGAGGGCCACCCATCATAACATCTTTGGCAAAATTGGAGACGCGCTTCACCGTGACGAGAGGGTTCCCCCATCTCCAGAACAGAGCCACAGTGTCTTTGACAAAATCGGGGCGCATATGTTACATGAAGAACTACCCAAGCCTGAGGAGCAAGGATTAAAAGCAAAAGTTACTGCGGCTCTCGGCGGAGGGGCCCAGGCTGAAGCTCATGAAGGTCAGTCATTATTGGTTTACCCAAAATAAATCTTATACACGGATTTTCAGATCACCTGGACAAAGGCTAGGAGCTTCCAAAAATATCATGTACTGTCACTGAACATCTTCTAGCCATTGACTTTGTACAGCAACACATTCTCCGGCAAGGAACCCAATCTCACGAATCGTTCTGGGAACAAATGAAGGACGAGCAGATCGCAAACATGATTCGAAAGCAGTACAAGGAAATGACGGGACACGAGTTCCTACCTTCACACAAGACCGCATGATTCTATTACACCATGGTAGTGGATGTATGGATGCATAAGCTGTACAGTATGATAATTAGGAGATTACAGAGGGTTAAATGCCATGTCCAATTTTATGCGAGAGAGGGGATGTGTTTGTCAATTTAGATGACAGAGTACGGCCTGTAACTCCACTGATTGCGCCTTTTCAGCTTCGCCATGACCTGCTTCGGCTTCAGCTGATAGAAGAACGTGCTCACGGTTGCCGAGGCCGTCGAACGTTTGGATAAGAGCGGATGTGAATCATGATGGCTATCGTCAATTATGTTGTATGAGACCGCTCCGATAGTTGACGCGTCACGATGAATATGCTGCGACGAGGGTAAGCGAAACTGGCTGTGACGATAGGTAAAATGGTATACTACCTTTGACCATGCCTCAATAGTTGGGAAATTCGCGTCGCATTGTGGACAGTGAAGAAGGGGTGCAGGTCGCTGGATGCTCTGTGAGCTCGCGAATCATGAAGAAAAGTCTATTCCACGCACCGACACTTGAATAGTTTTTATACTTCGGTTGAGATTCGCTAAACTAGGATGCCACTGATCCCAGTGCCTCTCCAGCTCCTCATCATTTGCGCACTGAAGGTGACATACAATGCAATCCATCGTGGTCCTGGCCGTGTGATAGAGAGAGAGAAATTGTACTAGATGTTTAAATATTAAATGATCTTTAATAAGCGGCCTAGGATGCCCGGCGCTTTTATCGGTCCTCTTTGCCTCCGTTTCTCATGTCAGAAAAAGAACATCGTATGATGTCTAACCACGGACCTTCCTTCTGAGGAAAGCCTAAGGAGATTTAGTGGATTTTTGTAATGGAACCTGGGTCTAAACCTAATAGGAGGCGGACTAGATGCCAACGATATCAGATGAGATTCTCTTGTTGTACGGTACTTTATGATTGGACTCACCAATACAACTGGTAATCCGATTTTCCTTCGACGAACCCTATTGCGGAGCAGAACAAGAACATGACGGAAACAAGCTTCAGCCGAACTCCACTTCATCTTGAAGACTCGAACTCTGGCCGAAGAACAACGATTGTGATCTATGCTAACTACAGTATACGGTGAAATGGCGATGAGAGACGGGCGTTCCAAATGTGCTCGAAACACAGCCTGAGGTATTTACAGTGAACAAGAGTGAAAGAAAAAGAGGCGTGATGAAGGATTTCTTTAATGTCGTATCGGAATCCAGTAGCGGCAGTTGCCGGGTCCCCGATTCTTTCCCTTGGGCAAAGAAACGGCATGCTATATATCCGCTTGTTCAAGCTGCTCAATACAGTGGTAGTGCAAAAAGCTCGCATTTTGCACAATCTAAATCTAATCTCAGTGTGCTATTTTCCTCCGTTCAAGACCCATGTTAAGATTGCAAATAACAACAAATTTTCTGGCATTAAAATCGAACTCATTGATGAGTCGTCATTTCACACTAGAGGCCCCGAGGAAGGTGAACTTGTAACTCAGTTTGCCATCTAGTATGCGAGGGATCACAAGTTGGTGGGTATTTGAACGGCATCTTATAACTACACACCCTACGCACCTGACACGTTCGTCGTCTCGAGAAAGAAAATCATATCTCTAGTACTGTGCACCTTGTGCCGTAAAAAGGTCGATTAGTCCACAATAAACACATCACAACGTTCATCAAATTGCGACATGACAGTAAATATCTGACCGTGAATGGGTATGCACTTTCCGAAAACCAGACACAACAGTCAGCACACATTACTTGCTGTAGCGAAATGTTCTGATTTGCAGGCTCGTATCAACGCTGAATTCTCTAGTTATATCAAATATACATGATGTAACATGCCGTCGGCGGGACGACTCTGGTTGATTTTGGACAATTGTGGTGTGACACAGCCACATAGATCCACCCGTTCTGACACAACTCCCTCACAACGATGGCATTCTGGTCCTAGGTGCTAGTGGCGGGAGCCATATTAGACCCGTGCCTTTCTCTACTGAGCACCATCGTAAACTTGCCTAAACTGACTATGGGATCTCCCGGCCTTCTGGAATGCTGTCCGGAAGACTTTACGCTCTCGGTAATGCTGGATTTGTCGGTTATGGGTCGCAGCAGAACAGGTAGTCGACGTGGTGATGTACGCTGCAATGCCTGACATTGGATTTGGTGCGTACTGGATATATGTACTATGTTTACCTCTGACTTAACCCCACATGGGTCTGCGTAGTGGTATCCTCCTTGCCAAGATCGTGACTGCTTCCTGTCATCTCCATGATCTCCTTGCCTGGCGGGTCCCCGATATTCTCCTCGCCAAAGTTCGTAACGTACTTCGCCTTGCCCATAATTGTCTTCATGAATCCCCTCCGACTGCCTATCACATCGCCCTAGTCCGCTTCGTATTTGTCAGTTTGTGGGCCCTGACGATGAGACGAACACGTCAAGCTTTGGATGGCCACACCGGAATGCTACAGAGATTATCGACCTCTTGCGAATAACGTCTGCACACCCATCCGTTCGCTGTTTTCACAGTATTGACCCAGAATTCGGTGGTCCTCAGTGGGGATTGCAGGTGCATCTAGACTTCTTACCACTAACAATGACTTGATTCTGACCCCGTAAGGACACACAAACGGTTTGAGGAATGAAGCTAACCATCGTAACATAACGGTTAACTGAACAGAGGTCTGGTCAACGTGTCTAACGCGTCTGGCAAACTAGACGCGTTCTCCAACAACACGTACAACACTAAGTCCGTCCTATCTGTGTCTGGATGTTGAAGCGTAGTAGAAAGCACCGTTCCACCATCTTGTTCTCTGTGACGAAGTCTTGTACGTGTTTGACTAACCCGATGATTGAAGTTATGACAGTGCTCGCACGCTGTAGGTCTTATGGGCTTGAAACGCTTCAGTCACGTCATCTAGTTCAATATATATCATTAGTACCCATTGCCACCTCATAATGAGAGCATCTTACCTTCGATAAAACAGTTGAGATCTATTATTTCTAAGTTATCGGGTTTGTTCAGTGTCAAGATGAGCAGGATAACAACTAATACATACTTACTATATTAACGCTACGTTGCAGCAAGAGCTTCGATACATGACTAGTCAGTAAGCAAACAGAGATACAATACCATGCCCATTGACCGCCACAACAATCAATCCCATGCTAACCATCTCAATCTGCGTCCAGAGAAGTAAACTAAATGAAAGAGTGTCAGCAAAGCCAGCGAAAACACAAAAACAAGGCTTCGACCTGCCCATGCACAGCCCAAGCCAGCAGCCGCTCCCGCCAAGTTTTTGCAGAACCTGTTTGTTTAACTGAATCCTAGGATGTTGGAACAAATGGGCACGAGCGAAATTGATATCCGTACTGTCAAACGTTACGGAGGGAGGGAAGGGTGGTTCACACTGATGGACCTAGATTGTAGATACATGCAAGTTGAGCAGAGAGAGAGGTAGCGCATGTGGGCTGAGACTCACCTTCTCTCGCTAATCCACTATCACTATCACTGTTCCTCGCCGTTGAGCTTGAAATCGTCACTTCACGTTCAAACAGCATAGAGGGTCTTCATGTACGTCTTTGTGGGAGGGAAACTGTACTCGGAACAACGGACCGATGTGGCAGTGTCGTACGTGGGTGGCTTGCCAAAAATCAACCGGAGTCTTCCCGCCGACGACATGTAACAGGAAACCTCGTTAAAGATAAACGAATGCATAATACCGCAACGGAACCAGGACAACGCAGAGCGATAGCACTGAGGCATAAGCCGCTGAGTGGGGCTGTAGAACAGACAGTAGTTGAGGGCGTCTGCAGTCGCAGAACAGAAAAAAGGACAGTGAAGGCAGGAATCACTTGCGACGTGCAAGCAAAAAGGTAAATGAGAGGAAATTTGACGTCGTTTTTCGACCAGCCCGTAAACCAATAGAAAGTATTCGGAAAGAAAGACTTCTCAGCCACAGCGGCAACCGCTCGGCAAATAAGCCGTTGCGTGCCGGATGATCGCCAATCACCAAAAATTACTTAAGCCGACCCCGAGTATAGCCCCTGTCCAGACAGTTTGGCACTGGTCAAGACAGTTACGCCCCGATAATAACCCTCTGTCGTTTCCTCATTCTTCGGAAAGAATCGGGAATCGGAATCGGCCCGATTGCTTCTCTTCTCCCACTACGACGTGCGTACATCTTTATCACTTTTTCCGTTACTGAAATTGGAACCCGCCTTTCAGTATCTAGGATCATCGAAGCTTGGAAAGCTGTTGATTGATATCAAAGTACAACACGAAAGGTAACAAAGGCGGGGCGGCACCGGACCCCGTGTACAAGATTTCTCGCCACAACAATACCACAGCGTGCGTGTGAATCTAATTTACACCCGCTCCTTGATGATCTTGACTCGGTGGTTCCTCAGTGTTGTTTGACTGAGCCTTCACTGATCACCTCTCCTACTTGAATAAGTGTATCAATCAGATCCTGCGGCACGTTGAAGTTGTTGTCGAGTTTGGTATATGCACAAAACGGAAACTGTAATGACATCGTTGATTCGCATCACCTACTTCTGCTGATTTTTCTGTCCCCGTAGATGAATCTTTCTCTAAAATGTATAACGTGTAGGACTCCATGCAACAGTACCCATGTGTTCTTCTGTGACAACCTTGACGACCTTCCTCTACTTCCGTCCCTTCTTCACAACAATGAGCCGCCAGTGGAGTTCATGATTGGACCTCTTACATCATCGGCACTCCGTGTAACCGCTGCCATTGACGAGATACAGGCTGAGATTTTGCGTGCCGAGGACTTTCTCGATGCCCTAGAGGATAAGCGCCGACATCTTCAGTCAATTAAAGACGACTACAAGACAGTTCTATCACCTGTTCGTCGCGTACCTGCGGAGGTTCTCGCGGAGATATTCCCCGTGTACAGCGAAAACGGGGGGTCAAAGCCTAGATATAATGTTTTCGACGTGAAAGCTGGTCCCTGGGTTCTTTCCCGAGTATGCCGTTTATGGCGTCAAGTCTTGTACTCCCTTTGCCCGAGTAGTTGGACCACCTTTATGGTGCCAACATACCCTCGGATGCGAAGGGATCCCACCTCATTGTTAAAAGCCGCGCTTTCGCGCTGCGGAAACCGCCAGCTGGAGTTTATCTTTTGCGGTCCAAGCTGGGATCCGCGAGATGCAGACATGGAGGTACGAAGGACCAGCAAATCTCTTTTCCAAATTTTGCTGTCGCTTTCTCACCGATGGAAATTCGTCACTCTCGACATTGTTCACGAACTTTTCCAACTTCTTTCATCTGTTCGTGCAAAGATTCCCTGTCTGGAAACTTGCAATATAACAACTGACCCTATCACTGGGCCGTTCAATGCTCTAGAATTTGCGCCAAGTTTGAAGTGACCCTCGAGGGGCTGGCAGATTGCTTCATTCCTGTCCAAGTTTCAACCTCCAACCTTGTCACATTCTCTGACGATAGAATGACCGACTACTTTGGGAGCTTGCACCAGATGTATCTAGATATAATTCGCGACTCCCCTTTCTTGGAGGAGCTGGAAGTCGCTCACCAGGGCGAAGCAGAAGGTATCTTGCCCGTGGCTACTCCCTTCATTGTCCATCCAGCGTTACGCAGGCTGGCTATTCGTGAAGGCTCTTTTATAGGAAGCCTAGAACTCCCAAAGCTTGCATCAGTTGCTATTCAAGAGGGCCCTAGGGCTGCATTTCCCGATGTGCTTCCCGCGTTACATGACCTCATCATACGCTCGGGGTGCTCCCTTACAAGTTTGACCATCACTGATACTCTCGATGATGACATTATACCCATCCTCTCTTGGTCTCCACAGCTTACCAACTTGTCGTTTTGTCTCACTCAATGGAATGAGAACTCGGATTCTATTCTTCAAACAGTTGTCGAAAGGATGGCAGAAACGACCATCAGAAGCTCCAGTGATTTAAATCGTAACAAATTAGTTCTCATCCCCCTTCTGGAGAAGCTCTCCATCGATATGCACGATCGCAGGTCCCGACTCAGAGGGGAAGTTGAGGTGGGATTCGTTGACAGCAATTTTGTCAACATGTTGAAGGGTCGCTTGAACTGCGAAAACCCGCTGCGGTCCGTCAGTATCAAGACATCGACACGTCTATTGAGATTCTCGCGACTTGATGAGGATGATATCAAGCAGCTAGTAAAATGGCGGGACGAAAGCAAATTGGAGGATCTCTCCATCGAGTCGGGTTGGAGCCCAGATGGAAACATCATCGTGTAACATGGAGTGACCGGACCACCTCATTGTTTCTGAAAGGATGATCGTCGGCTGACGAAACTGATAAGTGGTCCATCGCCGTAACATTGGGTTTATTGTTCTGGTATTGAATAGCAAGGCAGCTTCACGAAAGGTCAGATGGTATCCTCAATGGAAGCCCGAAGTGGTGAGGATTGCCCCACTTTATGGATGTCTCTGGCAGGAGAGAACTTAGAAGCTGTTTGATTTACGGGACGTACGGGCGTTTTTGGAACCTTGGCGTCGTCTGTACCGACTATGCAATAAGGTCGAAGAATATGTATATCATGAGTTTTATTTATACACTACCAACAATCTTCATAACCGATATACATGGCTTTGAGTCTAAGTAGTACTTACGTTAGTGGACGATCTGGGGTCACCTTGCAGTATTTTGATAATTTCTTAGAGCCGGAGAGAATCTGATACATGTAGGCCGGTCTAGTCGCATATGTCAGTCATCAATGAACGTTGAACCTATGAGTAGATGGAGGTGTAGATTCGAACAATTATTATTATTATCAATACCGTAAACTTCACAGTAAGAATCACTCAAGCGTTTTGCTGAGCTCCCTGCTGACTGGTTTCACCACCACCACCACCACCAGCGGCAGCTCCTCTAATCTGCGCCTCGAGGCGCTTGTTCTGCTCTTCTGCCGCTTTAGCCTTTTCCTTGTCACTTATCTTTGATACACCAGTAGGTTTGATCAATGCCGGAAAAGTCCTAGCTTTTCCTCCCGAGGGCTTCTTGTTGCATATAGCGTTCAGAGCGTTGAATCCTTTCACTGAATCAAATTCGATTTTGCTTTTCAAATCTTGAGTCTGAATAACTAAATTAGCTATTCTCCATAATTGCCGGTATTGGAATGATAACATACCAAACCATCAACACGCCTAGAGCGACCATAGTCAATGAGCGTCAGTCGGTCCAAGTTGGCAGTGACGAAAACATTATCTGGCTTTGGATCCTCGTGGCTACAGAAACGATGAGATCCGCGTTCCGGGAAGTATAGAAAAATGTAAAATTCACCGAAGGCCTTTCGTGTCAATCCAGAATTCGATCATTTCGGCAGATCGGTCTGAGAAGGCTTTCACGATAGATTGGCATTCCTCTTTTGTCTCAGCTTGAGCCAATATTTCTTCGGGAGTATACATCTGTGGCGGTCCAGTCCGAACATTCTTCATGACTATCCACTTGGTCCCGTCAAGAGCGTTCAAAGTCTTGATATATAAGCCAACCTTGTATGGTTATCAGATCATTAACGCCGATTAATTGATATCAGTGTGCTTACGTCGCGAAGCGCTTGAACCTCCTCATCGAACGGGATGGCTTGGTCCATAATCTGACGATCACCCTCGACCGGTTTGCTGGACTTCGCAATAGCCCACTGTTTTTCCGAGTACAGTTGACAAACCACCCCATCGCGTCCTTCCCCGATTACAGTACATTCATATTCTTTAGTTTTGGATACACCCAATGTCGACGACTTGACTTGGATGGTTATTTTCTGGCCCGTTGTATATTGATGAACCCGGCGGTCAAGCCCAAATGGTCTGGATAAGATCAATATACGATCCTCTCTCACGAGAGAAAGACACTAACCGGCATTCACCCAGCAGGAAGGAGAGTGTCCAGACGATCAAGAACGAGCAGGCTGTGAAAAGACGCATGACGGATAGTAGTAGATAGCTGTAGATTAAGCACCAGGCTTGTGAGGGTTAAGCAGCAAGGTAGAGACCAGCTCTGAGAGTGAAAGAGGCGCGTCGGACCCTGTTTATATAGGGTAGTGAACGAGAGCTAGTACCATCAGACCAACCCAGCGACTGACGATGTCTTGGTCTACTAACGGTTCAACCCGCCCAGTCGTAATGCCGCCACAATGGCACATAGATGCCAAGGAGACAACGGAGCCCGACTTAAGCAGAGATGGCCGACCAGTTGGCTCCGGTCTCAAAGGAAGAGGCGGTCGAACGTACAGGAACTGAGCGAATACAATGCCATTACTTACTCACCATGGCATTGAAGGGGTTCCTGATTGCCATTAGGGATCCCTACAGAGTACCGATACTCTGTCGTGGACTATGTTGCTTGCGATTAGGCCAGCTGCTGTTGCTACGCGTATGCCCGATGATGGAATTCATCGGACCACCATCCAAGCCCGAGAGCAAACCCCCCATTACTGTTCAGTCCTACCGCCGGTTAGGAAGCCAATAACCAGAGTGTAGATACAGAACACTGGAGCAACATCCCATCAGCTCAGGGTCACTTTGTCAGATCGGCCAATCATCGGCACACAGGTTGGACTCGTCCTGATCGAGCGAAGCATATCGTCGGTCAAGATGGCCGTGATATGCGCCATGGTATCAAGCGGCGTAGTTTTTTTGATGCGCAAAAAAGTTGTAGAGAAGACGGCGATAGATAAAACCGTGCAGTGCGTCTCGAAGAGCGCTTAATATGGCTGACTAGAGACCGCTATCGAGACCCATTACGCCAGTTAAATGATCGGTTTGTCCCTAACATGAACGGCAAGGTCACCATGGTCCCCGGGAATGACAATACAATGAAAGCAGTTGTTTCTCCGAGACGGTCCTGGCCAAAAGCAGGCATCTATGTTGCATTCCTTACATTATACATCTAAAAAATCAGGCTCTTCTTCAACTAGAAGGTCCAAGAGCGTGAAGAAAGATGCGGCCGGAAATCCGACAACGTTATTGTAATCGCCCTCAATTTTCCGTATCAATAGGCCGCCAAGTCCCTGTGGGAGAGGCAATTCTGAGTCGAGGAGTTAGTAGAAAACACTGAGTAACGTACCTGGATAGCAAATCCACCGGCCCTGTCAACGCCTTCACCGCTATCGGCATAGGCTTCCACCATATGTTTTGGATTATCAGCAAAATACACTAACGAGCGTTCGTCAATGGATCTACCCGAGTAATCAGTCCCCGGTTGTCTCCCGCTGGCATGCACTCACTTGATGGCGTATCCTGGCGCTGAGAGGATGGGATATACTTAATGGGTTATCAGCAAGGCCGAAAAAGAGGCATTTTTACCGAAGCGTACCCAGAGCAACGCCGGTCACCACCTCACACACACCGCCATTGAGATCCAGCAACATTCGCAAGTTGTCTTCTTTTGAAGAAGGCTTCTCTAATAGTTCTTGGTTCGTCTCAGGTAGCACTGAGTACGACACATCTGACGTCGAAGGTTGGGCATGGGTCAGGACCACGGTATCGGCTATCTTGGTGAGATCAGTGAAGACGACGGACTAGACGTGACCATCCTCACCTGCAATTACTAAGTCTGGTGCGTCATCCGGGTCTTGCTCCTACCAGAAACCTTGAGCTGAGGCGAAGGATAGAAAGATGAAAACTACTCACCACCAACCGCTCGTAAACTTCCACGGCTTTATGAGTTGCCGTTGCTACAGGATATTCATGTATATCGTCAAATGAACCAGGAGCGAGATCTTCTTCGAACGTTGAAGGTACAATGTCGGGGGCAAGGCCCTGCATACAGACCTATCAGTTACGAGAACATGGAATGTTGTGTCGATATACATAAGTCTGAAGTATTTCCTTTCTTCTGGGACTGTTGGATGCTAGGATGATCTGCTTGCCCGAAAGTTTCTTGATAGCAGGAACCTGAAGGGCATGGGGCAATATATGCTTTGAAGTCATGGTGAGAGTATAAATGCGATCGTGCTTAGTGACGTATGCTGTTTAGACTCAATTGAGGGCAGGTTACATAACGTTGCCTCCTCTCACCTTCGTCACGCACTTGAGTAATGGCAGCATCAGTAACGTTAAGGATCGTTGACCATGGGCCTGGCCTGGGGCCCAGACTTGACTATAACTTCGGACAATAACTTTAGCAGTCAGCAGAACTCGAGTGTCGTGGTTACAAGAGCATGACAGTAAATTGAAAAAATGTTCAATATTCCTGGGCGCAGTGAACATTCGAGTGCCGATCTGTCTGCCCGAAGTAGTACGAAAAATTCCCACCGCTCGTCTTCTTCCAATACGATGATCCCGAGAACGAATATTCTTTCGTTCCTTCTTATATTTTCGTATGTCACATCTTCAATACGAACATATGTAATGTTGACAAACTCACCCAGCTGCGGACGCACAGATCGCCTCTGAGCTTGTCTCTTCCTTGTTGTCCTCAAGATGGACAGCGAATCTTCCGAATCCTCTGGACAGTCAACTCGGAGTCGAAGCCCTTCCAGCACCAGCAGCCAGTCAGAACATGAGGTCGTAGTCACGGAAGACACAAAACAAAAATTTGCCAGAGAATTCAGGAAACGTCCCAACGTTCACGACTTGATGCAGTGGAAGAGGTATCACAATAGCCTGGTGAGTTAGCATTTCGATGGCACAGCTACTTGAACTTGAGGCCTTTCATTAGGTATGCAAGAATTGTTTGTTACGTGGGCAAGATTGCACGCCGAAAGACAACTCAGCTGTATGCATCAGCTGTGAGGAGCAACGAGTCGGCTGCAGTCGCGCGGAACTGGAAAGGACGACGCGAGTTCGGCGGTTGTTAAATCTTTCATATCAGGAACTGGAGTTTCTAGTCGACTGGTACAAGGGATGGAGGGAGACAAAAGGTAGCATCATCCGGAAGACTCGGACGCCTATCACTCCAAGTCCCAGAAAGACGAAATTTCAAGACTCTCCAATATTAAGCCCCGAGTTCCAAGCAAAGACGGCAAGGGCTCGCCGACATGAACCCGAGGAGCAATACGCTTCTTCAAGTTCGTCAGCTTCTCAAGTGAGTGTTATTGTTCTTCTCTGTATAAGCATGCTGAGCCTTATCGTACAGATTCTAAACTCGAGCCCCGGCGCCATCTATGAACACGATCCAACGGACCACGCAACCGCCGCGAATTTTCAACAAATGTGGAATGATTATATGAACAACTGTCACAGTCCGAGTCCTCAAACACCTTCTGGGGCAGGTGGCGCTGTTCTTGACGTGGTGACCGGACCCGAACATTCAGACACTGGCACTCAGAATCTCAACGATCTGTTAATGCTGAATTATGAATGTCTCGAAACTTCAACTGAACGCGCAGATGTTTTATTTGACGAGGCCAACCCGGAGGCGCCGACGGAAGGTATGATGTCTAGTGACTTCCTGTTTATATTGCTTTTCAACGTACTTGTAGTGCAAAATCCAGAAGGTTCAAGTACTGTCATGCCAGCCGACAAGAACCAGGCAGCTCTCACACACATAGAGCTATTATTGCATAGGAATGAAGTAGAAAACGTCGCTGCAAGGGTGAAGGCAGGGGATATCACTCAGCAGAACCTGCTCAATGCGCTGAAGGCCATCTCGGAGGGTTTGCTTGGAATGGCGATGAAGTACGATGCAGCTTCCGAGTCGGCAGGACGAGCAAGTGTGGGTGGGAGTTCGGAATGGCTTGAAGAATGAGGTTGTAGGTTGAATAATGTACTTTTATATGATATTCCTTGAACAGAGTGTTAATCAGTGTCATAAGGCTGTAAGAAAGTATGAAGTCGACAATTGTGAAGTTCGGCTGGCGGCCCGGTTTTTTACCCGGCTACACTCCAGCTCACATCAACTCTTCCTCGACCTCTTCTACAGTCAATGCTCTCAGTGCAGATCAGCTCGCCTCAGGTTCTCAGCATTTACAACTTCGGTCGCCTCCTGCACCCTTACCTACTTTATGGATTTTTTAATGCCTTATTCACCAAATGACGGCTGCACTGAAACAAGTATATCGCTGTCTCGCTGCTACCTCGGTCTAATGCCATCCTCGCCCACACTTACAGGATTGACGGGAGCAAAGACCAGTAGTGGTGTGTTGGTACGCATCGCACGCCTGGCACACATCATGCATTCGTCATAACCAGCAGGATTTGGGCGGAATCTAAGCGAAGCGTACGTCCGGCTCCAACGAAAATAAATGATAACACAGTAGCCACTGAGTTGCCGTCCATTCTGTCTCCTATCTTATCGTCTTGACTGTTTCCCTTGATACGTGTACCTTTACTTACAACGAGCTACCGAGGTCTATGCCAAATACGTTTGCTTGATATGCTGTGTCTCGCTGACAACGTTAGTGCATTCAATGGTCGGTTTATACATAACACCTGACATGTTCAAGCTGCGGTTCGGGGAGGATAAGCGGTAAATGCCTACTCATTGAGATATGTCGACGTAGCTATTATTCATAGAACATAGGTGAGATCTTATCCGTGAAAAATAAGAACTATTCAAACACTACTTGCCAATATATAACATGATGTTGCAAGACATATTACCGCGGCCATGAAACTCTCTGGACTAGCGTCATCAAGCAGAAGTGACGAGCGCTAGCCGAGAGGACACCTCTGCTTGTGCCCGTACCAGGTTCGCCAAATACGAGATCATCAGTGTATCCTGCAAATATCATCAGCATCTAGTATAACTAGAAATGTCATCGAAAAACACACCTGTAGACTCGCATTAAAGCCGCCCTTCTCTAGATCATCCGTACTAGCGCCTAGCGTATCCATCAGGTACCTCCCGAGCGCCGGATCACCCTTCGTCTCTCCAGCCAGTACCGATCGCACGTATACCAGCACGCGGTCAAGCATGTCAGATACGTTCTGGATAGATTGCTCGAGGATTTCCAGGTCAGCCAAGGGCTGGTTGCTCGTCGAATTGGGTGATACCGCAGTTGACGTCAAGAGATCGACTACAGAATGTCAGAATTTGGTGAGTTCATGAAAGGAATACACTCACGTCCACTCCGCTCAGCATCATGGAACCGTAGCTCGACGGGTACTGGGACAAACACGCAATTTTCGGGTCTTGGGAATACACCCACTGGTGAGCTGGGTGTTGGATCAATAAACATACTATATGTCAATCAGAGCACATACCTGAAGTAGGCTTTTATGCCAGCGGGCTCACCGTCATCTATGCCGGTATTCAGAGCAACATGGATAGCCTGGTGAGGGGCCGTTTCTTGCGAATAGAAATTTTGAATGAGAGCAGAAAAAGTATTAAGGTTTGAGCCCGTAGAGTACCTGGTATTTGTTTGTTACAGCGCAACACCAAGGAACAAGATAGACTCACCAGCCAACGATAACCTCCTTCGAGTTCACTTTATGATGAAGGTCGTACATCGTCCGATGGTAGTCCATGTCCACTGCCACCTGCTCGCTGGTCTCGCTGTGAAGCACAGCGAACGACGAGCGGACCTCCACCCCCGTTTCCGTCCGTGTACCAAGCAAAGTTCCCAGGACACGGTCCTGCTTGTCAGTCCGTCGCAGATAATGGTCGAGAATCGAGAAAAGAGCGACGGGGTGGATCGTTACACTGGTCGGTGTTCGCCTACAGATCGTTCATTAGCAACGACTGAGATAAGATCCTGGGGAGCTTACGGTGCATTTTGAGCAGCAGTAGAGGTATTTAGTGAGCTGTGTACGTGAATCGCCGACGACGAAGGCTGGAGCGGCATCTTTTAGTGCGTCGATGTGGTCGTCGGTAAGAACTTTTCTGATCGCCTCGGGATTTGCCGTACCTGTCTCAAAATTTCCACCATGCCCTCAGAAGATACCAAAGTTCGTCGAACCACTTACCTGTATTCCGAGCGCTGTACTCACAGTTTTTATGCAGGAAACAATAGCAAAAGTCGTCGAGCTTGGACGAGTGCGTGCTACTACGTGTGTCGGTGGCGATGACTGACTCGTTGCAGGCCGTGCTTCATTATGGCTGGATACCTCTGATTATCTACGTCGGCTTCACTCGAAGCAACCCGCAGCCGTCTCTAATCAAGTGCGTGTCCTTATTTTGAGAGGAAGGAGCCCTCTGACTGTCTTGCAGACTGATTAGCCCGCTGGCGTAATCCCCAGAAGAGGCCTTTGTACATACTTTGTGTCGCTGTCAATCCACATCTCACCCTGTTTTATCTACCGTTCGTCGATGAAAGAGAAGGCCTTGTGGCGTTCATATGGTGAGCTGGACTTCATTTCTTCTCCGCGTGAAGATGATCCATGTCGTGGTGATACATTCGTATCCTGAACGAATCGTGTATACACGGTACTATGGTCGCTGTAACCCCTTCTGAGGTGGTTTATCGACTATTGTAGAATGTGGATATGACAAGGCCAGATCTGAGCGCCCAAATTTCTTCTTCGTTGTCTGTCTGACTGGTCACCCGCTCATTACTTGTCTCTCTTTCCTGCAGAAGGTTGAGCAACAAAGTAGTCACGGTTGTGTTGGAAAATTACTCGAGTCTCGTTTGGAATACCATCGAGCGCTACCTTTATTAGACCTGAAGCCATCTTAATGTACTGCAATGAGTATGGAATCACACGAATGTCTTACGGTCGGCACGCTAGTGGCTAAAACAATAAACGCAAGGTACAGATATTACAAGGTCATGACTTCAAAGATAGGCAGAGCCGTCATGAAAAACCAAAATATATCGACTATATTATACATACAACAACAACAATAAGTACTAGAGATACACTCGCCGCAGGTCTGTAGCACCAGTAATCCGCTTGCAAATAGGACAAAGCTTAGTAGATCCTAAACACCGAAGCCAGCATTCACGACAACAGGTGTGCCAGCATCCCGTCGACACCGTAGGTTCGTTGTACGGATCTAGGCAAATACGGCACAGAAGCGATGTCGACGAAGAAACTCTAGTCGCCTCCTGTAGAAAAATTATCAGAAACTGAGCAGTTTCCACGACCGTGTACATACCAGATATTTAACCTTCTCCTCCAATGCCTTGATCAACGCTGGACGGTTACCCGATTTCCTGGCTGTCAAAACAGCGCGGTCCATCCTATCGGCGTCGCCAACACCCATGACCTCGTCCATCTTGGCTTTCACGACATCCAGACCCTCGTAAGTCTTCTCCTTCCCCTTCGTGACCTTACCCTCAGCCACCAAATCCCGCAATGTCATCGCAGCGTCGTCCCCTCCTTCATTCTCAATGTCTACATCGACCTCAGCTTCGGGCGCTGGTGCTGGACCCAGGATATCGCCCTCTGTAAATTGAGGACACCCGAATGCTTCGTCGTCGCCATCAATGTCGATTTCTTCCTCTATATCCTGCTCATTCCTATTGCGCGTATGGAAGCCAGTACCTCGGGAAAAAAAGATTAAGAATAGTGTGGGAAGCCCTTGAAGATAGAGAAGTACCTCTAACGTCCCCAACAACTGGCCCATCGTCTTCCCACTCCTCTTCTTCCTCTTCTCTCCGGAGCGTCTCCCTCTGCACCCTCTCTTCATCCATCCGTCTGGCCTCACCTGCCAAACATGCATCTACATGTGCGTCCAACACGTCGTCATCTCCCGTTACCGTCGTCAGACAAACGGGACACACAATCTCTCCGCAAAACTGCGTTCTCCGGCGGGGAGCATGCAAGTAACCTTCCTCATCCTCCCTCGTCATTTCCTTCAGCCCAGCATGCCTCCTTTTTCGGTTCCGTTTAATCTTCTGCAGCATCTTGGTAGTTTGAGTGTTGGCGGCGTCTTTGGATTTAAAGGACTTCTGAGCACGAACGGCAGACTTTCTACGTGAAAATGATGTACTGGACCTAACCAATGGTTCAGTATCAAACAAGCGAGGAAAGATGTCGGCGCACCCTTCCTCAAATTCAGCAGCTAGGATATCCGTTGAGCCGACGTTCTGAACAATCTTCTCGACGCGTTGGGACTCGAGATCCGAGTGTTTAGCGAGGAGTCGTAAAGGTATGTGCTCTTTGCAGATAGGACATTCTCTCGTCTCGAGCTTGACTAAAGATAGGGTTGAGCTTATTACTCTGGTACTACTAGATGGCTGGACCAACCTCTCTTCCTAGTTGTCACGGTGGCGGGGGCGGGGGCGGAGGGCGTGGACGACACCGACGATAATGAAGACGACCTCTCTCTCTTTTGTGGGCTCATATGGGAGCTCGTGGGGTTGGATGGAGAAAAGTTGTTTTGGATGTCGATAAATTGTTCGGAAGAACGGTCCGTATCCCGGCATCAACTCGCAGTTATGACGCTTACAGCTCGACGCGAGTGGAGATTGGCTGTTCTTTTTATTCCTGGTGATTATCTATGTAGAGATGTATCTATCAAATCAAACAATTATTTAAATTCTTCCAAGTCAACTAATGAGATCCTTGGTATCGAGAACGCAAATCTAAGACCAATTACCAGCATCCTGAACAACTCTACCCTCATTCGCTGCATTCACTAGATCTTGAACCGTCCAAGGTTCGTAGACGTATCCAGGGGGAATATTGGTGTTATTAAATGGTGTACCGTCCACGATATGTTTCGCGCATGCGTCATAATTGTCGTAGGCGTATTGCTCCGAGTCATGTTTGGCTAGCCAGTCGCCCACGAGTTTACCGAGCGCCTTGGGATCTTTCGACACAACTTCCCAGTTGGTGCGATGCCACTGCTCACGCGTCTTGAATCCCGCCCTTTGCGCGCACGAGACGCGTTCAAAGCTAAGCGCACAGATCACATCAGTTCCGAGGCGTCATAAAAAAGAAGGAAACTGACCGAAGCTTGTTATAGACTCGCGCAGCTAAAGGAATATCATCCTTTCCGCTGATTTGGAGGCATGTCGCGAGTGTGATACCATCTTCCATGGCCATGGTTGCTCCGCTAGCGCTGGTAGGAAGAAGAGTGTGTGCAGCGTCTCCGATTTGGACGACACGGCCTGTAGGAGAGACCCATTTTGGTTGGGGATCGCGCCACATGAGCTTCCAGTCAGTGACCTCCTTGTTAGGCACAGAACTGACGAGCATCGGGACAAATGAGCCCCATTCCTTCACATAACGAAGTGCACAGTCCGAACTCTGAGTCTTGGACCAATTATCGGGTACATTGCCGCCATCCTGGTATTAACTGTCATAAGAAATGGTTCATGAGACTGATGGGATAGAATGTGCGTACCATATAGGTCATCATGAAACACACACTGGTCTTGTTCTTGCCAGTGACAATATGCGTGTTATGGCCTATGTGGATAGTCGTTCGGGGGCTTTCGTCGAATACTCTGGCCAACTCCGGAACTTCCAAAGCGTGATTAAGAGGAAAGGTGGTGCGGTATATAGCGTAGCCACTGCTAATGGGTTGCTCCTTCTTCCCGCTAACTATACCCCATGCCTTACCTCCAACGCCGTCCGCTGCAATGACAAGATCCGCTTCAAGCTTGCTCCCATCTTCGAGGATAGCGAAACCCTTGTCAGTGGTCTCAGAATAGTCCTGAACGTTAACGCCATGCTCAATAGGAATGCCGAGGGCCATCGCGTAATCGTGCAATGCACGATGAGCGTCCAAGCGACTAAGAGCCATACCGCGTTCTTCAATATTCGGACCAGACTCGCAGATAGGGAACACCCCGATGAGCGTTCCGTCATACTTGTACATGTGGGCTTGTGGTCCGAATGTGTTTTCGTTCAGTCGCTCAAGAAATCCCGGCCACTTGCGCATGGTGCGAATTGCACTGGGTTGGATGGCAACGAGATCCCCTGCAAGAATAGTGAATCGAGGAGTCGATGTCTTAACATTCTCGTACCACTTACCAAAGGGATCGAGACCAGGTCGACGTTCGACTACACGAACATTGTGACCTTTGCGGTAACATTCAATTGCAGCGGTCAGGCCTGCAAGGCCTCCCCCTGTATAGAATAAATCACGGTGGTGATAATGCAGAAAAGAATTCGGAATTACCAGCGATAAGAATGTCTATGCCAGACAATGGTTCACGAACCATGTGTTCAGCCATGTTGACGGAAGTGCTAGGGTAAGGCCGTTGGATGAGTTTTTATTAACGCACCACCTTTTATTCAGAGCCAAGCATACGGCTTACAACTGACGCGGGTTGACAGTCATGAAGGATGAGAGCAGTTGACAAAGAAATGCGAGATACCGCGCTAGATGATGGCGTTCACGCTTCGGACAGGGATCGGGTAGGTCAAGAAGTACCCCAAGAACCAATAAGACTTGGCGAGAATAGAGAACTGCTCCATAAAACGGTGACAGTGACGTTCTGTTCATAATTAATCTGATAAGAAGTCCCGAAAGATCTTTTTCGCCTGCAAAATTCCAATGTAAGTATAGGATAATATGTTCAACGGCGTTACCTGCGGATGACGACAGGTAAACAGAAGGCCGCGCAACGCCACTCGTTTGGTAATCCACCAGTAGTCCTAGACAATTCTCAGCAGGATTAACAGATAACATTGACAAGGGCAGAAAACCTTTTGCATCTTGGGTCTAAAATATTGAGCGACGACGATTAGTGAGACTGCAGCGCCAACTTTACAGAGAAAACTTGACTAGTATCGTCGGCGTTGTAAGTACCGGATGCGTAAGTCCGGATGTGTAACGGTTGGTAAAGGAATTTTCAGAAGCCTCAGATGCTGGAAATAGATGCCGGCATTCGGAAAGGACAAAGTCAACCCTGGTAGCTCCAAGCGTTGCTAACAGATTTTACGAGAAGTATGGTGAGGTAGTATGATGGCATTGATAAAAGACTGTGACGTCCGAAAGCAAGAAGATCAGCTCAAGAACAACATAAGGAAATAGACGCATAATGATTAGGGCACTTAACAAAAGATAAAGTGGAGGAACTCAGATTGACCTCGGGCATTCGAAGGATTGTTGATATCTCCGCTTACTGACGACTAACGGACCGGTGTTCCGTTTACTCGATAAACCGGAGGGTAAAGGTAGACGGTATCATACGCCTCCTTTCTTCCCTTTTCTTCACCATATCCATATGCGCTATCATTTGCGATCCATGTGCAGCACTGAGCCACAAGACTCTAAGGAGCTCAGTTGCGGGGGCTTCCAATGCCATACACAAGTAGGGAGGCCCTCATGCATGTGTTCCGTCGCAAGCGTTATTGAACGCCAACCGCCTACAGTAAACCCGCCTAGTAGGATATTTTCGCCTGAACTTCAAGTCAGTTCAAACTTCAAAGGCACCGCACAACGCGACACGCGCGACGTCGTTCTTTTCATTCTTAGGACTTGCAATTGGAAGAATTTATGGCTGCCGACAAGGGGTGTTGCAGGAGGTCGGCTTCCATGTCCTATTGGGTGCCATATAATTATGGTCAGTACTGTAACCTTCTTTTATCATTGACAATTAGACGCACCATTTGTCCCCTGCGTGAGCCAGAAATTTCCTTAATCAAACCATCACTGTATGTCTTTCCACTTACGGTATCGAAGTCTGCTTCGGTCTCGCTATATGTCCATGCAAAGTCATATCCTAGTCTTCGTAGAGTGCTGCATTGACGCGAATTCGACGCTCGAGTCTCGACTAGGCACGCAAATATAGACTGAATGTAGATGATGTGTGTAGGTTGTACGCCGGAAGATTTTGTCGCTCAAATAAAACACACCAAGTCTACTCGTTAATTGGAACAGGTATTTTTTGCGTGATAATTTTGATTCCAAGGTAGAATTGGCATTGAGTAAATATACGCAACAGTGGTTACGAGCTGTACTATTTTCTCCGGAACACATACGCCCTAGCCAAACGTCAATAAAAACGAACCGGAATAAGAAAAAATGACGCACTTGTTGAGCATAGCTTCTTTATGGGCACTATCCCGCTTGCCCAGGATTTTACTTGTCCCATTCATAATCTCTATTATCTCCCGTGCCAGCCTCTCCTCCAACGACAACGGTCCGGGTCTCTTACACTCATCCAACAGCCAACTTATCCCCTTACGCAGACTCCGCCTCTCACTCAACGGCACCGGCTTCATAATGTGTTTCAAAGCGGTTGTCTTGACCCGCAAACATATCGTGAGTGGGGAGATGGCAAAAAGGGCTTCGCGCAAAATGGGTAGCGGGGGTGCTCGGGTGTATGCATGTATATGCAGAAGCGTCCGTGAAACAATTTTAGAGGCCTTTGCCTTCTTTCCGTGCTTCATAATCATGGTGGCAAGGAACTCCAGCAGAGGATCCTCTGGAGGAGGGATATTCATGAATGTGGATTTTGGGTCATCAGGGGGAAGAGAGACGAGGGGGTTTCCTTGTGTAGTACGGAGGTGAAATTGTATCTGGGAGCGCAGCGAAAGCGAGTCTGCGCCTGCCGTGGTCGTCGCTGGTAGACTTTGCTCGGCGCTGGTCGTAGCGCCGGACGATGACGGCGACGGGGCCTCTGAATCAGGTCTGTGATATTCGGGGAAACTTGGAGCAGTCGACAATGAGCGGAAAGCAGGAAGTGAGAGCCGTGTTTGCGGGAGCACCCTCGACGCGAACTTGAGCATGGTAGAAAAGGGTTGTCCGGAAGTTGCCGAGAGTTTTCGTTTCTGTTTTGGGCAAAGTTCCACCTCCCAGTGATCATACTGACTTCCTCGGACATCCCCCTTGAAATTTATTGGTGTATTTCAAGTGTATTTCGCCGACAATCCAAAACATATTGTGGAAGCCTAGCGCTCTTCAAGACGCACTGCACAGTCTTATCTATCGCCGTCTTCTCTACAACATTTTTTGCACATCAAAAGAACTACGCTGCTTGATACTATGGCTCATCTCGGCCATCTCGACCGACGATGTGCTTCGCTCAATCAGGACGAGTCTAACCTGTGCGCTGATGATTGGCCGATCTAACAAGGTGACCCTGAAGCTGGCGTGATGTCTTACGCTCCAGCTATTTCTGTATCTACACTCTGGTTATTGGCTTCCTAACCGGCGGTAGGACTGAATAGTAATGAGAGATTTGTTCTCGGGCTTGGATGGTGTCCAGTGAATTCCATCATCGGGCGTACGCGTAGCAACAGCAGTTGGTCTAATCGCAAGCAACATAGTCCACGACAGGGTATCGGTACTCTGTAGGGATCCCTAATTGCAATCAGGAGCCCCTTCAATGCCATGGTGAGTAATTAATGATATTGCATTCTGCTTAGTTCCTGTACGTTCGACCACCTCCTGCTGTGAGACCGGAGTCAACTGGTCGGCCATCTCTGCTTATGTCGGGGTCCGTTGTCTCCTTGGCATCTATGTGCCATTATGGCGGCATTTCGACTGAGCCGGTCGAACCGTTAGTACACCCAGATATCATCAATCGCTGGGTTGGTGGGATGGTACTATCTCTCATTCATACCCTATATAAACAGAGTCCAACGCGCCTCTTTCACTCTCAGAGCTGGTCTCTATATTGCTGCTTTACCTTCACAAGCCTGGTGCTTAATCTACAACCACCTACTACTATCCGTCATGCGTCTTTCCACAGCCTGCTCGTTCTTGATCATCTGGACACTCTGCTTCTTGCTGGGTGAATGTCGGTTAGTATCTTTCTCTTGAACCGGAATAATTGTACTTTGATCTTTTCTAGACCATTTGGGCTTGAACGCCGGGTTCGTCAATACAAAAAGGGCGATAAAATAACCATTCAAGTCAGGTCGTCGATATTGGATCGATCCAAAACTAAGGAGTATGAGTGTACTGTGATCGGGGAAGGACGCGATGGGGTAGTTTGTGAACTGTACTCGGAAGAACATTGAGCTGTTGCGAAGTCCGGCAAACCTGTCGAAGCTGGTCGTCAGATTATGGATCAAGCCATCCCGTTCGATGAGGAGGTTCAAGCGCTTCGCGATGTAAGCACACTGATACCAATTAATCGGCATTCATGATCTGATAACTATACAAGGTTGGCTTATATATCAAGACTTTGAACGCTCTCGATGGGACCAAGTGGATAGTTATGAAGAATGTTAAGGCTGGACCGCCAGAGATGAAGACTTCCGCAAAAATACTGGAGGAGGCTACGACCAAAGTGGAATGCCAATCTATCCTGAAAGCCCTCATAGACCGATCTTCGGAAATGATTGGATTCTGGATTGACATGAAAGGCCTTCGGCGAATTTTACATATTTTTTTACATTTCGGACCGCGGTCTTTATCATTTCTGCAGTCACGAGGATCCAAAGCCAGATAATGTCTTTGCCACTGAGAACTTTTCCCAACTGACGCTCATTGACTATGGTCGCTCTAGGCGTGTTGATGGTTTGGTATGCTATCATCCCAATACCGGCAACTCTGGAGAGAAGCTAACCTAGTTAATCAGACTCAAGATTTGAAAAGAAAAATCGAATTTGATTCAGCGAAAGGGTTCCGTGCTCTGGAAGCTGAATGCGAGGAGAAGGACGAGGGAGGAGCAGCCAAAACTTTTCCGGCACTGATCAAACCTGCTGGCGTATCAAGGATCAGTGATAAGAAAAAGGTTAAAGCGGCAAAAGAGCAGGAAAAGCGCCTCGAGGCGCAGATTAGAGGAGCTGCCGCCGCCGGTGGTGGTGGTGGTGGTGGTGAAACCAGTCAGCAGGGAGCTCAGCAAAACGCTTGAGTGATTCTTACTGTGAAGTTTACGATATTGAAAATAATAATAATTGTTTGAATCTACACCTCCATCTACTCATAGGTTCGTTAATAACTGACATATGCGACCAGACCAGCCTACATGTATCAGATTTTCTCCGGCTCTAAGAAATTATCAAAATACTGCAAGGTGACCCCAGATCGTCCACTAGCATAAGTATACTTAGACTCAAAGCCACCGCATTGACGTCAAGTTTCCGACAGGATGATCGTCGGCTCACAAAACTGGTAAGCGGTCGGTCGCCGTAATATTGGGTTTATTGTTCTGATGCGCAATAACAGGGCGGCTTCACGAAAGGTAGGCAATGGAAGCCCGAAGTGGTGAGGATTACCTCACTTTATGCTGATGCCTCTGGGAGGAGAGAAGCTATTTGATTGACGGAACGTACGGACATTTTTGGAATCTTGGCGTCGTCGGTACCGACTATGCGATGGAGTCGAAGAATATGTATATCAAAGTTTTTATTTATACGCTAGGTTTGTTATTTGTTTAGAATTAGTGCTATATTTACGATGCAGTCGTTGTGATGGCGAGTAATCATTGTATGCGTGAATTATCCTAAGGTATACCGTTCGTGTGCATTAGTAGAATGATGTCGATATGATATGCAAATGCTCCTCGTATCGCATCCCTACTGGACGCTTATGGGGAAAACAAAGACCCCCGTGGGATCATATTGACTTTTCAGACTCTCTAGCCTGGAATAATGTGATTTGTAGTAAAGGTTTTGCAGCTGGACGCAGTAAAGTTAGCCATTGAAGAGAACCTCAGTACAATATCCGACGTACCATTATTGAGACGATCGTCGGGATAGTTTACATAGGCTCCGTAATCCCAACCATCACCCATTGCTGAAGTAATGGCTTCAGCGGCACCTGTGAGGAAGGTGATGAGCGAGAGGAGGAGAAAAACGTGATGTTATCGTACCATCCAAGAGGGTGAAGCTGTCTTCAGCGGAGTTGCTGAAAGAAGCATACAATTGCACAGTAAACAACGCGCTTCTCGTCCCGAACGCCGTCGAATCTACATCAACCGAGTTGATGACTGAATTTCCCCCGCCGTAGAGCTCGAATTGCATGAACCATGCCTACATCAGAGGTGAATAAAACCATCTCATCATACGTGAAGAGCAGACGAACCGTATTAGATGCGTGGCCTTCGTAACCCAGGTACTTCATGAATGCCTCCAAAGCTTCCAAAGTCATTGGCTGACCCTCCGGTGTCATCAACGATTTAGCATAGAAAGTATCTGTTGTATCGGGACCTGCGACTTTGGTATTGACGACGCCACTGCCCAAAGCCTCGATGGTACTGATGTAGGTTCCATTTCCCGAATATTTGACGCTCGCCGAAGGCATGGATGCCAAGAATGGCTCCAACACTGCCTGAAGAGCGTCTGTGGACTCGCCATACCATCCACCAGTCAAGCCAAAGTACACACTCCCCTCGGTGTTACCTCTCCCGATATTGACTTCGGCTCCAAGTTGAGATGGAATATCCGTCATCGCATATTCTTGAAATCTGAATAGAGCGGCTGCAGCAGTGGAGTAGTCCAGCTGCCAATCATATTCAAAGATAGTCGCAAAAGACGGAGCGGTAAATGTCTGAACATCGATGGAGGTGATAATGCCGAACGAGGATGCAGCGCCTCTCATTGCCTAGGTAAATGCAAAGAACCATGAGCGTCCAGGCAGATGCTCCAAAATAATATTACGTACCCAGAAGAGATCTGCATTGGAGGTGCTCGACGCCGTTACAATCGTTCCATTAGCCAAGACTGCAGTCATTGATTGGACTGTATCGAGGGTTAGGCCCCACATTCGAGATGCAAATCCAAATCCTCCACCAGCTGAAGTACATGAGATTCGAGAGCTTCTCGTTATTGAAATGTTGAGAACTCACAGACGTGGCCACCAATGCCCACGTAAGGACAGCTTCCATGGGGGAGTGTCCTTTCCTGGTTGTTTAATGCAAACGCGACGTCTCCCAGCCTATTGCCAGTTTCTATTGTTGCAATACCCGAAGACGCGTCGATGTCCACTCTGGTCATATTGCTCAAGTCAACAACGAGGGCGCCATTTTTGCCTCCAAGGCCATTAGCAATATAGTTGTGCTGGAATGATCTTAGTAAGGAGGTGAACAAGGAAGGGAACTTCACTTACTCCACCACTCCTTGCGACGACTTGTAGGTTTTCTGAACTACCAAGAGCAACGATGGCGGAGACCTGCTCTGTCGTCGAAGGATATGTCACTGCGACTGGGGAAAAACTGAAACGCAGGTTGTCTGTGGACAAGGGTTTCGATACGATGTGAATGAAGAAGATGATAACTACTCACAAGCCCTTCTGGCACCGTCATACGAGGAGTCGCCAGGGAAAACAGCCGCTATGTGGGCATCAGACAAACCGTCTTGCAGGCTTGAACTCTGCGCGAGGACAGAGATAGCGAGCGCCGCGAGGGTAAAGAATAAAGTTGGACGCGCCATTGAATGAATAGGTGGCCATCCTCACTTGTTTATATACGAAAGATGAAACGTGGAAGTGGGACCACCGTGTACTCTGTACATGTGCTCCGAGAAACCGGTACGCGAACGGGCAAGTTTGAGCGCGTTTCAAAACTAGCTATAGAGCAGGTCTGTCTTCTTTGATCAGCACATTCTGGTAAAATTTTGCATAGCCACGCGCCATTTTGCTTTGATGTCGGACTCACTTCCGCACACATCGTAGAAGTGCTGCTACCTTTGGGACTCGGACATCGGAATAGTAAACAAACCGCCCTTCTAAAAACCGGTTTACCGCATACCGGCGGCCTACGACAATGACGCATGGCGAGTTTTGACCGCGGTGATCCTTAGGGTTAAGATCGGAGACCGTATAATCCTCACGGTCGTCACCACGTAATAGAAACCTGTCGTAAACGCATTTTGTTGGGTCGTCACATCGCGTCGCGTCTTCTTTAGAAGAGAATGTATGAATTGAAGCTGAATGAAATCAGCGTTCAGCTAACCTCGACGACACCCATCTAGGATGAGATGCAGTACCTGTAGGCCCGGGAAAAGTTTCCGGTCCGACAACGTCGCAGTGAGGAGAAATCTGGAGAAATTTTGGAACGGCGAAGACGGGCGGCCAGCGTGGCACCGGCTGATACTTTTACCTACATCGGCGGCAAGGACTACTTGGTCTTTCGCCTACATCGCGACTCGATAGCTTTGAAGTGCTGCATACCGATTCGGATTAACTATTCGAATTCGCCACTCAGTATAGTTAAGGATTTCGTTTGGACAACGTTTGGATCTTTTTTGACCTGGCGGATGAGTCGGGCCGTCGTTCCGAGATCGTAGATCATGACGCTTCCCGAACTTTTTCTTATACCTTTATAATATGTTCGGGCTTACACTTGGAGGGCATGCCCGATCTCTGCGAAGTATTTGTTCTAGGTCTACGACATCTCTTGGGCTCATCTATTCTTACTTTTGGAATCTGCGACTTGGGCGCCATCATCTACTTCCTTAGTAACAAGTTCACTTCTCACTGGCACGCCTGCCAAGAGATATGCAACTTAATCGGTCCTATATGTATCAGACTTTCTTTGGTCCTAGGAAACTATCATGACCCTGCAAAGTTCAGATCGGGTCGTCGATTAGCATATACTTAGACTCAGAGCCGACATCGCTATCAAGTTTAAGTGTGGTTAATCCATGCACTCTTCCAATACCGGTGCTGAAACAAGTACAGCTTCTTTGTACACCGTTTCTTTGGTAACGCCACCTACGACTCCAGCTAAGAGTGGTTTCCTTGTGCCAACGGTGGGTACGGGATATCGTGACCATTCGTCGTACAGCGGCCATACTAACTACTGGGATGGTGCAATGACAAAATATTGCTCAGCGTCTGAGAGAGGTCTGGCTTTTTTTTGGTATATGAACTTGGATGCGAGTAGCTCTCCGCAGGTAGAGCTGGTCTCTTTCGTCACAGTATTTCTCAAAGCTTGTCTATCTTTGCATTAATAAGATTTTATAGGTGGATTTATACATGAAAACAATAAAGACGCCGGCACGAGCGATGGTTGCATAATTATGAAGAACGCAGCTCGAGGCCCACCTCCCACTGTCGACTATAAACAATCTGATCACGAAAACAAGGACTCTTGAAGAATGCAGAGACCTCGTAATAGCGGCCATCCAGCGGTCTGAGCTATGATCGAATTTTGGGTTGAGAAAAAAGGACTATCGTAAGACCATAATGTATTTTCATTTCAAAGTTCAAGCTACCTATTTATTTCCTAGTCACGAGGACGCTAAGCCAGGGAATGCATTTTCCACCTAGAATATGGACCAACTTGTGCTCAATGCCTATCGCCGCTCCGAAAGAGCCGTTGAACTGGTATGTAAACGCTAGTTAAAGCACTAGAAAGGAAACGGAATGTTCATGAAATTTACAGACAGAGGAGTTAAAACAAAATATACGTTTCAGTGCAACAAAAGGATTCCAGTCTCTTCTCTCGGGCCTCGGAATGTAGCAAGAAGCCTTCCGTGGGAGGTTAGCCTGGCAAGCCGCTTTATTAGATACTCGTGGAACTCGTGCGGAAGGTAATACCCCCCTGTGTGTCACATTTCTAGCCTTGAATCTACCTCGTGTTTCCCAGAAGTCGAAAAAAGACGTGGAAAAGGGGCTGAACTGCAGAAAGAACGCCTAGAGATACAATTTAGAGATGCAGGTATTACAGTTGATACCAGTCAACAGGGGACCGCACATTAGCAGGCCTGAATTGCCTGTATATAGAACGTACTCATCAGAGTCATAACAAACGATATTATCTATTCACGAAGCGGGAACTTGAAGGTGATGAAGATCATTCACCAGCAGAGATTTTGCAAGTCACAAGGTGGCCGCATCGCCAGGAGATTCATAAATCGACGCGTCTTCGTAATCCCCGTCGTAGGAATCCTCTTCAAACAACTCCAACTCTGAACTCGAAGACAGGCTCGATCCCGTCAAGCTCGAAAACTCCGAGTCGTCACTCTCGTCTGAATAACTATCTTCTTCATCACTCTCATATGCTCCCCGAGGTGTATACTGAGGGTTCTGTATGGGTGGGAATGGGCCAGCGACATTACCTGGCGGAAAACGTGTTCTGCCGTATGGATTATTCCCATTATTGAAGTGCGTAGCTTGTTGGTACATCGGGGAACGATGTACAAGGGGTCGAGGGTCAGGATAGTCGTGCATTGGACTGAACCGGGGGGGAGGCGGGGTATGATCATCGGGATACCTTTTCGAGTTGGGAGAAATGTATGGAGGAGGCCCAGGAGAGGGAAAAGGGGAATGGTTCCTGCTCGGCGGTGCGCTAGGGGAACTGTAAGGACTGATTGAGGGCGTTGGTGTCCGTCGTGAATCTGAAGAATAGTGCGACGATGGATACAGGGCACTCGATCTCGAGGCAGGATATGAAGTACTAATTGAATATCTGGAAGTCGGTTGGAACGGGGAAAATGCACGATTGTAGCCGTAAGCTTGCGACATAAAGATAGACGATCTCGCCTGCCCGCGATCCAGACGCGCAAGGTTTTCTTCGCTGAGCCTTGCAGGTACTGGAGAGAGCTGGGTACGATACGGTACTCCCTCTGCGTGGCGCCAATAAGGCTGGCTAGCAGGTGACGGACCGGGGACGTATGCCTGAGGGCTGATATATAGAGAATAAGCTACGTTCGAAGTTATGGAGCAAGTCGCTTACCGGTTCGCACTTCGATAATATGTCATGATTAGGGGAAAAGCTCCACGAAGATGGCTTTATAGTCAGTCGACAGAAGACTATTGCAACCTACCACACATACTTACACGTTGTCTTCGCATTGCCTGTTTACGAAGTAGCACTATGCTTCAGGCTGGTGTAGTACGGCGCTGCATATCACATGGTCTTCTCTCGGCCACGCGTTTCTAAGGATCTCAAACTCTGTTGCAGCATCTATTATATCACATTCTGCAAAGTTGACTTCTTATCTACCGGTTTCGCTTGGGATGGATCGGGCTTCCATCCAATCTGGCGTAGCGCAGCGTGATTACTACGGACTTAGAAAGGGGAACGAAGTAAGGCTCACCATGAAGATCACTTGGAACGTAGCTGGAACGGTGCCATCTTCGTTTCCGTGAAGTTCTGTGACGCAGAAAAATATCAGCGCGGTAACCACCTGGGAGAGATGCAAGACTTACCTTTGTATATAGCGGAGGCAGCCGTCAACGTGTCGCGGTGTATGAAATGTCGTCTATACAATGCAATGCGGTCAGTTGCTGGAAAGCCAATTGGATAAGAAGCTTACCGTCCAATGACAGCGTTACTCTCCCCCATGTCTCTAAGGTCATCGATCAGCTCCCACATACTTGGATAAGCTACTTTGACTTCGTCGATGTCGACAGTCAAGAGAGTGAACCCTGCGCGTCCGAGGAGGTTGGACACGTCGCGAGTATCTGATGAATGTAACATGAGATTACTACTCCATGAAGGTTAAACCATTTACCGGTCATGGGGGAGACATGAGGAGAAATGCCTCCTTCACGATCCACTTCAGCAAGTTGTAAGGACGTCCTAATATAGAATTCCCATTACCGGACTCGATGGAAGAAAGGAGGGCATACCGAAGCTCGAAGAGTGTTTCACCACCGAACATCGCTCCAAGAAATAATCCATCGGGTCTCAAAGCCTTGTTGATTTGCACAAGCATGCCTAAGATTGGGTAGAAGAAAAACTTTGTTACATTGGTTTGCCGGGGACTTACCTGGTAGGTCATTTATCCAGTGTAAGCTCAGACATGAGACAATTGCTTCTTGACTGTTCGGTTCTACGACTTGCAGGAGTTCCTCCTCGTCCGCGTGAATTCTTTCAACAGTAACTGAAAACAAACATTTCAGAGGATATTGAATCCGACTGAAGGCAGGCAAACCGTCAAAAGTCGTGTCTGGATCGCGATAGAGTGTCTTTTCTGGTACTGTTAATACGCTGTATTCATAAAATAAGTCAAACATTATACCACTTGATTCTATCATAATGCATTTTGTTGCATTCTCTGGACCAAGTAATCTTGCGAAATGACCGGGTCCGGAGCCTAGGTCAACGATCGTGGTGAACTTTCTTTTAATGTCCTTTGACATCGGTGAGCAGCGTTGCATGCGCATAAATGATTCGAGTCACCTCCAGTCGCTCCAAAAGCCTGTCAGCCACTTCGTCCCTCACGTAGTCGACGGTAGTACTGGACTTTCCACCGTCCTTTGCCACAGCTCGGTCGCGTTGTAATTGTTTTGCTTTCCGGTCGAACACGGTGAAAGGGCCCACATTGCTAGAAGATACGGATGCCAAGGACCGGACAGAACGTGGGATAACTCTCCTCAGCGAGGAGATCATGGGGAAAGACAGAGCTTTCGGATTACATAATACAATACTTGGTGGTTTCTGACCACAACAAGGACGACTCTGGGACCGGCGACACGAGTCCTTACGCGTCTTGCTCCCATAATGTCCCTGGAACGTACCAATGATAGTGGTACATTTACAGCGGAGTCCTATCGACGCAATGTCCAGACTATACAAGCAATGCAGGCCCACCTGGAATGGATGAAAGTGGAGAACGAAAGGGCTGAACTAGAATGCAAGGTCAGGGAGGGTGAAATGGCTAGGTACGTCGTGTAGCTCTTCTTTATGCTTCTTGACATTGACTCCTCTCAGGCAACAACTTCTTGAACTGCAGAGCCTAACTGCTGCCACGGTTCCAAGTAATGTCGGTCATCCTCATGCTTCAAACGGTCCTCCAATCGATCGGGTTCAGTCCAGCGCATATATCGAGGAAGTTGGATATGATCATGTAATAAGGCTTCGCTTTATTGTCTGATATGTTTTAATGCATCAGTACCAGCAGCTCAGTTCGTCCCGGTCCACTCCCGGCCACCATCAACCAAGCACGCCGTACCACTCGAATGGACATGTAAACTATTCGCCTGCCCCTCATGCCACTGTACCCATTGTTGCACAAAACTCTGCAAATCTGGCTAGTCATCATCCGTACACACACCGCCAAACTACATCTATCCATGGACCACCGACAAGCGGTATGGTTCTAGACATTTCTTTCGCTTCCATCTCTGATATCCCAGGTCAGGACAAGACTTTCGAACCTCCAGTCTGACTAACGCTCTTGGTGGTACCCCGCGTCCTCCCATTTCGTATGTCCAGGTACGTCCTACTTTGCTGTTCTTATTAGCCCAAGTCGTTGAATTCTTTCAAAAGCCTTCAGGGCCCATTGCCGTTCAGCCAACTTCAGTTGCAGCGCCTGACTTAACACAGTCAAACAATGTACAGCAGCATATCGCAGTGAAGCCGGGACCTTTGAGTACAGTTCGCAGTGAACACCCAGCTGATTTGACACAGTCCGCTAGCACGAAGCAGCATCCGGTACGTCGACTAAGATTGAAATTATGTCCATCTGACGCGTAAAAAGGGGACTTTTTTCTCAGAACACATACTGAACTTGAATTTCAATACGACTATAACTAAAGTTCGGCCGTGGACAGCAGATACTCTCATACAGATGCTGCGTCGATTCGGAAGAGAGGCGCCGATAAACACTCATGTTGACATTCCAGAACTGAGGCTGCGCGTAGCGAAGTTAGAAAACTCTACCGTTCGTCTAGTGATGGTCAATGACCAAGGGCAATCGATAGAGGTGAAGGATTATTCAGAACTACAGGGCCTGCCTCGGAGACTACTGGCGCGGATCGATTCTCTTCCTATTGGTGCTAAGACAGTTGTCGCTCCTACAAGGAATATAAACTCCTCTCCAGACGTAAATCCCGCTCGGCCAGATTCCGGTGTCCTGCGGACTAGCTCCCAGTCATTTGGCGACCCTCTTCTTCCTCCTAATAAACTTGCTTCCCAGAGCAATCAGCCCTTACAAAGTCAAGCAGCGTCGAGGCCGTATGCCGCGTCGCCGGAAGTCTCAGGTAATGGTATCCTGCGGAATGAATTGGCTGATGCTGGTGAAAGTAGCCGTTCTGCATCACCTCCACTATCCAACACTCTAACTCCTAGGGTAGGCAGCACACTTTCTCGGCCACGCGATGTCGCAACATCATCCTCGTCGTCTGTCCTTGAGGGCCCCAGAACTCCTTCACACGCCAATAAACATACATTAGCTCGAGACGTCCTTCGCGCCCTCGGAGTTCCAGGCAAGCGCGGACGAGAGGGGGATTCAGAAACTGAAGACGAAAGAGCTACAAAGAAGCGTGCGACTGATAACAGTTCGACGGTCTCGACAACTAACTCGACGAGCTCCACGCAGGCGCCTAAGGCAACAGTCACAGGAAAACCAGTGACTTTGCCGAACCCATTGTCCCGCCCTCCCAAAGAGAAAACTTATCAATATGCGCCTTATGGGTATTATCCACATGTTACATGGACACAACCTTACAATCCAACTTCTACACACCCTACGACCATACAAAATACCGGTACTCATGGCGTACAGGATCAGTCTACAACGGCCGATAGCAGAATACAGAACTCCTCGAGTCAGGAAGCGACATCGCTGCTTCCCGTAGGTGCAAGTAGTACCGGTTCCGATCAACCTGTGGTCGAAGCGGTGGCAGCGCCTTCGTCTAATCCGACATCAACACAAAATCCTTCACCTACCAACAACGATACAGTGGCAGACTCCAATCATGAAGTTTCACATACCGCAGGGGCTTCACTGGTCCAAAACTACAATGCTATGGCCTCGACGTCACGATCGCAGAGCCCAATCGATGTCCAAGAAGGGGACGCTGGCTCCAGCAAATTGCCATTGTTTTTCCGTTCAAGTTCGACTCCACCGGATGACACTGGTGGAGTAGACGATGTTGACCATAATGGTGCGGAGGACGTTCGCATTCTCGGTCCTGCAGAGCCTTTATCCGCAAAGGCTTTCGGGAAAAGAAAAATACCATATGTGCTCATTCCGCCTCCACCAAAGTGGGTTAAAGAGTTTAAAGCCAGATTAGAGAGAAGAAGACACGAAGCGATGTTCGAGGAAGCAGGTGATGTCGATGTTGAAGTGGACGGCTTTGAGTCGCCGACACAGCAAGAAATAGGTTCGGTTGCTCCTTGGCGGTCAAGAAAGGGTACCTATCTAATGATAAACTTTATCTAGGTTCTCAACAACATTCGAGAACACCAGCGCTAGGTCTGTCCCATTTTTCCAATGTAACGCTTGTCCTTATACACATCATTGATATTTATAGATCCCCAGGAAGAAGCCGCTACTCGGGAATGCAGCTCTCGACTGCGGGAATATCCCTGTAAATGGAGCGGTTGTGATAGCCTTTTAAACTGTGCAGACAGGCTATATCTACACCTTCAGTACCATGTCGAGCAAAACAAGGCTGAGAAGGTACATTCTTTATGCCACTTTGAAAAACATTCACATTGATTTAAATTGCAGTCGTTTCCATGTCATTGGCAACACTGTGGGCGAGTCCTTCTGCACAAACATGAGATGATATCGCATCTTCAGGCCCATGCATTCATGCCATTGTATTGTGCCTATGAAAGTATGAATTGTTTGAAGCATCCGACGCACCATCTGATCATCAGTTTACTTGTTACAGATTGCGAGGAAACGTTTCGAACAGCACGACAATATCTACAGCATAAGCCTCCAGAAACATCAAAGGGACAAGTTGAGACCCTCGGCTGATCCGGTTGTGCTTCAAGAGCACATTGAGCTGCCAGATGTCCCTAGCGTGGTGCCGTCGTACATGGCAGTAGCCAGATCAGTAGCTCAATATCCCATCTCGCCGGAACGACACCAGGTAATCGGTCTCTGGGTAAATATACGTTCACTGTTGGGTTCTGTTCTCCGCTGAACGTTTCAAAATAGACACTACAAAATATCTTCGGCAAGGTAGACTTGGCGCCGCAAAGGTACAATCTTGCGAAGCCGTTTCGACCTGGTGAGATGAGCGCAGTAGAGTTGCGGAACCGACACGAATACGATTTCATCGAGACGAAGCCGCCGTTTTCATCTTCCCCGTCTAGGTCTGCTAAGTGGGAGAGTGTGAAAGGCCTTACGGACCTCAATTCCGGCGAAGTCACCAAAATCTTTAAGGATAAAGGCATTGTCCTATGGGGAAAGGGAGGTGATGATGATCTTGTTGATGAGACGGCACAGGCAGGGAACGATGAAGAAGCAGTCAAGGTGTTATTACAAGTGTAGTATCGCTTAATAATAGAGTTTTGGTACGTAACTGTGCTGCGGTCATTTTGTCGACATTCTTGCAGTGAATACATCTCCTTTTGATGGTTGGGATCATTTTAAGAATGCTTCAGTTATTGGGGCCCATGCAAGCGCGATCAGATTTCCGAAAAAGGATGTTCTCACATTACGGGAACAGTTGCTTGAAAGCGGGTATCCTACACCTCTACTCTACACCATCATGGCGGGCGCTGCGAACAATCCCGACGGACCCAGTGAGTACCACTAATTGCGCGACGTCAAACGACGTTAACTGACCCTGGTGCCGCTTCAGGCCCATCGTACCTCTCCGCGCATAGCGCCGATGTCATTCTGTCCGACATTCGTCCCATTAAATTGAAAGTCGAGGCACTTCACTCAATTAATGTCCTTCTCGATGAATTCCTATACAAAATCATCAATACTGCGCAATCTCTCGTTACCGACAAGCTCAGAGCTGGATTGCTGAGCGTTCTACCGACACCATTGGGAAAGGAGGCGTTGTTAGAAGCCGAAGTCGAGCTGAGGGCGTATAAGGACCGGACAAAGTCCGCAAAGGCTGTCGAGGATGACAAGGACACATTTAATCTGGCATGGACATTTGAGGTGCGATACTAGTTTATTGCTGAATTCCATAGTTTTTTATGGCTTTTTTTTTTTCCCTTTATAGCTGTTGCGATTAAAATGCCAGGCGTATTCCACTCTCAATGAATCCGATGAAGATCCCGCTAGTGAAAGCCTTCTTGAAGAACGAATGAGCGATAGCCACCTACATGCGCCATCGCCGACACTGGTAGCCCCCGCAGCACTCTATCTCACCGCGATTCTCGAGTAGGTCTTCATTCGTATTTTTGCGACATTCGCTCAATTACTTCTATTACAGAGCCATGTGCGAGTGCGTCCATCATTTTGATTCAGTTCCCGCGTCATTTCATCCTGCTCATGACCCATCATCGACAGGCATATCTTGTCCAATGTTGGACGGGTGGCATCAAGAGACAGCAGCAGGGCATCTGCAACTGTCCAAGATGTCTTCGTGGCACTTTGCGAGGACGAGACCATTTACGGACTTTTCAAAACGATGAAAGGTATGCCAATGAAGATGGCAACAGCCGCAGTATTGGCTAATGCCGTTGCAGTGTATTCACAGATCGAGGAAATATCCACTATTTCAAAGGCGCGACGTAGCAAATCAATATCGAGGAGCGATAAGCTTTCCATCTCTCGTACATCTTCTCCATACGACATGTCTTCCAAAGATTCTCGCATTTCCTCAGAAGCTTCGTCTTCCATGATGGCTCATACGCCGACAGGGTCCAGAACGTCCCTGGATAAGAACAAGTCCATGAAAAAAATAATTTCAAACAGCAGCAGGTTATCTTCTGACACGAACAACACTCACAAGCGATCTGAATCCATCCTCAGCGAAGACACCAAGCAGACTTGGGCAGCTTTCAATCAAGGTCTTTCATTTGACGACGTGAGTGCAATAAAATTTCTCTGATTCTCTTCAATGTTTAGCCGTACCCCTAGGGTGCTTCGCTACAGGAATTCGACGACCTCATGCGCTCAGGTTCTACCATGAAGGTCTCCCTGACTCCCGATAGGCTGAAGTCTATGGAGGTTCGTGTATGCTCCTATTATGTCACCTTCCATGCTAAAAAATTAAGCTAGGCCTACAAACAGGAAAGGGACCGTGGTAATAGACGGCCCACCCCCCTTTTCCCATCTGAACTTGACACTTCATCGTCACCACCGCGAGCCAACGGTCGGCGTCCGTCCTTGCGACACGTCCATTCTATCACTGAGGACGAGGAACCGCTTTCTTCACCGGCATCGTCTCCTCGTACACGGCAGTCCATCACTACCCCTAATCCTCCTCCATCTTTGTCTGGCAGTCGCGCTCGGTCATTCTCGGTTGCGAGCCCATCTCCTTCGTCCTCGTCCTCGTCATCCTCACGTTTTCGCAAGTACTCTAAGCCATCGATTCCCTTTGCGCCCTCAAAACCAGCGACACCTCCACCAGTCCCAATGGCCCAGCCTAGACGAGGGCTTAAAGGGTCCGATGCAAGTCCCTTCCCACCTAAGACCCGGACTGTCCAGCGTAATAGGGAGTCTCTGGATCTTGACGATGTTATGGCTGGTTCTGACGAGGACTACGACGAGGTCGTGAAGGAGCCATCAAAACGTTCGCTTCCATCTGTTCCGACAACTCCTAAGCGGGCTGCCAAAGTTTCATCCAATACGCGCGATCTGATGGATTTCCTGGATGCAGGACCTCCGTCCACAGGGCCCCCTTCTACCGTTCCCAGGGTGTCCAGGGCTGCGAAAGATATGATGGACTTTCTCAATGAAGGGCCTCCCGAATATATGATGGGGTCCACGTCCTCCTCGTTCATGGATATCGAGAAGCCGAAGAGCGGGAGGCTACAAAGGATGATGTCGAAGCTCTCAATGGGCGGCGAAAAGACGCGTGGAACACAAGGAAACGATTCCATTCGACGTCAACCAAGCACTCCAAACATTCATAATAAACCTTCCCACCCTAATCTCCCAGCACTTGCCAATAGACCCGTTCCCCCACGTCCTCCTCCGATCTCGCCTCCGGCCTCACCTCATGATCATTATGATGATTCCACTGTGACGCGACCAAAAAAGCCTCTCGTTGCTAATACCGTCATACCCAAGGTCGAACCGATTGCTGCGGATACCCCGTCGGTTCCTGTCAAGACAGATACCCAGGAAGTCGCGTCATCTCAAGCACCTGCCGCTGGTCATAGCACCAAAAAGGATGAAGACGCTACTGTCGCTTCTAAGGCCAATCATTCACCGGCCAATGGGACGGAGAAGTCGCCTTCGCCTTCTACACATTCTAGCGAGAAATCTTCGCCGATCAAACCAACGGAGAATCCTTCATCAAGGGCTTCTAACATTATCCGCAAAGCTCCACCTCCAATTGTCCCCGACGCGCCACCACAAACGGTTGTCGATGACATGCAAGATATGCATCGCTTGATGTCACGAGCGACGACCGTTGATGAGTGTCGTGTGATTTTGGAGCTCTTCCTTGCGAAGTCAGGTGTTGCAGGAGACAAGGCCGTCGAGATGGAAGTTCCATACCCTTCACCTTCTCCGTCTGATACTACAGATTCAGTAGCGTCCGACGTTGCCCTGGAGCAAGCATTGGTGGAATACTTTTTGGGTTCGGAGGTGACGCCCGAAGGACCCCCTCTTCGAAAGAAAAAGCACAGTTCGAAAAGAGTCAAGGTTGTGCCCGCAGTTGACGTCGCACCGCCGCCCCTATCTTCCGGGGCAGTTACATCGGTCATGGAAGATGTTACCCCAAAACATACCCCCGCCGTCATCGAAGTCAGCTCATAATTCATTTCTTGTGTGGCGGCATCGATTGCATAATGTGTTTATATCCTAGTTATTTGCGAAGCTGGTACTTAGACGTGTGTTATACTGATTATATCCTCTCACTCATTTATATTATGCTATATCCTTTCGGTGAATATAATGTGGAATCCAAAGTGTATGTATAAGGAACAAGAGATCATGATGCAAGAAAACATGTGGGTCATGATTAACATAATATCGAATGTAATTTTATGCAACGTCAAGTGCCACTGCAATACCCATGGAGGCAAGCTCAGCACATAGATACCTAAACACGTATGGAACCGCCACAACGTCTAAATCCCCACCCTTCATGGCCCGATTGAGCACGTTTTGTGACGGTATGGATACTCTAACGTCAGTCTGCGGCTTTTGGGGCTTGCGGCCTGTGGCAAGCGCCTGACGGTCCCGTTCCTCCTCCTTTTCTGCGGCCGCACGACAGACTCTACAATATTCCCCGCCAGGTCCTGTAGGTTTTAGCGACCCTGACGTAATTGAAACTTCACCAAGACTGATATCATCATATCCCAACGATATGAGGCTGCCACAAGTTCGACACACCCACGCTGTTGAGTAATCTGAGCAGTTCATCAGTCTGTCTTGCAATAAGAATGATGTGCCGTGGGCGATGAGGGCGTCTCGTTCCATCTCTCCAAAACGTATACCACCAGCACGTTTCCGTCCCTGGTTTTTGAGGGTCAACGGGAGCAATAGAGAATTAAAGTTTAGTCGCACCTTCACAGGCTGTCGAGTCAGAGGATCGACAGGACCGGTAGTACGGACTTGGAATTTATCGAGAACCATGTGTCGCAACCTTTGATAGTACACGACTCCAATGTATATGTCCGCGGCGAATTCTTCACCAGTTATTCCGGAGTACATGGGCTCATTTCCATAGTAGTTGTATCCGGCTGCAAGCAGTTGTTCACCGAAGTAGTCGATGGCGGTGTCCTCTTCCGAGAATCTGCCAAAAAGTCAGAAACAGGCGCAGCACGAGGTTGGGTTAAAAAAATACGGGCCTGAACGGTGTTGCATCTTGTGCCAATCCGTGCATCGCTCCGGCCTTACCAGCCATACTCTCAACTAACATTCCAATCGTCATTCGACTGGGGAAGGCATGTGGATTGATGATCACATCGGGCTGCATACCACTCTCACTGAATGGCATATCAATAGCGGGCCATTTTTGCGAACATACACCTTTCTGACCATGCCGTGAGGAAAATTTATCTCCGATGACGGGAGCACGAGTTATGCGCAGAGTCATATGGACTTTTTGTGCCTCAGAATCGCCCGTGTCGTTACCTGTACACAGCTGGCATAAGTAAAGGTTTCGACGCAAGAAAAGGCTGAAAACATGCCTAAGATGCGGATTTTGTCAACGTAGGCTATTTCATCACCTTTGTATTTGACAAACTTTGTGCGGTTTGTCACGTCGTCGACATACGCTGCGATTGGATCACCTGGAGACAGCTTGCAGCCAATGAACGGAAGACCATCCGAATTAAGGAAGGAAGTGCAGCTGTGCGCATCGTCGCCATACATTCGAATATCACGACCGAGACCGAAGTGTAGTGTCGGTTCGGCTGACTTTGATGCGCCCCGGACATCTTTCAAGTCGACGATCTGCGACTTGTAGACAGTTCCGTAAGCAAAACCACGTTCATGCGCAGATTTGTTGAGAATCATGGCGTCTTCCATGTCGTAGCCGGTATATGATATGACTGCAACTATAGCGTTTGTGCCGTTCGGGAAAGCATCCATAGCATAGGTGTTATGCAAAGCAGGACGAACTACAGGACTTTGACCGCTCTGTAGGCGGTAAAGCTTGTTATCTGTCCGGTGCTGAAGCGCCGTAGAAGGTGTTCCCATCGTTTGTTTACCCATCTAAAATGACATTTCAGTTAGAGGATTTTCAAGAAGGGAGGCTACGACGAACCTGACACTGGTAGATGTTTCGAGGACTCTGGTAATGAAAATGGTCTATAAATGTTCCAAGAAGGCAGTATATAACACTGACCTGATTAAAATCGGAAAAAGGTGTAAGGTTAGCCAATATTGACAAGAAATTTGTCGGGTTGTGTTCGACATGTGTTGAGACATCGGCCTCAATTTCCTCCGGTGTGCAAGCAATGTTCATATACACCTGCTCAAAGGATCCAACTTGGTCATCACGCCCATTCGCAAGGTATTTGACCGGTCGCATCATACGGGATCTTGACGAGAACAAGAATAGCCCTGGATACTGGCCTCCATTCGATTCGAGCACAAGACCGATTTCGAGGTCCATCGGGATGTTGTTCTGATGCTCGGTTTTCCATATCCGAAGGTTTTTGGCAAGTTGCTCTGCCACACGAGGCCGCGCCCAACCGATTATCCGGCCATCGAGTTGTACGCAGATGTTGTTACGGCCGTTTATTGAGGTCGTGAATGCGAGAGTCATGCCGTGAGCGGCGAGAAGGGCGGGTATATGGTTAACGGCAAGTGGGGCGGTGACGATACGGCATGTTCGGGAAAGATGGTTCAACAAGCCACAAGGGGAACCATCCGGTGTGTGGACAGGACACAGAAATCCTAAAATAGTTGAGAACGTAAGATTGAATTATTGGACTATAAGCTTACCCCATGCCTCGGGAAGGAGTTTCCGTACGGTGGTCGTCTTGAGCTCGGCGAAGAATGCACCACGGTGAATACATCTGAAGTGACTAATGTAGCGCTGCCAGTTGAGCTTCTCAGCGACAATAGTGAAACCAGACGCTTGCTGGAGGTCAAGACCAGTGGGTGACACCAGATTACCCGTAGCAAGGAAGTTAGCCAGACGTGAGCCAATGTCGAAATTGACGCGGGATAAAACTTTCCCAAAGTATCGTTCTAAAATGTGTTAGCAAGGGCTGATCGTATATTTTAAACTTACTATCGTTGAAGTCGACAGCCACTCCATTTCTGACGTCTATGTTGATTGTGTTACGGATGTTGTTCAAAATTTCATCAAGGCGCTCTTTAATGATCATCCCATATAGAGTGCCGGGAAGGAGAACTTCTTGATGTTGAGGTGAATCGGGGTTATCCGCGCAGCATGACGATGAAACTAACGCGTATAGTTTGCGTAACATGAAACTAAGAGGAGGGAATATGAATCAAAGGGTGTCTCGAGCTGAATCACGTACTTACAGAAGCATTCTGAACTTATCCCTTGGGTTTTCCAGGTGCACAAGTACCATTTTCTGGATGAGCCAAGCACCCGCAGCGCCGTTCGTCACGTCGTCAGGTAACCCAAGAACCACCCTAAACCTGTCCCCGAGATAGTCAAGACACTGTTCTCCCGTACGCATGGTGTATGTCTTGAAACTTCGAAGAAGCAACTCTACGCGACCAGCCAGAAATGTGTCCTCGTGGTCTTGCATCATGACACCGTCAAAGATTTCTTTGTCTGACGCGCCAACAAGCGCCTTGAGAACGAGCATGATGGGAATAACATATTCTTGTTTCCGCCAGCTGAATCTGAGCATAGCACTACCATTGGAGAGATAATGTAGCGTGTTCGTTACGCTCGTCTGGTCGGGACGGACACAACGGATTTGTACGGCATACTCGGTGTACGATAGCCCGCGGTTGCTAAATGATGGTCGAAGCAGAGATATAACATGGTTTCGCCGTGGTAGAATGAGATACCGAATGAGACGTTCGTTTCCGTTGATTACGAAGTAACCGCCAAATTCCTCTGGCTCTTCGTGATGCTTGACCAGTTCGGCTGAGGACATAGAGCGCAGATTACAGCGAACAGACTGCAATGGAATAAACATCTTGTGATGGTAAGAAGACTAGATGTAACTTACGCGAACCATGATAGGTACTAACCCACACTCTTTCGGGAGTTCATGTTTTTGTCCGTGTATATCGGTCCAACAAAGCTTGATTGTCATGCGACCACGATATGATGTTAACCGTTCCCTGGCCTTGAATAAATTTCAGTCACCATCCAGATTATTCAAATTCGATACATACTTCTGAGGGATAAATCTGCTTGTTTGTGGCCCCGCTTGCCCGGTCCGGTACGAGCGGTCTGGATATCGAGACACTTTCGATCCAAACTGGGTTGCAAGTACTGTTAGCAAAACCAACTTGATTTCGATGAATAACTCACTTCGCATTCTATTACCCCATCCCACTTTTCCACTTTCCGGGTCGACAGTACCTGTCCCATCGAATACAACACGTTCCCCAATGTCTTTGAGACCCAATGATATCAGACCTTTGCCGTCACCGTCACCATTAGGCAGACCAGAGTCGTCGAACAAAGCGTTGAAAGATTCTATGTGAGGAGTGACGAAATCATTAAGAATGTTGTACGTCGATCCTTTAGCTGGGGGATGCTTGAATTGGTTTTCGCGTTCTAGGGTGTTGAACGTCGGTTTTCTACGCGGTCCTCCATCAGACATATCGTAGTCGGATTCCTGCCCTCGACTATAATTTTTTGAGTGATCGAAAGCCACGTGCGGCAGAGGCCGAGTCGGAGTTTCAACTTCAGACATGATGCTGTCAAGTTCCGACCGGGAGCCCCTTCGGAGTTTGAATTTGTGCACCCAACTCCGACCGAGTCAAGAGATAGAGGCATACACACTTTGACCTTACTTTCTCGTCGAAATGTTCGGTGGCGCTGGGATCACGTCTTCGTGGTCCAATCAGAACCAACAGCAGCAGCCACAGTCAACAGGGTCAGCTTTTGGGCAACCTGCGTTTGGGCAGTCAGGTACGTTGCTTGCTTCTTATCCTTTGTATTTTTTAACACTTTACCAGCCTTTGGAAGCGGTACAGGTGCATTCGGGCAAAATCAGCAGCAGCCGCAGCAGCCTCAAGTTAATCCAATGTTTGGAAATCTAGCTACGCCTTCTACCAACACCTCCAGCGGATTTGGTACGCAACGTTTCGAATCGGTAACGATCCTCAACTCAATTCCTTCCAGGCGCGTTCGGTAGCGGTTCGGGCACCACTGGTACCTCTGCCTTCGGTGCTACAAAACCTGCCACAGGATTTGGCGCGTTCGGTGGTGGAACAGGTACCTTTGGATCTGGAGGCGCGTTCGGACAAAACGCCAGTGCCAGCACGTCAACGCCGAGTGCATTTGGGCAGACCAGCACTGGAACCAGTGCCTTTGGCGCTGGCGCTGGACTGTTTGGCCAGAACAAACCTACAAGTACTTTTGGAAGTTCTACGACTACATCCACAGGTAAGTCAGTCCTTCTCGATTTGGTTCATGCCTAACCAAGACATTTCCTAGATGCTCCAGTACCTCCTGTCACTACAGGTACCGCTAATCCACCCTGGTCTGCTACTAGCGATAAGGACCAAAATGGCACGACAATGTGCAATTACCAGACTATATCTGCTATGCCGGCGTACAGGGGGACGTCTTTGGAGGTACAGCAATTTGCTTTCTGATGAATTTTTTGTTGAAATGCCTTGTCATTGCGTTTAGGAACTTCGGTGTCAAGATTATGCGCAAGGACGCAAGACTGCCAGTACTGGTGGCGCATTTGGTCAAAGTTCATTTGGCGGAAGCCAAGTTACGCAACCCGCAGGTACAGGCCTCTTTGGGGCACAGCAGCCGACACAACAGACTTCGGCCTTTGGTGTCACGCCCAATGCTGGCGGCACTGCGTTCGGCACATTCGGACAGAATCAAGGGAACCAGGGAACTACTTCAGCCTTCAGTGGCGGCGGAGCTTTTGGCCAGCCTCAGCAGTCCCAACAACAGCCGGCACAAGCGCAATCTGCCTTTGGTGGTGCATTTGGGCAACAGCAAACCGGCAGTGCCTTTGGTGGAACAAGTGCGTTTAATAAGCCTGCTTCTGCCTTCGGAAGCTTTGGTACCCCAAGTGGTGAGTCTCTTTATTATCTCAATGGTCAGTGCTGATCACTGGCACTGTATAGGTACTAGCGCATTCGGTGGTGGCGGCGCATTTGGTCAAGCCAGTAATCAACAGCAGCAGCAGCAGCAGCATCAGCAGCAGACTAGCGTTTTCGGGCAGCCTGCTACAAATACAGGCCTTGGAGCTTTTGGAGGTACGACAAGTTACTATAACATTGAGATTCCAAATGACTGATCCAATCTATAGCAGCTACTGCAAATAAGAGTGTCTTTGGACAACCATCACAACCTGCCGGACAGACCACGAATGCATTTGGTGGAACCAACATCTTTGGTCAACCGAATCAAGCGCAGCAGACACAACCACAGGCTTCCTCATTGTTTGGCGGTGGTACGTTTGGCAGCAATACCAATCAGCAGCAACAACAGCAACAACAGCAACAGCCCAACCCTTGTATGTCTCACTTATACTCTATACCAAGCAGAGCAGTTACCTTTTTTTCAACAGTGTTCGGCAGCGGTACCACTCAGAACCAAGGAGGCAGTGGTCTCTTCAACACTGGTAGCGGTCTTTTTGGTGCGAACACCAATCAGCAGCAGCCGCAGAGTCAAGCTGGTCAGAATACCCTGGGCTTGTTCGGCAATAAACCTGCTGGTCAAACACAATCGCTTTTTGGTACCGGTTTTGGTCAACAGCAACAACCCGCCAATCCTGTGCCACAAAGTAATATATTTGGGGGCACTCCCAATCAACAAGGAACCCAGCAGAATGCATTCGGTTCATCATTATTCGGCAATAAGCCTCTTGGTACCTCGATGTCGACCGGACAGACTACCGGATTGTTTGGAGGTTCAGGGAATACCTTTACCGCCTCCGCCTCCGTACCCGGTGCTCAAGGCACTCTCACCGCATCGATATCGCAACCAATTGCTACGAATTTGCCGATATTCTCCATGTTACCTCCTGGACCCCAAGCTGTCTCTTTGGATCAATCTACGAAGAAAAAAGCTAGTTTCTTTGTCGATGTTCCCACCAGATCTCCAGTCCCTCGTATGCAGCTCGGATTTTCTCCCGCGAGCTCAAAGCTACGTGGATTCGCTTCCTCAGGGTCCGTATCTTCGGTCTCGGGCTTGAACTTCTCTCAGGGAGCGCCCCTTGCCTTGTCGCTTTCCAAACCAGCTGACATCAAGCCTTCTGACTCCTTACTTGGTCGCAGCGCCAGTCCATCTTTGGGAAGTGGTCAGAAGAGGAGCGTCAAAAAGCTAATCTTCGACAAAAAGGTGGTTCCCTCAGATTTGTATGTCAAGTCGCCGAGCAACACATCTGGGCGCGGAAAGGTCACTTTCAGTCCTGCATTGAGCATCGCTCAACGTGAAAAGGAAGCGGAAGAGCGCAGTCAATCAACCAAACAATTTATACCTTCGTCCTCTCCCGCTCCTCGATCTCACAACCCTACGTTTGCCTCGCAGGACGCTTCAGGATGTGATGGCGCGGACATCGATTCATCCAACACTCTTGATGAGGGTGAGTACTGGGTGAAACCTAGTATGGAAATACTGAAAGGTTGTGGTTACGACCAAATATCGTCTTTCAAAGACCTTGTAGTTGGTCGTGAGGGGTATGGCGAGATCCACCTCCTTGAGCCTGTGGATTTGACAGGACTACCAAAACTCGGATCCTTGTTGGGGGATGTCGTTCGGTTTGACGACAAGGAGTGCAGCGTCTATCCAGATAGTGAAGACGTCGACAAACCACCCCCAGGTTCGGGCCTCAATGTTCGAGCGAGAATATCCTTGAAACGTTGTTGGGCGGTGGACAAGGCTAACAGGGAACCTATCAAAGATGAGACGCATCCCCAAGCCATCAAGCACTTGAAGCGGTTAAAGAACATGAAGGATACCCACTTTGAAAGCTTCGATATGAAAGATGGCACGTGGACCTTTACCGTGGACCATTTCTGAACTTTCTTCTCTTTCTGCTCCGCCAAGCCATCTGTAGTTACAGTACTTCCCGCTTTCGCATGTTGCTTTTTTTACAATATCTTATTAGGTAGTCACATAGGTAGCATTAGGTAGCACTCATATGTACACACGAAATATACAAATTTTTTCATTCTCGATCGTCAACGAGCGACGAGTTAAATCATTCATGGGACTGGAAACCATCACATCACCTGTGCACGGACATCTATTCAATATACGAGGTTTACCGTAACCTGCTCGTCTGCCGTTGAGGCAACAGCGCTTGTTGATTGCCTGAATTGCCTGAAAGATCCAGAGCGAGCTCTTTCCGGGCGCATGTGCCCATAAAATGATCACACTGGGAATGTACCCACATGCAAGGGCCAAGGGGCATCTCTGAAGCGAAGGGCTCATATCCGGACTCATGCTCCGTGCTCTTCCTCACATTTTCCGAATTGACGGTCAAAGTCGGGTACGACTTGGGAACGGCCATTCAAAACAGAGTCGCTGTTTCGCTGCAGTGACATTTCTCGACATCGTCTTGCGTGATCGGATATACTCTGGCGGTTGTCGGTGGAGGTGAAGACGGCCTTTGCGGGGATATCATTGGACAGGGTTTCTCTTCCACCCGATGTGGTCCGGGGGGGTCATATCACGTGATGAATTCCGATTCTCCGTTGCCGCTTGTTGTGGCCCACTAAGCTGAGAGGGCCCGTATATAAGTTCGGCCCCCTCGGTTACCACATCATCCCCTTCTCCTCTCCCGTTACGATCTACAAGCCCCTCCCTACCCTTTGACGATTAAAAATGAAGGTACGTTACGAATTCCATATGTTCTTTCATTGGCGGAGCTGACTCGGTGTCGTACAGATCGATTTGACCGAAGAGCAGCTCGTCGGGCATAACAATGCAACTATGCGGGGCGCCTTTGAGGGCTTTGCTGCTGGAACTGGACTTGGCCTCGCAGGTTCAGCCGCTTTGAGTCGCTATTCTGCGGGCTACCGTGCCCTTCCTCCTTCACTCAAGGCTCTCGGTATCATCTTTGTTGCGGCACCTGCATTTGCTATCCAAGCTGAACGCCGTGGTATCGAATTTGACAAATCTCAATGGTGCGTGTTCCGTTGTTTCGTGGGAGACTCTTTCTCTGAATGACTATGATCGCAGGCGGGATTCAACTGCCGACTTGCTCGACGAGAAGGAACGTCAGAAAGAAGAGCGATGGCAAAACTTGACTTTGGGTGGAAGGGTGACGGATTGGGCTCAGCGACATGAATACTCTGTATTTTTGGGTGGCTGGGCTGCTAGTCTCGGGCTGGCTGGTGCTATTATTGCGCGAGACAAGTGAGTGGTTGTATGGTTCGATTCGTGTTGGGACGGTAGCTGATATCGCCTTAAGATTACAAACAACTTCTCAAAAGGTGTGGCTATTGCTTGCGTTTCACTTACCCGTGGTCTGACCCGACGGACAGGTGGTGCAAGCCCGTATGTGGGCTCAGGCGCTAGGGATTGCTCTCATCCTAGGAATGGCAGCATTCAAGGCTCGCCAGAGCCGTAACTCTGCTCCAGTCAGTATTTACTCTACTACGTGCTAGAATACATATCTTAACGTTTATTTTCTACAGGTCGTAGATCATTCTTGGATGGAGGTGGTAAGTAACGGCCGCATTTGATTCCATTGTGCATGTTCTAACGGCTTCGTTACAGCTCGAACAGCAGGAGCGCGCACGTAAGGATGAAGAAGCGCACCTGAAACAGCTTGCTTCACCCGAGGCTCGCCGACTTGCGTCCGGTCTTTAAGGCTTTCCTATAGGTTATATCATCATCGTTAGTTTCATGTCAGTGCGACAGCATGGACTTTCTTTAGCGTCGCACGTTGTAGACCTGCAAGCTACACTATAGACGTACTGTATCTTTAGCATATAATGGCCCAGTAATGAGTTTTTCTGTTCTTGCTGTGTCTTCCCGGATCTTTTAATAAAAAATTTTTTGACGGTTGTCGTAACTGTGCGGGGGACATCAATGAGCGGGGGAGTCGAATGGCTCCAGACCTCGACGCTTTGACAACGGACGCTTCCACGCTTCCACCGATCACGGAGGGGAACAGGGTGAGGCAGGAAACGCGCGCGACTCCCGAGGCTTTACCGTTCGGGACCCTCCGACTCGGCATAAATCGGCGCGCAGCCGCCTTCACGTGATGAATTCGCCCAAATGACGTGACTCTCGCTTAACTCACTGTCGTTGTCCACCAAGGATCAGAAAATGCTGACTGAACTTTGCACGGTATGGCTGTCACTGACCATGTTGAAGATCCTTACTAACAGTCGAATCTGGAATATAAAAAGGTGCTCAACATCTGTCGTTGACCCACAGATACGATATCATCGATGACTTCTTCTACACCTCTCACTCTTCCCATTTCGAACGATACCCTAGATGCCATCAACAAACAGCTTGTTGATAACACTCCAGAAGAGATCCTGGAGTGGGCTGTAGAGCATCTTCCGGGGCTGTACCAGACCACAGCCTTTGGGCTCACTGGGATGGTCGCGATAGACATGCTGTCCAAGATCACGAAGTCCCCACCGCCTCTGATATTTATCGACACGCTGTATCACTTTCCAGAAACATACGGGCTCGTGGAAGAGGTAAAGAAGCGGTATGGGGTCCCGGTGAATGTTTACAAACCGGAGGGGTGCGAGACGGTACAGGACTTTGAAAAGAAGTATGGTGAAAAGCTGTGGGAGCGAGATGAGGAAACATATGATTTTGCTGTCAAGGTGAGATACCACCGTGAGTTCCTTCTATAGTACTTATCTTTGGTTTTAGGTCGAACCTGCGCGCCGTGCCTACGAGGAACTGGGCGTCAAGTCAGTTATTACTGGCCGACGGGCTTCTCAAGGAGCTGATCGTGCTGGGCTTAAGCCGCTTGAGGTAGACGAGACGGGGTTGGTGAAGCTGAACCCTCTTTTTGCGTGGCCGTTCGCTATGGTGGATTGGTACATCACCGATAACGAGGTTCCTCGAAATAAGCTGCTTGATCAGGGATACCGAAGTGTTGGGGACTGGCACAGCACGGAGAAGGTCGCAGAAGGTCAAGACGAAAGGGCTGGAAGGTGGGCTGGGAAGGAAAAGACCGAGTGTGGGTTGCATAAGGATTATTTCGCAATGAAGGCGCAAGCTAAGCGTGCTGTGAGAACCCTGTTTCTTCATTCTGAGGTGAAAGCTGATTTGTATTTCTTATCTGATCCAAGGCAGAGTCCGAGGCTACCAAGACGGCGCCTTCCGTGGAAGTTGGCGCGTGATACGTTGACTCGCGTTGATTGTCGTCGTATCTTTATGAATCTAGAAGCAAATATTTTCTGTATGTACTACAATAAAGGGTTACCGCTTTTCGTTGGCTAGACAATTAGCCGAACAAATGAAGCTGAAGTGAGCGTAATAGTAAAAGTATACGAGCACCTTCAACCAACTGCTTGGGATAGGGGTGTACTGACATTGTTGACGCATGTATGACGCATTCCGATCAACTGTTCATTATGCTCTCCACATTTCTCTACTCCTTCTTTCTCTCACCATTTCCGTACCATTAGGCGACACCCGCGGCCGTTCGTTGGTCGTGTTATAAGGACTTCTCCACAGCCTGACGCGTTACGTTTGCAACGAGGAACTCTGAGTCTTTACACCGGCATCGGTCTCTTGTAAACCGAAGGAGCTGTGCAGGCTTTCCGGGGCCCGCAGAACTCCTCGGGAAGCTGTACCAAGTCAGCATTTCCATTGGCTCATGCTGTGAAGGGATTACTTCCTCAGGGTGGTTCTTTGGTGCCTGACTTTGCTATCAGGCCTGTGTCGTGGATTTAACTTGAACCAGACGGTCTTCCTCTTCTTCGGTCCGAAAGTGATTTCTCAGGGAAACAGCAAGAACTCAAAGTGCAGTATTGAGCTGTACACACTTAGGCGCGCCTGATATTTCATGCCGATGTCAAGGTGTGGCTGATTTCTGGAGGAGCGGTGTATGTAGCAGACATGGTGGAGAAGAATTTTGACTCAAGGGTTTGAGTTCGAATATACTGTTACATACTGTGTCCGATGCAGGTGGCAGGGCTACCGGGCACATATCCACTTGGTCAAGGCCTCATGCCTCGGCAGATGCAACGATTCTAGTCTCAAGAAGAGACAGTCCAACAACATATGGTGTATTTAAAACCACCGTCTGTCGGAGGACAAGTGGCTAAAGCGCTTGAGCTACTATTCCCAAGTTGAGTTCCAATTTCTTATCGGAATTTGTGGCAGAATCCGAAGTACCTGGCAGAACGAGGTTGGCGCGTGATGCGTTGATTTTTACACTGCTTGTCAGCTTTCGTTCACCTCGTCGCATCTTCGTGGGCTGAGAAGCACCTACATGCATTCTTATACGGCATCCCGGAATACTCCCGAGTGCCTTGCATGCCCATTGTCCCTAAAGAATTTAAGAAAGGCTCAAGTATACTGCTATCATGTGATCGGGACTGATGGAAATTGCGTGCCCTGCAAATCAATCATTGACTTTGAAATCTGCGACACCATTTTCTACTCAGCGTAGTGCTATTTCAGACGGAGAATCTGAGCGAACTAAACAGCATGGCATCGCCTTGGATGCCTTAAAAGGCTGATCTGACCTTTAAATCGTCGCTATCTCTGTTTCATCGCTTCCCCCACGGTCATTACTAGCGATGGCGCTCAAGTACGTCCTCCTGGCTAGAGTCTGTTTAGTTATAATACTAAAGGATGACTAGACCAGATTTGGGACCACAGGATTCCCTACTTCCCCCGCTTCCGGACATCAAAGACGATAACATAAGGATCCAAGTGTTCACGCACAGGAGCTTTTTTGCACGGCCTGTGCATATATTTGAGGACCACCCAAATGACCTCAGCCCCGATAATGAGAAGTACGACATTCCCATCATGCAGAGATTGACTGAATACTGATGGTGGTCAATGTAGACTCGAACATCTTGGGGATACAGTCTTGGGGCTGGTGGTGACACGTCTCATGCTGGACATGTATCCTGGCCTGCGGGTTGGTCCTTCCACGGTGAGTGCCGAGTGGTTACCCGAGGTTTGTGATTGGTGGGCTTAACTAGGCGGCAGAAAATACGCGCGTTAATTGTTGGGAACGCCACATTAGCGCATATGTAAGTGTAACATTTTGTTTCTGACGCATACGATGACGTATGGTATGACCGTTAGTTCGCTCAAGTATAAGCTGCCTGACAAACTTCGGCTGCATCCCGCGCAAGCACTTACCCTGCGCGCTTCGACGAATGTCCAAGGTAAGCGCCCTGAGTCATGCCTGTATCACGTACTCATGGGACATCATATATAGCCGATGTATTTGAGGTAAGCATCTATGACTTTCCGGGTGCTCGAAAGTTCATTCTGCATCAGTCGTTTGTTGGAGGTTTGTATGTCGACCAGGGCCTGGATCGCGCCCAGCCTTGGCTGTACCAGCTTTTCCGGCCATTCGTCGAGCTAGCATACAATACGGTACGCATGCAGCACGGCCTCCCCTCAGCATGTGCTCCTCCTTCCCCACCTCCTGCCCATAGTCAATTTCCGGCCCGTCAGCCCCTTGGGCATGCTGATCTCAATGTTACCGAGACGACTGTCGGACACCTAGGGCTGTTCAACCAGCACCTCCAGAAAGCTAACCGGCAAGTCGAGTGGATCTACTCCATCCGCGACCCCGACTCGGACGACGGGGAGGAGGCTGACTCGGAAATGTTAAAGGGTATCAAGACCACGCCTGTGTGGTATGTTAAGGTTGTTGTCGATGGGGAGCACTTTGGGAAAGGCAAGGGGAATACGAAGAAGGCGGCGAGGAACGAGGCAGCCAAGGAGGGCTTGAAGAAGTTGGATATCAATGTTTAGTGAGTTGCCCTTTTGATTCTGCATGGTTTCTCCAGACTGGGGCTGGACACTTGCGGGCTAGCTGCGGTGTGAAGAGGCTGTGGGGAGGGACATCGGTCAAACAACCAATCGGGTATCTAATGCAACATCGGAAGGAGTGGGGTAAATGGACTATCGCTGTGAAAAAGTGGGTCAGATGACGGGTTGCCGTGGGGTACGCATTGTGTAAATGTTTTGTCAGAAATGTGATTGTTGTCGGCTTTCTGCGGATCTGGCCACGGAAAACATCTCTTAGAGTGTGTGCTTTGCGCAAATCACGAATGACACAACGGGCCGTGGAAAGTGACACGTATCCTCGACGCGACTTCGTAGGAATTGTAGATCGTAAGAAGGATTTGAAATCTTATCCGGCCACCGAGGAAAACTGACGAATACGATCTATTACAAGTGGCACGGGGCCGTTGAAGGTGTGGGGCAACGTAGTAGAAGTGGGCGAGCAACGGAATAAGTACATGAAAGCAAGAGACGACATTATTAGTATGTTGAGACGTTGCATGCAATCATACAGATCCCGTTGTGTAGAATCTCCAGGCAAAGTAACCCCCCAACAGTGCGAGCGGGATAAAGTACATCATACTACCGAAGAAAGATTAGTGTGCTGTTGGCTGGAAATGACGGCGACGTACTTAGAGCCCTGCTCAACAGCACCAGACACCCTCGACGCTTGAGCGGCTGCTGCGCCTGACTTGATATCGAGGCCCTGTGTGACGGTCAGTTCGCTATCTTCGGACTCGTGGATGGGCAGCGTACGCTGTTTTTGTCGAATTCACCAACAAACAAGCCGGGAAGGAGCGCCCTAGCCTCGTCTGAGTGACCAACATCCTCGAAACCTTCTGTCGCGTCATGGCCTGAATAGCGGTGAGAGTGGGTCCATATCAGAACACAACCGAGGCTGACCTGCTTCAGCTAAGATCACTTCGTCTCCTCCAGGATGCTAGAAAGGCTATAAATGGCGTGCAAAGGTACCGTGTGTTGGTAGAAGCCTACTTCATCGAGGAACTTTGTGACATCGTACACTGTTGCCCGTCATCATCAGACAAAACAAAGAATTGTGATTGGACGGAAACGACGCACCCTTTCCACTGATAAGAAGGTATATGGAGTCCTTGGTCGTATGAGCGCGAAGTTCGTCGTAGGTGATAATCTTCTCAGACATGGTGGGTGAAAAGGAGGAGGCCTAGGAGCGGTCTGACTAAAAGTGGATTCAAACCCGTCCACGTCGCGCGACTTTTTATAAGTTTTCTTTTTCCCACGATTTCACCGATTCTTTAGAACTACTCTGGACCGACCAATCCACAGAATATGATAGAACACGGAACCGGCTTATTTGCACATAGATAACACATAATACAAAATATACGCCTAGTTTAGTACTCGAATGGCCATAGTATAGTGTACAGTAGTAGCTGGCAGTTCAAGCGTGGACCAAGCAACGATCAATCTTCCACCGCACGAGTAGGGGTAACGAAGGCAAGAAAAAGCCGTGTTCCCAGGCATTCGCAAGTGGGATGTCGAATGAATGAAAAGAATTCAAAATAGTACTTGGCATCGAAGACACTTCGTATTGTGCAATGAGTCAGGAGACAAAGAATCGGACGGAAGAAAAAAAAACTTTTAAAGCCTTAGAGCAAATATGGACAAATAGCTTAGGTAACCCAAAAATACGGCTCCGCTCCTCGTCTTAACCATCAAAGTCCAGTACGCGCAAGCTACGCGGTCGTGTCGAGTCACTCCTTCATCTCTACACACCATGACCGACGACTTTGCTGATATCCTGGGGAGTGATTCTCTGCCTGTCAGGCGTGAATTCTCACCCAGCGCCTGGTCAGCAACGTCTCTGCTCAAATATGCTGGCTGGACGCTCGGTGCTGTTGTTACCTACGTGGTACTGGTCCTGGGTTGGAATAGGTTCTCAAAGGCACGCGAAAGGTCCTACAGGCTGTACGTTTTGATAGCTTTTGTGGCATTGGGAACTACTCACGGTTTCTCTGTCTGTTCTAGGTCGATGCGACGCCGCCATGGGATTCCGGACAATGACCACCGCCCATTCAACGTAGCATATGCCGCAGTACAACGCTCTCGACAGGAAAAAGAACGCCCGGCGCCGGTACAGAGGACTCAAGAAAGTGCGAATACTCAGAAAGCTCATGAAGCTCGTCCTGTACGGGCCGAGCAGGTCATAAGGAATCGCGGAGGTGCGTTGCTCATTCGTATGCTCAAATTAAGCTTGCTGACATGTGTTCAGAAGGTCGCAGTACCCCCCAATCACAGGCTGCTTCACCAACCAACTTTCCGGGGCAGTACGTCTCATCGGCTACGGAACCGCTATATCCATCTTTGCCTGCAAGTGAGGCTGTACCGCCACCACCACCTGCGTAAGTCTACTGTATCACTTGGGATGCAACACGCGACGGTCTGACACGTAATGATAGATCCACACCTCCAAACAGAGTCGTCTTCGCTGATGGCTACAATACTAGTGCTCTTCACATCGGCGTTCCTTCTCCCACCGAGAAACCTGTTCGTAAAATGAACGGTATTCTCAAATCTACCAATGCCCACAGAAAGCGTGGACTGGAGGAAGAGCCTATCATCATTGATAATTCCAAGAAGTCCAGGGTCGAAGGGGATGAGTTCATTGATGGAGACGAAGAGGCCGAGTGGCAGAATTCGCCTTCTGGGTGGACACGAGGCAATAAGCGTAGTTTTGGCGATGAGGACGATAACGAAGAAGTCATGGTATCAAAACGGGCTAGGGAGAAGAGACCGAGGAAGGTGTCACGGGATTACGAAGCCGTTCTGTCTGATGAAGATATGGAGGTAGACGAGGACGAGGTTGTAGAGGAACGGGCTACGCCACGAGGCAGGAAGCGTGACCGTGTCGAGGCAGGTCCTTCCTTTGACGGCGAAGATGATGGAGAGCCAGCGGAAGTCGAACCGAAGTCGAGAGGAAGGAAGAGACGGAATAAGCGGAGGTCGGACGTTGGTGTAAAGGCGCGGGGGACGAAACGGGAACGTGATAACGACGATGAGGAGATGCCGGATGAAAACGAAGAGTCGTCTGCTCAGGCGTCTAGGAAGAAGAGGGGTAAACGAGTCCAGGCTGTCCAAGAGGATGAACATGAAGATGATCGCTATGCTGATATCTCTATCGACGTGTCTCCGGATAGAGTCAAGGGCAGAGAGATCGGCGAGGAGTGGGAGAGTAATGGAGTGAGGTATAAAGTGGGTCCAAACGGGCAAAGATTGCGTCAGGCACTCGTCAAGAAGGCTGGACAGAGGTATATCATGGTAAGGTTTGTTTATCTTATGCGGGTAGGATGATTAACAGGGTTTACAGCCGAAAGACTCTCAACATCCGGATCGGGAAGCCAATATTGAGGTCTGCGTCGAGAAATGGCTTACAGAAGAGGAGTTTAGGGAAGCTAAACAACAACGCTTGCTCGCTTGGCAAGACTCGACGCCGAGCAAGTCTTCTGAGCCTTCGACACCTTCATCTGAAGTTCCAGTAAGCATTCTAGTACTTTGGTGTCTATTCGCATCTTGACTAGAGTTGTCTAGCCCTCTCCTTCCTCTGGCAAGCATCTTCTGTGGGACGCTACGGGTTCACCTAAAACCAACAGTCCAAAAGACCCATTCGGTAAGCCGTCGACCCAGCAATCCCAAAGTGCAATTCGTCAGTCCGTAGCCACCACTATCGGGCTTCAACCTACGTTCCGTCGACGCATAGCAGGAAACTTCACTCCCACCTCTCCTTCACCTACCCCTCCTTCACCTGGACCTGGACTCGCTGATAGTACCAATAGCAGCCCGCGACGCGCCCAGAAGGGCTATTCCAAGTGGGAGAAACAGGATCTGGAAGCTAAAGCTATGATGAAGATGCGAGAGGCTAATCAGAAGAAACGCGAGGAGAAAGAGGCGTTAGATCGATTGGAAAAGGAGAAGAAGGAGAAGTTGAAGGCTTCGTTGGCGCCGCAGCCTACGATTCCAGTAATATCTGTGACGAAGCCTGCCGAAGAGAGTGCTGCTCCTAAGAATACGTTCAATTTGGGTGGGGCAGCTTCTGGATCGTCAGACAAGCCTGCGCCTGCCTTTTCTTTAGCATCGACGACCCCGTTGGGCTCCGCGCCTCAGCCTTCGCTTTCATCCGCTCCTCCCTTGGGTTCTACTCCGGCACCTTCGCTCGCGTCTGCTCCACCATTGGGCTCGACACCTGCGACTAACACGACTCCCTTGGGCGGCGGCTCGAAGCCTGCTACTACGAGTAATCCATTCTTCAAACAGCCATCTGCTCCTAGCAACAACAAACCTTCATTCTCCTTCTCTCCCGCAACGTCAAGTCCTTTAGCAACTAATTCGCCGACTAAAGCACCTGAAAAACCCAAGGCGCCAGGCCTTGGTTTCCCGGGCGCGATAAACCCTACTCCTACACCCGCCTCTGTCTCTACACCTGCGACATCATCCACTCCTTCCCAACCTGCCACTAAGTTCTCTTTCAGTCAAAATGTTTCTACTCCTTCCTCTGCGCCAACGAATTCATTGTTGGCACGAATGGGTCCTCCTGCTCCTCAGCAGCAACAACAACATCAACCACAACAGTCGACGCCTGCACCCCCTGCTCAGCCTGCGCAGAAACCACAGACAACATTCTCGTTTAGCACGCCTCCTGCCACACAATCTAGTACACCGTCCTCTTCTTTCTTCAGTAAACCTGCTGAGCCTACAAGTAAGCCAGCTCTGGCTGCCGTACCCGCACCCGCGAAGTTCAACTTCAGTGCCAACATGTCCCCCACGAAGCCTAATGCGACACCATCGTCGTTGAGTGGTGCACTGGGCCCGACGCCACAGGTCGGCGGTAGCAAACCAGCTGAGCCGTCTTCCAACTTTGGTACATTCTCCTTTGCGAAACCTCCGACTACGGCTGGCAGTGGCAGTAGTGCACCGAACCCGAATCCGTTTGGAGCAGCTACGACTAGCAAGTTTAACTTTGGGACCAAGGAGTCCTCGTCTTCGCCCGCCCCTACCCCCACCCCCACTGCCGGAGGCTTCGGTGCACAAGGCCAGTCGACGCTCGGAACTCCGAAAGAGTCTACACCTGCACCTTCGACCGGACCTGCTGCTACCTCCGTGTTTGGTGGTTCTGCTGACAAGTCAGCATCTGGCGCGTCCAAAGAGTCAACTGCTGCTCCTGCACCCGCTAGTAGTGCTCCTGCGTTTGGTGGGTTTGGGGCTCCTGCAAACTCGCCCTTCGGTACTCCCAAAGAGTCAACACCCGCACCCGCTGCACCTTCCTCGACCCCTGCTGCCTCTACTTTTACATTTGGGACTCCAGGAAAGTCGGCGTTCGGAACGCCCAAGGAGTCAACACTTGCATCCACTACGCCCGCGGCCTCTTCATTTGGTGCATTTGGAACTCCTGGACAATCGACGTTCGGCACGCCTAAAGAGTCTGCTCCTGCATCTACTACGCCTGCTACCTCTGCGTTTAGTGGATTTGGGGGTGGTGCGGATAAGCCGAAGTCTTTTGGTGGATTTGGGCAGGATTCAAACAAGCCTGTGTTTGGAGCTGGACCATCTTCTGGGTTTGGGAAAAGTGGGATATTTGGAGCGGCAGAGAAGGGAAGGGAAGCGTCGGGCTCGGATTCCAATGCTAATGGGTCAACAAGTACCCCTTCGGCACCTACGTTTGGTTCATCATCATTTTCTAGTCCGTTTGGTAAATCAGCTCAGAGTGGTGGTTCTGGAACGCCGTCGTCTGCGTTTGGTACGGGTGGTGCATTCGGAGCCGCTGCAAAGGCAACAGAGGCGCCAGGTACTGATTCCTCGTCGGCTCAAACCACTACCACGACCACCGCATTTGGCTCGTCATCATCACCAAGTCCGTTTGGCAAACCCGCCCAGAGTGGTGGTAGTGATGCGCCGAAACCTGTTTTCTCATTCGGAACTAGTACAGGGACGACGACACCAGCACCTTCCTCTGGGGCATTTTCGTTTGCTTCCAAGCCGACGGCCTTTGGGGGAGGTTCTGGGTCGACTACCCCTTCTGTATTTGGAGCTGCTGCTGAGAAAAAGTAGTGCTCTTTTTTCGTTACCTTTTATTTTTGCCTGTATCTTTCCTGCATTCATCTAGGCACTGTACTGATAGATTTGGTATTTACATGTAATACCAGGGGAATACATAGTTTCTCGCCCCAAACAATTGACATTGACCCCTAATCTCGATTTCACGTGGTAAAGTGCTAGAACGTCTCGTCCGAATCGTATGTTTCTCACTCCGTGTTACCTTGTCCTGCGACGCCGACGAGGACGTGCTGTACTCGCCATTGGCAAATATCAAATCCTAACGCCAGGATAAGGCGCGTCCAAGGCGTACATTCTATTTCTCTAGTAAGTCCTTGGATTTCGTCGTCGCCGTTTGAGTATCCAATGATTCAGTTTCCGCGTTGACCAGCACTATCCTATTATTCGTCACTAGTTGTATCCTAACCTATCCAGTAAGCACGCTTAAATGTTTCCGAGTCGACCGTCTCACGATTTATTTAAACAGTATATTATCAACTATGCTAGCCAACGAAGGGTCTTCAGTCTCTAGGCCTCGTCCTCCAGCCCAGATGCGCCGTTCACATTCCATGTTCAACCAGAAAGGTTCTCCACCTCCGCCATATGCCTCCTCGTTCGTGTTTCCTTCACAGAAGAAACTATCTCGGTCCTCGTCAAATACCTTGCTAGGATCTCCCGTCTCTGCGACTTTCAGGAGGATAGAACGCGAGGCGGGGAAAGCAGTAGCTGAGGAGGATAATATGGACTGGTTGAACGAAAAGTCACGAGAGGAACTGTCGGGTCTGTTGTTGAAAGCGGATGATATCATTAAGAAGCGTGAAACGGGTATGTGGTCCATTTCTAGGTAAGGTTAGATACTAACTAGGGAACAGAACTTGAACGCACATCTTCTCTCTGCAAGAGCCTTTATGATGATAACGTATCCTTAAAGTCCAAACATCAAGACCTCTTCGCTCGTTTTCCAGGCAGCCTGTCACCCGCTGCATCGTCTTCGCCGTCACCTACCCCTCTTCAATCGCCACATCTTTACACCAATAGTATCTCGCGTTCAGCCTCTGCGCAGTCGTCTAAATCTAATTTTTATTCTACTCCCCAAACTGATCAACCTCGGCGCCGTGTTCGCAAAGTTTCCGTGCGTCTGGACGATATCAGCTTACTTGCCGATCAGAATGATGAGCTGCTCCAGAAAATCGAGCGTCTCGAGACAGAGGCTGCAAGTGCGGACCTGGCGGGCAGGCGGATGCTCAGGAGGCTGGAGAAGGAGATTTCTCAATTGAGAGAGGATCTTGAGAAGACTCAAGCGCGGAGTCAGGAATTTGAGGAGAAGGCTGAGAGGATGGCTCCAATAGAGGCTGCTTGGCGACGGAAACTGGAACAAGAGGCCAAGGCGGAAGCTTCTCATTCAAAGTCGGAGATCTCAGAAGAGGAAGAAGAGATCAGGGACTTTGCCCCGGGTGGAATCCTCTCACGGCCTTCAACATCGTCCATTCCGGATGTCATACCTTCGGAGGGGACTACGCCCCAAATTACAGCTTTATGTGATGCATTCACTGGTCTGGCTTTCTCATCGGTCTCTCCTCCCTCTGAGGACTCCACAACGCAAGCTCAGGAACCTCAAGCTCGAATTGAGCCTGAACTTGCTATCGTCTCTCAGCTACTGGCCAAAATTCAAGAGCTGGAAGAGGCTAATCTCCGGATAATACGCCAACAATCAGAAACGGCGAACAAGCTCATTGCCGTCCAGCAGGAGACAGAGAACATGAGTAAGGTATACGAGTCGCTGAATGATTCGAAATTGGAGTTTATGGAGGGTAGCGATACCACTTCGGAGAAGCCACGGTTATCAGACGACAGCACTATCCGATTCAAGAGCTTCAGGAAGTCGTTAGAAGGGGACATTAGGCGGCCTACTACAGACGATTCCTTCATAAACATGGCAGGCACCCACAAGTCCCGCAAGTCTGTCATGGGCCTCTTCGAGTCGCCGGAGAGATTACCCACAGAAACATCCTCTCCCTACAAGTCGAAGGGGCTCACCACGCCCTTCAAGACGCCGTTGCGCCATCATCAACACTCTTGGTCTACGGAAAGCGACGTGCATTCCCCAACGCTTTCTTCTGTTCATTTCTCTTCTTCCGCCTGCTCCACCCCCCCGCAAGGCTCCGGAGAATTATCTCCCTCACCTTTCTTTGAGGACACCCTTCAGAATGAACTAGGCAGTCAATTTGGCGATGACTGGGGTTTGAATACAGGCTTCCACCACCTGCGCTCGAGTAGCATATACGACCTCAGTCAGATTTCTGCTCCCCCTTCGCCCTCACCTGTACCCCATAATTTCAGTTCACTATACTCCGCCGATCTAGACGCGTCGAGTAGGGAGCACATACACCAAACGCCAGTGGCGTCTATGAGGGGTGGCAGTATCTTGCAGTTAACCCTAGAACCTCCTACTCCAGACAAGAACGAAGACGAAGGCCCTGCTTTGCGTAGAAAGCGGTCGCGATTGATGTCGCAGACCATACGTTCTCGTACGACGCGCTGGGTTAACGGGCGGTTTACTGATAAGGTGCTAAGCCCTCCGAGTTCAGCAGCCCAGCTACATCCGGAGGTCCCACACATTGAGGAGCCGGAGCAGGTGGCGGAGCAGGAAACAGATGTGGAAACGACGCCGCGCGCGGATCGACGAAAGTCTCTTCTGGTGGCGTTTGTTCCTATGCCTCGTAGACTGTCCCGCGCCCTCGACACTGTGGTCACGAAGTTCGCTGGTCATGCGCGAGCTACTGAGGAGGAGTTTGAAGGCTCGATGTTACAACGTGAAACATCACCACCAGAGCAAGATCGAATGGAACTCCACGTTGACAAGGCCACAGTCACTGAGAAGTCGAAAGGCTTCACTGGCATTTTGATAGAGGTGTGGATGTGGCTGCAGTTTGCTATCATCATTTTGGTGTTTTTGTTTGCGATGGCGAAGAAGGGGCCCAAAACTATCATCGGGGACGCTGAGAGGCGGGTGGTGAGGAGCTGAGTCGGAGCTGAGCATGGTTGTTTTCTTGATTGATTACCAGAACATTGGCACCATAGTGTTACCACATTCGTTTTTACTTATTTCTACATGTCTCTTTCGCCGCATGCTATACGTAACGACTTTAATGATTTGTAAAATATCTGCTTGTGAACTTTCTCCCGTACGGTCCTTAAGGGGCCGCTATCTGCACAGTCACCTTTTTCTGCTCATGCAAGATAGGAAAAGCAGAAAGGATAGCCAACTCCAACTCTGGCCAGTTTGGCTGATCTTCGAGTTGGTGGTCGACAGCAACAATTGAGATATCGAAATTTTTAAGCGATACAAACCGTTGAGCTGCGAGTGCCCGATCCAAAGAGCAACACACGAGTTTGTAACTATTAGAGAGGTCTTCGAAATCGAGAACATGAAGCGAGAGGCACAATTGACTGATGCGTGCCGGCCCGTCTCCCTGAGGTTTCAAGCACTCCGCAAACCATTCAAGTCCTATGATTTGATAGTCGCTATCCCAGGGTGGCTCAAAGATTACGCAAGGAACCTGGGAGAAGTCTACGATATCTCCACTGCCGTGTCGCTTGCCATCTAGATTTTGCCAATCAGATATGAAAAAGAGACCAGGAAGGCTTTTTGAAGGGACTTACAAATGACGTTTTTATGGCGCAGACGCAGCTCCTGGAGAGTCCCCCTGGTCTCAGGAAGGAGCAACTGTAGATCGCGTATTCCGTGCCAGTTTCGGAGCCAGGAATAAGAGAGCTTGCGTAATCTGCGAAGAACAAATGGTTTTCCGTCGGCCTTCAGGAGCGTGTTCACATCGCACAGGTTGGAGATTGAGAATGAGATGGACAGGTTCTCTATTAACGGCCCACTTTGTTCAGGCTCTGTAGCCTCAGAGACCGGGCCTGGAGCTGAAGGCTTGGATACACAAACGCGAACCTGATTCATCACCAAAGTTTGGAGAGCGGGAAAGGACCGCAGGATATCGCGCAAATGTCGGGCAGAACTGATGTTGAGGTTTTCCAGGGTGAGGCTCGTGATTGGGTAGGTTAGCAAAGTAGGGGGGATACCATGCATGTTCACCCGAGATGGATGTCTTGGGTTTATGCTACGACCACCATATATATGAAGCGAACGCAAGTTGGGTAGCGAACGGTTTGCAAGAGCCTGGGATGCGTCGTGTTGAGATAATGGGTTAATAGAAACAGTGACCTGGAGTTCCCGAACGAGGTCAAGAATATTTGGAGAAGTCGTGCATAGCTCGAGAAATGAATGAAAGTGTGACTCGTCTGGGAGACGAATGGATCGGAAGAGATGGCCCTGTACACGACTTTTGAACGATCGCGACACGGAATGAAGGGCACAAAGAGATTCGCGATCTTGGCTGAGCTTGTCTACAATAACATCAAGGAGTTCTTGTGGGAGACTGTCCATAATGCCGAAATGAATACCTGATCGTGATTTTAGAAGTTGAATGATGAGGCAGATAACTCCGGCACGCACTTTTCAAGCTCTATGTAATGTGTGATCTTGTCGCTGGAATTTTTTGCGATGTTTGGGCCGCAATACTAGATGGGCTATGGTTGCCCTTCAAGCTATGCGCATACAACTCGAAATATTCTGAAATTGCTTGGCTCCCAATTTAACCGGCCCTAAAGTGAGCGTCATGACTACAGGGATCTGAAATTTGAATACGGCCCCGGGCACGTCGTCGACTTTAACCTTTACATAAACTCCCGGCCCTCCGCAAAATGTGTCTTCCTCTCGCAGTGATACGAAATCCACCTCGTTACCCTTTTTCCCTATGTAAACAGTTCGCTTCCTTAATGTCCCAGTACTGAAGTCCAGAAGTTCTTGAGAAGTTCTCAGTTGTGATGTTTTCGGCCGTACCAAGCCTATCTCCCACCTGCGATTCAGCTTTATCTTGTTGAGTCTGGCGCGGTGTGGTCTCTGAAAAAACGACGTATATTGGCTTGGGCTTGGTCTTAGTTCTGCATGTCTTGCTATGCGAAATCTTCCAATGCAGAGTTCCGACTACTGGCTTTCATGTTCGATACTCTGGTGCTGCGGATGAACAAGTCTTCTGGATCTAGTAGGCCGCTGCGTTATACTGCTACTCGCAATCCGTACTCAGAATCGTCTCACTCACTTCTATCGGAATTCAGAATATCTCCCCCTCTTTCTGAAGGCTCTTGGACATTTCTCCGTTGTTTCAGATATCATACGACCTTCTTCTCTGACATGAGTCCGCAGCGGAAGCAAAGAGGATTGATGTTAGGTCATATAAGTGCCGACACCTACTTAAGATCGAGTAGAGGCCCGGTATCCACGTCCAAGACCTCCCCCCCGGCTCCAACACAATGATGGACTGCATTGTGTGTGACCTCAGCTGCAAGGATGAACAAGAGTTGGAGAGTCATTGGGACCATTGCCATCCTAGTTTAGCCAGCATCAATCGCAGTGTGAAAAACGTCCGAGTCACAGTGAGTCTTATGGTTTCTTTTTTACTTCTCGAACTTACAAAAACATCGAATGCAGCCTCCAGCACCTATTTTTTACTGCGATGAATGCTATAAGAGTTTTCCAACTATGGCGGCGTGCTCAAAGGTTGATATCTCCCCTGCGCCACAATTGATTTTGTCTCACTGATGACAACCTTCGTCGCAGCACGTTAAACGTGACATGTGTCGAGGTCCAAAGCGGCCACAGCGTTACGGAATGGCAAACGATGGACACCTCGATTCATGTCCGCTATTAGCGAAATGTTCGACGGCCTCCTCAACCTTCATTACATTTTTCGATCATTTTAAACCCAAGCGAGTCATGGCGAAAATAAGGAGACGCAATCGGTGGAACTGTAATCGGTATTCGGCCCTCATCTGAAGACTGATTGAGAGATGCACCCTCCCTTGTACATATCATATCACTCAGTACACTCAACTTTGTATATGCTTTTGTATCTCACACTATATATTTCGTGTCTCGGTATATGTAATAACATTGTTGCTGCGTGACGAGAGGATAGTACCACCCCGAATCCCGTTAGATTTTTTTATTCATATTGGTGATCTAATCACTTGCTGCAGTAACCGGAGGTGATGTTTTCTGACAAATTTATACGACGTTTGCCGTAATCTCGCAAAGCAAATCAGATGTGGAGACGAGAGACGGATACGTCTCGCAGCTGGAATATATATTCACCATCCTCATCGTCCTCCGTGACTTCAGTTCAATTTATTCGCCACCGACATTTGTTCATCATGATGTTGATTCGATATATCCCAACTTTTCTCCCGGTAGTGATGGTGTAGTCAGCTGTAAATTGATCACCTGTTAGCGATGACTGTACGAGGTGATGTTCAGGAAACTGGGGACGCGTAGCGTTTGTGTTTTCTTGTCCTTCGCCACAGTTCATGCAAGCTACGATCATAGAAAACAAGGTTTTTGAAAAAATAAACATGGGACACTTTGCATTTAGGCCCTCGCACGGTTTTCAAAAAGAAAAATAATGAAGTTCGGCAGTATATTGTGGAAGACGAATCGTGGGAAAATGTGCATATCGTGCCTGCCGCGGTGATCCGGCTAGTTGATCAATTGTTCAAGTTGCAACCAGCAATACTTAAGGGAAGATTGGAGTTCTGGTGGCTACGGACCTTGGATGAAGGTGAATTCAAGACTCCGAGCTAGTGCCTTTATTGTCGCTTTGAACTGCAGCTAATCTGTTAGTACTACCTGTTGTATAACACGCGCACCGTGTGCTCAGGCACGTTTGCCTAGCGAGTAGATAATGTTTGCTTATAAGGCAAACGAGTACAGAATACTACGAAAACTAACTACTTAAATACCTTTCTGTATCTTCTAGTACTTTCTATATCTTAGTAAACTCTTACTCAGCAAAACTCGGGCTAACTGGACATCGCGCCAGCTCGCACAGCCACAGGGTCATCAATATTCCACACTACCCCCAACGACTCGGGTATTGGATTACAAGTGAGCATGGTGTATCTGCTCTTGATCTAACGTTAGTCTGTTGACTGGCTGTCACGTCTACAGTCGTACTCGGCATGCGGTCTTTCCTTTCGCGCTTCACTGAACGCTACTTCCATGAATCCTAGCTTCTTATTACTAGGAACCGACTAGAGCCTGGCCCAGTCTCCGCTTGGTTTGCCTTCCTTATTGCTAACTTGGTCATATCCTCTCGTTCTCGCTATATTGTAATCGCCAAAAATGCGCTTGGTGTTGTTCATCTTGGATATGATTTTGTAGGGGCACTTCCCTGCCCAAAAGAAATTCTGGGTATTGTATCAGGCAGCATATTACGTCTGGTCTCTCTTTATCCCTTAATTTATGCTTAGCTGGTCGACGGTAACGCAGAGATATCGTCGCACAGAACTGCATTGAACGCCGACGGCATTTCACTGACCTACATTCCCTAGCCAATAATCGCGCGTCCCACCAATAAATCTCACTGAGAGCGATCATCGCGTTTTGGAGCAAGGAATGCCGAACTGGTCCTAAATGGCACGGTACATGACGGCGAAATCATCCCTCTTCACCCATTAACTTGAATCTAGAACACGAGAGGTCGAGCCATACCTCTATCTCGGTAACCCCGAAGCATCGGCTGGTAGTTGGGGCTCTTACATCCGATCCAGTTATGGTAAGCATTATACGCTTGTGAAGTTCGCTAACTGATTGATACGCAGCCGATTCGCAGGCTAGTACAGTATCAGTCATCAAACTAGATGATCATGAATATCGAGGCTGCGTTATTATTCAGTGGGTATTCGGCCTGAAGCCGTTAAGCTCAGTGCCAGTCCTTCATCTTAGTCCGTACATGTAGAGCTAATTGAATCGTAGTGACTGAGCTCAACGATACCCCGGTGTCGTTGGTGGCTTTTCCACTTATCGCCGGTATAGTCCCTTAAGACACGGGCAAGAAGCAGCTCTTACGCGAGTCGGAAAACAATGTGGTGCCACTAACCGTCACCGCCTTCAGGATCTCATAGGAATAGCTCTACTTTAGGACTCTCCAACGGCTTTGGTCGCCGTATACGCTCACGAATAGCGAATATTTGTCAAGGATTGCAGGGGTCTGTCATTTCGTTGTGTACGAGCTCTCCATCAATCGCCTAGATTTGAGGGTTTCTCATGAAGACGTTCCTGATCCTTCTGTCGAGGGTTCTCTTCTGCAAAGAAGGTATGTTTCACGAAGGACATCGTTGATCGCACATTTCTATGCAGGAGACATCATCTTGATTCATCAGGTACCAATGGTTAGCGGTGGACGTGATGTCTTGTTGTATACGGGTTCAAGGTGCTTTGGTTGCGCTTGTGTCGAAGAGAGATATTTTCCTTTCGACGCTGGAGCAGCACATGTACTTACTGTGCAGTGATATTATGGCCGAGCAATCATCTCAGTCTGCGAAGGGGACTCTGTCATCCGGCGAAGGCGGGATTTGCGTGAGCTGGTTGGGAAGCTCAGTAGTCGGAAGAAGAGTGGGTTTACAATGGAACTCGGGCAACTGCGGGTTATCGCTGTTCCGATCTGATTTTCTTTCTGTCTGGCAGCTCTGACTATTGGTACGGTTCCAGGTTAGATTGAAAGTAGGGTATTTATTGTATTGTATTGAATCTCTGAGTGTACGCATACGACATACAATTCCATGTCATTCGATAGCTCCAGCGAAAACCCTGGATTCACGCTAGGCATAGCGCGTTTAATGAGGGGAAAGCATTTCCTCTTGAGGAAGTCCTACACCCTCGGAAGCGTGAGCTCCACCAAGTTCTCTCTGCCAAGATGTGTAGGTGTGTAAGGTATATGCAGGGTTGCGCTGCTGTGGCGTTGAATACTTAGAACACGCGGTATCGCGGTGCCTCAGCGTACCTGGAATTGCCGGATTTCTTCCGCGAAGTAGCATCTGAACCGACGTCATGGAAATCGCACGTCAATCACTAACGGGTGCAGTCAATCGCGGGATACCGGAAAGAGCAATGATACAAGCCAAAAAACAACAACTATTCGGTGTGTACAAGCCTTGAAGTGAGTAGGGATGAGAACGTCCTTTCTAATGGTACAATGTATATTGGGTTTCTAGCCGGCCCAATGCATCCATCAATATCCTTCACACTACCCTTTTATCATTTCGCGCTATGCCGGGATGATCTTTGTAATCCAGGCCTTCAAATCGTCAAGCTCGTCTGGGCTCGCAGTATGTGCGACACCCTGATAGACATGGTACGACAGGCCTGTTAGATTATCGGGCGTTGCCTCAGGGATGCCGACCTCGTTTTTCAAGAAATCAACGGATTCGCGAGAGAGCGTCAGTTTGATGAGGGGGTCATGAGAACCATGACCCACGAAAATGGGTATTGATGTGGCGTGTGCAGATAGCATCTACCCCGATATTAGAGGTTCGAAGTGAGAAACATGCGAGAATCCGGGGAAGACCATACACCGACCGATTTGAGTTTATCTTTGAGTGCGACCCACCCACTGAGTGCGACGATCCCGGCTAATTTGCGTTCCATTGTGAGTCCAGTCAGGAGCGACATAGCGGCTCCCTGGCTGAAGCCACCAAGAATTATACGGCTGGGGTCAACTCCAGATGCGACCTCCGTCTCAATCAAATGAGTGAGTGATTTGACGGTCTTAAGCATGCCAGCTTCATCCTCTTTGTCTCTCAAACCAAAAGAAACGACGTCAAACCTGCAGACTGAGTTAAGCTGAATAGGTTCGAGATCGCGAAAGACGTACCACGATGGCATTTCCATACCCATGTTAGCTGTGACAGCAATGATAGGTCTGGTGACAAGGAGCAACAGCGATGAGCGAAAGTGGGGATAGATTCGAGATTTAGCCTCCGCGGTACTATTAGGAGGATGTAGAGGCTTACGAGTGCGGTAGAACCCATTTGATGTGCTTCAAAGCAGGCTCAACACGAAACATGTCAGCTACAGGTTTCCACCCATTCCCCGTGTCGCCCAATCCCTGTCGAAAGGCGTCATTAGCACAGCTGGAAATTAATAGTAGGCTATTGACAAGGAAAGTGAGCTGACATGAACGAATATCACGGTAGCTGTATGTGCCGCGAGGGGGGATACGCTAAGATATTTGAGAGGAGCAATAGCAGCAGAGGCCATGGTGATAGTACTGATGCACAAGTCAGAGAGACGAGCTTGAGCTTCAAAACGGCATCGTACCGGCAATTGCCGGGGTGATGATCGAAAGCATTTTACCTTAGACGAGTCATCAGGACTAAGTTGAAATGGACTCACCTGCTGCCCCCGCAATTCCAGCACTATCCAAGTCTGCGAAAAAGAGGGCAGAAAGGGCAGAGCGGTTGGCTGCAACCAAGATCGAGCGCCGGGCGAAAGAAAAGGCTGCAAAAAAGGAAAAGAGGCGAATTAAAGCTGAAAAGCGCGCAGCCGGCGAGCTCGATAGTGCCGATGAAGCGGAAAAAGAACGCAAGAAAAAGAAACCAAAGCTGGAATTTGGTGGAAGGGTACTAATCGATTTAGGGTTCGACGATAAAATGCTTGACAAGGTCAGTCGCCGTTATCTTCAATTTCAATGCTTGTCTGATCCGCGGTGAGCAGGAGATCAATTCCTTGTGTTCGCAGCTGGCATATACATACAGTGCAAACCGCCAGGCGTCGTATCCATTTTCTCTGATCTGTTCGTCTCTGAACGGGCGCACTCGAGATCGCCTTGAGGCTAACAGCGACGCGGCGTACAAGAGATGGGTAAATACCGAATGGTGGGAAGAAGGATACGAGAGACTCTGGTCCGGCAGCGCTTTATCAGTGGCGCCTGGAACCGAGAGCGAAAACGTACCAGGAAACAATAGTCCCCAGACATCCGCTACGGCAGATCCGACCCAGACTGTCAAGCAATCCGTGGTTTACTTGACTGCAGACTCTGAGGAGGAACTTACTGAACTCCATCCCAATGAGACATACATCATAGGAGGCGTAGTGGATCGTAACCGCTACAAGGTGATTTCTCGTGACGCCTCGTAGAGGGCTTTCCTAACCTTTACAAACATAGAATCTCTGTCTCGAAAAAGCTAAAGAGTCTGGTATTCGCACTGCATCTCTTCCCATAGGTCGCTACCTGGAAAACCTTCCAACGCGCAAGGTGCTCACTGTGAACCAGGTCTTCGAGATTATGCTCAAGTGGGTCGAGACCAAAGATTGGGAGGCTTCTCTTTATGCAGTCATTCCCAAGCGAAAATTTCTGTCCGGAGCTAAAAATGGAGGGAAGGAAGGTTCCGCCGTCGTTACTGAAGAGGATATTTTGGTGCAGAGCGAAGCATGAGTTCCGTTGTTGGAACAAGAGGGCTTGTAAGAGAATGATTCAGAATACAATAAGGCTCCTTGTCTAGTTAGAAACACATGACGAGTCGACAAATGGCAAATCAGGTACCCTGATTTCTCGTAACTGCAAGTATCATCTTGTTTCTGAAACAAAAATACTTATATTTGCATATAGATGTGCATCACAGAACAAGAACAAGGGGATCACAAAAAAAGAGACGTCATACTACAGCGATTCAACTAGGATTTGCAAGGTATGCTTATATACGTATGTATAATGAGGGGGAAGTCTCCCAAAGTCTGATGAAAGCGTGGACGAAAGCATGCGAGATAATGAGGGATCGATGGTAGACTGTGGGACATGGCGATATGTGATGACTCAAAAGAAAGGACAAATAGTACGCAAAATGAACCAAATAGAAAAGATAGGAAGAGGTACGATTAGTAGTAAACGGTTCCTTGAGGAATGTGCTCGTTGTACATCTCGTACTGTGGTACTTGCGACATATCAACGTACGGCATGTATCCGTACGTTTCAGGGTAATAGTACTGCCCATAGGGCGCGTACATCATGCCAACTTGTTCCACCGGAGGTGTCCCATTCTCCGCACCTCCCTCAGAAGCATACGTGGGAATGCCTGATCCCTCAGAATATTCCTGATCGGTACCCTCTGCAGGTCGGGTTGGCTCAAATGTAGCAGCCGTGGATCTTAACCCTGATAAAGCATGTTCCTTGCCAGAACTCTTGCCAGGACCTCCTTCTCCGGGTGCACGTATTTCGATCCGAGAAGATGGAGGAGCAAAGGAGAATATGGGCATACCAGTAGTCGGGTCAATGAAGCCATTGACGGGCGGAGTATGAGGGGCATAATCGGCAGTCGTCGTTGATTGGTGATGCATGTGTCCAGGCACAAATGGAGCGCTTGTAGGCGCCAATGGAGGCATCATTGGACGAGGATTGTACATGGACGGGGGTTGCAAATAGACTGGACGACCTGTAGCGACCTCATAGGGCATGCCGACAGGATTCACAGCGATACCGGGTGGCAACGGAACACCATAATGATAAGGAGAAACGTACGCAGGGGACGGTTGAGAGCCAGACGAAGGGAAGGCAGCTGGAAGAGGAACCAAGGAAGGTCGAGATTCGCTCGTGGAAGACGAAGGCTGCTGCTGCTGCTGTTCTGGGGTGTCACTAGATGACGGGTTCCGCAGAACAGCTTCCTCAGTCTGAGACCATCTAGTCGAATCAGATGGGGGCTGTATCGAAAGCTGCTCAAGCTTCTGCTGAACAGCCAGCGATGGCGTGGATTGCGACTGCAGAGTATTGGAACGTGCTCTGGAGGACGATGGTTCGGGTAGAGGTATAGGCTTCGCGGTAACAAGCTGCGGCCTAACAGTGAATACATCTTCAATGGAAAGATCGTTAACCTTGGTGACAATGTCCTCCACATCAGACTTGCCTGAAACCGACTTCGACTTCGCTGCAGAAGGCAGCCGAACGACGACGGTTTTCTCCCCATACTCAGAACCCAGCACACTGGTAGTCGCAGTGCCAGAAGGTGCTGGAACTGGCAGTTCCTTGGTTGACGTCAATGGTGTTCTGACGATCTGTCCCCGACTCCCTGGTAGTCTGACCCTGTATCCTGCACCGCGACCGCGGCGTGGTTTCATACTTGCATCGGTATAGAGGAAGCCTTCATGTTGCTTTGTCCACGCAAGCTCAGGCTTCATTGGATACCAGATACGACCAGAGGACATCGAAGGCGCATTGGCGGACCCCGTGGAACGAGAAAAGCCGCCCCGTTCTCGAGTAGGTGCCCCTCCACGCACGCGGCCAACACCACGGAATGGCTGAGACTGGTGTTGTTGAACTGACCGACGAGCCTCGTCGTTGCGCTTCATTTCCTCGAATCCATCATGTGTCCATGCCCGTTCAACAGGTGGAACATCAACAGCTTCCGCTTCTTCATCCTCCTGGACGGAATCCTGATGAGGAAACGCGTTTCGTCCTACGAAACCTCCCCGACCACGCATCGCGAAACTCCGATCGAAACCCCGCCCTCTACCATAGCCCCGTCCTTGCCACCGACCACGCCACCACCCGCTCAAACTGCGCAGATCCTTGTCCAAAAGCCTATCATCATGGCCCCAGAACTCCCCCACCGTTGGAACATATGACGGGTCCGATTCCAGCCTGTTTTGATAGGCCTGACGAGCTGTCTGTCCAGGAGGACGCCGAATGAATTCACGGTGAGTCGGGCGAGTTGAAGAGGTAGAGGGAGGAGCCTCTTCGACAGACTCTTCTTCGTGATCTTCACTGACAGACAGTGGGGGAGATGGAAGAGACGTAGCTTCTGAGCCTTGCTTCACTTTCGGTGCGGTTTTCTTCGCTTTCCGCTGCCGAGGTGGTTTCGCTGTCGAAGTGTTGCCATTGAACTCGGCGAAATCAATGACAGGGAGGTCTGCAGGCCCGTTACTATTCTCTTCTGCTACCATTTCTGACCAGTTCCCTGATGGCGCAAAAAAGGATGTACTTGGCTCTTTTTCTGTGGGTATTCCATTGGTTGGACTCTCGCTCGTGTCAGGGGTGAGAACTCCGGGACGTCTGTGGCCAGAGGCGTCATCAGATACTTGCTCGGTGTCCGAATCAGACGAGTCGTCGCTGGATGCTGAGCCATTTTCAGACTCGGAATCTGTTCCAACCTCCCTCACAATCTCGTCGTCGCTGTCCATAGCTCTTCCTCGCCTCCTAACAATCCTCGTCTTCTTCGCATGCGGGTGGCCATGCGTTTTCGCGATGCTGGATTTGGAGGCTGTGGAGGCAGACAAAGAAGATGGAGTAGGTACAGGCATATCTGTTACTGAGAAGCACAAGTCAGAGATACAGTCACGACTTGATAAAAGTGAATCGGACCTTACTTAATGACTCTGTGAACAAGTCGTTCGAGCAGAAAAGGGGGCGTTTATGCAGCAAAAATGCAGGGAAAAAGAGATAAGATGAATGAGGTGCGAATGAAGAGTGTGGGGGTAAGATACTAAGGGCGTTCGCGAGGCACCGGTGAACGTTGAAGTACAACGGCAGATGATGACAGAAAGAGAGATGAGATGGCGGTTGCCGATGTTCAGCACGGTCCGCTTCGAACTCCGATTCCGCTGACTCATTTCGTCCACATTTGGTCTTGAACTTCGAACCCTTCGAAGCTGTGTAGATTAGGCATTTCCATCTAAAGTCATCAGTCGAGCAGTTGCTGACATGAAATATGTCTACTCTGCTTCAACTGACACGCATTTCAGATAACTTTAGGATAATGGTGGTGTCGGCTCCTTCGAGTCACTCCCGGTTGCTCATTAATGCTGTTTCCAATGCCGATGGCGGTGTTTCTCAGCATCGAGACCGTCCACACTGCATAACGCTGCGATGGCACTGTCCAACAGAACAAGAGGTAATCCCGGAAGAGCACAGCTTGATCAGATGGCTGTTAGGTGTGACTTGGACATCCCGTTGACAATATTTATAGCTGCTGCGATTCTAATATTCTGATAGATGATCCCGAAAACGTATTCAATACGCATATGTACACATATGTAAGCCTCAAGTGACTACTAGATCACCGGTGCCGGCAAGATTCTAACCGGACACTACTACCTACTTAAAAGAGCCCGAAGCATTTAGTCAGGTCCACAGGCTCTCTTGCCGTATGGATCCCAACAACCCAGCTAGCTTTTTCCACAGAAAGGAGCGGCTTTCAACCGGTCGCACCTACCACTTCGTCGACCAACTTCCGGAAGAATTTCATTCTCAAACTACAACGCTTCTTTGTATACACGGCTTCCCTGACCTTTGGTGACAACGAATTATGGCTTTCTTACAGACAATATGAATCTCACTGTACTGGTCTATCAGGTACGGCTGGCGATATCAAGTGAAACCATGGGTGCAACTGGGCTTTCGTGTGGTCGTTCCGACTATGTTAGGCTACGGGGATACCGACAGGCCAGCCGATCCTGGCGAGTACACGACGAAAAAGCTGTGCGCGGATCTGATAGCTTTACTGGATCTTCTAGGTGTCGAGAAAGCTGTTAGCCTGAGCTGCGATTATATTAATGTCTGTTGGAATGCTGAATAGATGTCTAGGTCGTTATTGGCCATGATTGGGGTTCCTTTATTGCCAGCCGGATGGCATTATGGCATCCCACTAGACTACTGGCGCTGGTTCTGTAAGTCTTTATTTCGCTTGATGCAGTGCCGGTAAAGATTATGTCACTATAGAATGTCCATCCCATATACTCCTCCGCTGCGGCGATATATCACTGTCCAAGAGATTGCGCACCGCCTTCCTAATCTGAAATATCAGGTCTATTTCAGCGATCCAAGTTTCACACCGGAGGTTGAAGCGGCGGTGAGAATCTATACTCCACATACACTTTCGGTCTTCCTTACAGTATCCTGATAGCTACTGCCCTTCTTAGGCGCAGTCTTTCTTCCACCAGGAAATGACATTAAATTTACAGATGTTTCACTGTGGCCCAAGATATTTGGCGAAGGGCATTTACCCAACCCACCATCCGTGCTGACGCCGCAGGTGAATCCAGTCTCACTCTGTTGCGATGCCATTGTAGCAACTGTCGTCATCCTCTAGGAAATGAACTATTACTACTCACAACTCAAGAAAGGAATGACCGGGCCCCTCAATTATTATCGGACGTCTCAATATCGATTTGACGAAGAAAGTGGTATTTTCGAATTTTAGTATTCAACATCGCTATACCTCATATTTCATTCTAGCGGCAAACCTACCGTCATTACTTCCAAGCGACTTATCAGTCTTATTTCTCTGGGGCACAAGTGACCCGGCTGCGATGCCAATTCAGGTCGATAATGCTCGCAAGTTTGTCCCTCGACTACGAGATGTCGCGTTGGAAGGACGAGGGCACTGGATAATGGTGGAAGCAAAGGATGAGGTCACCGATACGATTAGTAGCTGGCTGGGTGACTTGGGTTTAATCAGCCCTCAAAAACCGAAGTTATGAGATGATGTTCACATTCGCACACCTACTAAATCAAGAGTTGGGATGTGATTAATGTCGTATCTGGGGATGAATATAGTGACAAGTCCATGTAGTTTGTAAGCAGCATGTTAAATGTCCTACAATGTCCGCGGTTGAGTTTTTGGGCTGAGGCGGGTCTATTCCTTTGTCTCATCTTTTTGGGCAGCAACCCCGTTAGTCTCCGTTTTGGCCTCTTCACTGCACCGTTGACAAGTGCATGCAAATTTCCACCCGCGAGCCAACTCTATCCTTCTCCTTCGTCTGCACTCTACCTCAGACTCTCCTTCGTGTTGAGTCACGTCAACAAAAGCCACAGTGACTTCATCGCCTTGTTTCAAGTCCTGGTTGGCGATGATGTGAATCTGGGCCGTGCCGGAACTGAACGAGGGACGCGCCGAAGGACGACAAGAGTGGGTGAGGTAAGATGAAAGTGTGTAGAAGGCAGTGCCAATTTGGCGAGAGGTTCCATATGGTGTTCGGGTCTTTTCTACATCTTCTGGACGTTGGGTTGGTGCGGGCTAACCATGAACGGATGAGCAATCATGAGATATCAACCACGCAAAAAAGGCAAACCTTGTCATCCCGACCTCCGCCAAAGCAGACGCCGAATGCGTTATATGCAATTTTGCCGCGGAGCTGAGCTAAATGCTCGTCCGTCATAAACTTGTCCAAGTCTGCAACAGCAGAGCCTAAGACTTTTGCGAGAAGCGGAGCCTCTTCCTTGGGGAGGTCAACTTCGATGTACCGCAGTCTCTCCATGTGATCTGCGAGCATGTACTCCTCACCCTCCGAATCTGTGAAATGTTGCTCGTCATGCTTTCCCGTATATCCAGGCGTTAGCTTCAACGTTTCAAAGGCAATTTGGCGGGCTACAAATCTTGCGACGAGGAGAGGACCGGCTTTTCCTTCTTTCTGCAAATATGCGACAAAGGCAGCTTGCGCCTTCCTGCGTTTTTCAAGGGTTTCCGGTGTAGGAGGGTCCATGGGGATCTCAGGTGGAAGAGGACGCTCTGAGGTAAAGAGAAGGTTGTGTGACTGGGATTTTGACAGGAGTTGACAGGCTTTTGAGCAGTAAGTCGACGAAAGAGGGTCTGAAGGTGATTTGATCGAGATAGAGGATTCGATGAGGCGGAGACAATGAGAGCAGTGGGTTCCAGCAGATTGAATGTCAGCATCTAGAGCCGTGATGACAGGGTGCTCCTAAAGTTGACAAAAAAAACATTGACTTGGCTGGGCAGATATGGTTGATAGACTGCTCTTGCCTTGTAGATGAGATCACCCTTTTTGAAGTCCTTACTCACAACAATGTATTTCCTGGGACCCTCTGGAGTATCCTCTGTTCGGATTGTAACACCGGCCGATTTTGGTGGGAAGTAATCGTAGTATCCTACACAGAGCTCAGCCTTGGTACTGCAGTGCACGTCCTCACGAGATCATACCTTGAACTTTAGCAGTTACCTAAATATGTGAATGGAGCAAAAAAAGAAAGTGTATTAGAACATATTGAAAATAAACGGCAGCAAAGATATTGAGAGGTAAACAGCAGACAAACGTGAGGATATGGACCTCTGACTATGCCTACGGTGCCGCGGAGTTTGACCCGGGATCTGTGATTTTATCCCACTCCTGCGAGGATGCCTCTGACGGCGGTCCACCCCTCACTGGACTTGTTTCCTCATCCAACGCATCCAAAGAAGATGAACTCACGTCCAAATTGGTCATCTGAATCACCATCTGTAGAAAATAGTCAGATATCATGATCTGAGATCAAGCAAAGGAAGCTCACTTTAAAGATTGGCTCTGGAACGGTCTTCTCGTAGATGACCATGAGTTCGACCGGCGAAGGATACACGCGGAGGGCACGATAGAATGAAAGTGCCGCGGGGAGTTGGAAATCAGGACCTGGTCAAAGAATTAGGAATTTTGGCCATATAAGCGAGGGTCAACACTAATCACCTTGAAGGGCAAGCTGTTCACCCATGGCCACCTGAGACATGAAATAATTCTCCCGTTCTGCAGGCGATACCGGCACTTCTTCTTTTTTGACCCGTTCCAAGGCCTCTCGCAGTGATTCCGTGGACACTGTACTGGCTGGGACAGCTGATGAAGCTATCGACTTGTCGACGCGTTTCTTTTCTTTGCCTGTGAGTAGCAAGCCAGATTAACAATCTATATAACGGCAGTTGCCCAACTTACGCAGTCTCTTCCTGAACTCGGCGTCATTTCTTCGCTTGTAGTCGAAATAGACAGCGTAGGCAACTAGCCCAGCGACGGCGGCGCCAGCAATGACGGCAGTGGTTGTCCTTGAGCTCATCGCCCTTTGTGCTGATGGTGGCGGAGAAAATCGAGTTTGGATGCTTTGTCAGCGACTGAATCGGTCCGACGGTACCAGACCGTGGGACAGCACGCGTTGTTCGTATACTGTCTAGTTTTCTTCCCTGCACTCCGTCGCGGCCAACGTCCAGCCCGTCATGGATGGAGACGTTGGCGCAGAAAATCTTCCTTTATCGCTCATTGTGATACCTCCCGCCTCTGACACCGATGCTGCCGGCCGTTCGACCCGTATCAACGTTCCACTTTCCGATGAGCCATCTACCTCCGCTTCCGACTCATCTTCGCTCGACAGCAAGCTATCGGAAAAGCTACCTGTTGTGTTGAATCCGCCTCCAACATCAATTACTGACACACTGTCTCAAAGTCACTCAGTGGCAGCGTCGAAGGGTGCATCTGAACCGCAATCTGACTCTTCAAGCCTTGACGACAACCTCCTAGATGTCAACGGACAAGTCGAAATCATAGAAGCTTCATCTATCAATCGAGATGTCACGAACGACGGCCTGGATGTAGTTGGTGAAGATGGACAAGACTGGGGCCAAGAAAATGAGCATGAAATGAAGCGCGTCAAGGTACGGCTATTCCTTTCCTTTATCATATCATGATTCTTTCTTGTATTCCATCACACTGTACCTCATTCCGTTTAATTTTGGCCAGTATGCATGCAATGGTGCTCGCCTTTTGTTGTGTGGCAGCTCCTCCATCTTCTGCTCTTCTCCTCTCCTCTCTATGTTCCATGCCGGTGCCTTTTACCTTTTGCCTGATATTCTTATACTTATACTTGGTTCAATCGGGAAACTCACCTCGTCATATAGGTCTATGAGCTCGTAGGATCGAGATGGCACGACCGAGGGACTGCCTTCTGCTTTGGCCACTTCTCTCAGGACGGCACTGAAGCACTTTTGACTGCTCGATCCGAAAGAAATCTACAGGAAGTTGTGCTCAGTACAACCATTCGCTCAAATGACGTATATCAACGGCAGCAAGGTATGGCATCTCACCTCCATTTGTCAAAGACGTGCTAACCATCTTTTAAGATACATTGATTGTTTGGACAGAACCAGATGGGGTGGACTACGCACTCAGCTTTCAAGAGGCTGAGGGTTGTGCAGAGGTTTGGAACTTTATCAGCGAGGTCCAGCGACATATGAACCTTGGAGGTGCGTTGTATTCTCGGTCTCTGTTATCCTGGGCTTACGACCTCTGCCGCAGACGACCAAGGCACCTCCATAGGATCTTCGTCCCCCATCCTTGGCCCAGAAAGCTCGGCGACCACCTCGAACATTATTCGGTCGGGACATCTGCCCACGCCACAAATGGGCATAATCGGCGATATTGAAGCGGCCATTAAAGGGCTAGCCAGGACACCAGTCGTCAAAGAGCGGATATGCGAGTATATCCAGCACGAGGTACGTTATATCGCGCGTAGTGTACATCCCGCTGCTGTTATATCAATGATTGGACGGTAGAACATATACTGATATTCACGTGTTGTCACTCATTAGGATTACATCAAACAATTAATTGAAGTCCTTCACGTTGCCGAACGAGAAGAAAATTTGGAGAACCTGCATGCCCTCTTCAGCATTATGCAGACGATACGTAAGTCGCATTGCACCTCACAGCTGCGATATTCTAATGATCTCATCTTTAGTAATGCTCAACGATCATGGTATGTATGAGCACATCTGCGAAGACGGTCTGTTCTTCGGAGTAGTCGGGATGCTTGAATGTTTGTTTGATATCTCCTCGTGGTTCTTGGTTCCTGACTAACCCTTTTTCAAGATGACCCCGAGTTTCCTTCCCACAAGGCTAATTATCGCGAGTTTCTCACAGAAACAGCGCGTTTCCACGAGCCCATTACCTTTCAGCCCGCCATTCAGCGCAAGATTCATCATACCTATCGTCTGCAATTTCTCAAAGACGTTGTGTTGGCGCGCGCTCTTGATGACTCCACCTTCAACGTCCTCAATTCCTGTATTATCTTCAACCAAATCGATATTATCAACCACATACAACAGGACCTCACCTTTCTGCGGGAAGTAGTTCGTCTCTATGTGGATGAGGATATGTTGAGCGGAGGCGGAATCAGGAAATCACCCCCTCAGGTCCAGCAGCAGCAGTCCAATGGAGACGTCAAATCCTCCCGGACAGAAACGATTGGGAAGCCGCCTAGCGCAGATATAACAAATGGAATACATCCGACGACGCCGATACCTCCAGCGACTGACCCTGACGATCAGGGGTTTGTACTACGCCGTGAAGTGATTTTTCTCGTCCAACAGTTATGCGTCATGGGCAAAAATGTTCAGCTGCCCGCCCGAATGGCCCTGTTTAGGTCACTCGTTGATCGAGGTATTCTGTTTGCCGTTCAATGGGCGTTAAACCTGCCTGAGAACAAGGATGCATCTAAACCTGTTATCAGTGCTGGTGGAGAGATTCTTGCCGCGCTGCTGGATCACGATATTAATGGTGTTCGAGGACATGTGCTCAAGCAGGTGGTGGCTATCGAGAAGGAGCGTGACGCAGGGAAGAAAGGTTCCGACAAGGCTGAGACAATCCTCGAGATGGCGTGTAGGTTAATGGCGCAAAGCAAGGATATTGCCGTTCAAAGCCAGATTGGGGATGCTTTAAAGGTTTGGCTAGATCTTCCGCTTGAGATGGTGACTACTGGAGGCGGCTCGGAAGCTCATGTACGTTGCCATATATACACTTTACTTATACTTCCTGATCTTGCTATCCTCAGCCTGCTTCCAAGATGCCAACACGGAAGGATGACCCGGGTACCGAACGCTTTATGGACTACTTTTATAAAGATTGTGTGATGACGTTGTTCTCGCCATTCAATGAACTTCCGGAATGGAGAAACACCACTGGTACGTCGTTTCCCTGGCTGTTGCTGACCTCGCTCTCAAACCTGGAGATAATAGAACCTGTCCTACACCTCACTCGGGAACAAGCCAACGAATTCGTGTATTTGTGTGATCTGTTGTACAATTTTGTCCTCCAGCATCATTTTCGAAGTCATTTCTTCGTGATGTCGACCAATATTATGGTTCGGGTACCATCATTGTTCAAGGCACGGGATAAGCACCTACGACATGGTGGGTATTTACTTTCCTTACTTGCTGTCTGAGGTCTTATCTGTCCTCAAGCTGCTTTCCGATTCTTTCGGCTGTTGCTCAAACAGAACAACCCGAATATCCACGGACAGATTATGAAGTTTGACATCTTCAAGCCTATCCTAGACCTGACGTTGCGGGAATCGCGGAGGGACAACCTTCTAAGTTGTTCATGTCAAGAATACTTTGAACACATGCGAAGGGTGAGAATTTTCATATTCTAGAAGCTTTGGCTCATTGTTTTTCCAGGAGAACATGAAGGACCTCATCAAATTCTGCATGACGAAACACGAAGCCGAGATCAAGGCTTTGTGCGATACGCCTCTTGGTGCTCAAAGATTTCAACTCTTTATTCGGAGATGGGAAATCAATAATGAGCCGATCCCCACTGAAAGTAAACCTGACAAGTTTGATCATCGCGGCTGGCCCATCCAGGCTCGTACGCTTGAAGCCGAGGAAGAGGACTACTTCAATGCAGACGACGATGAGGACGATTACATTCCCTCCATTAGTCATTCGTGGAATCGCGGCAACAACACTTCTACGTCGCCAATGAACACGCTGAAACGAAAGCGGAGAATGGCAATACGTGGATCGCCAAGAGGTTTCTTCTCATCACAGCATTCCCCCATACAACATTCACCTATACCCAGTCCTCCACCTATGCGAACGCTCTTAACCCCGCTGGTGGATTATGATGAAGAAGACTCAGACGAGCAAGAAGAGTTAATCGGGCCAAAGCCATTAAACTCATCGAAGACACCTCTACCACCTTCTCCAGAGCTTTCTGCTTCTTCGACTCCTCTACTATCGAATAGGCGGTCCCTATCACCAGGCCCACCACCAAAACGACCCGCCGATGACGACGACGAAGAGGACAACCTCCTGGAGTCTCTGGTAAGACAGAAACTGCCGCTTCGTCCACAGTCTCCTGCCCCCGGAATGATGTCTTCAATGTCTGGCATGGGTCTCCTACGGCCCAGCGAGAAGCGCCGACGGTCAGATGATGACGATGACGAACTAATGGAACGTCTGACGAAGGTCAAGAAGCAAGATCATGGAACACAAAAGGAGGGCGCAGGTGGGCCGATAGGCCCTCGAGCAAAACCCGGGGATGACCCGCCTCCGAAAAAATTTAAAATGAAAATCGGAGTTGGGAGTGTAGCAGTGGCCTCTTTACCCCCAAATTCGGCCCCTTCAGAAACCGGCGCCAAGGACGAAGATACAGGATAAGACATATCTTGTCCGTTGTTTATTTGCTACAACGTCCATGATGTATCTAGATACATGCCCATGCCTTGTATAGACGTACTGATGTTATATTATTTGTCGGTTCCTTACTTATTCATTTTCTTTGGACATTGTGATTATGTTGTGGTGAAAGGTACCGGTGATGATGTGTCCCCGCTCGCTAAATCTTCCAAAGCATGGTCAAGTAGCGGTCCGACGGATAAGGAACCGATACTTACAGCAAATTTCTCTCACAGATCATCCTGCGTATCTGAGTTCTCTCTAGGATGTAGTTACCCGAACACCCTACAATACGCGAATGGATAAGGGGCAGTTCCAAATCGTCCAAGAACTCGTGTTGACGATAATATGATCTTGACTGCGAACATCCTTCTCCCGGGACTGTTACAGGCACAATAGATGCTCGAACAAGAAGAGATGCCGTGACCGTGTGTTGGAATCTGCGGTGAGAACAGTGTCCCCGGTCGCCGTCGCAGAGAATGATTCAGATCTTTCAACTGGGGAGCTTCAAGGGGGAAATGTTGGATAACACGCGCACCGTGTGCTCAGGCACGTTTGCCTAGCGAGTAGATAATGTTTGCTTAGAAGGCAAACGAGTACAGAATACTACGAAATCTAGCTACTTAAATACCATTTTGTATCTTCTAGTACTTTCTTTCTCTTAGTAAATCCTTACTCAGCAAAACTCGGGCTAACTGGACATCGTGCCAGCTCGCACAGCCACAGGGTCATCAATATTCCACAGGAAAAGGGGATGGGACGAAGTTATACCATACTATGCCAACACATCCAGGATATCGTGATAACACTGACGATAGAGAATCAGCTGGTGCCTTTAGGGGCCCGGCAAACTGTGGTATTTCCTTAACATCCCAAGGAATAGTAACATCACAATTTGACCGAGAACGATATGGACCACAGCTGATGATAGGTTCCACAGGTTCAGCTGAAGAACATAAAGTCGGGAAGGCGGAAGATAAATTAGCGCTCCAAATTTTGCACGTACTGACCTTCGTCAAGATTCAAAAGAGCTGGATTGTGGGTCACGAAGGAAACTACGATATGGCATTCGGTCAAACACACGAATGACGACGATTCTCCCCTGAGACATTGATATGTCACGATAGCAATCAACAAGTCGTGCATTTTTAATAATAGATAGCATACCATTTCTCTGCGGGTTGTTTTCTGATTCCAAAGCAGAAGATCATTGTTGGAGGCGGCTTTTTCGCCATTCCCGCATATCAAGGTAATTCACCGCTGTCTTGGATCCTGTAGGGTCTCGAATTGTTTGCTTGTGAAGTATGATACTTAGCTTCTAAACCGAGGGGATAAGCCACAGACATCATGCCTGTGAATATGTGAACAGAGGTGGAAAAATGGCAAAAGCGAGAACTCGCCCTGAAGTCGAAATAAGGAGATCTTGAGATCCATACTTTCCAAAGTGGTACATGCGTGAGCCCGCCAAGGATACCGTCCATAGTTTCTGCGGGGAAAGTGAAGCTGATGGAGGTCGGGTACAAAATATTGTAGCAAGGACGTTTCCGAATCTCATAGGCCGCCTGTAGTAATACATTCAACAGCCCGGATATCTTGTTTCCATGAGGTGGTATACCTGCGCAGTAGAGAGGTATTCTGAGAGAATTTCTGGTTGTAAACAAATGTTAACGTTCAGATTGCAAGCATGCCCATCGACACCAAGCTCAAGTTAATAGACCAGAATTGGAACACTGTCTACCACGCACTGCCAGAAATGCCGACAGACCGGAATGTAACCCGTGAAGTCGTACACGTGAGAGGAACAAGAACACTTACTTGCCTACCGAAGAATCGCCAAATGTCGGGTATCAAGTGAGCTGATAATGTGCCCCGCAGGTCCGCGACTAGGAATCTGAATCTGCCGGGGACATGGCGGTTCAAACGCAGGTCCAAGGCAGGTTCGGACCGATCCCGGGACCGGCACCGACGTTCCTGACCTAAATCTGGTCAGTACAATGCCTGCCTTCTTGCAACCTCTTCCTGCGCTTTCCTCTGCTTTGATTCTTGTTCTTGATTTTCTCGAATGATCCCAGTTCTTCGTTGCGGCAGAGGAAGGACCCGATTGCTTCAGTGTACGTGTGTTTGCACCTTCAGAAAATGCCGCCTCTGCCATCGCTCCGAGCTTTCACCACCGTCGCGCCTGTCTTGAAGGCACGAGGATATAAACTGACCCTACTTATGCGGACTCGCGGAATCTCTGCAAACCCATGAACCTTACAACTTCATCGAGCAGGAGCATCACGGTAAATTCTCCGAAGTTTGCAACCTGAGATGCGGATGATTAAAATTTACGGCATATTATTGATTTGCTACCAAACTAGAGACACGATTTCGTGCATATCCTCTGTTACGTCTCTTGTGGTTAATATGAACCGGCGATATATGAACGTGCGTGTTTAGTTACGCTGGAATTCCCCGGATTGATTAATCAATTACTGTCGGCTGCGGCCTTTACATTTGTAGGTAGCCTCAGGAAACGGAGCGTCTTATTTCATTGTGGCGCCTCCGTTTCGCTGGAGAAAAGCGATGCTGTGCCTGTTAAAAGGTAACCTTAGGATGAAGACGCATAAAGTAGGACACGCCTCCGGGGCTACTCTAGGTTAGGTAAATTCCTCGTCCTGCCAAGACCTGTTTTCTGAATCAAATATAGTGAACACAGCCCTCAAGACGGAGTCGGGACTCAGTAATAATGGATGCGTATGATCGCACGCCATCAAAAAATATAGTAGTACGTGCAACAGACAAATACAAATTTCCGCGCGGATATCATGTTCAGGCTCAGTTCCAATGAGATTTGATGGCGCCAATGCACAATACACCGCGTGGCAATAAAAAATAATTCCTGCTAATGATGCGGTACCTTACAGAGTTGCAACTTTGTATCAAATTAACGCTAAAGTGGATGAGGAATATCGTCTGCGAGTTGATACGGTATAGGCCTCAAGCAGGGCCTGACTGTTTCCATCCCTTCACTTGTTTCCAAAACTCTAGTATGCGCTCAAAGGTCATAACGAATTGTCAAGATCGTCCGACTCTAAACGAATTCCGATCGGTACCCAGTAGTTGATCGACCCCAAAACAGGCCAAAATGGCGCATTGCTACTCCGAGCCTCCCTGAATTCATGGCCCTGCTCATTGCACATGCTTTGCGGATTATTCCCTTAGCTACGTGCAAAAATAGTAGGCAGAAGCATGGGCTACCAGAGGCCCTTCCAGCCGGTCTTCCCCGCCAAAGAATGCAAATTTTCAAGTTTCAGCCCTCTGGGGTACATGATCATGACTGCGCCGCCTCGCTCCTGATATAAAGGCTCATCGCTTTGAGCTTGCCATATCGGCGAGAACTACATCACCAGTTTCTGTCCTTGACTAGTACATTCTTTTCTGCCCTATCCTCCACGGTGATGATGGTTCCGGCGTGGTCTCTGCGGTTCTTTGTCGTAGCAGCCTTCGTAACCCAGCTGCTAGCGCGACCGACGCGTTTGGACTCTATTCGAAGAGATTCAAATTGCACCGATCCAACTGTTCGTGTTAATTGGTAAGATTTCGGTTCTGCTGAACTGTACTGGGTCCCATTCTAACGAACGTCTAGGTCGACCCTTACGGATGATGAGAAGACTGCTTACTTTGAAGCCGAATTGTGTCTCATTTCCTTGCCTGCTCAGACGTCTATTCCTGGAGTCGTTACACGATACGATGACCTCGTAAATGGCACTTCCTACCAGCCCGTTCCTTTGTCTAATTTAACATGTGACCAGGTTGGTGCGCACTCCATGCAGGCCGACACTGGCGCCGGCACGGATTTATGGCATAAGACTGGACAGTAAGCGTCTACGATCTTGTGCACAATTTTTGTTTCATCTTTTATGCAGATTCTTAGCGGTACTGGATATCCCACGAAATGCGTATTAGATGGCTGACATGTTCATATCAGGCTCACCGATACTACATGCATACCCACGAGATCCTGCTCCGCGAGGAGTGTGGTTACACTGGAGCCGTACGTCACAACTTCATTGAGGCGAACATATATACTTACGTTCAACCTTAGTTGCCATATTGGTATGAGCTCGAAGACGCTGGTGCATTTAATGAGTCAGCTACCCTGGCCGAATTCGGTGGCGAAGGCCTCGAGGAAAATGACTATGTTATCGTGGACGGGCCTTTTGCCAACCTCACTCGTAATCTCGGTCCAGGAGCTACGAACACACCTCATCTTCTTACCCGTCAAATGTCCTGGTGGAATAGCACACTCGCTAATCAAACATATTTTGACGAAGTCAATGCCCAAACGACCTTCGCTTTGTTCCAGTCCACTCTCAACCCAACAATCCACACCGCTGGTCACAGAGGCGTTGGAGGAGATGTGAGTACTGATGAGAACTGTTCACTTTCCTGTTCTGACTGCTAAGCAGCTGGAGAATATTCTGACGTCCCCCAATGACCCCGTGTTCTTTTTGCATCACACTTATCTGGATTGGGTATGTTCTGTGTAGGAACTTATACTTAGCTGTTGGCTCATAATTTATGATTTTATAGGTCTGGTGGAAGTGGCAGGGTGACAACGAAACCCGGATTTTCGACCTTGAAGGCGCTGGATACGAAACCCAGTCTGAACCGGCGACTGGTTGGGTGGTAAGTGTATCGCACTTCAGTTGCTTGCAAGGAGTTTATATGGTGATGCTAGGAAACGAGCGCGGAGACCAACATTTGGGTCTATGATATTATACCCAACATTACGGTCCGTCATCTGACTTGCTATGCTGAAGCTATTTGACTGAAATTATCTGACATGAAGGTCGGAGACGTCTTATACACCCAAGGCGGCTATTTGTGCTACATCTACGCTTAAGTAGTCTCGCTCACTAGCTGCTTTCCCCCTCTTTTTCTACCCTTTAATTAAACCACTGGCAGCGATCCGTATGTGATCTTGCTAAAAAGGGACCGCAACAAGTAATAGATACAATTAAAATACTACAGGATTTCCTTTCGACGTCCGCAAATCCAACGCCTTTGATAACTAATACCCGTCATGTTCAAGGACGCATTGAGATATTGATTGGACGGAAGCCTTGATTTCAAGTCATTGCGATATGCAGCACATACTCGCTAAGGCTAGTCTGTTAATTGATGGCACTTTGACAAGCCAATTTGAATCATCGATACTTCCACCCAAACACCCCAATATGGTTGTTCGACACTGCATCTGGATACTTTACCAATTTCTCCCACTGAAGGGAATGTGACTGTACGACGTGACCTTGCGTTTAACTTTTCAGCATCAGGCTTGGGCCAGACCCAGGTAGCCATCGTAGTATGAATTTGAAGACCAAGTCGTTTGGATACAGAGACATAGGTCGGTAAGCAGGGATGTCAAGGGTGTGAAATAAAGGCCATATACGTATGAAAAGCATTATTGAAGGTTATTGACGTTGTTCAGGTCCAGCAACGCCAACGTAAAGTAGAATTTGACACACAGGCACAGCCGAACTCAAGCTAAGTAGTCGCAAACGCAATCACCAGGTCAAGTTCCTCCGGAGATAAGTGAATAGAACTGGTTGTCTGTCATGACCAATGCCTTAGCACAGATAAGAGTAATGATGTCGAGGAAAGTCTAGAGCCAGAACCTTAAGCGGTGTGTCTACATGAGAGAAAGGCCTGGACTGAGGGTAACGTCAATTAGTGGCGTAAAACAACAATACCCAGGGAAAGAATATCAATTCTAGTATGCGTTTCGGGTCACGGAAAAAGATTGGCTCTAGGCGCATTCCTAGAATCTAAGACACGAGTGGGTAAAGCACGATAAGATTGATACCAATAAGCATGTCTACGTGAGGGGTACACCTCCGTTGTATTGTAAGGGCACGCTAGAGTGATATATGTTTCGTCGAAGTTGTGACTCTTGTGACGTTTCTTTTGGCTTCTTGACATGTCCAGCGACGTGAATAATTTGTTTGCGGGAAAAAGGCACACCGAACCCTGAATCCGTCAAGGTAAAGTGGGGTCAGAATATGTAGTGTGGCGAACGAGATTGTACGCAATAGTCAGTGATAGCCTCTAGGAGTCCAGAATGTCGTGAAGTAACATCACAGAACTGGCAGAAGTTTGTTATAATAGTTCCGCGGGCCGGACATGGATGTCTCACGAGAAGCAAGATAATCGAGAAATCCAAGAGATGCTATATGACCTACAACTCGTACCACATAATAATGGCGCCAGCGCGCTGAAGATTAACGAAGCTGCCAGGAAGAAGAAAAGTGAAATCGGCAACGTGGTCAGGGGCTGTGCCAGCTATTTGTGCCTGCTTTTCAACGGCCTTCTGTCGAAGAATAGTCGGAGTGATTGTTCCGATTACCACTTTCTCTGTACCATCTTGGTCCTTTCTGTTGCTGCGTCTCCGGCATTTGAGGGCTATTTACACCGCGAAACTGTCGGATCGTGCTACAGATGCGGGGGTAGCCTGACGACTGCTCAGGAACTGGTTACCTTGTCTTGCCATTTTACCCTCAGCCTTTATTCTCTTTCAAGGCCTATTTCGGATTCCGCTATTGATAATTTTGTGGATCGGCGGCAATGTCCTCAACGACGGAAGTGTCTCTGCGTATCATTGACGTTGTCGACGACAGAGGGCAATCCACTATGATGCCGGATAGCAATCTACCACCGACTAGGAACGTCGACATTGCACCTTGGGAGGAGCCGGTGCGTCGTGCAGCTTGTTTCCGAGGCGTCTATCATGTGTCGAGGCCTTGTCAACCTGTCATGGCTTTCCCTCCTCACCTGCGCCTCGTTTTGATTGATGCTGATATCTGTCTACTCAACAGCCTTCGCCGCCTGCAAAGCGGACCTTCGGATTTTCGCACAAATCTTCGTTTTCTTCCTTTCGGCAGGGGAGTATTGGAAGCATATCGAATCGCGTCAGTCGTCCATCTGAATCCCACAGCTTGCTCAGTATACCAGACAGTGCCAGCACTAGCGCGAGCATGCTCGACACCTCCCTCTTCACCCAGGCCCCTCAGCTTCGCAAATCCAAGTCGTCAGTTTTTCGAAATCTTATTCGTCCGCAGCGGTCTAGGGGGGCTCTACGCTCAAGCTCAGATGAAGCCGAACATCCGTCCCTTCTTCCCCCGCCCGTCCCCAGTCCCCAGTCCTACTTCCTTACCACCGGTTCTTCTCCTCCCTCGCCCTCACCTAAACACGGTTTGAAGAAGAAGAGAAGGAAAAGGGACGTGCAGGAGACGTTGGAGGTTCCACCCACGCCACCACCAAAGGACGATGAATTGCGGTTGGACACCAACCTCGAGGATCTCGAGGGCATCGTCGATCCTGCTTTATGGGCCAAGAGCGACTCTCCAAATTCTCCCAGTAGCGGCGGACATTTCAACTTCAATCATTCACGTACCCATTCGTCCGATCACAGTACTCTGAGCTCCCATGCCGGTCTACCGCCACTGTCCCATTCCGACTTTCACAATCCTTTCACGCCTCAGAATTCATCATATCCTCCACGTACCTCCTCAATAGCAACCGCCAGGCAAATGAACGGCGGTTTCATCGATCGTAGAGTGTCGCCCAAGACCATTACGCCGCGTGCGATACCCCCGCCTGTTATTACCAGACCTCTTTCTCCGAAAGAAGAGGTGGACGATTCCAAGCCTTCATGGGTCGCACCCGAGAGCTGGGCTGTCCAACCAGAAGGCGAAGATCCCGAAGAAGGATATTCTAGTGAGGATAATAGTGCTCAGCCAATGCCAGAAGATACAATGACTTCAAAAACCTCCATCTCCATGGCGTCTATGACTAGTAGCAATGGTTCTGTTCAGAGTCGGAAAAATATCGACGACAGTCTTCCCGCGAGTTTGAATCCGCATAGGAATCAGAATCGGATCGCCAAACAGACATCAAATGGAATTCCCAAGTCTTTAGTTCACCCTGAACCGCATAAAAACTACACAATCCGTATTTATCGCGCCAACAACACCTATCATGTCGTACAGGTCGGCTTTCAAGTCACGGTTGCTGCGTTGACGCCAAAGCTCAACGCGAAGCTATTATTGGGTGCAGACAGAGAGACACATCGATTGTATCTAAAGGAGCGAGGCAGAGGTTCGTGTCTTTGTCTTTTGTTTCTGTCGTGGTTTTCATTATCTTCAGAGCGTATTCTGGCTCAACAGGAGCGACCGGCTGAAATCGTGCAAAGGCGGCTGTCACAAGCTGGTTACGACATGTCAGACGGGGTGGAGTTGCTTGGAGGGGGTGAAGGGCTTTCTTTCCTATTAAGATTTGTGTACAAGAGTCAAGTCCTTGGTCCAGCTGTTCGTGTCTCTTTCTCTTTCACGATGAACGCCAGTCACTGATGGCCTTCTACAGGAAAAGGATATCAATTTCGACAACTATGAGTATGTCGATCTCACATCACGCGGTTTACGCGCTATTCCGGTCGACTTGCATAAACACGCCGATTCCATTGTCTCCCTATATCTATCACGCAATCCCATGCTGGAGATTCCCCTTGATTTTATTCAGGACTGCACTACCCTCCGCGAATTGCGGCTGTCGCATATGGCTATGAAGAAAGTGCCTCATAGTGTCAAATCCAGCGTCACTCTTCATCGGCTCGATTTATCCTGCAATCGCATCACTGACCTCGATGATGCATTCCTGGATAATATACCCGATCTTCAATATCTTTATGTGCAGAACAACCGTATAGAGAAGCTGCCGTGGTCCTTCCCTCGTCTCCGAAACCTCACTACCCTGAATATCTCGAACAACCAGTTCGCTACATTACCTAAAGTTGTGTGCGATTTAAGCAATTTGAAGGATTTGGACATCTCCTTCAACTCTATTTCGGAAATTCCGGACGAGCTTGGGAACTTGCGAAACTTGGAACGACTGATTATTGTCGGGAACCAAGTCTCCAAAGTGCCTCATGACTTCTCCAAACTCGTCAGTCTGAAGCAGTTTGATTGCCGAAGGAATCAGGTAGCGGATTTAACGGTGATATGCATGTTACCCCGCCTGGAACGACTAAGTGCAGATCATAACTCTGTGCACTCACTAGAAGTGGCACTCGGGCCCCACCTCACCTCACTTGACGCCTCTCATAATGCCATAACACAGTTTTCATTGATACCGGGTCCCATCGGACAATCTCCCTATGCCTTGACATCCCTTGATGTTTCGTATGCGAAGCTCTCTGTGCTCGACGAAACTGTGCTCGGTCAACTAACATCACTTCGCTCACTCAATCTCGACCACAATTCATTCCGATACATCCCAAACTCATTAGGCGAACTGCAATGGCTCGAAATCCTTTCCTGCGCCGACAACTCTCTCGACTCTCTGCCAGATTCCATCGGGCGTTTGCAAAAACTGGAAACGCTGGATGCTCATAACAATAGTCTAACAGAACTTCCTGCTTCGATTTGGCAGTGCGCATCGCTGTTGAAGATCAACATGACGTCGAACCTGCTTAATATCTGGCATTATCCAGCAAGTATGAGCGTTGGTGCGAGAAGTTCATCTGGAGATATATCCATTGTAACGGAGAGGAAAACATCCACGACGTCATTAACACACTGCACCATGCCACCGCTGGCATATTCATTGGAAAAGCTGTATTTGGGAGAGAATCAGTTCACCGATGAAGTTCTACTTCCCTTGACGATATTTAGGGAGCTCCGGGTCCTAAATCTCTCGTTCAATGAGATTCAAGATCTACCTGCGACATTTTTCCGGTATCTTACGAAGCTGGAGGAGCTGTACCTAAGCGGAAATAAGCTGACGACTATTCCGACGGAGGATCTTCCGAAGCTGACGAAGCTTTCCGTATTGTTCTTGAACGGAAACAAACTACAGACACTGCCTCAGGAACTGGGGAAGATCAAGTCGTTAATGACCTTGGATGTGGGAAGCAATATTTTGCGCTACAACATCAACAATTGGGAGTTCGATTGGAATTGGTAAGTTCGACTGACGGTTTCCCTGCAGTGAACTGCTCTGATCTGTCCCACTCAGGAATTTTAACAAGAATCTGAAGTATCTCAATCTCTCCGGGAACAAGAGGTTGCAGATCAAGGCTGATTCCAGAATTCTTGCGAACCATCGTTACAGTCGCGATTTGAATTCTATCAGTCGACAATCTTTGGCTGGTTTTACGGACCTGACGCAGCTTCGCGTCCTAGGACTCATGGATGTCACCATCACCACCACCGGGTCAAACGCCAGCGTTGATATTCCCGATGAGAATGACGACCGTCGAGTCCGAACGTCGCTTTCCACTGTTATGGGTATGGGCTATGGCATTGCAGATACTCTGGGAAAGAATGAGCATCTCAATATGCTTGACCTCGTTCATGAGTTTCCGGGTCGCCCAGGAGAGTCGGTATTCGCAATGTTCGGACGAGCGCAGCCTCCAAAGGCGCTTGTAAGTGGTGCAAGCTCTAATCGGCTAGCGAAGTATTTGCATGATAGATTCATCGAAGTCTTCATGACCCAGCTGAGTTCATTGAATGCCCAGCATAGTGAAGGAGTCCCGGATGCCTTGCGTCGTACATTTCTCAAGCTCAACCAAGACCTGCATGACTCCCTTTTCTCTTCGAATAGGAAGCTGTCTGGGAGTTCTAGCCCCGGCAGCGTTTCTCATTCACATGATGCCTTTCTGACGCGGAGTGGTGCATCCGGAGTTGTACTGTACTTTGTTGGGAAGACGATGTATGTTGCGAATGCAGGTAATGCGCTGGCAGTGGTTTCCAGGGGCGGCAACGCGCACTTGTTGTCGACGAAGCACGACCCATATGATAGGGAAGAGACGAAGCGTATACGAAAAGCTGAGGGCTGGATATCGCCTCCTGGACTGGTCAATGACGAGATTGACATCTCGCGGTCATTCGGTTTCTTCCATCTTCTTCCTGTGGTCAATGCCCGGCCTGATGTACATTCGTTGGAGCTGAACGACTTGGACGAGTTTGTCATCATCGGGAATCGGGGTCTCTGGGATTACGTGTCTTATCAGACGGCCATTGACATTGCTCGACGAGAACGAGGCGATCCTATGATTGCGGCGCAGAAGCTGCGTGATTTTGCCATTAGTTATGGAGCAGAAGGTAGTACCATGATCATGGTTATATCTGTCGGTGACCTATTCAAACTTCTCGATTCGCGCTCTCGCCAGCCAACGCTTGATCCAGCCGTTGATCCATTGCTTGTTGCTAAGCGTCTTCCGCGTCGACCTCGAGATCAAATCATTGACCGAGACATTAGCCGTCTGACGGCGGAGGTTCCTGCGCCCACTGGTCACGTCACTATTGTTTTCACGGATATCAGGAATTCCACACCTCTATGGGACGTTAATCCGGGAATGCGGTCTGCAATAACGATGCATAACAAGCTCCTTCGTCGTCATCTGCGCTTCTGTGGTGGTTATGAAGTGAAGACTGAGGGAGATGCGTTTGTGATCTGTTTCCAGACGGCCGTTTCTGCACTGTGGTGGTGCCTCACAATCCAGCTGGCATTGCTGCAGGAGGCTTGGCCGTTGGAGATGCTGGAGTGTGAAGACGGAAAGCCAGTGTATGATGACCAGGATCGTCTCGTTGCGCGGGGACTTTCTGTTCGCATGGGCATGCATTCCGGTTCTCCGATATGTGAAGTTGATCCTATCACCCATCGAATGGACTACTTTGGCCCCATGGTCAATCGTTCAGCACGGATTGAACAGAGTGCTCAGGGCGGGCAAATTATGTGTAGTGCAGAGGTTCTTAAGGAGCTGGAGATGAGCAGGGTGATGGATCCTGAGGCGGACGTTGATCCCACCGATTCGCTTTATGAGGCTCTGGAGGGTATTCGCCGTATGGGGATGGTTGTCGTCCCTGTGGGAGAAGTGAAGCTAAAAGGCCTGGAGACGCCTCTGACCCTTTCTACAATTTACCCTTCCGAGCTGGAAGGAAGGAAGCAGCTCCAAGCGAAACCTGCCTCCTCTAACCCTTCCGGTTCTCGTGTTCAGTTCAGCATCAGTCAAATGCGCGACCTTGGGATGCTCTGCCTCCGCCTTGAGGCACTAGCGACCGGCCGTATATTCCGTAGGGTCGAGGAGGAACCAACGCCGGAAAGGAAGCAGAGTTCAGCTTCCATCGAAGATGCCGAAGATGCCCCTCCCAAGTATCTGTATGGTGATCCTGATATGCTTCTTCCATCCATGAACGACAGTATGTCGGGGTCCGACCTAATGTTGCTGTTGGACTCCATGGCTGGGAGGATTGAAAATGCATGCCGAGCTATCATGGTGCCACAAGTGGAGTCGCCATCTGATTCCCTGAAGGCTTCCTGGCGTGCGGCTTTAGCTGCTGAGGGTGGGTTTGATGAAGAGATGCTAAATATGATATTGGGTGTTTTAAATGGTATATAGCTGTGTTTATTGTTATCTCGCTTTCTCAATGCTCTGTACATCAAGTAGACTTTCGATTAATGTAGTCTAGTTGCAGTCGACATGTTTTATTACTGGTATTATTACACTCATGTAACATTTTACGAGGACGGTTTTTTTTTTCGAGATACATAGAACTTGAAGAATCGTGACGTCGCCATGGATACTGTGGCGCCCTGGCTTTTCTGCTGCGGGGAGTCTAACTTGGCTACTAAAAGTTACTAAACCACAGATGCCTTACACTAAGCTCGAGACGATTGACTACTGAATTGGTGGCGTTATAATGTACCTGACCCGGAAGCGAATCAGGTCACGCAATTTTCTGAAAGTAATTTAAGCCGGGTAAATTCCATTTGCAGGGAATTGCCGGTGTGCTCTGAGACAAACCTTTCCTTGGTGCATTCTGCCTTTGCCTGTAACGATGAGCTCACCTCCAAATGATATTCCCATCCTGTCGACCTCGCCGGTGACTGCGCAAGGCGGCCCGCCAGTCCATCGCAGGGACAGCGTCACCCCAAGCGACGACCGTCCTCGACATTCACCTACTCTTGTTCGCTCTTTCGACCCCAATGACCCTCAAGTAAGGGAACGCCAAAGGACCATGGACGTTGACATGGCCATGCATCTTTCCAGAGCACGTCGAGAGACCATAATATCGTCCCCAGTGTCGTCTCCATACGAAACTCTGGCTCCTCAGGATGCAATATCGGCGCTCTCGCCCAATGAAGAGAACGAGATTAACATCGCGCGAGGCGATGCGGAGGCCGATATTGTTGGAGACGATGCGGTAGCGACGAGACGACAGCCATCCTTTGTCGACTTGCGCGGCCACGTTCACCAGAGTCATGACCCATCCTTGCTCGCCGGCCTTAACACCAACTGCGAACCTCTCGATGATCCTTCATCTTCTGCGTTCGGTTTGCCTACATACCAGGCGAATGCTTCTCAACCAAGATTCGACTTCAGAACGATGGAGGATTTTGCAGAGGCAGAAAAGGCGACGTTGGGTATATCAACCCCTGCAACAAAATTTGTGCTGCCAGAGTCGCGGAACTTGCCCAACGAGGGTCCTTCAGAAGGTTCAGGCTCTTCAGCCTTCACAATCCCGACCCCCCGTACGGCTCGGCAGCGCAAGCTGAGTCAGAGCAACACGAATCCTCGTATGCGGAAAGGTATTGGCAAGAAGCTTGCTCTGTTTGAAGGAAACGTAGGCGCAGTTCCTCCTCCTCTTCCTGGCCGTCTTGGGATGCATTTTGTTGGTACCCAGCATCCTTCCTCGACTGACGACCTCCCTGCTCAAGTTCCCTCTGGACCTGGGTTTGGTATCTTAAATACCGGTCATGATCGCCCTTACCGGTTCTCTTTTTACTCCAACGCACTCTCTGCTACCATTCATGCCCGAAGTCTTAGCGAACTGCCCGCAGACGGACAATCATTTGAAGACCTCTTTTCCGGTATAGCAGCACCGTCGCCTTCGAACCCTCAGCTCAAAAGTGATAGACCGTCTGCTTTTACACCACCTGATAGACGCCAAAGTTATGCACCAAGAAACGGTCCGCATGGTTATTTTCCTCCAACTGAAAAGCCTTCCTATGACAACGGTAATAGGATAACCGGTGGTATGATGCCAAATGGCAGCTTTGACGGTTCAACCTGGTGGCTAGACATACAGAGTCCTACAGACGAGGAAATGAAAGTGTTGAGCAAGGTGGATGGTCATCTAATGCCCTCACTTTTCCGATTCGCTCACGACTCCCCAGGTTTTCTCGATTCATCCCCTCACAACCGAAGACATCCAGATGGAAGAAATTCGCGAGAAGATCGAACTCTTTCACAATTACTACCTAGTCTGTTTCCGCAGCTTTGACCAGGATCCATACAGCCCTACACATCTAGAACCACTCAATATGTATATTATCGTTTTCCGTGAAGGTACCATATCGGTAAGGCTTTTCGATGTGTCGTTGCATATATCAGCCCTTATATCTTCTGCGGCTTAGTTCCACTTCCGACCCACTCCTCACCCGCAAAACGTCCGTCGGCGTATTAAACAGTTGAAGGACTACATCAACGTCACCTCCGACTGGATTTCCTACGCTCTCATCGATGATATTACTGATGCGTTCGGCCCTCTAATTCAAAATATTGAATACGAAGTCGACAGTATCGACGAGATCGTGCTCATTATCAAGGAGGCAGAGCAGAGTGATATGCTACGGAGGATCGGCACCTGTAGAAAGAAGGTCATGGGCCTGCTTCGGCTAATGGGAAACAAAGCTGATGTCGTGAAGGGATTGGCGAAGAGGTGCAATGAGAATTGGCAGGTTGCGCCGACCTCAGATATTGTAAAGTCTTCGCTGCTTCCTGTGATGCGCTATGTTCACGAACACGTCCTAGGGCCTCTACCTCTCGGATATTCAAGACCATCTCATCACCATGACGCAAAATCTCAACCACTACGAGAAGATTTTATCACGCTCTCATTCGAACTACCTGGCTCAGATCTCTATCGAGATGACAGATGCCAACAATCAGATCAACGACGTTCTCTCGAAGCTGACTGCCCTTGGTACAATACTCATTCCGATGAACTTGATTACCGGTACGTTCAGCGTTAAACATGTTCTCTACGAGCCTGAATCTGTTGAATAGGTCTCTGGGGAATGAACGTCCACGTACCTGGCCAGAATGTCCCGGTGAGTCTTGTCAAGCATTATCCCGTTTTCGCGTTATTTATAACGGCATTCTCAGGGATACGGTTGGTTCATCTCGATAATAGCCTGTCTTACCGCTTTTGCAGTTGTCGGAGGCTACTTGACGCATAAATTTATGCGGCGATAGACTTCAGCACTCGATTTCATAATATTATTATAATCGTTGTATTTCTATCATGATTGACATTACGTCTAACTAGCATACGGATTCAGATATCGTAAGGGTTGCTAAACGTAGGCACTTGCACCCGCACCCACTTTTGTCCATTGCAGTATACAACTACAAAGTTATTTACTCTCTCCACGAAGCAGGTATCATTCTTAATGTTCTAGTCGATGCAATACTATTTCCGGGTCATGCCATGCTTTTTTTCTTTGTTCACACTATGGTGTGAAAACAACAGGGCGTGTTTCTTCCTATTCAGAATATAACATTGATATTACATAGCAGAGAACATATAAATACGACAGCTGTAGAGCATAAACAGTATACCAGACCAACAATTAAACCCAAAATCTATGCATCACCTATTTCTCGGTAAAAGGGAAGGCGAGGTCTTTACGTCAAGTAAACGGGCATTATGTGCATCATATGTAGGACCTGAATACGGTGGATCTGGCGTAGACATAATCATAGCAAGGGATGGTGAAAGCGTCTGACGGGGCGTGTGTAGAGGCGGCAGAACAGGTGTGGTCGTTTGGGACGCCGATGGATGACTCGGAGGTTCCAGAGAACGCCGTTTTGGGGAGGGCGCTCTAAGAGGCCTAAACTCTTCCAAGGGAGACTCTTCGTAGTGCTTGCGCTTTCTCAACGGTTGGGGCTCGATAGGAATAATCTCCCGTCGTGGCAAGGTTGGCGACGACCCGGGAGGAGGGAGAGACGGGTTCCACCGAGACCACGGAGGTGGTGGAGGATGTTGACCAGACGATGGCGAATTCGATAACGGTCGAGAAGATGATGCTACAGGTATGGCAGCGGGAAGATGTCGGGTATGATGAGACACGCCATTGTGGGGAGGAATGGGAGCTCGAGAAGAACCAGGTGGAGGTATTGAAGAAGAGGACAGCGGATGTGGCTCCGCATTTGGTGTCTCTGGCTGTCCAGGGCTGAACTTAACGAGCTCAACGAAAAGCGTCGCCATATAGGGCGGAGGCAGCTTCTTGTAAATGATGTCTTTGCTACAACTTTCCAGCATCTCTTCAACATTGACGTAGAGTTCAGGGGCAATATTGCCTTCTGCTTCAAGAGACATCACCACTAGATTCTGTAGCGCTAGATTGAGCAACTCACCGTATGGTTTAACTCTGACTTCAGCGAACGGATAGGGCCTTCCTTTCCGTAAACAGCAAAGAGGACATGTGTAATGCTTCCGGGCATGAACCGTGGGTTCCTGAGGGAAGAAGACACAACCTGAGTGATAGTGCTTCTCACATGACTCGCACTGGACCGTTGCATAATTGAGAAGGTAAGGTGTACGACCTCTGCATATGCATCGGGTCCCGTCCGACCAGTCACGATCGATGTCCTGGCCAAACGTGAACTTGGGCCGTTTGCGTTTCTTCGGTCGCATAAGAGGGGGTCGTCCGGCCAATATGCGATGGAGTTGGGCAAGGTCCAGCCCAAAGGAAACGTCGGGATTGGGGGAAACAGCAAATTGGATCTTGTAGAGCTTACGCATGTAGTGTCGGACTTGGTGAATGAAATCGGGTCGTTGATGATCAGGTTGTGACGTATACGACAGAAACTGCCCAATCACGGCTGATAGGCGATCTACGCGATGAATGATGATCTGCAACTGCCGCCAGTCATCGGAATAATTTTTGGTTATATCAGGTGCATTCCGGAGGATGTGTGGAAGGTAGCAGAAATGCCAGTTTCGTTCCTTACGAATTTCACCGTTCCAGTGATGATGGTCGCAAAACGGACAAGAACCTCCGTTTTTAGCACATTCTCCATGGAATCGAGCGAAGCAATAGTCACATTGCACGGCGTCAGATGGAATTCCGGCAGGTGGAGGGCGCACCGGGTTGTTACAGATGCAAGTGAAGAATTCATCTGTAGGGGGGTCGTCGTCCTCTTTGCGGGTGCAAGCCAACACGTCGTCAAGGATATCCTGACCCTCGGGTTGTTCGTGCTCCTCGCACCACCAGGGTAGCTCTTTCAGCCACTGTTCGTGCTTTCCAAGCTCCTTCTCGACTTCGTCAAAGAACGGCAAAGTAAACATTTTCAGGTGGTCTCGCGTGTAAGAGCGCCACTGTCGCAAAGTAGCGAATAAATCCTCATTCGAAGACTTGCGGTACATGTTGTTCTTCACTTGTTCACATCGCGTCTCAAGGTCAACTGCAATTTCAGCAGTAACTTTGAGATCGCGCACTGCGGATATTTTGAAGTCCTTCTCAGCACGATTTACAAGTCGCATGACGTCCTGCGGTCGAGGTTTCGATATATCGGGTTCAGGATGCAGCCAAGCTAGAGCCTGCTTTTCGAAGTCTTTCGCTTTGGCACGGGCCTGCATGAGACGGTCGAGAACTGTGGGATCAATGGGGATGTTACTGTCCAGGTTAGAAAACTCTTCCAGCTCTTCGATGGTTTTAATGGGTAGGGAGAGGACACCCTTTGCCCGATCTTCCCAAGTGTCTCCGACGCGCTGCCGGCTTTCTAAAAGCTGCACATACTTATCGTCGGCCGGCATATTGCACGCACGGGTACGTGTCAGGAGTTGGCGCACCTCCTCTAGCGTCAGCGTAATCTCCCCATCGTCCAGCTTCTCCTTGAGCTCCTTGCTCAGCTGCACCCTTTCGACAATTTGTTCCACTCGCACCAGTGCATCAAGTAGAACATTCAAAGACGAACCCTCTAAAAGAAGACGTCTACACCGCTCGATATAGTCTTCAGCTTCAGTGTCCTGATCTCCTCCCATGAGCACATCAGCCTGTTTCTTCATATCCTCAGCTCGCTGCGCCAGATTTTGTAGCGCCGCTATTTCGGGACAGTCGAAACCGAGCATATCAACCTTCTTCAGAACCTGATACAAATCATCAAGAGTTCGATCAGGTCGATCTGAATCGTCCACGTCGTTCAAAGCGTGACGGCCTCGGGAACGCCTGGACCGTTTGCGACTCTGTTTACGAACGATGAACGCATTGGCTTCATCTACCCATTCATTAGCCTTGGCGACACACTTTTTAAGATGTGCAAGTTCGGGTATGTGATAGTTAATTCGTTCCCCTTCGGCAAGAAGTGCACGAAGAGAGCGCAGGGGCGGTTTGGGGCTATCAGAAAGCAGTTTGGAAAGCTTTGTTTGCCACGTCGAGGGTATGGCAGCACGCTCTTCGACTTTAGCAAGGATTTCCCGTAATTCATCGTCCGAGAAGCGTTTTCGCAGCGTGTACGTAGCCTGGTGATCAGCCTTGTCGCAAAGCAGATGTGCATGGTCCACACACACGACTTGCGTAGTGCAACTGCTAGTGACTTGAGAGAGATAACAAAACGCTTTACAGACAGCGCATTGATACTGGTCTTCTGGTCGATCTTGTTCGTCCAAAATCTGCGCCATGCCCATGGATCGCGCGGTCTCACGGTCTCGCATTTCTCGATCTGTCATTTCCCGTAGACTGTCTATTAGCCTGCAATTGTGTTCATCAGGTTCGTGCGGTATACACAAGCATTAAAACCAACCATATAGCCGTTGTGATTGACTGCGACTGTTGAGTAATGGTAATGAGCAACTCATCATGCGAAAACACAGGTAGCTTTCTGTGATCACGGTATCTTTGCACACAATCTCTACCGTGGGGTAACCAGTCAGGAAGCGCGAAGTTGACGGCCTCGTTGAAGTTGAGCTGCACATAAATATTATTTTCCTGAAGCCGCGGATGTAAAGAGAAGACGAGTACTTACGCCATGATTGAAACCTGCGTGATAAGATTTGGGGAACGTGATCACAAATTCTCCCGCCCTCTGATTGCAGGCGAACACGCGTACGCCAGCCTCCTTGACAAGTTGCGGATTCATAAGCGTGACCAATTGGAAAAGGAGGTCAGGCTGAGCTTCGAATAGATCAGGCGCTTCACTACGAATTGCAGCTTCGAACAAATCTGCATCCTCGCCAGCAATTCCATACCACGTCTTCGTTTCACCCCAGTGCACTGCAAAAATGATCAATATATGACGGCAAAACGAACAATCCGAATCCTTACTAAAGTTAATACTATATGTGTAATGATCCTGCCGTAATGATCAATCCAGGCTACTCATTTTATGATCGGCAGGAGTAACGTACCTCGTTGTGCCAACAGAAAGTCGAAAATGTCATTCCTACGTAAGTCCATGGAACAGTCATGCCAGAAATATCTGACTTGATGAACCGCAAAAGAGAATCGTTGACAATAGGAATGTTGTTAAGGTTCCAGGGGTCTTTTGCATAAGGATCTAGTGGATGAGATTCCATGGTAGGCATGGCACTACGACAGTAAGCGGGGCCGAGACAGCCGAAGAAATAAAGCCGCTCACCTTCCATGTGTCGTAGAGTGCACGTCAGCACCGTATTCGATCTCAACCGTTTCATGAGGTGTCTGGACCAATCTCCAGAACTCATTCTCCATTTCGTACTCAGAGAGTATCACATTACCGATACGAGTATTTGTAGGATCGTCGATGTCCATGGCATTTTCCGGCCTTAGCGGAGGATGTGTTTTGAACCAGACGCGCCTAAATTCTGCGTCTCGGGCTTGGAAACTGGATAGAGTATGCTCGTCGCCTTCATCAAAGCCAAAATCGCGGCCAGACCCTGAAAGACAGGCGTGGCAATACCACTGTCCTTTGGGAATGCTCTTTACGCGTGGCGTCAAACAGAATGTGTGAAAGCCTAAGATTGTGTTGGCGCCCGAGATCATTGCAAACACAGGGAAGGTGTGACGTACCACAGTCACAGCCATCACATAACAGCATAGAGGTCCCGTTGTCGTCCTGCAAGCATATTTCACAATGTGCCTACGTTTTACGATTTGTTTATAAGCGGGAAACTATCTTCTTGGCATGGAAGTAAAGCGTACCTCTGTTATTTCTTTAGCGCCAATTTTAGAGTGAAGAACAGCCGGTATATCAACCGGGACGGCAGGACCAGCGTTAGCAGCGGATTTCTTTGTGTTGGCTATGATGATATGAGCACATATATCGAAGATAGGTAAGCAGTCACGCACAAGATGTGGGGTCAGATGAGTTGACCCGCCTGCTTCGACGGGGCTTAGTGGGTGTGCCGGGGCCGTCATCTTCCTCATCCGAGTCAAGTGGCGGCTCTGAAAGCGGACTTGAAGGGGTTAGCGGACTGAATGTAGGTGCAGGGTCGACGCCGTTCGCATCTAAACGACTCATCGGCTTGCCCGACTGGGCGCTTGAAGGTGTGTTAGGGGCATTCCTCGGTTGATCGCAGAAACGCTCATAGGGCAAGACAACTCGCAGGTAGGACTGCTTGATCTGTGTGGCTAGACCTTGTATGCCCCGGTAGCCAAGGAGCCTTCCCAGTTCTGACCATTTCTTGTCTCGGGTGACCTGTATATCGCAAGATGAGGTCCTAAGATAATACGACAAGGGCTACAGGCCACAAGACGCTGATATGCTTACCGCTTCATATCCTCCCAGTTTGTTGACCTCCTTCTTGAGGAGCCACAAATCCAGCGGCTTGTGGTTGATGGTCGGGATAACAACGCGCGCATTCCCCTGCTGCTTATGGAATCGATATAACTGCTCCAAGAAGTTGATCTTTGCTCTAGATGCAGCCTCTATTGAGTTGAGACGCTGCAGACGTGTTTTGAAGCGAAATGTCTGAAAATTGACCATCGTCAGAAAAAGAAGTTTCAACGGCTGAAAAATGTACAAACTTCGGTATTTGTCACGAAAGGCATGTTCCAGCCTTCTGGCGGTACAATCTTGCAGATACCAAAAGCTTTTGCCTCGTCTGCGATAGAGTTGACATAGGCCATCGGGTCCTTGAATTCCTCCGCAGTAGGAAAGTATTCAGGACAATCCTGTATTTCAAAGGGGCGGGAGACATTAAGTGGAGGTTTATAGCCACGAGGACTTGTTGTTTTGACAGTAGAAAGGTCAAGTGTGGGAGAGACGGGTATGGGGGCGGCATTGCGGTACATCTCTTCCAAAATGTCGGGAGGCTCGGAGTCATCACGATCGACCGAGTACGATATTTCTCTGTCTTTCATAGCAGCCAGAGCATCTGTCTTTGATTTCCGTGGTGCCCGCTTCGGTTCAGAGGAAGGCTCTGGCAGAGGAGTCCTAGAATCACGAGTCGGCTCGTCTTCAATTGGAATCGCGCCCTCGACTGGAATGCTGATACAAGAGTAAAATGTGGGAGTTGGTTGGTCCGGCAATTTAGAGGAGCTTGCAGAATTAGATATGGCCTGTGCTGGGGTGGGCGTGGTGAATCGGGAGGATTTGCTCCGTTTCGAGGGCGACCCTCGAGGCGTGGAGGTCGAAGGACTGCCGTGCATGAAGTACAAAGGCAAGAAAGAAATTTCCTGGAGATTCCTGGAGGATTTCCGATATGTTTCCTGACGTTCCGGTGGTCGTTTGCTTAAGAGTTGCTGCTCACCGCTTCACGAATTTCAAACTCAGCTCCTTCAGCGTGGGAAATGCCCCGAAATGGATCAATCCACTCTTGTGTGATCTGCTGAATAGGCGGGTAATGCCGTCACCCCCTTCTTGCAGGACTGGTTTTTATTCTTCACTTACAATAGAATGCAATATTCTCGGTTAAAGACATCGTTGTGTTTGTAACGCATTTTTTGTCTTCTCCTCGTTTTTGTGCGATATATCCACAGGAACATTCCCGAAACAGGGCTGCTATATTTGGCTCCTTGGCGTCTACATTGGACCCAACAAGGCTTCGACTGATGCATTGATGACTCGATATTACTCTTTCCGTCCAACTCACTGGCACCGATACGAATCAATCCCTCACCTGCAGTGTATTGATTTCGTGCGGCAGTCTGGTTCATAAATAGCCCCGCTCGGCTAGTTCGAGCGCACACCGACTCGTATTATGATATTGTTATTTTCCTTGCCCCCTGTTGATCCGATCCCTCCTTCAACAAATTCAACGGTCAGCCGCAGCTGTGACCCACAAACGACTGATATATGTATGTCTCGTCCTTCGCACCTTCACAACAGGTGTAATATGCCCGATCGCTTGCAATGTTCTTGTATCTCACGCAGATTTAAAATTTGTCGAGGCGTGGCATCAGGGCGGAGGTGTATTCTAGCCCGGAACCGATCAATTGAGATCGATCTACCCGGCCACGTGATGAAAGTATTCCAACTCCGCGATCGTTCGCTGAGAAACAGCCTTTATTGCCGTGTAGTACGTCTAGTATTTGCGCCAGAAAAAGATCCATCCCAGTATCTCGTACCGATTCTGAAGACCACCATCAACCCAACGGCAAACTTTGTCGCATCGAATACCAGGTAGGCCTGTTTCGGACCGTATACAAACGCCACCACGGTAACTACCAGAAGCGACCATCGGACAGATACTATCCTTTCGAGACTGACATACGGGACATTAATTACATAACAACGGAGACGAGGAACACTCTCACCGTGTTTTCTCAAATAGAGGACCAGTCGTTCTGGATGCAAAGTCTACAAGAAAGAGGAACGGTGCTACATTCAGAACAAAATGGTCTCCATCAAAAGGTGTTGTGAACCCCGCAGTCGCAAGTGTCCGTATCCAGACCACCAGGACCGGGGCAGCGAGAGGTATAAGCCATGTCATGAGTAGCAGTAGGTGCATATTGTGGTTGTAATTATTCGCGATTTGGAGGGTTGATTGATCGACAGACTCCATAGGAACATTACGCTCTTCGCCGTTTGGATGGGGATGCGATTCCATCAGTGAAATGATCACCGAATTCGACGGTGATTTGAACAAATCACCCCCTTTGCGGGGACTTGAAGCACAAGTAACGGCGTGAACAAACCAACACCCGAGAAAGGCAACTTGCCACGGAATGACAAGGAAGACAAAGAGAAGGATAAGCGACATCGAAATGGCTGTTGCTCTGCTGAAACTGATGACTTCCCGATGAGATCTGACGTCATTCAGTATTAGCGTCCCTGAACGAGTATCTCGACGTCGAGAAGCCCACCTTCCAAGCGAAAGTTTAGAGAGCAACCTGAGCGGCCACAGCAAAGCCAATAGAAACCAGTAGCTGATGACGACAAGGCCGTATGCAATGGCCATAAACAACGGTGCTAGCGACGAGAAACATAGTTCCCCTTTAGTACCCAAAAAATAATTCGCGGGAAGCGGGACGATGGAGAACACAAATGATCCCAACAGCAAGGCGGGAAGTCTTCGTCGGCAAAAGAAATCGAGCGACTGTGATACCATCGGTGTAAGTACTGCATTTACGAATCAACACCCCGAAGTATCTCAGACAACAAACACTGAATCACTCACCCACCCCTTCATCAGAGATCCTCCATAGCTCTAACATGATCAGCGACACAATGCCGATGGCCCAAGAAATGATAGTGGTGAAGTAACGTGATGCCCAACGACCGACCGTGGCTGTCCATGCAATCTCCAATTTTATTACGTCCGCCCTGCAATCATCGCCACCAGAAGACAGTAGATCAAGGTAAACGCCACGGCCCGACGCGGCGGTATCTATGTAAGGTGCCGGACTGTGCGTATGAAGGAGGATGTCGCGTCGAGGCGCCAACCTCAAGGGGAAGTAGTGTGTCTCCGCAGGGTGGGACCTATGAACCAGTAAGGGCGATAGGTGATTTTCTGTGTCCAAAAGGATTACAGTCATATCAAAATATGAAGACCTAGACCGTACCTTTGCATTCAGTGCCTGGGGTAGATATACGTGGCGACACACGATAAACAATGAGCGCATTTGACAATAGGTCATCAAAATGCACAGATATACGCAGAGCCCTGGTATCAGGTAGATGAGTTGACACACCCCCCGCCAGTAGACCTTGTCGAGGAAACAAATTCAATTTCAGACCCACAAAAGAGAGGAAATGCTTTACTTGTGGTTTTGATATCGCTGACCATAACGGTATCGGGGGCCACTTGTGCAATGACCCAACCAAATCCGTCAGCCCGATCGAGTCTAACGCCCACCCATGTTTGATGGTCTTTACGAATAAATGATAAATCTGCCTCAAAGAGGACCACGCCTTCGGATTCATCAGACCCTTCGTGGGGAACAGGAAATGGCATCCCCGGAATAGGATTGGGTAGCAGCTTCAACACTGAAGGCTCAAGCGACTCGCATTCGAAGGCCTCATCCACTGTGGCCTGGCACACCAAAACCGACACGTCCAGCGGACCTGGATACTGCGGAGAGATGGACAACACAGATCCCTGCGACACATATAGCGTCAATTTCGCTGAGGAATCACCGGAAACGGGCAGGAGATACGCCTCTCGACTCCGCGGCCTATCAAGCACGAGCCGTTCATTCTCAGAGAGAATCTTATACGAATCGCGCTCTAACAGCTGACGCGGAGCATCAACTGGTGGAAACCAGCTCCCATCCCGTAACCACCTATCCAAGACAGCCCCACGTCTCTCCACAGACGCGACATCACCAAGCTCCAAGGCAGCTCTAGCTACTCGCCATCGGACCTGGTGGCACCACACCATCTCACGGTGCCCAACCCCGGTCCACATTCCCTCGAGAGCAGATGAGAACACGGTGCGTCTAAAAGGTGCATCCCTCCTCTCCAAAATGCATGACTCCGAGGGTATCATCATGTCCGTCGCACCCCCACATATGGACAATATTGGTGTCGGGTCACTCTGCAGTACGACCCTGTTGCGGTCGTATATTCGATCGATACGCTGGTCAAAGCGCGCCGGAGGAAGGAGATGAGGTGTCGACATGGTTATGATAGCTGAGATTTTGTCTGAAGGCAGAAGAGACGTCGCAATGATGCCCCCCATGGAGTGACCCAGAATTATGATTGACGTTTTTGGGGGGTACATTGACAGAATGTAAGCAATAGCGTTAGCTGTGTACGCAGTCTCAGATTCCATAGTGGGCCCATGGAAGGCAGACAAGTCCTCATTGAATTCAACTGCAAAAAAAAGGAAGAATTAGTCACGCTTTTTGTCCTTGATGACGCACGCACCAGCAAAAAAATCCAGCGGTTTGAGGGATGTGCCTTCAAATTCTGGTGACAACCGATGAGGGGAAGAATAGAACTGTCGAACAGCCGATGAGGATATAGATCTGACTTGACGTGACGACCCAGCATTTCCTGGAATGAACAAAACAGGTTGATTACCATGTACCTGTTGACAAGGTAAACAACAGCCCAACATATTGTAATGACCGTCGCACCGCATTGGATTCCCATCCTACTTCTCGATACAGCCAAAGACTATAACGGTTGGCCAGTGATGTCCACGACGCGTTGAACCCTGTCTGCAGGATGTATGACGGCGACATCCTCGACATACGACATCCTTGTGGGGATAGATTATTCTGAACATCTAACGCTGATAGGTATAAAATAACGACCGAGACTAGAGAAAATAAGCCAAGAAACGTAGCCCTTGCTTGTGACATAGCGAAGCGAAGAGCATGGATGTTGGGCATCTGATGACAAGGATCAATATGATCGTCGAAACCAAAACCAGTGCGGCTACGTCTGACTTGGCGTCAAGTCAACCACACCTTACATATCTTACAGTACTTGTGAATTTCTTCTTTTATCATTTTACCGGACACTAATAACACGACAAAAGGGATTGATCATGAACGGACTACGGATAATATAACATCGCGGCTGGTGAGGGGTGTGTATGCAGATGGCAGAGTGGATGAGGGGATAATGCAGAGAAGCACGACGATGAAACGTCAGAGTCGAAATACGTGAGAACGGAAATAAAAACGGCGAGGAGCATCTATTCATCAGCCGGGGCATCAGCGGGCTCTTCCTTCTCAATGGGGGGCTTATCTGTAGGGTCAACGTAAATTAAAAGAGTCTCCTAGATTGAAACGAAGGCTTACCAGAGTCCTGCATGTCAGACGTCCAGAGCGTGAGGTTGTCGCGGAGGAGTTGCATGATGAGGGTCGAATCTTTGTAGCTCTCTTCTGAGAGTGTGTCGAGCTCGGCGATGGCGTCATCGAATGCCTGCTTGGCGAGATGGCATGCACGGTCGGGGCTGTTGAGGATTTCGTAGTAGAACACAGAGAAGTTGAGGGCAAGACCAAGACGGATAGGATGTGTGGGAGGTAGCTCAGTGACAGCGACATCCGAAGCAGCCTTGTACGCCTCTAGGGACTTGTCAGCACTATCTTTCCGCTTGTCGCCGGTGGCGAATTCAGCCAAGTAACGGTGGTAGTCGCCCATCCTGGAATATCGATGGATAAGAGGACAAGATAGCTTAATCATGAAAACTTACATCTTGTGGTAGAAAACCTTCGACTCGCCGGATGCCGCAGAGGGGATCAGGTGCTTGTCGAGGACATCGAGGATATCCTCGCAGATCTTGGCCAATTCGCTCTCGATCTTCTCCCGGTAGCCCTTAATCATGGATACTTGAGCCTCGTTGCCTTTCGACTCCTCCTTCTGCTCGATTGAAGAGACAATTCTCCACGAAGCACGGCGGGCACCGATAACATTCTTGTAGGCGACGGAGAGTAGATTACGCTCCTCAACGGTAAGTTCCTGGTCTGACGAGGCAACTCGCTTCATGTTCTCGACCATTTCTGAGGGCGACAAGATTAGAGGGGTTGATTGCGAAAACAGGGCGTTCAACACCAACCTTCGTATCGCTCGGCCTGCTCAGCGAGCTTGGCGAGGTAGACAGAGTCTTCACGAGATTCAGGCATCTAGAGACAACGTTGAGCACATGGACGACGCGTACAGAGGCGCGTCAAACACTCACGATAGCTAGAGATGAGGTTGGATGAGCTAGCGAGAGGGAGGAGGTGAGCCTGACACTGCGAGAGGCGACGAGGGGAGAGGCGGGACTTACGGGTGTTTAGAGGCGGTTGGTTGGTGGTGGGGAGATCTAGAGAATCAAAAAAGGGAGATAAAGAATTTAAGGCGAGCCGGCAACCCTCTGCCCAAGTCGCTTATGTAACGCTTACATTAGCAGGGTTGAGGGTTTAGCCACGCGACCTTCCTAAATGGTGCGCATTTACTGGCAGTCGTTATGCGCAACCAGTGTCTCTATCTCGTTAGGGATCACTCATCAACGCAATTTTGTTGTCCGTAGACAATGTAAAGCATTCCTAATGATTTGAGCGATACCGGTTGCAAGGAAGGTAAGCGCCATTTTCTCTTATCTTTGGAGCGGATGCGTCACTCCTAACTTTCAGATTAGCTCCCATTGTAGACGCCTCACTGCGTTTCCTAACCTATCATGTGTACGGAATCTCTTTTAATGTCTTCGCTCATTCGGAATCTCGAACATTTGCTGTGCTGATGAACTAATACCCGCCACACAATTCTGTTGTTCTAAGTTTACTGGTTCAGCGGTTGCTGGATCGTTCTTGCCGGTTCCGACCCTCCCTTGATCCGTCATCTTCCATTTAATAGCCTGACATTTCATGCCTAGGCGAGCCTACTGCGAGTCTCCATTCTCCGCCAAGCTTAAGGGTGGAAAGGATTCTAAAAGGTGGCGCAAGGGTCGTGTGAGCGTGTGGGGGGAGCGAGTTCTCTCTTTGGCTGTACTAATTCTACTTATAGTTTCAATTTCTCTGGTTGCGCTATGTAGATGTAGACTAAGATATGATCCCGCTGTCCCGCCTGATTCCGAAAAACGCACGTGATGTATGCAAAGCCTATTTGGACGCGTTTTCCCTGTCTTTCTCCTTCATTCGCTCTTTATCACTGTCTCGCACGCCAACGCTATCATTTACGCGTATTCCTCAAGGATAATTGTCGATGTCGTCCACTACAACACGCAAACGAAAATCCGACGCGTCTTCTGGTGCCGCCGCCAAAAAGGCGCGGCTCAACCTCACCGCCGATAAAGTTGTTGCTATCCTAGCAGACACAAAAAACTATCCAGTTCCAGAGGATCCCGAGAGTTCTCGCGCCGCTCTTGTAGAGCTTGCTCAATATGCAAGAAGTCTAGAAGAGGAGATCGCTGGAAGCAAGCCAAGGGCACGTACGCCGGAGCAGGTGAACGCCGCAGCGGAGAAGCTTAAGTCTGCCGCGCAAAGTAGCATCAAGAAGCAAATGACCGTGAGTGAAATCTGTGTAGACTATGGTTCGTGATGGAGTTGACGCGTCTTTGTAGTGGAAAACGTCCTGTAAAACAGGGTCTTCAAAATGGATGTACGATGGCGTCTGCAATGACGGGGAGGTCGTCGGTGCCATGCTCGGCTTGGGTGGTCCGCCCACATTCAAGATGAAGAAGATGACAGTGGAAGAGTTCCAGAATGTCATGGGTGATATTGAGGGATCTGCACGGTAAGAATATCTGTTTGCTCCTGGAATTGCCCTGTGCTGACGTTATAGATACAACACATTATATATGAGGGGTAACGTCAACATTCACTGGAAGCCTGATGAAGGTACTTTCAAGTTTAGTGGTAGCTATGGTGTTTGAAGCTTGAAGTGTCGAAGGAACTTCGTCCTATTCCATGATTTCCGTGTCTGACTATACCATATATATCTACTAGTTTCGTAACATAGGTACTCTGTGTATGTCCAGTAACTAGGCTTTGTTCCCGCGTTACTTTTACTTACGATGCCTGATGCCCTGCCTGATACCTCGAGATTCTTGTGCCAATCACTAAGTAATGCGGTCTGGAAAGGTTGTTCAAATTACGAAATCAGGGCGGGCTCTAAAGTTGTACATTACGCTCCCAAAATATCGAAGTCCATATCAACCCTTGGCATTACTGGTTGACGTTGAGCAACTAGCACCTTCAGACCGCGTTCCAGGCCTCATCACAGGTGAAGGGGTCCATGCATCCACGTGGTGTTGTTTGCCAACCGCTTCCACCGTCAGTCAGGCACAACACCGCTGTTCAGTACGGTACTCCTGCTTCCCGTCGGTATGAATGGCGTCAGGCGCTTTCTCGGTGCGGCGACCACCACAGTCCAGGAGCAGCCGCAGCCGCAGCCGCCACCGCCACTTGATACCAATGGCTTACCACCATTAAAATCTGGTCCGACGTGGCCCCCGCAGTCTCCGACGTCAACGAACGGAATTAGCTCACCCTTCGGAAGCCCAAAGATGACGACGGCGGGACTCTTTCTTAGAAAGGACAGGCAGAAACCGCCACCTCCCGTAGCGGACGATGATACTATACTAAAATCGTCGCTTCGTTCGTCAAACGTTTCGACTAGCTCGCTCATTAATTCCAACGGACAGTTATCCGGTTCTCCGGTCGGGCCCTCACCACCGCGAGGCCCTCCCTCTCGAATTGTTACCCGGAAGTCTGTGAAACCGTTGTCAATGGATTCGGAATACAAGCGATCATCTAGTCGGCTCAACAATCGAGACGAGTTGTTGCTCAGTTTGTTGGCCAGTGACGCTGTGGTGGACAGTCGGGATTTTGAGATCCTCAGTTTCGAAGAAGTCGACGAACTGAAGAAGGTGCGTCGTTGTGCTATGCACTATGAGCATATATATAACAACGTGTAGGAACATCAAGTCCTCATGTCTCGACTCGGTGCCACGGAGAAAAAGCTCACTCTAGAAACGAAAATTCGGGATGCTGCAGTATCCTTATCCAAGGTCAATCAATCGAACAAGAAGATGTCCAAGCAGACCGAGGAACAGCTCGAGTCCGCTAATCGCCGCGTCGATATTGCGCAGAAGGAATTATGGCGGGTTTCGGAGCGAGTGAATGAGATAACTAGGCGCCTACTCGAGCACCGTGCAGGAGTTCTCAGCTATTCTGTCCGTAGTATGGAGAAAAAGATGGCTCCTTCCTCTGTAAACGGTCACAGCACTCCTCGAAATCACCGCGATTCTGGCTACGAGACCCCGAACAGAAGCGTCTCGCTCAGTCCAACAACGACATCCATTGCAGACTCTTCTTTCACCAAGTTTGATGGTGCTCACTTTTTCGCAGGTCATGCAGATGCTATCGTACCGACACGCCAACGTTCTCCGGATTCTGCGACCCGAGAAATCTTTTCCTTAGAGGAGAAGCTCAAGGCCGCGACTGATTCACTGAAGGCCGCAGGACAAAAGCAGGCAGACATGGCGAAAGAGCTGTCTCATCTGAAATTTGAGAAGGAGCAGGTCGAGATGATGATGGACATAGAATTGCAGAACGCTCAGGACACCATTGCCGCTTTAGAGCAGGAGATGCCCAAGATCGAATCTCTGGAAAATGAGTTTCAGGATCTATTGGAGGAGAAGAGGGATTGGGAGCGCGAGCGGGAAGAACAAGACTTGCGGATAGCTGCTCTGCAGGACGAATTGAAGGCACTTGAGTCGTCCAATGCTCAGGCTGCAGGAAATGAGTCGGCATTGGCACAAGCACGAGAGGCGTCGCAACAGTTGTTGGAGGACAAGGACGCCGAGTTGCGGCAATTACAGGCAGAATGGGAGCATGATCGATTGGCTTGGGATCAGGAGCGCGCGCGTTTAGAGGACGAGAAGTTGGAGGATCTGACAAGACTACAAGACGAGATGGACAGAGTACGGGAAGAAGATGTCTCTCTATTACAAAAGGCGACCGACAGCCTTGAGGAAGGGCAAGCTCTGATCCAAGCGCTCGTTCACAAACATTCTGTGCCGTTGTTCTCTCGCGAGTTGTCTTTGAGGGCTCTCCTGTCTTCGGTGGATCTTTACCTTGAAAGAGTCGGGTCTAAACCAGATTTAGAAATGGAGTTGGAGGAAACGAGGAAGAAGCTTGATGATGAGGTGTCGAAGCGCGAAGCTCTTCTTCAAGATCTCGAGGAGGCCCGGCGCGAACGAGAAGATGCCAAGAAGGAGGCTCGAATAATTGCTCAGAAAATGAAGGTATATAATCCTTGTTCATCCGAGTCGTTGGGTTTTTGACACCTTTTTAGGAGCAATTAGAGTCAAATAATGGTCCAATTCGCTCCCCGATAACCCCAACAGCCACTTTCCCGACTGAACTTACAGGCGATGCAGCCAAGATTGTTGCCATCCTCCAACCTCTCTGGACTATGCTTCCCTCCCCCGAAGCCCGCGCTGCTAAATTCAATATCCAACGACAGTTCCGGACTGGATCACCGACAGCATCAGCCCCTTCCAGTCCTAGTAGTCTAGGTCACAACAACTCCGCTAAATCTCTTTCAGATCTGGATGTGCGATCCCTCAAGGCCCTCTATGATATACGTTCAGGCGCCAATTCATCACCTAACCCAGGTTCGTTCACAGTGGAGGCGTTTGCTGCCCGGGTACAAGCGCTGGTGTCGGACGATAGGTCGCTCATTGAACGCCTGCTTCGATTCGCTCAGGCGCATGATCTGTTGAAAAAGAACGCCGACCGTGCTCAGAAGCTGGCGCAGGAGGGCAGTATCGCTTTGGAGACCTATCAAAAGCAGGTGCGGATGTTGGAGGACAGGAATATGAGCATGGCATCCAGATACGCTGGGCTGTGAGTGTTCCCGGAATGTATCATACCTGTCTCGTCATAACTCATCATTATCAACAGGGAGGATGAAATGCACCGATTACAAGACAGTGTGGATATGATCACGTCACAGAAGCTGGAGATTGAAATGCAGGCGGCTGAGCAGGCTGAAACATGCCGGCAACTTACCGAGGCCAACAACACGTTGAGCGCGCGAGCGTTGACCTTGGCGGAAGAAGCTGCATCTGCTCCAGAAGCCATCAGGAAACAGCTAGAGGCGCAACTTGCCGAGTCCCGTGTAGCATTGAAGGCCGCACAGGAAGAACTTGATACCATGATTTCGTCGGAGCAGAATCAAAAGGCTGCATTGTTGGATGAGCTGAACACAATGCAAACGGAGAATGGTCAACTAAGAGCGCAGCTTCGGGCGGTGAAGAAATGATATTTCTAGTCCTGTTTCGGATTCAATTTGGATACCCCTCACATTGTTACTGACTTTTCGCTCTTGCAAACTCTAATATTATTTCTAGGACGTATGTATATGTATGACGATATATCGTGTAGAAGGTAACGCTGCGACACCAGGGATCTTTGAACCAACGAATTCAACTTTTTGTTTGAATTCTATAAAGGCCGACGTACGCTCTGACGTCCGTTCGACTCCTCGCTGAGCTCTGAAATCGTATATAGGTACAAGTATCTTAGAATCAACCCAAGTAGGCGCTGGGCCAATAATCAGGTGCTAGACGCATAAAACTCGGCCGGTGTTCAAATGTTCACGTTCAGTTCCCGAGCTCCAAAGTTTTGACAGCATTTACTTATGGCAGTAAGCGAGTCTTAGACATACGCTCACTGATAAGAGGGTGAAGCATAACAGAAACTCTCTTAGGGTAGACTTTTCTCCTGCAGGACGACCAGCCTTCTTCTGTCTTAATAGCACTGGAGATATTAGGTTCATCGATGAGGTGAGTTCAAAACCTTTGGAAGAAACCCAGTATGTTCGATGAGCTCGAGGTCGCCCTTGGCAAGTTCCACAAGTTGTACGGTTGAGTCCTCCGTCCTTCGTAGTATGTCACTATAGCTCGATACTTGCATATATTTATCACGCTAAAAATCATATCGATGGGTGGACAAAACCGTTCATTACAATTTTTGCCATTAAACTAAGTGTAGGCAGCGGTAACTCTCCGGCAACTCAACGTCCTAATTAATAACGATCAATCACCAGCAAACAAGTGATCGGATCGGTGGTCGATCATCGCGACTCCAGTGCATTTTCTGCCGACAAAACGTCTCTTCTGCCTGGAATCCAGCATTCTGAATAAAATATATCAAGCAGGAACAAAAGGGCTCAACCGGGAATTGAACCCGGGACCTCGCACACGTGATTGATTACATAATCAATGGATTTATCATCCCGAAGCGCGAATCATACTACTAGACCATTGAGCCATTGCAAATTTGTGGCCATTAGTTTCCTATATCGGGAGTATCACGTGAGAGCTAAACCGGGTAAGAGTTGTTCGACCTTAAGTCTAGTGTAAGGTGTTTGTTTATTCAAGATAAACCATGGCCCATCCTGTTCGAACAAGATAACTCTCCACTAATCCCTTTAACATCATCACATTCCACAGACTTCAACGCAACACCTGGCGAGCCTACCCTTATTGAAGACGAGAAAGGACGAGAACTGGATGGCGTATGGTTTTGGTCGAAGGCAAGGATGCTTGGAGAAGAAATGAAGCTCTAGGGATAGAGGATGACGGCCTCGACAGCAGCCCACCCCACAGTCTGTACCTACCCGGTTCGAACGACGGAATGAACCTCCGCTGACCGTTGTTACTTTCAATTTCAGTCTTCCGATGACCGTCGGCGACATGGAGGACTCTGGCTTTCCCCCAGACAGCATACCTGATACATGTGCCCCTCCTTTGCAGGTGAGTTGCTGTGATGTTTGCGATTCAATGCTTGTCAGTATTCTCATCTCCGGATGGGAGCCTTCACCTATGTTCAATGATGATCGCGTCTTTCTTCGTTCAATATATACCGCAGCCATCTTCGGCATCTTGGCGAAGTTTAAGACCTTTTAGCGCTTTGACTTCTCGATAGACTTGCTTCAAGTGCCTTGCACGCTGTCACCAGCCCCCAAACATTCACCCAAGACACCCAGGATAGGAACTGTGTACAGGTCGGATGATCAAGGCTCAAAATACGTCCCATTATGGCCGGTAGACAGCGCCGAGCGACCAGTGTTATCCTCAGGGGAAGTGCGAACTCCGTGGCAGAAGGTTATACGTCGTAGACGACGCCTAGGACAGCTAGGTGACGACCATCAAAATGAAGACAATTTGACCAACCATTGGGAGCACCACACCTCACGCGCTTGAGGACAGTTGTGAGGACCTGGTACACTTCAAATAAGTTGTTGAAATATTTACCCCCTTATGAACCGTTGAAATATCTCACCGGTTATAAAGGAGCGGAAAATCGTTGCTGTCGGAAGAAAGTTTCGCCTGTTTCAACAGTAGTAGTGAGGAGAGGGCGACGTGGCGACACACCACTCAGCTATGTGAGGTCACATCGGCTCCATGCGATGGGGATCGATGCCCGAATTTTTCCCCAGTTCGTGTATTTGAACAGCTCTCCCCCGACTTCTACACTGACGACGGAAAAGCCCACGGCGACGACCAGTAGCGGTTACGTCGAGGCTACTGTTGTGTCTGATTTCAAGTCTCCACCCGTTTGTCGGCGACATGCAAGGCGACGATCATCCTCCCATCCTTTCCTCTTGAACCAACATCCAGCCTATCAATCCTGGATTCTGGCGCAGAAGATAATTTTTGATGTGCATCACTGGCGTAAGCAAGCGGTGGGTTAGTATTTATGGAGAATCCACAAGAATCAGTTCATGATTCTCGTTACCTTCAGCGAGGCTATAGGAAACAGAAGGCGGCCTCAATGTATCTCTCTTTCAGCATTTCCACAGGCGTACATGCCTAATAAGCCTTTTCTTTCCTTTTAGCCAAACTCGTCATTCGACGTGTACGAAATCCATCAGTGAATCTATGTCACGCGCAATAAGATTCATGCTTGATCAATATGGTTTTTCAATAATGCGGTGGACGACGTCTGTGGTTCTGGTGGGATGCCTGCACGAATTGGTGCCTAGCTAGTAGGACGGACTACTACGTTTGCGTGGCAAACGCGAACCTTGTCCCCTTCTAATTGTGTAGCCCAGGTGAAACTATCAAACTTTTGTCTACAACGGACGTTCTCAAAGTGAGCGCTTGGTTTACTTCTTGTGAACGAGTAGCACAAATGAGTAGGTTTCAATTTATCAGCTAAGGATTTGTACTAATGTGAGTAGCCGAGGTGACTTTGCCTGTTACCAATTGGTTCTGGTTTGGTGCCTGGCTAGTAGAACGGACCACTACGCTTGCGTGGCAAACGCGAACCCTGTCCCCTTCTAATTGTGTAGCCCAGGTGAAACTATCAAACTTTGTAAACGAGTAGCACTAATGAGTAGGCTTCCATTTATCAGCTAAGGATTTGTACTTATGTGAGTAGCCGAGGTGACGTTGCCTGTTGCCAATTGGTTTTCAGTCTGCGGCGTCACTCTTATAAAGGAAACCGGTATAGTCACCGTTCGCTCTGGCTTTCTGGTCAAGCACCATCAAAAACCAAGTTTATATGTCGCGGTACACCGCAGTTGTATTATACTACTCAAAGGTCGACAAAAACGTTTACTCATAAATCCTGTGTGCTGCTATCTCATGCTTTGTTACTGCTACACTGGGGGCAAAAAGCGTTAATGTTAGGAGCTGAAACCTTAACGTCAATGAATCGTAGTCGTCGGACAACAGCAAAACCGTACAGTATTGTTGCGGATATTGATGGCTAGTGACGAGTCAGTCTGTGAGCAACTTACAGACGGAAAAAGAAGAACTGACTACTGCCAACAAGTCTGGCTGCATGTAGGAGGCTTGCAAGTCTTTGGATGCGCCGTGCTGAATTTACATTGAACCAGGTCGCATTTAATCTAGTCATCATTTTAGTACACATTCTTCATACTATGATGATTATCTTACCTCTTCGTCAGGCTTGACGATCGTACAAGAGTGAGCCTCGTACAAGCCATATCAGGAACGTAGAAGCTCCTACCAAGGTTACGCCGTGGCCACAGCTACAAACCAGTCAGCACCCCAGAGTAGCGAGTTAGATGAAATAGTGCTGACCGCGTGTAGATGTTCCTGACCCTAAAATAAGCGAGAAGTGTAAGTATTCGCCCGCCGACCAAGGTCGACGAAACTCACTGTCGATAAAGGCACATGTTTGGAGAGACGAAGGAAGGTACCACTCCAACTCCAAGGCGCCCTCTGCTTTATAGGATGCAGGATCCGGTCAACCCGTCCCCTTGGAATCATTTGAAGAAGAAGCGTCACTTGCCCAGGAAGTGTATCCTAAGTTTTGGCCAAGAATTGTGTGGCCCTGGGATCACATTTCGCAATACCAGGAGAACATCGAATTCGGTTCGATCTCCACGTAAACCCGTCAGGTTGTCTATCACTGGTTCCCAGTCACTAGGCAGGATATCGTGGAATCGAACCGTGGCTAATGCCATTCCGTACCAAGTAATTCACTACAAGCGCACCGTCACTGATAAACGCATAGATGTACCGGCGTCACATCGCAGTAAAATAAGGAAGAGACCGATTCATTTCAGATGGAAGTGCGATAGTCTGTCCAGATGGACGGGAGAAGACAATCCGGAATCGACCGAAGTATCGGACATGAATGTTAAAGAAAGCACCGGCAACCCAATGACGAGATGCGATCACCTCATTTAATGCACTTTGCATGCTCTATCCAATCAATTACAAGAATCTGTAGAAATTCTTGAAAGTCACGCCCATGCAACAATTCAAGCGAGCCGAGGAAGCCCGAAGACAGGCCTCTTCAGATGGACATCCGTACATTTCTGGGACAATTCGTGAGAAGGCCGGCCATTCTGAAAAACGGTCAGAGAAGACATATGATAGATCATTTGTTCCTTATCGGATTCAATCTAACCTTGTACTGCAGACGCCTGAACTTTAGGCGTCACATCCACCCAGATCTGGATTGTTCAGGTCAGAGGCTTACTTTGACCGTGACTAAATGTACCTTACACAGGCTCTTCGATTAGGCCTCTACTTTCCACTCAAGAAACAGGACAACGATCAGAAGCCTCTGGAGTTTTGATCAAAGTCCGTACAGATGACTGGGACGGTCTACTGAACGCTCCGATGTCGTAGGGTTGACAACGTGAGGATACGACTGAGAGACCATTAGTAGTATCGCACAAGCATGTGGATAACGAACTTGCTCGGTTCCAATCTATGGCTTGTACACACTAATGCAGCTGGAATGACCATCTGGAAAAGTACAGCCTGAGCTTGATGTTGAGCCGTTGATTGGTGGAACCAAACGGCATTTGCTGCGTGAATTGCCATGCTTTTGTTCAGATCCTAAGAGATGTATACAAAACCCTTACCTCGGCAATATGAAAGAACGCCTTCTGCGTCTTCCAGAAGTGTGCTCAGAGTCCACTTCATATATCCACGAAAAAGTTCCACCAATCATCAAGCGTTATAGCCAACGAAGAAAAACAAAGATGTTTTTGGCACGGATCTCCTTTGATGCCAAGTTCCACGTATATTTTGATGCAACGTGTTGGAAAACTTTCTCATAAGCGCTATAAATGAGCTTGCGGCCATCGGACGGTGGTCCGTACAGGTCCCAGTGGAGGCACCCGCCAAACCATTGTTTCCTTGCTTACCCTACTGAAACGTCTCGGTGCTTAGAATACTCCTTGAAGTCAGCCTCCTGAAATGGAAGACAGTTGAATATTGCGAGTCATGCAATACGCCAAGTATTAACATGTCGTGTTCCTGGAACAGATATTCATTAAAGATGAGGATGTACGCAAGGATGACACCTATATCGAGCCATAAGGATTGGATCGTTCCACCAGCTTCGGAAACGCGTTGGTATTGGAGAGTACGACCATTCGCTTTTCGTGGCTTATGTACCCTCTCATGAAGCCCTTGTAGATCATGTTTGCAACTAGGCATTCTGCCTCGTCTTCGTCGACGTCGATACCTGAGATCTTGAGCGAGGAGTGGAACATGGATATAGGGATCCGTGATCCTTTTTGAGAAGCAACCCATCTGCAAAATCATAAATCGAAACAGCTTCCGAAGACGATGACCCAGCTTACACTCTTCTAAATAAGCCCCGCAAACATAGTTCTCTGGCCTTTTCGAGTGTTATCCACAAGTTCAGATCCAAAAGTGTCTTTTCTTGATGGTCGAGTGCCCTATCGTAGCTTGATATATCACCGGTACGGATAGCAGTTATAAACGGGTGATAGAGTTCCTTGAGTGTAGGAAACCGATCCATTAATTCCTGTGACGGAAGGTAACCTTTCAAGATACGCAGCGGGAGGAGATAAGTTAAGATGCGCCTGTAAACAGTAAGTTGGGAGACGAGACAACAAGAAGGGGTTCGCACTCTTGGTTACTCTGGGCCCCAGTGTGGCATTGGTAGAAAGCAAGGGTCAGTTCTTCCTCGGACTACAGAATGATGTTTGAGAAGCTGCTAGACACTTCAATACGAACGCGTACCTTTGCATAGTCTTCGTTCAAAAAACTCAGCATTCCAATGTAATATCGATAGGTGACCTTGCGAGACATTAACCACGAAGGTAGAATGACGAAAAGAGTCGTACTTGATGCGACCGGGGATACATATGCAGTGGAGGAATGTCAGAGTTTGCTTCGAGAGCCCGCAAGATACTTTTGGACAAGGATATTCGTTTAACCTATAATCAAAGCCACTGACGATCGTGGAGGGGAGAACCTTTAAGGCAAACGAAGTGACTTGCCCGAAAGTAACACTTAAGTATGAGGCCAACAACATAATACACGCCCCATTTGCGGGATTCGTTGAGTGGTGACGTCCTAATAGATCAGGCTCTGATGTTGAAAGAGCAGCGAAAGTCGCACACCTGTCAGTCATACAGTTTCCAAAGGCCTTCACAATGATTCTCGCAGCCTCTTCCATCGATTCGCTCTTCAGGTTGTTATATTTTGCAAAAGAGTCGGCCTGAAGATAGACTATGAATGATGCCAGGCACGGAAAAAGGCGCGTACATCAAATGCCAGATCGCGTAGGTCCCGCAATATAGAGAACAGAGCCGGTAGTGTCCAACCTCGATTTTCGGTGAAGAAACGAAAGAATAGGCTGAGCTACAGTGAGCGTCGCACAGCGAAGAAGAGAGACCTATGCTCACGAGACAAGTTGTGCATGCTCCTTGAATGCTTCCATCGGTCTACGTCTGGCTACATGCGAGCAGGCCATCACATATTGGATGGCAATATCATCCCATGGGCTCTGTATGCTTCCTTGATAATGACTGAATGCTGCACGCTGATGATATATCGCGTGAATTGTACGTTGAGGTCCTGATACGAGTCCGACGTACTGTAGGATTCCTGAACTGCTTGACGAGGTCTTTTCCGTGTGGGCTTGTTGGCCGAAGGAGGTAAGCAAGATTGAGTCCATTCTCAGCAACGAGGGCGTCGTTTAGCTGTGTCAAAAAAGTGGGGAAATCGACTGGCATGCTGGTACAAAAGTAACTTTGGCTTGACCACGTGGTGCACGCGTCTTTCACTTGTTTGTTTTCTTGCTGCCACTTTCGTTCACTGCAATGCTATGATCAGTTCTGGCGGTAAATATTATCCGACATGGTCCTTATATATCTGACTGCCACAGTGCGTATCTGCTGGCGTTGCGGCAGCCGGGCCGTGCTCTGGCAACTCTTGTTGATCGCGTGAACGGATATTGCCCCGTGCCACGATTGCGGGTTTCCTAGCATTGTATCTTTTACTTCGACCCCAGCATTCAAGAGAGGCAGCCATGCTTGTTCGTCCCTCTATTAAGCCTTTCTTTTCGGCGAGACCTTCAGCGATTTCGTTCTCCACACATTGGGCTTCAAGTTCACGACGTCGGTTTACTACGGCGAACGGCGCTCTGCCTCGGGAAACTCCTCCCATATTCCGCTCTGCATATAGTCTCCTTGCAGTTTCTCTAGCTAGTGGAGCCTTGGGCTATTTTGTGTCGAGCTGGAATAAGACTGACGACATTCCGACCACTCCCAAGTACGGCTCCCCCAAAGACTATGAACAAGCCATCTCAGAGCTTCAGCGTACCTTTGCTAGTCGTGACGGCGTCGTCTCGACAGATCCACAAGACTTACACATACACGGACACTCAGAATATGATTACCACCCTGGTGTGTTTAATCTTTACCCAAGATATGCCATTTCTGACTTTTCCACGTTAGACTTGCTTCACAGCGTCGTTGTCTATCCTGACTCAACAGACGATGTCGTCAAAATTGTTAAAATTGCGACGAAATACCGCATGCCTATTACACCTTACTCGGGTGCTACAAACTTAGAGGGGCATACCCGTGGTGTATTTATCATGCTGTCAACCCCCCTACGGCTATTTCTGATGGGTGTTATGTAGCATTCCTCTGGTGGGATATGCCTTGACCTTTCTGGCATGAAGAGGATCATAGAAATACACGGTAATTCCAGAAATGCCGTGGTTTGAGCTTGAATAATGGCTTTCACTAGAGGCTGACTCTGATATGGTTTGCCAACCTGGCATTGGCTGGGTCGAAATCAACGACGCTTTACAAGACAAGGGTAAGTCATTTACAAAGCGAAACTAAAAATAGACTGAGAGCTCTTCAGGAATTCCTCTCTTTTTCCCGGTAACTGAACTTTTATTCTACTCGTTTGTTCAAATCTAAAGATGGAATATAGATCGATCCCGCTCCCGGTGCAACAATTGGAGGAATGCTTAGCACAGGATGTTCCGGGAGTAGGTGTCTGCTTCCTTTTCGTGAAACTGTTACTCATTGTTTTCTTCTACATTACAGCGAACGCTGTTCGATATGGTACGAGCAAGGGAGAATGGTTTCTAAACGCCGTAAGTTGACAAGTTGAACAATCATCACAAACTAGACTATACTGAGCAGAAATAGACCGTAGTGTTACCTTCCGGAGAGGTCATCAAGACGAGAAGACGATCTAGAAAATCTTCCGCTGGGTTTGATACTACAAAGTTATTCATTGGCGCTGAAGGGACGTTAGGCATCGTCACCGAAGGTTGTTCTGAGCGCTGGGCGTCTTCCATTTTCTGATCTAAAGAATGCTGCTTTTTCTATTCCAGTCACAATCCGACTGGCGCCCGTCTTGCCAACAAGTGTCGCAGTAGTTCAGTTTCCTGACGTAAGAAAAGCAACAGAGGCCGTCAGAGAAATTATAAACCAAGGGGTTGGAATACGTAAGATTTCACGTCAGTCCGCTGCAGAAAAATGTCTAATTGCCGCATGTAGAATGCATAGAACTGGTGGATTCAGAGTTCATGCGGGCGACAAATATCTATGGCCAATCCAAACGCAAATGGCCAGAAAAGGATGGCCTTTTCATTAAGCTGCAAGGGCACACGCAACAGTCCATCATGGACAGCGCTCAGGTGGTCAAGAAGGTCGCGGAAAAGCATGGTGGGATTGGTTTCGAGCTTGCAAAGAACGGCAAGGAGGCGGCAGACCTTTGGGCTGATAGGAAAAATGCACACTTTTCCGGTCTGGCCCTGATTCCGGGGGCCAAAGGGTGGGCGACGGACGTGTGGTAAGCCCCTTGTGACGACCTTTAGTCCCTTTAACCAACGTCTTTTGATAGTGTCCCCGTGTCGAAGTTACCAGACCTCGTATACCAGACTAAGGAAGATCTTAAGAACCTCGGGCTTGTTACCACTATAGTTGGACATGTTGGAGACGGGAATTTTCATGCTCTGATCCTCTTCAATAATGAGGAAGAGCAAGTCAAGACAAAGCAGGCGGTCAGCCGAATGGTAAGGAGAGCTATTGCACTCGATGGCACATGTGAGTTGCTCAAGTCGCTATCCTCTATACATCTGACCTGACGGTTGAAGGTACCGGAGAGCACGGCGTTGGCATTGGCAAGAAAGACTACCTCATAGAAGAGCTCGGAGAAGGGACAGTAGAACTAATGAAGACTATTAAACGTTCTATCGACCCTCTTGGGCTTTTCAACCCTGGCAAGGCACGTCTTTCGGATTTCCGTTAATTCGAACGATCTCAATGTTCTGAAAATGATACAGTTGTACCCTGAAACACCCTCGAAAGACAAAGGAGACAACAACTAAATGTATCCGCTTAGCTCATGCTACATTGTTAACCCATGTGCGAAATGCCCCACTTAAATATAGATTATCCAAGACGCTTCCTAGAGTGGTGTTGGTGACCCCATCCTTGAGAACGATCCAATGCTGGTTTGTCACACTCGTGTCATTGACCCAAGCATTCGATCCGTCAGAGGCATTCACACTATTGTAGCCATATGAGTTGCCGTATTCAAAGAAGTTGTCCAGACCTGTTTTGTGATCATCAGTCCCTCAATTTGTGGCGCCGTCATGAGGACGATGCTCCTGACCTTGAATGGCATAAAGTAGTGTGATAGGATCCCATGAATAGAAGGGGATATTGTAGCCGCTGTGGAGAATCATCAGCCTACGTAGCGTGGTTTAAGAAAAGACAAGTCCACGGACATATACCACTTGTAGGCTGCAGCAACGGGATCCGTAGAAGGTGCCTGAACAGATAACGGTGCTGCAGATGTAATATTTCCTCCGAGATAGCTGCCCGAAAACGTCATCTTTCCCGGCCATGTACTAATGACGTGAGCCGTCAAGGCTGGAGAGCCACCACCGAAATTATATTCCCATCCGCTGGGATACGCGCCGCCCATAATGACTAACTCATTCACCTTGGAAGCTACAAGCTCAGGTCCGTCGAGGCGAGGATACCTATCAGCGGTCGAATTAAGTAGACCGGATAACTTTGAGTCTTTATCAACTTGAAGCACGATAATACAGGAGATGAAAAACTATCTCACATTGTCAAAAAATCCTATACTCGCGATAATGACGCTTCTGTCATCTTGTTCAGATAACACCTTTCGGTACAAGTCAACGGGATCCCACGCGTCATCTGCATCAGTCAAGGACGCGTTCCAGTGATGCTGGACTTTGCTTGCGTAGTCTCCGTATTGATAGTAGTGTGTGTCGGTGAATATGCTGTCATTGAAAGGTCTGATAGCACCGATAGGCACATCAGCGTGGGAATAGTAGGTTAGGATCGTGGAGGCAGTGAGTATTGAATACGACGAAGGATAATTGACTTGAACAGCTAAGAGTTTGGTGCAAGGCAGAGTGGAAGCGAGTGGAAGGGCAGCTGCATCACTAGAAATATCTCAGCGGTAGTCAAGCAAGTCCATTCGTACTTACTCTACTCCATTGAAAAGATCGCTATCCACAATCAGTTTGGTCGTTTGCTCGCATTCTCGGATTATAGAATATGCCAGCCGGACCAATGCAACCATTACACAAAAGAACAGCATACTAGGACTCATGTGAGCTCACGCTATGGGTTCTTGTCTGCTAAATAATTTCCACTTCAGCGACGGTCGCTTCGTTATCTTGCCTTGTACTAGCCACGGCCGTGGTGGTGGTTATGCGATTACACGCTTTCCACACGCGGGTCATTAAAATAGATTTCTAATTCCTGGTTCTGATCCCGGCTTCTTGGTTTCCTCCTGGTGTCCAAAATTTGTTCAACATGGTGCTTAGTGGTAATTCTGCCGGCTTGTCTGCCTCTAGGCTTTCTGAGCGGGCGGTATTCGACTTCTCGGTGTGCCGCAATTCAGCGTTGACCCCCACGTCCTATCACCAGACGCAAAGAACTCGGAATCACGTTGCTACTAATGAGGCTTTAGAAGAGAAGCTGAAGGACATGTCTCTTGTTTTCCAAAATCTTACATAATCGCCAGGGTTGAAGCGGCCATCCGATGCCACCCGAAAGCGCCGATAGCTAAGCCATCTCGGACACGTCCAAGAGCCAGAAGACCAGCTCAGGTTAATTTGATATCGACATAACCGTCTCTGCGCATTTCCAGGAACTTTGTCTGCAGAATAGCGCCAATAGACCGTATCTCCTGCAATATGATTATCATTTTCCAAAATCAAACCGAAAGAGTTATCAATGCTCACTACTCTCACACAATGAATCATAGCAGATGGTATAATGTCATTTATGGAAGTGGAGCCGCTTTCTTTTCTATACTAAGGTCGGGGTTTGTCGAACGGTTATCTGTTTATGCAGATAAAGCAGGAATACATTCTGATTCCGTCGCTAACGACAGGTCGAGGTTCAGAGAAGATCATCCAAAATCAGAGAGCTCTGAAGAGGGAGACAGACTAGGCTGGGTGATAATCGATAACCTCCCGCTGTCTGTGCTGTTCGCCCACTGGTCGATGAATTTCTGTCCTAAGGAGATGGGCGCGAGTCATCAAAGTCGAGCACGTTCATCCCATCTTTTAGTTTTGTGAGACGGGACTTGGAGGGGGAACTTGAGTAGAGTATGGACAAGACTATCAAGGCGTCTGTAGAAAATGAGGAGCATGGGACTCATGGGTAAAGCACTCTTCTGCAGGTACTTCGATTGACTAACACCAGCCGCTATTTACATCCTGGACGTTGAAGAGAATACTCCGTCTGGGATACGAGCAAAGGAAGAAAGAATAATAAGTAGCGTCGCCATTGTATCGAGGGCCAGGGCTATAGCTAGTAGTATCTCGTAGACAGACGGACAGGAGTCATTTGTACGAAAAAGGAAGCAATCAAAATTGCGAGTCACGATCGCATCTGTATGCTGAGTCGCTTTCATCGATTCGCATTTCGTCTCCATCCATCGCGTTCTTTCCTTTCCACCATGTCGTCTCAATCGGAGCCCAATTCGAAGAGCGCAGGTCTGTCACTCGCATTCATTTTCGTGCTGTGCTTATTCCTTTATAGCCAAAAAAGAAGCCAAGAGGCTCGAAAAAGAGGCCAAGCTCGCGGCCAAGGCATTAAAGACCAACAACAACAATTCCGGGGAGAAAAAGATCAAGGTGGAGAAGAAAAAGGAGGAGGAAGAGGTTTTTGTCAACACGACGCCCAAAGGCGAGAAGAAGGGTGTGTGACTTGCACTGTTACTTCTCTTTTTTTTGATCATGGGTAGATCTCTCGCAACCCATGTCGGCAGGGGTACAACCCCATCGCGGTAGAGTCGGCATGGTACGACTGGTGGCATGCCCAGGGATTCTTCAAGCCAGAGTATGGTAGTGAAGCGAACGAGGAAGTCTTCGTTGTCCCGGCCCCTCCTCCCAATGTGACGGGCAGTCTGCATATCGGCCATGCGCTGACAACAGCAATACAGGATTCACTCGTTAGGTGGTGAGTCGGGTGCAAGCCGTCTGCTGTGTTATGGGTTGACGACCAAATAGGAACCGAATGCTTGGGCGTAAGACGCTATTTTCTCCTGGCTTTGATCATGCGGGAATCTCGACGCAGAGCGTGGTGGAGAAACGGTTGTTCAAAAATGAGGGAAAGACGCGACATGACCTTGGACGAGAGAGGTTTTTGGAGACGGTCATGGATTGGAAGAACGAGTGAGTCAATCTTCTGTAATATGCGCTTAGGCTAATGTCCATTGTAGATACCAAGCGAGGATAACTAACCAGCTCCATCGGTTAGGTGGGAGCTACGACTGGGATCGCGTCGCGTTCACGATGAATGAGAGTCTGAGCAAAGCTGTTATTGAGACGTTCTGTAGGCTACACGAAGACGGGATCATCTATCGCGCAAATAGGCTCGTGAACTGGTGTGTCCGTCTCAACACGACACTTAGCAATCTAGAGGTCGACCAGAAGCAGTTGACGGGGCGCACGTTGATGAACGTGCCAGGGTATGACGCGAAAGAGAAGTTTGAGTTTGGGGTTATCACGAGTTTTGCGTATCCGTTGGAGGATGGGGAGAAGGTGGTGGTGGCGACGACTCGTCCCGAGACAATGCTAGGCGATACGGCCATTGCGGTGCATCCCGACGACGAGAGGTATCGACACCTTCACGGCAAGTATGCAGTCCACCCGTTTGTAGAGGGGAGGAGGATCCCAATTGTCACAGATGAGATGGTGGATCGGGAGTTTGGGACCGGCGCGGTGAAGATCACGCCTGCTCATGACCAGAATGATTGGGAAGTTGGTGTGAGGCATAACTTGGAGGTAGTGAATATTATGAACGATGATGGAACGTTTAATGAGCATGCAGGCCAGAGGTTCAAGGTGAGTGCGTCAATTACACTTGTGCAAGGTACTGATAGTGTGATCATACAGGGTATGAAACGCTTCCATGCCCGTGTTGCGGTCGTTGAGGCTCTCAAGGAAGCTGGACTGTTCGTTGAGACAAAGGATAACCCTATGATGATTCCCATTTGCAGGTCCGTATCCGTCCTTCTTTACTAAACCTTCTCATATTCCTTTAGCAAATCCGGCGATGTCATCGAACCCATACTGAAGCCCCAGTGGTGGGTAAACTGCAAGCCTCTCGCCGAGGAAGCTATCAAGGTACGTGGCGTTTTCTGGCCAGTATTGCTTACTGACGAGACATTACAGCGAACACGCGCCGGCGAGCTCATCATCGCGCCTAAACAATCCGAGAACGAGTGGTATCGCTGGCTGGAGGGTATCCAGGACTGGTGCATCTCCCGTCAGCTCTGGTGGGGCCATCGCTGTCCAGCCTATTTTGTGAACATCCAAGGGAAGGAGCAGGATGTAAGCGGTTTCTTTTCCTTCTACTTTTCATGTCTTGATAAACATGTGCAGAAAAACGATGGCAAAAACTGGATCGTGGGTCGGACACTCGAGGAAGCGACGGAGCGCGCCAAGGTGCTTGCTGCTGGTCAGCCGTTCACGCTGGAGCAGGATGAAGATGTGCTCGACACTTGGTTCTCTTCTGGATTGTGGCCTTTCTCAATCATGGGCTGGCCGGAAAAGGCGTGTTCATCTCTTTTTTGGTGTATATTATCTGATTGGTTCTGTAGACACCCGATTTTGAGAAATTCTACCCCTCATCTCTTCTCGAGACAGGTTGGGATATCCTCTTCTTCTGGGTAGCAAGGATGGTTATGCTGGGAATCAAGCTCACAGGGAGGGTGCCATTCAAGGAAGTGTATTGTCATGCAATGATTCGTGACGCACACGGGAGGAAGATGAGCAAGTCTCTCGGGAACGTTATAGACCCGATTGATGTTATACAGGGTTTGGAGCTGGAGAAATTACACGAGAAGCTCCTCGAGGGAAACTTAGACGAAAAGGAGATCAAGAAAGCGAGAGAAGGCCAGAAGAAGGACTTCCCCAAGGGTATTCCTCAGTGTGGGACTGACGCGTTGAGGTTTGCCCTCTGTGCTTATTCAGGTGGAGGGCGCGACATCAATCTCGAGATCCTGCGCGTAGAAGGATACAGGAAGTTTTGCAACAAGATTTTCAACGCGACCAAGTTTGCGATGCTCAAACTAGATGGAGAGTTTGTCCCTGAAGCGGATGCCAAGGTGTGTTCGTATGCTGGCTTAGGTTTTACTCTAACTGAGGCTGGTTTGTAGCCTACGGGCAAGGAGAGCCTAGTGGAGCGCTGGATCCTGCATAAACTCAATATCGCCGCCAGGGAGATCAACACCCAAATGGGAGAGCGCAATTTTATGATGACCACGACGGCGGCATATAACTTTTGGCTGTACGAGTTGTGTGATGTCTATATTGTAGGTGCTACGACATTGTGGTTTCTACTACTAATGGTCAAATAGGAAGCGATGAAACCCATGACGGACGACAAGGCGCCGATAGAGACGAAGAAGTCTGCCCAGCAGACGTTGTATACATGTTTAGATTACGGACTGAGGTTGTTGCACCCCTTCATGCCGTTCGTGACTGAAGAGCTATGGCAGCGTCTCCCGCGTCGACCGGGAGACACAACTCCATCCATTATGATTTCGAGGTTCCCGGTATTTGTGAGTGCGCGCTTGTTTAAGTGACATTGGATGTTGACCTCGGCCTTGGCTACTAGGATGAGGCGTTCGTGTTTGAGGATGCAGATAGGGAATTTGATCTAGTGTTCTCCGTGCTCAAGGCTGGACGGTCCTTGGCCGCATCGTATAATCTCCAGAGTGATATACAGTGTGCGTGAGATTTTCTTTTTAGCGTGGTCTATGGCTGATGAAAGGGCTTTATGTAGTCTTCATACACGCGCAGGACGATGCGAGGCTCATTGAGAGTCAGCTACCAACGATGGTTGCTCTGACGAAAGGATGCAAGAGTGCTGTGGTCGTGAGCGATTCAAAGGACGTTCCTGCCGGATGTGGAAGTAGCGTCGTGACCAAATCGATTGTCATACATACACTTGTGAGGGTGAGTACATCTTCCTTTCCTTTCCTTTGGCGATGTCCCTGAGCCAGGTATTGGGTAGGGCCTGGTGGATCTTGACCGTGAGATTGCGAAATGTGAAAAGAAGCTGGATATAGCGCGGTTGAGCCTCTCCAAACTAGCCAAGTTTGAGAATGAGACTCTTCCGGAGAATGTGCGGTTGGCAAATGAGGAAAAGGTGAGCATATGCTGGATGTTTGGGGTCGTATTCTGATTGATTGGATGCTGTTATAGAAAAAGACTTTGGAGGCGGAGATAATGACATTGGAAGCGTCACAGAAGATGTTTGCAGATTTAAAATAGAAGTATGTAGGATTAGAATGGCTGGAAGATGGATGTATCCATTGATTTAGAAATTGGTCGCGTTGTGCTAATTTTGGTTTGCGGCATATTCCAGTCAGCTGTCGGCTTCGCCTTTTTCTTCCGACAGCTGAATGGATGTGCATGACCGATAAGTACTAGTACTGAAGTAATTTTATGCTTGGTTATGAAGCAGGCTGTCGAGAATGTGATTCACGGAGAATATCTTATCTCATCTCATCATTATACGACACGGTACCATCAGGAACACCGGACGCAAGTGATGAATGTGCATCTACCCGATCTCTATTGTCCTCGATTTGATTATTTACTTGCTCAAAGCACGGTGATCTCGACAAGAGAATGTCTTGATCAATGCTTGCAGGCCATCAGTGACATAACCATAAACATAGCTAGGAGACTCGTAATAGTCATCAAACCTGTAAAGATACGGTTCAGCCAATCGAATTGAGACTCTCGTAAGAACCTGACATACGTAGCTGTGACCCTCCAAGTGAGGAGCTGTTCGCGCGATGAGGGTGATGCAGGGCACTCTACGGGTGTAGGTTTGGCCCGGTGGCGCTTTTCAGCCTGCACCGAATCAGCCACCTTGATACGATCCATTAACGCTTCCTCTGCGCCCTCCACAGAAGAGAAAAGTAGTTCGGAGCCATCAAATTTCACTGTACTCCAAACATCCGCAGCTGCCTCCTCGTCGGGCCACTGGCAGAGAATCTGCGCCCAATCCCGAATGCAGCGCACCAAGTCGCGTTTAGGCTGCTCCTTGTGGCAGATGTCATCTGGATCGACCCCCTGTTTCTTTGGAGGCGTCCAATCCGGGTCAGTCAAAGGACCACCTTGGGCCGCACGCTCAGCAAAGCTGCTGAGATTGCTCTCCCGCTCAGGGTAACTATCATCGAACAGATCCTCGTCGCAAGTGAGTCCTCCGGCGTCTATCAGACTTCGAAGCCAGTCCTGCGCGTCCTCTAGTCCGGGAAACAGTTGCACTAGGGCATCCAAGGCATCCCGTTTCGCCGTCTCCAACCCGTCTCTGACTACCTGGAGTGCGTGGGCTCGTTGCTCCTCGTCTGAAATCGTGGAGAGGTATTTCATAATGACAAGAATGGTTGAGTTGTGATGAGAAATACCGTCCTCAATCAATCTATCGAGCAAGCAGACGACATCTTCCGTTTGAGATGCCTTTGCGAGAATTTTCGCGGCGTCCGTGTAGGGAATGGAAGGCTCTTCCCCGAAAATATTTTGCTTGATCGAGATTAAGAGTGAAGACTCGATGTCAGGATAGTCCGACACCAAAGAGGTGTACAGATGAACGGACGGAGCCTCGAAGAAACTGTTAATGCGATGACGATGTCTCTCAGAATAGAGCCGAAGGGCGGCCGTTCTCATTTCCGCCGACCAATGATCATCCCAGAAAGCAAGGCCAATCGCGTTCTCCGATTCTGCAAAACAGTCAATTAGGTGAGCGCCAGAAGGTGAGAAAACCGTACCACCGGGCGTTCGGCGAATGAGATTGAGAACATCATCGTAACTCTCGCCCCATATAGCTTCATTAGGTGGGATTCTTGAGCCCCTAATAGCCGAGAAAACGAGGTACTCTCTCCACATCCAAGCCATATAATCACCAACTAGGTGGTCCCCATCGTACACGGTCTGCTGGTTTGAGTCGGTGATGACAAGCCTCCTGGTCCATTCAAAGTAATCACCGCTGGAATAAAACACATTAGCATTCATGATGTGAAGATAGCAGACAGTTCACGAACAGGCAATTAGCAACTTGGTCCGCAACAGATGAGCACAACATCAGACAGCTACGGACAAGCTCCATATCTGCGTTCGTATCTGCCATTGCGAGCCATATGTCAGGAAGCCACTTGATTATCTCCTCCATGATGCACTGCAGCATCTGAGCCTGCTGGTCTCCTTGATCCTCTGGATTGTATTTCACATCCGTGGCAAGTTCGTTAACCAATGAGCTCAGAGAAACACAGTGAAGCTCATATGAAAGGTTCTGGACGGTGCTCTCATCCTCAGGGAGGACACTAAGAATGGAGGCAGCAAGTTTACGAGCGTTCTGAAGAGCTGCGCGGTTGCCAGGCGTCACCTTTATCACCTTCGCTCGCGTCAAGGCATCCGTGAGGATGTCGTTGAGGCGCTTCGCTGGCGATGGACCAGCTTTAGGAACTGGTACCGACACGACACGTCCCTTTCTTGCAGAAGCTGCTGTTGGAGCTGGTGCAATACGGCTACTACGGATTGGAGCTGGTGTGATCCGGCTGCTACGAATTGGAGCGGGTGCGATTCGACTGCTACGAAGTGGAGCAGGTGCGATTCGCGTAGGACGAATTTGTGTACCGGTCGTGATACGAGGTTTCCTTGCAGGGGCCGACATGACGATGAAGAGCGAGTCCTAGAGCGTAAGGATGCCTTCTCCTGCTCCCCACACTAGCCATCGCACCTCTTTAATTCCATTAGAGTGATCAGAACATGCAGTGAAAGGCTGTCAATAAGTAGCAGATGTCAATTGTCAAGAGTCCGGTCCGGGTCCTTCCGTGAGTCAGACGCTGCATGAATATTTGAGCCATATTTCCCACAAGCATCAGTAGCGAGCCGAATATTTACAGAGCCTCAAGGACAGTTATACATAATTCGCTCCAAATTTTCTACAAAACCAACACCGTCCTCGACGGTTGATTCACTTGTGATAAATGCGTTATGTTCTATCACCGGTTCTCTTGGTAACCTCATATCATTTGAGCATCCATCATTGGGTTTTGACAGGCTTAACAACTCTTCGCTGTTTCTCGGTTTTGACTCGGAGTATTTGACTTGACGGTCTGAGAATATCATTTAAACACTCATAACCGTAACAATCATCCCAAGCATCGAGCACCGAGACAGGTAGAGCTGATACCTGAGAAATTGGCAATCGTAGCTGAAGTGACTCTCACTGCTAACATTTCCGGTCGGCGAAAGAGGTAGATCTTGGAGCACTTTTGCAGCTTCGTCCATCCGCAGTACGCAGCGGAGGCTTTGGCAGAAATGTTGAACATTGCTTAGTCCACGCGAGCAGACCTATGCAGACCTATGCAAACAGTCGACCAGATTTCTGTGAGTATTGGCTTGCCCGAAAGGTCCACGTTGCCATTTCCTTACGATGTCCGAGATATCGGAAATATAGTACACGGTTAGTACGAAGCAAGTGATAAGTATTGGTGGTATGATAACTTATAAGTCGAGGGATTAGATCATGGTATCATGGTAAATGATAATTTTTGTTGTCGTGTTATATCGCATACAAGTATAGGTAGTATTGGTATGCAAGGCTGAGCATTTCAGAGTGCGGTATGTCGTGGACGATTATTTCTTGGTAGATCACTGGTTCGCCAATTAGGTGAAGGTAATGTTAACGTTTTACGTTGTTCGAGTTCAAGAAAAAGTCTTGCTCAAATGGCCGGCCCGCTCACGTGCAATCTTCCAAAATTTATCCTTCATCTTCCTCCGACTCCTCGACGGGCGTGTAGGGTCAGTAGACCATGCGCAAGCAACTAGATCCTCGCATACCAATATTGATCAACAACAATGTCAAGAAAAACCACAGGTCCTTCGTAGTATTGGTCGGAGACAAGGGCAGGGACCAAATCGTCAACCTTCATTTTTTACTGTCACAAGCTAGGGTCTCTGCCCGTCCGTCAGTACTTTGGTGCTACAAAAAGGAGCTCGGATTCACCACGTATGCCATTTGTTGTTCATACTCTGCTTACTTACCGATAGCATATTTCCAGCCATCGAAAGAAACGAGAGGCAAAAATCAAAAGAGATGTCAAACGCGGTATCCGTGAACCAAACGACCAAAATCCTTTTGAAATCTTCGTGACGGTGACCGACATCCGGTATACGTACTACAAGGAGTCGCATAAAATTCTCGGAAACACCTATGGCATGTGTGTACTGCAGGATTTCGAGGCCATAACACCGAATCTTCTAGCACGGACGATTGAAACGGTCGAAGGTGGTGGCTTGGTGGTGCTTCTGCTAAAGACGATGACTTCCCTTCGACAATTGTACTCCATGACTATGGTGAGAGTGTTGCTATTACCTGCAGGTTCATCTAACTCTTCGCAGGATATCCATTCAAGATATCGAACTTCATCTCACGACGCAGTTACTGCCCGTTTCAACGAGCGCTTCATCCTCTCACTAGGATCATGTCCTGACTGCCTTTTTCTTGACGATGAACTGAACGTTCTGCCCATTTCTCGCGGGAAGGATATCTCGCCTTATACTCCCCCATCTGAAGAAGCCTCGTCTTCCGAATTGCAGGAGCTAAAGTCGTCATTATCCTCTACCAAACCAGCCGGTGATCTCGTTCAGCTCACAAAGACACTTGACCAAGCCCAAGCCATCCTTACGTTTATCGAAGCTATTGCTGAAAAGACCTTGTCGTCAACAGTGACGCTCACAGCTGGACGGGGTCGCGGGAAGAGTGCTGCACTGGGACTAGGCATTGCCGCTGCCCTTGCTCATGGATATTCCAACATATTTGTTACCAGTCCCAGCCCGGAAAATTTGAAGACTGTTTTTGAATTCGTATTCAAGGGCATGGATGCACTTGGTTATGAAGAGCACCTCGACTATGATATCGCGCAGAGTACTAATCCAGATTTCAACAATGCGATTGTGAGAGTGAACGTCTTCAAGGACCATCGACAGACAATCCAGGTTAGTTGTGCGGCCGAGTTGACTTCAATGTCCCATTAATTTGTTTTTTAGTACATTCAACCCGAAGACGCTCATGTATTAGGACAAGCTGAACTGGTCATTATTGACGAGGCCGCCGCCATCCCTTTACCTCTCGTCAGAAATCTCATTGGACCTTACCTTGTTTTCCTTGCTTCCACGATAAACGGATACGAAGGAACTGGCCGCTCCCTTTCCCTCAAGCTCATCCAGCAGCTACGTGATTCCACCCGCCCGTCCATCCCCACCACCTCCACTACCAAAGACGACGAACCCAAAAAGCACGTCCAAACGACGACCAAAGCCGCTCCCAAAGCCCTCAGATCCCTCCGTGAAGTCAGCCTCACCACCCCCATTCGATATTCCCAAGATGATGAAATTGAAAAATGGCTCAACACCCTTCTCTGCCTTGTTCCTACCCCAGCATCGCCTACCCTCTCCTCCGGATGTCCACATCCATCGACCTGCGACCTTTACTATGTAAACCGGGACACCCTATTCAGTTTCCATCCTGCATCGGAGGCTTTCCTCCAGCGTATGATGTCTCTCTATGTGTCAAGTCACTACAAGAACCAGCCTAACGACCTTCAACTAATGTCCGACGCACCCGCTCACCATCTATTTGTCCTTCTCCCCCCCATCAGCGATGCTAACGCGTCCGTCCTGCCTGAACCATTGGTGGTCCTTCAGGTGGCTCTTGAAGGTTCAATATCTAAAGCATCCATCATGGAAGGTTTAAGCCGAGGCTTGAGATCGGGAGGTGACTTGATACCGTGGCTAATTGCAAACCAGTATCAGGAGGGGCGGTTCGCAGAAATGAGTGGAGCTCGAATTGTGCGAGTTGCTACGTCACCCGAAGTTGCGAATGTAAGCCTTCTCTGTCCATAGTTTTGCGTCTTTCAGTATTAACCGACATGTCCACTGAATAGATGGGCTATGGTTCAAGAGCTCTGCAGGCACTCAATTCATACTATAGTGGCGAGCTCTACAATTTCGATGACGCGGAGCGGCAAGAAGAGTATCCTGATATCACTGCGATTGATGCCGTGCGTTATATCTTCTCCAGAGATAATTTATCTCATATTTTTCTAGTCTACATCCCTTGACACTGACACCCCCACTGTTCGTTCACCAAAATCAATGCCTCCTCTTCTACAACGACTACCGGAACGGAAACCCGAGAATTTGGATTACCTTGGCGTGAGCTACGGGATGACTGGCCAGCTCCTGAGGTAAACTCATCTGTGTTTATATCGTGGATTTTGTGTTAACTGTCGTCGCTCAGGTTCTGGAAGCGACTAGGCTTTGTACCGTTGTATCTTCGCCAGACGGCTAGCGATCTGACCGGGGAACATACATGCGTTATGGTAAGAGGGCTCAACAGCTCTGCTGACAGTGAGCTGGAATGGCTAGCCGAATTCGCCGTCGGTAAACGAGTCAGATTTTACCTTCCTTCACGTTGATTAATCTTTATTAGATTTCCGATCGCGGCTACTTACCCTACTCTCATTCCCAAAATTCCGCGAGTTTGGATGTGTGACAGCACTGAGCGTTTTGGAGGCTATCAACACCTTCAGTGGCGTGAAGAACCTGGACAAGCAAGGCGGTGGCGTTAAAGCGCTTACCCCTGCGTTGCTACCAACAAAACTGACGCCTTTTGATTTGAAACGATTGGAGACATATGGCAATAATGTGTTGGATTTCCATGTCATCATGGATCTGATGCCTACGATTTCCTCTCTTTACTTCCAGCGACGATTGGATAAGCGGTCGGAAACAGCCGAAGGCAAAAGCGAGGGGTCCGTGAATTTGAGTGCAGCACAAAATGCTATCCTGTTGGGAATGGGGATACAGAGAAAGAGTGTCGAGGATATTGAGGTACGTCATATGAAACTACGAGAGGAATTCTTTGACCATGATCACGATAGGCCGAACTTTCGCTACCAGTATCGCAAGTCCTTGCTCTGCTCGTTAAGATTGTACGAAAGATTGCCAAGCGGCTCATAGATGTACAGAAAGAAGGTGTGACAGAATCAATGGGTCCGGATAGATCTTTGGAGGGTATGTCTCGTACGTCTGGACCCGTTGTGGAAATAACTGGGAACGCTCTCCAGTCGGTGGAAGAGGAACTTGAGGAAGCAGGAGAGCAGGAGAAGGAGGCCATGAAGGCAAGGGAACGGCAGCGCGAAATGATCAATGCCTTGGACCTAAAAAAGTGAGTGAAAGGATATTTTGACATCTCGTTTCGTCCTCTGATGCTGGCCAGATATGCTATTGACGATAGTGCGATGGACTGGAGTGCTGCTGAGAGCCGGGTTGCTGCTGGCGGCGTCAAGGCTGGACAGACTATCATAAGTGTCAAGAAGAGCAACGGGGTTGCGGGACAGAAAAGAAAAGTAGACGAGGATATCGGTGGTGGCGATGCAGGGAAGGAGAAGAAAACACGAAGAGGCTCGGGTAAGAAGGCAAAACACTAGCATTAGCCGTACTGTAATGATCTCGGTGTTATTGATCTATGTATATAGTAACGATATTGTATCGTGAACTCGAGCCTTACAGGCTAGACTCGACTAATCTAACCTTCGTGGTGGATGCTATATTTTGCTAATTCATTTGTCGTCATGCTTTTACTTCAAACCTGAAGTCAGTCAAACGGCTATGGTCTGTCAACCGGTCAACTTGTTCACAGAAAGGATTGCCAATACCACACTTTGGAAACAGATCAGATACATTACGTTCAGAGATCACTAAATCAGTGCCGAATCGAGTCCTGCACGTCTCCTACCTGAGGAGCATGCTTCATAGATCCGCAATGCTCGTAGCTTGGACACCGTCATGAAAGGTCAACATAATATAAACATTAACAGCACCACCTTGGCGCTTAGATCTAGACCTAGATGAATTGTAGTCCTAATTGACAGATATCGAAGGTGACAACCACAAGAACGCCCTCTTAAGTCGCGGGAGGGCACTGTCTTCCGCTATCATCCTTGTACCTGTAAATAATTCAACGCCCACCTATCAAATTGGGGAGACACCATTTATTGGCTCCACGGCAATTCAGGCCCAGGGTTGGCTCGGTCGAGCAAAGCAGTGATGAGGTAAGGGAAGGAAATTGTGAGATTCCTTGAGGTCGACTTGAAGCGCCCAGGATGTCCAGAGCGATGAAATAGCCGCGCCGGCAAGAGACCAAAAAAATTACGACGAGGGTACTGGCGGATGAGACGACGACGACGGTGGAGCTGCAGACGCAGTTTTGATGCTGCTTAATCGAACCACAAGCGGCAGAAGTGACACATTTTCACTGGATGCATAATACTGCACGCAGTCCAGGTATATCTGCAAGTAACGATAAGTGGATTGCCCCGTGTCGCAAGAGTACCTATTAACTCACCGGAAACCTGATACGACGTGGTCAGCACCAGGCAAGTAAAGTACCAGGACCAACGAAAGACTCACCAGTGGTTGAAGTTGGCCTCAAACTTGATAAATGTATCCCACCGCCGAGCTTGATCTTGTTCTGTTTCCATACCATCCACAGCTTTGTTCGCAGACCGTGTGAACGACGGCCCGTACATCGCAAACATTGAACATGTCGCAATTAATTTCGAGAACGCCTGTAGCCCCATGATAAGAAAACGCCACATAAGACGAAGGAGAAAAAAACCTTAATTAGCTTTGAGCTAGTCAGCATACACTCCTTGAGACAGGTATCCAGAAAATCTACATGATCTCTCAACAGCTGATCTACAGTGGATACCTTGTCTAGCTTTCCCTCCAACGCCCGCCAATTAGGCTCAAGGACCTCGAATGTCGCAAAAGCGAGAATCTGCTGTACGAAAGACAACATTCGCGCTCGAAGTAAAAACACTCGAGGTTTCCACTTCTCGAACTCTAGCTGGTCTCGCATTGTTCGACGCCATGTGGTCGTCTTATGGTCAATCCATACGGATGAGAGGGACTGCTCGGCGTGCTTCAGGTTGAGAAGGAAACGGAAGAGGAGCTGGTACCGTAGGACGGTTTTGCGCGATATAACGAGGGATAGGGGGAACTTGACATTGTAGTCAAAGACTAGTGCGTCGATGGCTAAGAAGTTGGAGGTAAGATCAGGGCACATCTCGGATAAAAAGAAAATTCACCGAGTAATGGCTTCTTCTCATCTCTCTCCTTCTCCTTCTTCTCATCTCTTCCTTTCGCGGGATCAATTTCGTCTCCGATCTGACCACTCTCCCCTACAACCTTCATCAACCATTCGTACAACCCGGAGGTAGCCATCGTTACTTTGACGTCCTCTCTGAACAAAGCTTCGTCACCGTGAACATCATTGTTCAACGCCAGGTCTAGCAGACTTTGTAATTTGATAATGGACACTGACTTGGCTGATTTGCGAAGTTCATTCTGAGAGAGGTCGAGAAGATGAGTCAGGAACGAGGAGTGGGATAGGAAGAAGTAGCGTTTGAAAGATCGGAGGCGAGGAATGAGTTGCTGGTCTTTAATCAAGAGCTGTAGGAGTGTCTGATTGGCGTGCGAATAAGCTTTCTCGATGAACGCATAAAACCTACGACCATATGAGCATCAAAGGCAGGTAAGACTGGGAAACTGACTTTTCATCATCCATACTGCACTCGTCATCGTCGTGCGGATCTCGCCGTATTTCAATGCCACACTCACGAATAACATTGAGATACTTTCCCGCGAGTAGAATTTTGTGTTTCCACCCTTCGAGCAGTGGAGGCACACAGGCGCCTCCGGGTAGCCTTCCGCCGATGGACCGAGGAGAGGGTACACCGGCTAAGTGCCGCTTCGACGTTGTAGACGACGTCCCATCCCTTAACGTATACCTCCGTTCCCAATATTCGTCGGTATAGTCCATCTCCAAAATGCCCCGATCGATGAACTTGGACTCTTTCACCAATAGCTCCTCATGTGAGTCCACCAATCTGCCAGTCGTCATCCATATTTTTAGCATGTTGACGTATGGCTTCCCCGCTGCTTTGAGTAGAGACCCGTATAACGTGTTCGCCGTGGGGTCTCCAGACATGTTTTGCGTCCGCTCGTATATGATCGTTAGGACTTCTCCTCCCTTGACAGCGATGCCGCTACTTGTAGTCAGGCCATTCTTGTCAATTTCTGAGAGAACGGCCTTGAGCTTTGCGCCTCCGATACCAAGGGCCTCGTTACGGGCTTCTTCCTCCGGATCAATACTCTCGCTATCAGATGAAGAGCCTGAAAGTTCCCCAGATGGATCATCCGCCGATCCTAGCTCTAAGATGAGTTGGTAGATTAACGATAGGGTATGAATAGTCGGATGCACGTAGAACCATAGTTTTTGAAGGGAGAACTGAGGAGAATAGTTGAAGGCATGTTCTAATTGAGAGAGGAGGGTTTGATAATCCTGCAGAGCATTAGTGGGATACGGTAACTGAACAGCGTGTGTACCTTGAGCATGTCACGGATGGCGGCACAGAGAGCATGGTTGACGAGGCCGTAGTCAAGATCGCTCCGATGTTCAATAAAGGATGAGATGGCTGTGTAATACGTGCCGAGAGGAAGTATTCGTTCCACGAGGTCGCGCAAAGACGAGTCCAGTGAGGGTGCAACAGTAAAATGAACGCCTTGTAAAGGATCATCTTCCTCAGGCGAGTAGTCGGGGTGAAAAGTCATGTATGTCCCTTCGATGCCCTATGAACGATGAGACGGTGACTGCACGAAAACTGGAACCACCAACCATGAGGACATAAAGTAGGTCCTCGAGAATAATGGCCTCTTGGATCTCCACCGACACATGATCCAGGTTCTCCTGTTTCCCTTTTCCCTTCGACTTCGGTGGAACGACACCACTGCTGACGCGAGAATTGAGGGGTGCACGCACGAAGGAAGTCTCGGCGATGAAAGAGGGCTCGTTGTAGCCGTCATGGCGAACTTCACGCGACGAATGGCCGCGCCCATCGATCTCGTTATCCAGCTCATCTCCCTGTACACGATTACGGCGCACTGACGCGATCGTGCCTGCAATCTGGACAATGATTGGCACGCAGAAGAGCGAAAAAGAAGGTTCCTTGCCTTGGTGTATTCCTTGGCTGACAGCGATATCTTTTTCTGGCGCGCGCCCGTCTTCGAACGTGGAGTGTAATAATCCATGAGTAATACGGGAACAAATTTTGAGCGTCTATTCGACGGCAGCGACGGTGCGATGGTGGTGGCAATGAAGTCGGTCGGTCACGTTGTCACACCTTTCACTGCAGGTCTCTTCGGTGCTCTCACCGACAATCCCAACAAAAGACAACGACGGTCGACCGTAGGCAGCGATGCGGGACAAGGGAATCTTCAATATCAAAAGGGCTCTGCCTCGCATGGTCAGTACATTCTGCTTTGTATCACAATATCCTCACTTTTTCGCGGCAGAGTTGGAACCCGGTCAACCTGTATAACCTTTGGGCACGGACAGTCGGCCCTTTAGCCCAAAAAATCGGGGACATGAAAACCAGTAACCGCACTCTTTTCCAGCAGCGTTGGCTCTCAAAGGCTCTTGTTCGCGCTTACCATGGCGACTACATCCCAGAAAAAATATTCAAACGATGGTATCTCTTAGAAACACTGCCCAACGTCCGACCTCGTTCTGCCAATACTGGGGACGATACAGCCATGTTGAATGCTTACGCGGCTAGACGAGAAAGGGTGGAGAAATACCATGTAGCGGAAGCCGAGAAAGGACTGGCTCCCGTCGGAAGTCTTATGTTCTCTCCCGTGGAACGGAGAATTGACGTCTTCATCTTCCGGTGCTGTTTCACACACAGTGTGTACGAAGCCCGTCGTTTGGTCATCCATGGTCATGTCAAACTCAACGGGAAGAAGGTGTGCATCTTATTGTCTACAGGCATGCATATCCTGAAAATCTTCATTTGTAGCATTCGGATGCCAATACGCGACTGGCACCTGGCGACATGGTATCCGTGGACCCAGATGCTATTCGATTCTTCAAAACGCCATCAGAGCCCGTCACGGACGTGAATGACTACGAAAAACTCAAAGGCAAAAACCCGAGCCTCACACCGTTTTATCTGCCTCACTACGCCTCACCTTGGCTTTTTATCCCCGCCTACATCGAACCCAATTTCGCGACCTGCTCCGCTGTGTACGTTCGCCATCCTACGGCCCGGCCAGGTTATTCTGAAATCCCCACACCGTATGACGCCGATGGAGATGTTATTCGTTTCGCATGGGAGTGGTATGCGAAGAGCAGGCCACGTATAAGATCAAAGTCACAACTGGCTAGAATGCCGGAAGACAGGGCGTTTGATCCTACACCGCTCAACCTTGAGGCCGAGAGGAAGAGACTTAGAAAGGCAGCGAAACAGAGGGCTGCTGCGATGTCTGGGGTGATCTTATAACGTAGCAACACTCAATGAAGGAGATGTTAGATTTCTCTCTGAGTATCAGCATCTATAGTGCACACATCTCACTACTGGAATATTGCCGCTTTTCGGGAATTTCGTACTTAATACGATATTCAATCATTCGTTTGGCTCGAATCTAAGTCCTTTTGCTCGGGCTGAAGCCAAATTTATCAGTCCAATAGACTCCAATTAGGCCTGACAATCTATATACGCGATAGTGCTGAAGTCACTGTCGAAGGCGCGCGGACTAGCTATGGGAAACATTCTTCCAAAAATAGTCGAGGGAAAAATTGCAGCCACATCTTTGATGACGCTTGTTTACCTGTTCCGTTGAGGTCCTCCTTGACCACCATCACCCACCATCCACCCACAACAATTCAGCTGTGCTTGTCTTCCCTGTCTGCCGGCTCTCTAAAAGTTAACTCTTCTCGGGAGCCTGTTTGGACGTTCGTTCATTAAAAACATATCTTCCCCATAAAATGGGTAAATGGTGGGGTTTCTGTTGCGGTGGCAATATCACGGTCTTGCTGACATACACGGAAACAGGACTTCTGACTATTGCGATGATGTCTTGAACGCAAAAATTAAAAGTCTTGTGTATGTGAACCATACTTGGGCTCTGAATAAATTCAATTCTGAGCTGTAACCAGATCCGGGGCTATCAAGCGTGCGATGCTAGAGAAAGAGAAGATGGAGCCCACTATCAGTTATGGTGATTTTGTAGAGGATTTGGAACCTGGGGACTCCTTCACTGCATCTATCATCGATATAATGGTCAAGGTGCGCAGCCTGCTGCTCTCTCTCGCTTGATTGATCAATGTCTATCAGGAGTTGGCTGACCGCCGGAACCGGCAAAACCTGGGCGATCGTAAACTTATAGCTGAACGTACGGCTAAGAGCCTTCGGGCACTCAGCATGGACTACAAGGTTATTCGCCGTCGGCCCGTCGCTCGGAGGCCAATGTTGTCAGAATATTTGACTTCGCCTCCAGCTCGGGTGGTGGACATGGACGATGACGACGAATTTGACCATCTACTTGATCCTATGTCATCGACCATAGAAGGTGTCCGAATCAACTCTAACCTTTATGATGCGTATGGTAGCGACAGCTGGAACGATGGATGGGGCGGTGGTGCCACTACAGTTGTCCAGCATCGCAGCCCTACCCCAACTGATGTCCTCTCTGGATCCGATCCCCAAACTCAATCATCCCCTCCAGCAGACGTTCGTCGTAATATTATGCCTTCATCGTTGTTCGCTCCCATCACCTCGTCGCACACTTCACCTAGCAGAGTATCATCCATACGCCGCCCCATTCGTTCAAGAACCGTCGATTTCAATGACTTTACCTCCCGCCGTCGATCGACTATACGTGACAGCCTCAGACAGTCGTTGGGAATCCTCTCGGAGGGTCCTGAGCCCAGCCATATCGCAGACTCCAGAGAAAGAGAGTCAGCTTGGACCTCGTCCTCTTCATCTGCTCGACGATTTTTCCCTCTTCCCAGACGAAGTCGACCGCGCGATTCGCCCCCTGCAGAAATAATAGACATCGTTGAGGACCGCAGTGAATCCAGGTCTGCACCAAGTTATTGGTTCCCTTTTCCTAGCCCTGTAACATCTCGTTCTCCTGTCAGCTCGCCTACTACCGAAGTTAGTGAAGAAAGGACCTTGGCTGTGCCGAGGCTCCGTCGTGGTGGAGTTCGAGCTCCCGAGTCCATGCTTTCTCGCCATGCTTCTCCCCTTGCCGATCTCGGTACCCTTCCTTCTTCTGTGTCTCTGGGTGACACTACAGATACTGGTGACCGAGACCGAGCTCGCTCCAGCCAGTCCGTGCCGCCAGAGACTGAATTAATATCGTAATTAATGTATAAAACGTTCATATCTATGTCAACACATGGACGACTTCTGTAGCTTTGGTTTTCCGAATAAATTACTTGGATTTGTTGTAGCATTTGCTTATGCCTTACCTTACTATGGCACAGCCACAGACTTCTTTATTTAAACTTGAACCATGATCAAGAAACGGTCCCGACCTCAGCCAAGAGTCCGTGAAGTGTCGCCAGAATCAGAGGACAAAGAGATAGAAGAAGAAGGTGACGATAAATTGCCGTGCGTTTTCCTTCCTGGTCATGGAAGTTTGTTCACAGTGACGGTTGTAGATTATCTGACCTCATTGAGCTCCGAAGACTGAGAAAGTCACGGCAGGGTATCGACGCAACGAAATTAAACAAGGGGGACACGAAAAAGAAACGGAAGCGTCCTGTTGAGGAAATACAGGAACAGGGAGGACTGAGGAAGGGTGCCACCATTGATCCCGAGGAGGAGTACGTCTGCGAATACGTTTCTCTTGTGACATGTTAATCATACGAATGTGGCTACAGCGACGAGGAAAGGGATGCTAGAGCTCGGAGAGTAGTGCGGTCGAACAACTTTACTCAACAGACCAATGCCCTCGACGTCGACAAGCACATGTACTAGACCATCATGTCTCCTCGCTGGCATACTGACCGACCATGCTCTGTAGGATGGCATATATAGAGGAAAACCTCAAGATAAGAAGCCACCCGCGCGACGATTCGGAGGACAAGAACAAACCCATGGATCCACAGGAGGCGCTGTACCAAATTTCAGACCGGTGGAAAGTTGATCAGCAGAAACCGACCGCAGACGACGGCAGCGTCACCAACAGTATATCAATGCTGACGGCCATACCTGAGGTCGACCTTGGCATGGAGTGAGTCATCGTCCTTTATGTCTGAGTGTTCACATGTAATGTCCCTGTCAGTGCGAGGTTGAAAAACATCGAAGATACCGAGAAAGCTAAACGCGTTGTTGCTGAGGGAAAACAGGAAAGACGGCCTATGAATAACGATGAAGCCCATCTAGCTGCTAATCGCTGTGAGCTCTCAATTCTGTTCCATTGCGTACTGGGATTTTGACACGCACAGTCTATCGACCCAACTTGAAATCTAAATCGGACGCTGACATTATGCGGGACGCCAAATTGGAGGCTATGGGTTTGCCTACTTCGGAAGACAAACCACAAAAGTCGAACGACAAACCTCAGATGGCTACGGACGAATTGGTCTGTGCTTAGTCATTCAAAGCCTTATATTCTAACTCGCTGCTACGCAGGTCATGAAGCGGTTCAAGAAACGAATGAAGAAATGACCTCCGTCGTTGTGTATATAATTGTACATCTTTACGGGTCTGTGGTATATATCTGTATTTTTGGTATGGATGCCTTAACCAGTCAGCAGGTCCTTGAGCTTCCCAAAGTTGGGGGTTCCAAGGCCGGTCGCTGTCATTCGTAAGCCTAAGGGCAACACTGAGGTTCTCATCATACTGACCTGGATCCCAGCCTTTAGTCGCCTATCGTATCATCGTCAGTTTGAGAAGATAGGTTACCTGACAGAAAAACCTACATTGAACCCGTCAGTACCGCAGCCAGGATTGTTCCCGGCCTTGATATCATTGAAACCCGCTAAACCTTTCTTGTAGAGTAGCGGGTTCAAAAATCCTAGGGTTGAGTTGGAGGCTTTCAGTTTGGCGTCATTCAGCAAAGCAACTAGTCCCGCGAACGTAGGCGCTGACGCTGAAGTCCCACCGATACTGGATGCTAATCCCCTGTACCAAATGCGATAGTTCACTGCATATGCGGAGACGTCTGGGATTCCCTATAATAATTGTAAGCAACATTGCTTGTACCCGGAAAATCAGCGTACTCTTCCGGAACTAGGATCTCGTTTAGTCATTGTCATTCAAAGAGATAAGCCTACGCGTACGCATTGTAAAGGCCCTCGTAGGTGCCATTGGGAAGGCCTGCGAGGTATTCCTTGACCGCTCTGTCCTGCCATTTGGGACGAGCGAAATAGTTACTGAAGCCGCCCCCGGAGAAATAGACCGCCCGCTCTGGGATGCCTGATGTTCCACCCACTGCCGTAACGCTGCAAACCTGTCATTTTAACTTAGCTGATGAGCTTATAACCACTTACTAGGGGCAAGACGCAGGGAAACCTAAAGGAAGCTGAGTTCCTTTTCATGTGCATGAAGATAATTACGAGACGAACTTGGAACGAATCTTTTGGCCTGGGTACCATCATTTGTGATGCACTCTCCGTTACCGACACCACTGTCGCCGCTGGCGAATAGTAAAGAGATACCGCGAACTCCTGCGAAAGCTTAGCAAAAGAAGAAGACGGGCAATGCTACGAAACGCACCGAGTTGTGCAAAGCCTTGACAGATACGACGTGCATAGTCCAAGGGAACTGAAGAAAATTTATAAGTATCAGTGATGCATCCCGTACATTTCGCCCTCTATACCGGTATTTTCCTCATCTCCATAACTCGTGGAAATAGTCGCCGGGAGGTCCTCTTGATCCAACATATAGTCAAGCCACTAGATGAGTGTCAACATCTTGCTAATTTTACTGATATTTGAGCAGGCACTTACCTCTGCGTAAGGTTCATTCGTATTGGAAGGAGCACTAGAATTGCTAGTCTGATATGGCGGGATAAAAGGTGGACGACCAGCCGTCGAATAGAAGGTAGACTAAAGCGGGATTTGTCTACAGAACGGAAATTGTTTCGGGTTCAAATGGACATACTTTGATAGGGAAACTCAACCCGAAAGCAAATTGAACGTCAAGGTTCGCCTCAGCGCCAGCCTGTGATACATTTTGAGGATTCTGGCCACCTTCATAGATCTTGAGCAAGAGCTACTGATCAAGCAATATGTGGCTGCTAACCATTTATCAACACGACTCCGAATTGAGAGCCCTGAGCTTCGGGTCGCTGTTCGCCATAGAAAGATTGCAAATCCTGATCATTGGCGTATTCCTCCAGGTACCCGGTAATACCGATGCCATTCTTAGATTGGTCCGTGGCGTTATAGTTAGCTGCGTTGTATAGTTGTTCGAGGCAGTTTAGAGTAATCGCATATTTGCAGCTGTTGTCGATGATGGCACCAGAGTCCAGATCCGTGGTCGTGCCATTCAATACTTTCATTGCCGCGGGCGAAGCATCGAAATCGTGGATGGTAGACCTGAAGCCCATCATACGAGAGAAAATGGTTGTGGGTTGGATGACATCGATGTGGTCGTGCAAATGAGGTGGTAGGCTGTAACTGGTCGTTCGAACAATGTACTCTCCGCTCTCGGCGTGTCTCCAGACATGATATTCCTGAGATCGAAGAACGTCTACTATACAATCGTAGAAGGCATGCATAGACTCACCGTGTCCAGCAACTTCTCGGCAAGGCTGACCGGGATATTGATGGTTAGCCAGTCCTTGGCTGAAGAACGGATGTATTCGCTTTCTGGAAGGCCGTAAGACGAAAGCCACGCGTCGACTGCTGTCAAACTTTCTGGATGAGGCACGACTAGGTCCTCTACCTCCTCCTTGGACAGGTATTCGCCATACCGGCTGTGAGAAGGATCGCTGACCTCGTACAGGTGTCGTTCAAGAGCGTCAAAATTGGATTGCCGAAGACCGATTCGCAGTTCTAGGATGTGACTGGAAGGAGCAAGTCCGTCGCGAATCCACTCTCGAGGAGGAACGACCGTCTCTTTGACACTATGCGCCGCTAGAGCACCAGAGGCAGCTAGGGAGAAAAGAGCGGTCCACAACTTCATGTCTGGAGGGGGAAGAGTCGACCAGAAGCCCCCAAAAGCTTCGAATCATTTTATACTGGCGTTGGTCATTACATAAATGTTCCTCCTCCCGGGATAGCCTTGACACATCACGAACCTGAGAATCCCTAAGTACATGCGCAGTGGATATGACCGGACTCGGACTGCAAGAAGCATCGTTCAAACTCAATTACGTCACGAAGGACGGGTGCCAGTGTGTGGTCGCTGAGAAACTTGTCAGGCAGTCTCTCCATGTAGAGCATACAGAGGCCAAGTGCGGCCTAGCCAGCCGAACTCATCGAGAACATTAAAATCGAAGACTGAGGGATAGGTTAGGGCACAGTCAACGTACTTGTGCAATGTACGAAACATAGCGCCGCATTACTAATTTTGGCGGGAAACATTTCAAAAAACATGGATACGTTTTTAGAACAGTCCTATTAGAATATCATCGAATTTGAACGGTTGTTAGCTTCAAAGCTTTCGTATTATCTCGGTCGGCTCGACAGTGATAACTTTCAGACATGCTATAACAAAGGAAAGTACATGTGAGTATGGATAGGGTAACGGATAGACAGCAATTGAAACGAGTGTGTAAGTTGAGATCCTAAGGTGCGAGAAGTTCTTTCAACCAACCAAAGTTAGGCGTTCCAAAGCCGGTTACTGGATTGTTAGTAGTCAGCATTAGACTGAAAGACGTGCTAGGCGCAACGAAAAACAGTACTCACTAGGATCCCAACCTTTGGTAGCCTAGATAGATAAACCATGTCAGTCCTGAGCAGTATTGCAGACCACCAAGCGCTCACATTGAATCCAGGAGTTCCACATCCAGGGTTGTTCCCCTCAGTGATGTCATTAAATGTCGCGCTGATCTCGTCCTTGTACAACAAAGGATTAACGAATCCCAGGGTCGGCAAACCTTTAGCGAGCCGAGCATCATTCAGCAACGCAAAAATAGCAGCTGCTGTAGGCGATGACGCGGAGGTGCCACCAACGGAGATAGTCGTGTTTTGGAACCACACTCGGAAACGACGTCCTTGGGCGGCGATGTCTGGGAATGCCTGGAAGAAAATGATGAGATTGATATCGAAAAGAGCCGAAATTCCAGCGTACTCGTCCTGATCTGGAGATGAGGGGAATGTTACTACAGATTCAGGCACAGACAAGAAAAGAACGCGTACCTGTTGAATAGTCCCTCGTAGGTACCTTCAGGTAACATGTTCAAGTAAGCATCGATAACTGCATCTTGGTATGAAGGACGAGAGAACTACACGAAGAAATCAATATAAGTAATGGTGGAATAATGGTGAAATCTCACGTAGTTGCTAAATCCACCGCCAGAGAAGTCTACGGCTATCTCGGGGACATTCACAGTTCCTCCGATTGCAGTCACACTAGCAAGAAGTCAGAAGGTCGCAGTTGGAAGCACGAGGGAGTGCGCACAATGGACATCCACTTGAATAGTATGCATGAGTGAATAGAATAGGAAACAGGGACACATTATCACATACGCGGGGAAAAGAGGCATGAACTGTGTCCTGTTCTGGCCATCGTTGGTAATGCACTGTTGGGTAGCGGGATCTGGGTTACCATCTCCTACACCACCGTCGCCACTGGAAAAGGTCAGGGTAACGCCCCGAGCGCCAAGTTGAGCAAAGCCTTGACATGTGCGACGAGCATAACTTTCTGGCACCGTTTGCTCGGCCTCTCCATAACTAGTGGAGATGACTCTGGGAGGATCAGGACGCGACAAAACAAAATCAAGCCACTAATGGAAAAAATGAGCAATTTGAATTGCGTCCACTTCGATACGCACATCATTATATGGTTCATTGGTGTTCTCGGTGGAAGTTTCATCCGGGATGAAAGGTGGACGACCAGCAGTCGAATAAAAGGTCCTGGGAATGGGAAACGCAAGTCCGAATGCGAACTGAACATCAAGATTGGCTTCCACACCAGCCAAGCTGATGTTCTGGTCATTTAGACCGCCTTTGACCGAAATGAAATCGAAAGTAGAACCAACGGCCTCGGGAACCTGGTCGTGGTAAAACAGCTGTAAGTCTGCTTCGTTCGCGTACTGCTCGAGATACGCGGTGACCCCAATGGAGCTGTCTTTGTTGCAATCGGAGGGAACATAGCCGACGGCGTTGTAGAGCTGTTTCAGACAGCTGACGGTGATGGAAACGTTACAAGCCGGATCGACGTCGTCGGTTTCAGCATCGAGCTTGGCTACATCGGCGGTATTCCCCAGGTCGAAATTTTCGAAATCAATGACAGTACTTTTCATGCCTTTCCAACGTCCAAACAACGTTGTAGGCTGTACAACATCAATGTGGTCTAGGAGGACTTCCGGAAGACTATAACGCGTCGTGCGGACAAGATAGTCTCCGTCAGTATGTTGCCAGACATGGTATGTCTACTCAGAGATGAGAAAGCATTAAGAGGATGAGATAATGCGACCGCTTACCGTGTCCAGCATTTCTTCAACCAACTGCACTGGTAGAGTAACTCTAACCCAGTCCCGTGCCGAAGACTCGGATACCTCGTCCACACCATATGAAGCAAGCCACTCATGCACAAGTTCGAGACTTTCAGCGTCGGGTGCAACCAACGCGTCGACCTCTTCTTTAGAAAGATGCTGACCGTAACGGGGATGGTCGGGATCGCTGACTTCCCAGAGGTGCTGTTCAAGAACATGAAAGCTGGGCTGGCGAAGACCGATTTGGAGCTCGATCATATGGTCTGGGGAAGGAAGGCTGTGTTTAGTCCATCCGTTGGGAGCGTTGAAAGTCTCTTTTTCCCTGGGAACCCATCGCTTCGTATCTGAACTTGCGAATGCGAATGGAACGAAGAACGCGACAAACGGTAGCAGCCTCATCGTTGCCAGACGCGTTTTACACGGAAGAGTGGGAATGAGAGACTCAAATTGCCCGGTACTTATAGGCCATCCGTGGGACAAAACTGGATATAAAATAGCGAGGTGATGGGAGATAGTGTAATTGAAGCGGCCCTATCACTCATGTGTCAACAAGTCAAACAATAGCAGGCGTTTGCCGGGGATTTGAAGATTCCTGGGACATCTATTACCGCTTTCTGTGAACATTCAGCCCAAACATCAAGCTGATGATACTCACTAGGTATCCGCCCGAATGCTCAGTCACCACCAAGCCGATAAGGCGGTTCTCCTTGATAAGAATCGTTTCCATATGGCGCATCATGACGGTATTGAGCAAATTCAAAAATGTAATAAAAAATTCGAAGGTGGCGGTCGGCAAGTAGGGATCGGAGTCCCGGGCCGGTCGTAAGGCGGGTAAATTTATACTTGTTGTTCAATGCCCTCAAGTGACAAATTTCAATGACACGCGTAAAGTGCTTGTCCAATGTCCAACGCCACCCCCGGTACAAATGCAATGGCGACAGCGACAAACGGCGTATTTTCGCTTGAAAATATTCTTGGTGCCAACCACGAGTCGTTAGAGCACCCCGGCATCAATGGTTCATCGGCTGCCGGCTGGGATGAAGAGACCCCCGAGAAGCCTCCAGCAGAAGGTTTTTGTATCGAATGCGAAGGTAACAAAGTCCTTTTTGTTGATTCTATTCTAAGCTTAACGGTGGTCTAGACCAGCCGGCACAGGTCCTATGCATAACGTGCACCGACGCATATTGTGAAGTCTGCTTTGCTGCCCAGCATCGAAAGGGAACCCGGAAATCACACATGTTCAAACAACTAGAGGGCCCAGAAAAGAGTAAAGCAGAGCCGACGAGCAATGGGTCGACATCAGTGAGTTACCTTGTGTTCAGACACGTTGCCTATCTCATGTGTGTAGATGGACGTCGATGGGGATGCTGCCGACTCTGATGATGATGACTGGGAACGGGTGACGGCTGGCCCTGCTCCCCTGCTGCTGGATGCTCAACCTGGAGCGGGCGAAAAAAGCGGGGAATGGTTCGTCGAACGTTCAAAGTTCATTCCCCTCCGTCTTAGCCTGGCAGAACGCAAATATCTACGTCTCCTGGAAGCTGCGCTGTCAGTATCAGAGTACACGGACAAGATTGATACCATCAGTTTTGGCCAGTCGAAGTCGAAAAGAATCGTCAACCAGATCCGCGAGTTGTGTGCTATAATGTCCGGACTTCTACTTTCTGCAGACTACAAGCAAGGGCAGGAACTATTCCAGGACCGCGATTTTGAAGCCAATGCTACGTTCTATCAAACCGTTTTCGAACTCGGCCGGAGGCACAAGATCATGAATCCCGATAAGATGCGGACGACCTACGGAAAGCTCATTTATCTCCTTCAGGTTGGATCTATTTGCCACCTGTATTTGATTACAACTCACGTCGAGTTGTAGGATAGTCAGTCTCCAGAGGTCAAGGATATGCTTAGCTTCTCCTGTGTAAAGCCTATCAAGACCGTCTATACAGTGCTAGAGGAGGTCGGCGCCTTAGATCTTTTGCGAGATGACCTCGTCCCAGTGGCGACCAAAGAAATCTACGCTGAAGGTCGGCCACGACGTGACGTCCAAAAAGACATTAAAAGAAAAGAGCGTGCCATCGAAACTCTCGCGTCTCGTTACGTACGAAACGGTCTATCGCAAGAGAACGTACGACAATGTCTGTACAGTATCGGTGACAATCACGCGTTTTTACGCGCTAACCGCGATCCATGCGAACGTATGATTACGTACCTCAAGCAGTACTTTCACCCCACACAAGCGAAGGACAATAAGACCAGTCTGGCTATCCGCTCTGTAAGAAATGCAATGCTTGGCGTGGGTTTCTGCTCAACTTGTTCTTAGGGTCGCGAAGGAGCGAGATTATCGCATGATCATAGTAAGCAGTATGCATATGTACTGCAGAGCCTTACGCTATGGAAGGAAATTCTTCACGGTATGTTCCAAAGATCCCTACCAAACCTAAATCTCACCATGTTCGCTAGACATGTTCCATCTTTGGTCCCTGGCCGAGCAGGATCTGCTCTCGGAGAACATTCCTTACCGTTTACGCGACACTGGCCAAGGACTTAACCGTGTCCAGGCATGTCCAAAAACGTCTCGAATGATGCATAGCATTCTCCACAAGGCCCAGAAAAGCGTCGGTACATGGATAGGTTCCAGTGTGGTCCACATGGGTGATCACAATGTCCCGAACGCTCTCCTCTTCATAGACAAATACACTCAGATCTACCGCATTCTTCTTCCTATTTGTAATACCCTACAACAGATACCCACCATAGAAGCCAAACCCGCCCTCCGCTCATACATCGACGATGAGTTTGGGTCGACAGACAACCTCATCCTTGAGATATTAGGAGACTTTTTCCGGCACGGTTTTGATGGATCCGGGGCCGATAATTTCTTTGATGCCGGAAGTTGTATAGATGGGAGATTGACGAGCGCGTGGAATTGGTGCTCGACTCTGGAAAAGAAAAGATATTTCCCGGTATTTTTGCTTTCCGGTATGTTCATGCATTGCTTTGAAATGATTCTGATGCTAATGATATGCTTCAGGATTCATCGGGTTTGACGGTGAATGGTAACATTGTCAACGGCTCACTGTATAATTTGAACGCACTGTCTTTCGTTGTGTTTCGCGTCGGTCCCGGCCAACCATTAGACATACATACATCCATCACTACATATCACCTTAGATACATCTAAAATGGTAAATACTCTCCCACTAGGGAATTGGATTTATGTAACATCTGGGGTGCACAAGCTGAATTGTCATTCCGACTAGGCAGATGTGGGTATGCCGTGTACTCCATTTTGTCTCCTAGCACTAGCAACGACTTCCAAAACGCCAGCAAGACCGGCTTTCCAAGCTAACATCCTCTTTTCCAGAACTTCCCACTGCTCTCGTTCAAATGTCCGTGCTGTTGACCGCATGATATGCAAAGATTGAGTCGTTTGCGACAGCTTTCCCGAGAGTAAGCCTGCACGAATGACTGAAACATGTCTTTAGACGGACAACAGTGGATATGGAAGTAAATGAGAGATCGTACCATCGATAACCCATTTTTCCACTTCAGATACATCGACCTGCAGCGTTTCCGCTATTTTAGAGTAAGGAACATTCTGTCCCACCTTTTGGAACCCTAACGATGCAAGGGTGAGGAGTCGGATTTTGCGCTCCAGTTGCGTAACTTCAAGGTCTACATGCCAACCGTCAGAAAATAGTTCGGAGAATGATATTACTGCATTCACCAAACTTCTCGAGCACGCCGGGATGAGTTTGTTGCCATGTCTTGAACTCGGATAGACCGCCGCTGAGGAAGACTTGGAGAAGAGAGAAAAGATCGTGACCTTTGGCTGCCACGACTGCATCCAGCTTGAATAACGGGTCAAAGTCAAATGTAAATGGAAGGCGCAGCGCGGTGGCAATGACGTCGAGAGCTGCAGCCTTTGCAACATCTGAGGTGGCGGGAAGCGAGCGGACGTATGACAACGAATATTCATACGATGTTGTGCTATAGCAACGTAAGACGGAAGGTTATTCGGCAGAGGAAATGATACGTGACTCACGGTTGACCCGATTTTGCGTAGGCATCTACAATACTTTTCAAGAAGGTGCTTTTCTCCTCAGGTGATATGTCCCATTCGCTGAGCCATTTTTCTACTTCTGCTCTTGAGAGTTGCAAGACCTCGACGCCGTCGGTTGACAGAGCGGTGTCCAGTAAGGAATTATAGACGAGATACCGTAATGGCGACGTCCTCAGGAGAGTGTTGAATAAATTAGACAATCTAATAAAATGTAGTTTAGTTTGATTCTTTGTGTACAAAAGAAGAAACAGTCCCACATCCGGTATTTGATGGCAGTTTGTTGGGCTGGTGCTGAGGTCACGGTTCCAAGCAATTGTATAACGTATTCTCTCGTCATGGGTGACTCGTACGAGTAGAGCGAAAAGATATGTGAAAAAAGGAGATTGAAAAATCCCTCGATCTCTGTAAAACAGAATGAACATCGGAAGAAAAGCTAAAGAGCAACACGTACCTTTATCCGATCCGTCTCCAAGCCCTTTCACCTCAGCCATCACCATCGCAAAAATGTTTTGGCGTCTTTCCAAGTCTTCTGCTAGAGGTTTCTGCGCATTTTCCGTTTTGAAAGCATCTTGGAAAGGGCGAAGGAGAACAGGGCGCTCTTCTTCTTGATTTCGGACTATGTAGAACACTAATTCCTGAATCTAGAGCAAAGTTTCAACTAAAATAGACCCTTATTAGAATCTAGGACATACCTGTTCTTCGAATGTCCCCTCTGCGAAGACCGAGATTGAATCTGTTACCGCCATCGACGTCCGAGCGAGAAATTTGGCCGAGGCTCTTGCAAAACAAAAGCAAATGACTTGATCAAATTGGCGGCACTACGGGCCGGGCGCTTTTGATATGGATCCAGAACCACCACAGTATCTAACATCGATTCTGAACCGTTCAATACCACACACACCTGGGGAAAAGCGTCCCAAGGTAACTCTCACATTCGCACAGTCCCTAGATGCGAAAATATCGGGACAGAATGGTGCACAGCTTATCCTGAGTGGAAAGGAGAGCATGATCATGACGCATTGGTCTGGTCCATTTTCTCGCGAACAAGGGCCGCTTTTTGATTTTCAATGGATAGGATGAGAACGATGCATGATGCTATCCTGGTGGGAATAGGGACGGCTGTTAACGATAACCCGCAGCTGAATGGTACGCGCCCGAGGCTCCGAATAGTGCATTCAGATGGAAAAGACGAATCACAGCCCGCCATCTTCCACCTAGAAGTCCATCCTTTGGTCAGGAGTATTCGTATAATCTCCCCCGTCCGATAATTCTAGACTCTCAGCTTCGCCTGCCAACGACGTGCAAGCTTTTGGTCAATTATAAAAGTGGAAATGGTAGGCGGCCTTGGGTGCTATGCGCGCACGAGCCACAGGTCAGCGACGACGTTTGGAAAACGCGCCTTGAGGCCTTACAAGCTGCGGGAGCACGCGTTATACCTGTTCAAGCTACAGGAGGTTGAGTAGTACTACCCTAGGCTATCATTTCAGATCTGACACCAGGCCTTCAAGGATTGCTATCCGTTCCGTCCCTTTTACAAACACTTCATGAACTTGGTGTCCAGTCACTTATGGTGGAAGGAGGCGCTCGAGTTATTGGATCTTTCCTTGCCGAACGGGACTCAGTCGATACAGTAATAATAACAATCGCTGCAAAGTTTGTCGGTAGCCAGGGGGTAGGTTATGGTGTCGATATCGGTCAGGTATATTTTCTCTTTAAAAAGGTGGCGCTTGGCTGACTCTTCTTGTGTCAGGCATCTCAATATGAACATCTTGAAAGTCAAGCTGTTGGACGCGACACCGTCATTGCACTGAGTGCCAAAAGTACTTAGCCAATGTAAGGCTGGCGGTCCTCGGGGGATCATAGTCAAATGTATATTGCTCAAAATTAACGGGCATCCACGTGTAATAATAGAAAGACAGCAAAAGGCAAACACATCATGAATTTGCCTCATCTTGGCCGCCCGAGGCCGTCGAAGAAGTTCCGTTAGCTACTGGGCGAGGTGCAGAAGCAGCAGGACTGGGACGATCCCTGTTGCTGAGCAAACTTTGGAAAAAGTTCTGAAGCACTTCATGCTGCGTCTGTCCACCAGTCGCAGAAGGACTCGGAGAAGTCCCGAGCGACGGCGACGATGGTTGTCTTGGTGACGTCTGTGTTCCCAACGTTGTAGGTCTCCCCGTGGCTGTCCGTCCAGCAAGTCTCCTCGCGGCAGCAGCGTCCGTGACACTCGAACTTGATGGACCACTGCCGCTGTTGTTACCCATCTCCATTTCAGACAACGCCCGAACAACGTTTGGAAGGTTGAAGCTGCTGCTTCCCAATGGACCGACGATACCTGCAGTCGCCCCTTCCAGTTCTGCAGGATTGCGGAAAGCGCCTCGAGGATCTCGGTCTGCCTTTTTGAGGTTTTCCTCGTAGTTTTTTGAAAGGAAGGTTTGTTCGGGAACAGGGCTGTTGAAAGGCGGTAGCGGCGGAGGCTTTGCAGCTGTTAGTGCCGGCAATTCAAAGAAAGATAACGAAACCTACCTTTGTGCCCTGGTCGGGGACTAAAGCCTGGAACATCTTCTTAGCCCCCATCTCGTCAGTTGCTGGATCTTGTCCAGCTTCCAAGTCCCTTTCCCATGCCTCGCCCCACGTCCGAGGTTCGAACGGCCGCACGACTTCTATTTTTCCCCAGCTATCCCATCCCGCCGGGATGACGAGATGGTCTCGATCTAAAGGATTTGGCTTGTGCTTGAAGGGAAACGGGTTCCTGACGGTAGCAGAAGACTCTCCTCCAGCAGCCATAGCGGGTGAAGGAGCGGGTGGCGCGAAGAGTAAATGTAGCGCGTAATGCCGCAATACCTGTAATGTGGCAGGTAGAGGCGTAGTGTAGAATAATGCAGCCCCATCTGCAAATATACACTCAGCGAATGCTACCGCAAAACACCGAAACAAGCTTACATTTCAGACATATCGTCCGCAGAACTTGCATAATTCCGTCGGTTCTCTCCTCCCATTCTCCGCCTGTACCTTTTACCATGCCCCCCATGCCCGAAGCTCCGGCTACAAGATCATGTCCTTCATCGATGAGATCAGCTTTGGTGCATGTAACAATGATGGGAATGCCAGCTGTATTGTGAGTGAATGTCCCGGAGCCAAGTGGCAATAGAGTGCTTGAAGTTAATGTTGACGTCGCAGGTATTGGGTCACTGGACGGCTCCGTATAATGTTGTAGATGTGATTGTACTGTAGAAGTGTAAACAGAAGATAGCGGGCTTGTAGGTCAACACTTACACCGTTCGCGACCTTCTTCTCTTGCCATCTGCGCCTCGCGAGAGCTATCGCTATTGATCCAGTCGTCGATCCACTTGAACCAAATTTCTAGCTCCTCTACAAAGGTCCAAGGACGCGTCCAGTCGAGCACAATCATGACAAGGGTATGTGGTAGACATGTCCGCGGTGGTAGAAAATGAGGAAGGAGAGCGGTATAGGAGGGATTGGACGACGGTACAGTGTATACTGACAGTCTAGCAAGGGTATCTTGACAGCATCGATGAACATATGACAGTAGCAGAATGAAAGGTTAAAGCGACAAACCTTCATCCGCATCATCTCTTACATCCGCAAAATCATATCCCAGTGCAAAATCAACCTTGCGGTCCTCCTTGTCATCGATATCCAGTGGTTTCTGCAGCAGCGCAGAAGCAAGCGTGGATTTCCCTGCTGATGGTTGGCCCAACAACAAGATTTGTTTGGAATTTATTGAACGCGACGACGAGACAGAATCAAGAATGGACGACCTGCACGCCGTCAGAACGTTGTCAACGGTAACTGTAGACTTTCTTCACCATAAGTCTTGAGGAGGAGCCTCTGGCGATGTGGGCCGTGAATCCATTGGGAGTAAGAAAGCAAGTTATATGCAGCACGTTGCCCGTACGATTCTATTCCTGTATTCAAATTCCGACCACTGCTCGCTGTTCGCAACGACGTCGACCTCATCCTCACTATCGTCGCCCACGGGGCCCAATCATCTTGACGCAATCATGTCTGCTGCAGTCTCAGTGCCAGAACACAAACTCTTCGAATCGCCCAATTCACGGTCTATTCACGTCAACAACTGGGTCATCACCGCGTCCACGAACCCGATATCCAACGCCTTTGAATGCGACACCATCCAGGGATCTCTGGGTATCCCTCTACCTGAAATGACCTTTGGGAACAATATCCTAACACTTGAACACCGTCCTTCTGGGTGGAAATATTCATTTACTGCCGCGGACGCTTTGAGATTGGTGAAAAAGGGTGAGCTTGAGGATGGCGATGGCGGCGTCAAGGTCAACTACGCCGATGCTTGGCTGAAAAGTCGGTGCGTCCTCCTCTTACCTAGTATCCAGCGTAGTCTTGACCTCAGTCAACGTCTAGAACCGACCCATCATCGAATCTCACGATGCCGAAGACCGTTGCGACCAAGCCTTACGACTGGACATATACTACAATATACACAGGGCATGCAGAATCCGAGGAATCCGGTACTCTACCTTCGTGGACTCCATCAGACGAAACTGACCCAGCATATAACATACCCATCGCTGAGCTAACTCGACCCGACCCGATCTTATTCTACGCTGAGATACCTTTGTTCGAGGACGAGCTGCACGACAATGGGTCGTCAGCACTTCTTGTGAGAATAGTAAGCCTACTTTTTTCATTAGCCGTGTAGGAACTCACGCGTCATTTAGCGTGTCATGCCGACGTGTATCTTTATTCTGTGTCGATTCACCCTTCGAGTCGACAACGTACTCTTTCGTACGTCGGACACAAGAATTTACCATTCATTCTCATCGGAACCTCCCATGATAATTAGAGAGACGAGTGGCTGGGAGGCACCCTACGATGTGATCAAAGAGGTCGATTACTCCCTTTATATCGTTTCCGTTTCTGATATCTGCTATAGCGTCTTCCCAAGCGAGATGATATGACGCCCCTCACAGACCCGAACTTCATCTCCAAGGCTCTAGCAGACACGCGTCGCATGTCACAGACCGTGGGTGCTAAGACTGGGTGGCGGGGCATTGGGACGAAACTCGAACATGCAATTTTGGTGTAACAGTATAATATTACATGGAATGTATGTGTACAGCTATGAAAACCAGTCCAAAAGCGCTACTAACTCCTTCGCAAGCGCTTACATCAACTTTGCCTCTCTCTTGGCTTGCTGGACTTGATTGAGGCGTTGACTCCGCAACGTCATATGGGTTCCTTGTGCTGTCTTTTTGGCCTGGGGAGCAGGAGCAACGGGAGCAACTGATGACTGTGACAAAGATATGCGTGTTTCATCAGAAGCAAATCCGGGGATTCGAATATTGTGGTTTCGTTCTAAAGAAACATTAACTGGAATTGTAGTGTAGACAAGAGGGAACTCACCTAAATGTAACTGTAAATCGCGAACTTCTAGCGTATCTCCGCCTCTATGCTTCGCTAGTCGGCATGAAAAATTTGTTACCGAGTCTATAAACTCGTCTGCTATCGATAGAAGCAGCTGAAACAAATTATTGGCGTGGAAAAACTCGGGAGTAAAAGTGCACCAACATCTTCTACGTCTGGCTCTATCTTTACGTTCGGATCCACACTTGCTACTAGGTCTTGTATTGTTCGTCGCATACTCTGATCTCCAGGGGTGTTTTTCCGCCGCGATCGATTGTCATCCAAAGACAGCATTGTCGAATCATCAGCTGGACGGGCAATCTGAGCGGGGGTACCTGACCGAGGCAACACATGAGCCCTACAGATCTAGCAATAAAGTGAACACCAGCGTACCAGACATGCGTCCACTGGGAATACCACCCGTTAGTGTCGGTCGCGTTTGTGTCCATTGTACAGCTCCCGGATTCGTTATATGATTGAGGTTTGAGCTTATAGGATACGCGGTCTCTGAAGGAGTGTTTGCAAGGTTAGGAACTGAGTCTGTCGCCCCTTTGAATGCCGGATGACTAGACTGTGCAGCAGACGACGTAGACGCCGTGGGTGTCCCCGTCGAAGTTGGTACAGTAGGATTGTTCTTGTGTTGATCGGCATATCGTTTCAACTAACCGACACAGAATCTGTTATTCCAACGAAAAAAAGACCAGCATTGCACGAAAAACGCGCCTGGAGGATTTGTTGTTGGCTGAGCTTCCCTTGCTGAACCAGTGTTGTCATATTGCTGATGAGGAGCTGAGCAACATTTTGCTCAGAGACCTCCTGTCCTGTTTGCGCCTTCAACAGAGAGTTGAGGACATCAATTACTGTGGGATTCTTCTGGTTTCCGTTGTCCATGGCGATTTTGGATAAGGGCGTTGAATGAAGAAGCCCCGAGGCAAACTGAGGCAGGCCAATAGCCTTGGGTGCAAGCATAGACAAATATTGCCCCTTTTCGCGGCGCACACTCAATTCAAGTTCACAAGATATTATTTCTGAAATCAATAGGTATGCGAGCTGGGAAATTGATACAACAGTAATTATTGGACTTACCAAAGTTTCCCACCAATTAGTAGATGTCAATAGAGTTCACTCCAAATTAAGTCGGTCTTCTAGGCTTCATCTCCGGGCGACCAAGTTCATCCACTTTCATGAAACCCGCGAGGCTCAACGCTACCCTGAACGTCAGAGTTATCATGCATATGAAGGGGCACGCTGATGTCAAATGGTCGAACTGCAGCCATGAATCTTGTGGGAATCTGTCAGTGACCGGCACTGACCGCGGAGTCATATCATATAATGGTAGTATAATGTTCCTTACAAGGTTATAGCCCTGTATATATCTTTCCAGGCCGCGTCCATCGAGTTCTTCCTACTTGTCGGAACCGATCCCGGTTTATGCGGGTTTCCCAAAAGAGAAATTTTGAATGTTATCATAACTGGATACGGGTATTCGAGCGGTGTTTCCAAGTTCTGACTCATAACGCGTGCACCATTGAGTAACTGGGCGGTAGGCAACTATCATTCGATATCATGCGCCCAAAGAAACTCACCGCAACGATGCACGGCCCTCGGAACTTGCTGAACTACTTGCGGAAATTAGCAGCTTCTAGGCTGAAAAAGTTCAAAACGCGCCTGTGAACCAGAGTCTCGCCAAATACCCCTTAGGGTAGAAACCAAGGCCACGATCTTTGATCATCCACTAATGATTCACATCAAGAGCTGGACGATAAATGTGCCTCGGGCTTCCCATCACCGACCATACCAAAATGTGAAAGCATCGCGGCTGGAGCTTATTGGGCCATCTACATTTCGAAGCGGACTTCAAAAAAGTCGTTAGTGACCCGAATGCTCAGTTGAATCCGATCTCAGATATGCGATACACCTTGGGAGACCCGAAGGGCTGCAATTGACCATCCAAGTACAAAAGGACTCCCACGAAATGAGCGTACAAGAATCGCAGCGTCCGTTTCTATCATACCCATGCCTTTCCATCGTTTCTATGTTCCCCAAGGGCTCTACTCTCCCTGCGACAAACGGTCTATCGCGGAAGCTGTGACCGAAGTATATGCCAAAGCTGGTCTTCCACGCTTCTACGTTGTAGTCAACTTCATCGAAGTTTCAGAGGAGAACTTCTATGTCAGCGGGAAGTCTACCACCGACTTTGTGAGGATATCCATCCATCACATTGCCCGCCATCTTCCATCGCAAGTCGTTTTTGTACAATGCGAGAAGGATCAATACTGACGGAGACCCTACAGACGCGAACGCAAAAGAGACTTCATGCAGCGATACGAGAAAGCCATCGAGCCATTTACGAAAGGGCGAGGGATCAGATGGGAAATACAGATCGCAGAAATGGACGTGAGTTGCCGAGAACGTGTATTACTCCACTTTCTCAGACTCATCTCGACGCGTTTTCCAGAGGGATCTATGGAACGAGAATGGCATGAACCCTCCACTTGGCGGTTCAGACGGAGAGCTACTTTGGCGGAAGCTAGATAGAGCTATCCCATATACTGCTGAGCACTTGGAGTTGAGATAGAAGTATTGTTATTCTTGGAGGGGATGTAATTTGGCCAGAGGAAGAATTCAAGTTTTAGTACCGGGAGAAATTTGCTTCAATGAATCTTAATATCTGCCGGAATTAGAAGAAAGCGAGAGTTTATGTGCGTGAGTAGTCATCAACGGACGCAATAGCAGCGAAATGAAAGAAAGGAAAAATTGGTCGGTAATACATCGTCCGAGGGAAAGCCAAAGCGCAGGCACCGTGTGGAACAGAGCGCGAAAGGCGGTGGGTTATATCTAAAAGGGGACTGTTTGTCAACACTAACGGGAGCAAACTTAATTAGCACCGACTCTTTCACGGCCTCGGGCCGTTCACGTGGATTTAAGTGGTTCCAAGGGGTGACATAGCATGCAGCAACCAGTACTACTGATGATTGCCCGACGGGAATAACGTCAATCAAGAAAATCGCGAAATCACGTTCCTTCCGAAGTTCTCAAGTTCTTATCCTAGCCCCCCAAAATTCATTTTGGCAATGCACTGGAGGCGACAGGCCAATCATGGCTTTTTATTATGCACAGATCGTGCACCGGTGCACGCTTTCGAGGCTCGAAGTGGATCAGAATAGAGTATAGCGTTTGTATGACCTGACCTCCCCACCCTGTCAGAGGTTTGTTAGTTTCAAGAGAAATATATGTAATGACAATTTACGCCGTGTAGAGTGACCGTTAACGTAGCCCACGTGGAGAAAATTTCCCATGACAGCCAAGATGAAGAATTCCAAGGTATCAAGATGGCCAGGTGCAATAAATCGACAAGATGCCAAAGATATCGGCTCGCGTGCAAGGCAACCTGGGAGTTCCGACTCTCTCGTATCAATTCATAGAGATTGCGTTTCCAAGTATTTTATCGACTAAAATTGTCGGCGGGAATAAGTAATGATGATCCAGATAGACAAAGATCTCTTGTCCCGGGCTGAACATTGTGGATTGGTTGTCTTGGCCCGATGGAGGGGCCTGAGGAAAATTTGGGCATGGCAGGTCCCTACTGTCTTGAAGAGGCTGCCCCAATCTTGATTACATGAGAAGCAGCTTCGGGTGTTTTGGCAAAAACACAGTGCGTCGGCCTCGGTCCTTGTACCCGCATGAGAATGGGACATAAGCCTCGCAGCTCGGCATCCCGTAAAGTGCTCGAACAAGACGAGGTGTCTAAAGACTGACTATGCCCAGCATTCAACGATGCGCGGCGAAAGGAAGCCGATACAACCGACGGATCCTTGCGGACGAGTCGTTCAACATCCCGCAATACTTAGTTAGGTCAAACAGGCAATGTTGTGAGCGCGCGACCAGGATTTTTGCTACCGACAATCCGATGGTCGGCAGAACATGGGAGAGTGCCCCACACGGTAAATCACAAGATATGATACCATGAAACTGAAGGATATTCCCTGTGAAAGAACCAGCAGCCATATTCAATGAAAGGCAAAATATATATACCAGTAAGGGTGAATCCGAGGCCCTATATCTTCCACCAGCTGTCTCAACTTGGGACAACTTATGCGCGGATGATATGGACTGTCCTCGAGAGTTTATAGAGATTTTTCAAAATTTGAGATCTTGAAGACAGCCTTCCCACGAGTATTGACGCATTGAACGATGTCTCACGGAGACGTTGGAAGAAGGGACTTAGAATAGGGATAAATGTATTGTTCCGTGCCTTGTCATCTCCGATGAAAGTCGTTTTTGTGCTCCATGAAGTCGAGATTCTGAAGTCCACCTAGGTGCCAATAGCAATCTCAGCATCGAGGCCCAGTCGATAGACGCCAGCGAAAAAAAGACCATACGGGGAGCAAAGAAGGGGTAAGGGAGGAGATTTTACATCAACAGATGGGACTGCCGTCTAGAATAAGTAGGTTGTTCAGAAATTTCCTGCAAGTTCGTGACTTGATGGTCCAGTTTGGAAATCAAGGATGCAGCACCGGTGGCTATCTCAAGGAGACTAAGACTTTATCGACTTCCGATGGGTCGTGCTGTCGCCTAGACTGCGGTGTAATAGAGAACGTGGGCATGATAGTGAGGCAGAATCTAACCATCCCACACACATTACGGTCCCAGTAGGCATCCTGCATATACCCTATCAGCCGCGGGGCGTGCTAGCATTCAACTCCCTATGCGAAGAGATTGGATAGACATAGCCTCTGTGTAGACCAGCGTCAGGGGTCAGGACCAAGTCGGGTAGCATTGTATCATACAGAGATACACCAGTGAAGGATGCTTCATTTGTACCGTAAGAGGAGAAATCCTTCAGCACCTAGGAGAAGAACTGAGAACTCTGCAGTAAAGAGATCCCGTGAACTTCAAACGGCCCCATGTACACAGCCGCACTGGCGTTGTTTGGCGCCTTCGGGATCAACAAATACACCCGGTTTTCTTTGCACCTTTCTCATTTATCCACCATGGATGTCTCGAATATCTTGGCCTCGCATGCCGCAAAATAGTAAGCTTGAGTTTGAATCATCACCCTAAATTTTGGTCTTAGAATTCTGTCCTAGTCAACCGGTAACGGTTGAAAAGGAAACGCCGCTCGACGTTGATGTAGGGTACCTCACGGTAATGGACCCGAATCCCATTGATGAGGACAGCTACAAGTTCGTCCAGGTTAGACTTCTGAATCTTTAACTGTCTGACATTTTCTTAGATCCAATCTTGAAGAACATCTGCAGTCTCTTGCACGCGACGGGGTGCAATCACTGTTTTCGTCTCTTTTTACGCTTCCTACAAAAAGTTCTGACGATGGTCCTCTGGCCCAGTTAGCACCCCCAAAAACTCAGTTACCCCGCGCCAAACCTTTACCAAAACCCAAGCCACCCACCAAATGGGAGCAATTCGCTGCAGCGAAGGGTATCCAGAAGAAGAGAAGGGACAAGAAGGAGTGGGACGAGGAAAGACAAGAATGGGTTAACAGTTGGGGAAGAGACGGGAAGAATAAGCAGCTTGAAGAGCAATGGATTACAGAGGTGCCTCTCAATGCCGGTACGCATAATTTCTCTCTTTTATCGGCATCCTTTGAAAACCTTTCGCAGATGTCGATCACGACCCTCGGAAAGTAGCGCGCGAGGAACGCAAAGCAAGAGTAGCCAAAAACGAAAAGCAACGAGAGAAAAACCTTGCCCGTGCACAGGGCCCTTCGTCCTCAGTAGCAGATACAAATCCCCGTGAACAACGGAAGAAAGAGATAGCTAAGACACTTTCTTCGGCGCGGGTAAGTACCGCAAGTATGGGTCGCTTCGATAAGAAACTCGAGGGCGAGAAGAAGATGCGTGGTGTGAAACGAAAGGTCAGTAACTGCTCAGTCCTTGCTATCGTCTCTAACGTAGAGGTGTTAGTTCGATGCCAATGAGCAACCTGTTGAACACGAAAAGAATGCATCTCTGGCTCTACTATCCAAAATGGAAAGCGACGCCAAGAAGACGAGGGCAGCCCCGCCATCTGGAGACGGTGTCGTCAATGTTCGGAAGGCTGTGAGGTTCGCGAGCAAAGGCCGAGGAGGTATTGCTCTTGGTAGAGACTCGTCCGGTGGGAGCACGAAGCGCAAGCAGAGTGCGAAAAGAAGATGAACTATTGGTTGACTTCCGTTCTTTAGATTTGTCTGTACCTACTACTTGAATATGTTTTGAGTGGGAACTCGCTGAGAGTTGTCCAACAAATATTAATATTTTATGTGAGTTATGACCAATGACTATGTAGATACATTGTAGAACGATCGTGAATCCATAAACAAAGAAAGGAGAGAATGAATGATCTATACAGCGTCTTTCAGATTGTCTGGGTTGGCCTTCCCTTCATCAATCCACTTCTGCTTCACCAACTTGTCCTTCTCCGCAAGATATAAGCGATAGACAAGCTTAATCGTTCCATCACTAACACCAGCAACGGCGCCAATGTCCCTCGTGGACTTCGGCTTCCCAAGCAAAAGACAGGTGAAGTATATTGCGCCTCCCGCAATAGAAACCGGACTCCTTCCATCACCAATGCCCAACTCACGTGCAGCAATGATGATATCAGAGCATATGGCCTGGAAATTCGGAGGAAGATCCAGGTGATTGCAGTAACGCACGACGAGGGACTCTGGACCAGTAGCCGGTGCTAATGATGGATGAGCTGCCGAGGCTCCAGGAGTGAGATTGAAAGCTTGTTCAAGAGATTTGTAACACTGCCCAAGGACTTTCTTTGAGACATGCGTGAGATTACATATCTCTCGAAACGTTCGCGGCACATGTGCCTGTCTGCATGCTATGAAGATACAGGCCGCGATGATGGCGTCCATAGGCTTGCCCCGGAGAATTTTTTCTTGTTCAGCACGCTTGAAGAGTTGCTTGGCGATATCACTGATGGTTTTGGGAAGAGAAAACTGGTCACACCAGCTGGAGATGTCGCGGAATGCCACCATGAGATTTCGCTCTTGCCGCGAGCCCTGCCCGCGGGACTGAGCGCGTTGAAGTTCTCGTGACAGACCGTTCCCGCCATCCCTAAAACTGATCACCGTGTCCAGCTGCTCCATGCCCTCCATCAATGGATCGCTAGCTGCACCGACACGAGATGGGTCATCTCCTTCGTCATTGGCAAACGTCTAAGATCAAAAAAAATTTCAACTTGGGGAATATGATAGAACACAAAACCGGAACATACACGCCATTCACTCCGCGTATCTACAATACGATCACCCAACACCAATCCGCAATTCCGACAAACAAGGTCGCCGGAACCAAACTCTTCAGCAATCTGAGGGTTGGGGTCTCTGCATTCAGGACAGATGAGGCGAACAGCGAGGTCAGGGCCGAATGTCGGCGGTGGTGGTGCTTTTGCTTGAGACGGTGCAAGCGGAAATGCTTGGGCATAGGCCATGTTTTATTGGAGCAAGCGCCGCTGTTCAAGATGTGTTTATCAAGTACGCAGCTACAAGTAAAAGACAAGTCATTAGCAGGATTCCAGCAATCTACTGCAGCAGAAATGGTGGCATTTCTTACACGGACGTTGCGTCGCTGTACAGGCGAGGAACGAGTTCGGCGCCAGAGACGACGACAACGAGATGGTGGTTTAGAGGCAAGTCACAGTCAGCCGACGGGGGGACCGAAGGCTGACATAAAACCCCGTTTCGGGCATGATCGCACAGCCACATGGTCAATACACAGCCACAAACCACTTCTCCAGGGGTCAACGACGTCAACGCGTCAACTTCCGGCGGCCATTGACAGAGGTGAACATTGTCCTTCAAGTTAAGTACGGTTAACGTTAGCATAGCACAAACATGCGCAGTACAGATTCTGGTTAGCTTCCTTCTCAGGAACATGAAAACCGGAATAAGCATCCTCTCTTCCCTTGATACTCACGAAGCAGTGGGTCTGAAGACTGCTCAGGCGGCTCAAATCCAGCCTCATTAAGGACACATTAAAGTACTACTAAGTCCGGGTCGAGTCTGTTCTGCAGCCCCCGGGCACTTCACTTATCTTCGGGAATTCACATTAGCTTGGCCCCGATGCTCACATGCCGTAACGATTCGCATGTTCATATACAAAATATGGGATAGTCCCTTCGGCTCAGCTTTACTCTGCGGACGAAGACTGATGTCTTCGTATGGAAAAGAGTCGGCATAGCTTTTATGAACCAATGGATAATCACACCATCCTGTCTCTCGGGGTGGTTAACTAGCGCTTCTGAGTTCATTAAACACACATGTCGACGTGAGAGCACCATGAAACCATATACCTACCTTTCACAACGAAGAGGCCTTTTTCCATCTATCCGGTTATTCCGGTAGCCATCTTCTCTATCTTCCGTGCTGGCTTTTGAGTTTTCTATTGGGAGCACAATTATTTCTGTTTGGTTCAGCTTGACCAGATAATCGATGCCACCAACGAAGATGAAACTGTCCCTGTTATTCTTGATTTTCAAGCCTGGCCTATGCATAGCCGGACACTGATGTCTTGCGCTCTAGCAAGCACTGGCCTACCAAGAGGTAGTGAAGTGCTGAAGACGTTTTCCTTATTCCCCCAAAATATCACCTTCCTCACTCATTTTCAATTTCCAAAGCGTGACAAGGTCGTTGCGCGATGATAAACTCTTCTCCGTTCTTGTCTTCCAGAGGGCTTTGGAGAGACGAGCTAAAATTCGACCTGACGAATGCATCGAATGATATACGTATCTGGCTGTCTCCGCAGTCGGACTTGACTAGGATGTACTAGCTTTTAGGTCAGGCGTTCTGAATTCGGCCAAAGAAAAGCGGGGATAGATTTAACGGTAGTAACTGCCTCTGGGGAGGCTGGTTGGACAGAGAAGAATGGAAGGAAAAGTGTAACGACGTCTTTAGGACTGCACTCGAAGTCAGTCACCAAGTACAGACTTCGAAACGGCGGCTGACGTAAATAAATGGAGAAGACATCATGTCTTCCCGATAGAACTTTCAGCTCACTTGCTGTCCAACGCCTCATACATTGCTGATACCGATCTCAAGGATCTGGGTCTTCATTGGTATCTATTCCAATACCGTAGGGTCGAAATTGCGTTACGGGCGAGAAACCGGGCGAGTTGGCAGTGATCAGAGACCCAGTATGAACAGCCAATCGGGGAAAAAGAAGATCTATTGAAATCGAGAAATAGTAGAAGCGAGAAAGAAAACAACTAAAAAATCACACGTACTCGGGCAGAACATCAGTCAATTTCCATCGGACCATCTCCGCCTCGACCCATATCATCGTCGTCATTTCCGTCACCTTCGGAGTCAGACTCACGGTTGCTATCAAGAGTGATACCTTCCTTCTTCAACCGTTGCATCTCCTGTAGTTCGTCTCGCTGAACAATCTTTGTTTCCAGGTCATACGTTAATTTCTTCAGCGCGTCTTCGAACCGTTTCTATCATTGGCAGCAAATCAGAAACAAGAGCAAAAGAAAAGAAAAGAAAACACATACCCTAATGAGCGGGTTGGAAGAGCTTGCAATCTCGTTACCCTTCTTCGCCACTGCAGCTTCTAAGTCCCGAATTTCCTCATTCAATAATTTCCTTGCTTGAGCTTCTTCATCGTCTTCATCGTCTTCATCCTCCTCGCTTTCGTCGTCCTCATCCTCATCGTCTTCATCACCATCACCTTGATCTTCATCGCCAAGGGCCAAATCGAGTTCTGCTGCCAACTCCTCATCGATGTCTCCGTCAGGTTCTTCCTCTTCCTCCTCATCGCCTTCGCCCTCATATTCTCCGATATCTCCTCCGGGTGTAGCGGCGTCACCAAGGTCAGATATAGCGGGAGTCGCAGCATCAATCGCTTCTTCTCGTTCAATGAATTCTGAGTCCGACAAGTCAGGATTGACATTCTCAAGTACCTCTAATGAAAAAATTAGTATAAAAATTATTCACGGAAGTGTCACCCACCATATTTGACTTCTGTTGCCAGCGAGTCTTCTTCAAGAAGCCTTTCGACGGCTTGCTCGACGCTCTCAATGGTCTATCATGGCATTAGTTCGAAGACGTTCAACGGGTCGGGCACGGGATAAATTACCCTTCTATTGATCCTTTTTCGAAATCTTCGTTTCCGGACATGATGCAATGGTGGGGTGATACCATGCGGCCAAATGAACTCTTCAATGTTGAAACTCCTCTGATTCGTGGCGGCGTCCTCATTCTCCACCCGATTTTCAACAACAAGCATCTGCCAAAGGCATGTCAATCATCTGTGAACTCCGGGAAGCGAAGAATGGTGACCAACTTGACATATGTCGGCAACTTTGAACATTTGTTTATTATCCAATGTTTTCTGGGACTCGATAATACAAGGCAGATCCACGAGTTTCGAAGCGTATGTCGAATTACCGATGCGAAACACACCACGACGAGAGTCTTTTGAGTACGAGTTCAATGCGAAAATATAACGGCATGTTTAGACCGCGCACCTTTGAACTTGAACCAGACATCATTAGGTATCTCCCGAGCAGCAACCATCTTCCTAAATTTCTCACAATCCTCTCCCGGTGGCATACGCAAAATAAACTGTTCTTCGAATGCGAGTTCTTCGTCATCTGAGTCTAGCTCCCGGTCGTACTGGCCCAGAAATGACATTCCTGGAGCCTGTGCTGCCGCTTTCTCACTCAGCTTAAGCTTTAGTTTAGGCGGAGGCTTGTTCTTCACGCTTGTAGAACGTGTTGTCCGCTCATTAGCTGCATCCATTGCAGCCCGGGCAGCAGCACTTGTTGTTCTAAGGCGCGACGAATGTCTTTCACCAGTACCAGTCGGTGAAGGTTTTGCGGATGTCTCCGATGTACCACTAAATCCATTGACCTTGGACGGTCCGGCTTGAGGTGGTAGAGCCTCGCCGTCGTCGACGACAATGATATCTTCGTCCATGATGAGAGTATAGAGGCAGGTGGTGGTACCAAAATAGATGTGTTTGGCGAGAGCCTCTTGCCAAGCAATTGCGTCGTGCACAGCCACCTTCGGAGACCATTCGACCTCATTCGACGCGTCTCAATCACGCAGCTCCTTTTCCTTGTTCCATATTTCCCCATGAACCTTTCCCCGCTGGCGTAGGCGACTGAATACATATGGGTGCGCTCTACCTTGCTGAAGTAGAAATATCGACTGATTCGTCATGCAGAATCGGCTATCGCCAAACAACTTATTGACAAAATCTACGAGAAACGGAAAGCGGCCGCCCTTGACCTTGAGAAGTGAGGTTCATCATTAGCATTTACTAGGGAATTTCATTGAATGTGGTGATCGTCTAAAGGCAGATCCGAGAATGTCATCAACAAGGGGACGAACGGCGCATCACCCAAATAATCGACCAGCTCGTCGAAATGTTCAACAACTCGACCAACCCTTTACATATGCGTAACGGCGGCTTGATAGGGTTGGCCGGTACTGCTATTGCGTTAGGTCTCGATGTCGCGCCGTACATGGATAAATTCGTGCACCCCTTATTGGACTGTTTTGTCGACCCCGAAAACAGGATACGGTACTTTTCAGCAGAGTGTCTATACAACATAGCGAAGGTGTCAAAGGGAGAAGTTTTGGTGTATTTCAATGAGATATTCGATGCTTTGAGCAAGGTGCCAGTTATTCCCTTTGCCGTGCTCTGCAACTAACCTCGTGTTCAGCTCGCAGCAGATTCGGAGTTGTCGGTAAAGAATGGCGCTGAGCTCTTGGATCGCCTTCTGAAAGACATTGTTGCCGAATCGGCTTCTGTCTATATTCCTCAATATCCCGAGACTGAGAAGGTTCGCGACCAAGTACAAGGTGTTTTGGTAACGCATCCTGACGGTACGCTTGGGAATGATGGGGAAGGACCAAGGAAGGCCTTCTCCCTTGCACATTTTATTCCACTGCTTCGCGAACGTATCTATGTCGTTAGTCCTTTCACGAGAAGTTATCTAGTGTCCTGGATCACCGTTTTGGACTCGGTCCCAGAACTCGAGCTGATTTCATATCTTCCAGAATTTCTGGATGGACTTCTGTAAGTGCTTTCAATTTCAAATGCCATATGAAGCTCACCAGCTTCGCATAGCAAGTACCTCTCCGACCCCATCGAAGACGTACGCGTGGCGACCGAAACCCTACTTGCGGAATTTCTTCGCGAAATACGCGATATAAGTGTGGTTCGGAAGCAAACGACAGAATCTCCCCTTCAGCAATCGAAATACAGCGAAAAGTCTGAAACCAAGCCGTCGGATAACACAAGCGAGAAAATTCTTGATACTCCGATTGAGGATGCAGAGCGCGCAGCATTTATTATTGATCAAGACGAACGTTCTTCCTATGATCCCGACAGTCTCAGAGATGATCGCACGTCTGATATTGACTTTCGGGATGCTGGCGGTCAGTGGTCCGCGCCGTATCTCTCCGCCTTGGTGTGTTAACTCCCGTGGCAGTCTGGGTTCCTGGTCAAGGAGTCAGGATAGACTACTCGGCGATTGTAGAGATACTCATCCAACAATTGGACGGAGAACGTAAGTTTTATGTAAAAGTCAAACTTGCTGATATCTTCATGAAATTGGTACAGATGATGAAATTCAACAATCCACTGCTCTGCGATGGTTAGCAGAATTTTTAACTTTTGCCTCAGAAGTCATGCTTCCATTTACTCCGCGCCTCATTCCCGCCATCCTACCCAACCTTGCCCACCACGTCAGCATGATTCAATCGGTAGCCATCCGCGCCAACAAGCTTCTCTTGAACGTCATCCAGAACCTCCCCTCTCCGCCTGAAGCACCACAACGTGACAAAGTTGCATCTGCCCGAAATCGTGCATCACCTACACCGGCTACGTCGACCTCAAATTCGCGGCAGTCCACGATGGGGAAGGACTCCACCAGAGAAGCGTCATCACCAGAATCCGTAGCTGAAACGACCACAGGACCCGCTAATGCTAGCACGGGACCTAGTGGACTTTCCCGGAGTCGAGGGAGTGGTGTGGATATGACGTTGACACCGCGGCCTCCTCCCGTTGCTGATATACAGACGAATGCAGGATCTAGTCGGTCACATTCGCCGATATCCCTTAAAAGCCAAACGACTGGACCAAACGCCAGCGCGCCTCCCGGAACAATCCAGGAAGAGCCGGATCCTTTCGATTACCAGGCTACCGTGAACGAGTTGACCGTTCAGTTCTTAAGCGAGTTTGAAGAGACGCGAGTTGCAGCACTCAAGTGGCTCATCATGCTACATCAGAAAGCTCCCAAAAAGGTAAGCTCATAGCATCCGTTGTCCAAACTGTGCAAAGCTGTGACACCCATCTTTCATCTAGATTTTAGCGATGGACGATGGTACATTCCCGGCATTACTTAAGACACTGTCGGATAGTTCGGAAGAGGTCGGCTTCTCCGTGAATTTATCTCGTCGTCGACTAATCTGTGCTGAACTAGGTTATCAAGCACGACCTCCAACTGCTAGCTCAGATCTCATCAAGTTCGGAAGAGACCTATTTCAAGGCCTTCATGATGAACCTGCTAGAACTTTTTAGCACTGACCGTAGACTACTAGAAACCCGAGGTAGCCTCATTATCAGACAGTTGTGTCTGAATCTTAACACTGAAAGGATATATCGCACGTTCGCCGAGATCCTCGAAAAGGAAGACGTACGTGTTAGCCCCATGGCTTGGTTCTCATTTTTTAAACTCCCACACAGGACCTCGAGTTTGCTAGTGGAATGGTTCAGAAACTGAACATCATCCTGATCACATCACCAGAGCTTGCCGACTTCAGAAAACGTCTGAAGAGTCTTGAAACACGTGTAAGTTATCAACGTATGTAGCTTTCAGACGTCACTGACGAACCCATCAGCAAGACGGACAGGCGTTATTCACTACGCTATATCGGTCTTGGTGTCATAATGCAGTTGCTGTCTTTTCCTTATGTTTGTTAGCACAGGCATATGAACATGCGTCAAATCTTCTCTACATCTTGTACGTCAATTGACTTCCACATGAAGTTGACATTGCATTGACATATGGCCTTTCTCCCAGTGCCGACCTAGAAATCACCGTGCCAATGCTAGTACAGATTGACAAGCTAGTGCAACTCATCGAGTCACCTGTTTTTACCTGTGAGCAACCCGTTTTCATATTACCCTTACGTCCTGAGTAGAGCTCCTAGATATTCGCCTCCAACTACTAGAACCTGAGCGATACCCCCATCTGTTCAAGTGCCTCTATGGTCTCCTCATGCTGCTACCACAGAGCTCTGCCTTTGTATCCCTGAGAAACCGATTGAACGCTGTTAACTCGGCTGGGTTTCTCCACATCGCTCCCAAATCGTGAGTCGTCTAAACGATTGAATCACTCCACTAATTCATCATAACTCTAGTACTGTTGGAACAATGTCTACACGATCCAAGATCGGTCGCGACGAGATAAAATGGCAGGAACTAGTGCAGCATTTCCGGTTGGTGCAGGCCAAACATGAAAAAGCACGCCGCCAAGCATTGGGTACTGACACTACGTCGTTCTCTGAATATGCTGACCCGGAAAGACCACTTGATTCGGGGGAACGGACCGTTCGTAACGCAGGGGTCAGACCACCTATGCGGAGAAGAGTGACTGGCGATATGTCGATTCACGCTAATACGACATCGGTCGTACCGGGTCCGACTACTCCATTTTCACCCCGAAACGGGGCATTGTCCCCTTTGAATCCGCGAGCGAGGGTTGGGGGAAGCGGGATGATGGCCAATGTAATCTCACCAACCGGTGGGCCCCCAACTGCAGCCGCGGCATTGGCGCAGCAAGCCCAGAAACAGAGGCGGACGATCAGCTTGGGTCGGAACGCAAAGTCGTAGTCTCAATTACAGGCCCTATATTTTTTTTCGTCATTATTTCGGTTTCTCCATCTGCATTTCTTTGCTATCGCATACACTGGATTAGTACACACATACTCTCTTTGCCTCTTTATATGATAGCCATATTTAATGCTCCTGTATACACGGAGACGTGATGACGCAATATGGGCCAGGATTGCATCCGTGCAAGCAAGGACAAAGTTCGGAACCTCTCCTCTTGATCACCCACTTCTCACTACTTTCCTCCTAATGGCCGTTACGAACGAATTGGCACCTCTCGATCCTACCTATGTATCCGAATTGTTATCTCGACACCCGTTCGTGAAGATACCCGGCGTAATAAATGTCAGGGATTTGGGCTTGTATCCCTCAGTGACACTTCCAACCCACATCACAAAACCAGGCTTTGTCTTTCGCTCAGCCGAGCTCTCTGGTATCACAGAAGAAGGTCTGCTGTATTCGATGATCCGTGTATCCTTGATCTTAACTGAGAATGCAATGTCTAGGCAAAGAACAGATCAAGAAATTGGGTATAACAAAAGTATACGACTTGCGATCCGATACCGAGATGGCAAAATATAACACGCCGTTGCCGGAGATAGAGGGTGTCGAAGTGATTAGAACCCCGGTGTTCAAGCTGGAAGACTACAGCCCTGAGGTGATGGCCAAGTACGTACGTGTTGGGGATATCGCATTCGGCCCAATTGTGATGCGATGGCTCATCTTGTGTTCAGGCGCTATCAACTGTACGCTAGAGGAGATATAGAAGTAAGCAATGACTGCAACAGTTGCAGGGATGCAATGAGCTAATTGCGTCATGCAGGCATTTATGGAGCTTTATTCCCAAATACTGGATAATGGTGGTCCTGCGTTTGGTGTAATCCTTCGTCATGTTCGAGACAGGCCAAACGAAGGAATGATATTCAATTGTACTGCTGGGAAAGACAGAACTGGTGTCGTCGCGGCTATACTCTTAAAGGTTGGCCTGTTTTTACTGCTACTGATGAGAATTGACCCGGGGACGATACGATTTAGCTTGCGGGGGTTGACAATGATAGTATAGCCGATGACTACGCCTTATCTCGTGTCGGGCGGGAACCTGCTCGTGCGATGATACTCCAACGCCTTTCCAAGGAGCCGTTGTTTGCTTCCAATAACCAGGCCGCATCAAACATGCTGACTTGTCGGTATGTCTTCGGCAGATTTCATTACGATCATCGGGAGGATAACATCAGAATTTTTTCAGCCGGGAGACGATGCTTGCATTTCTAGCTCATCTTGAGAACACATACAATGGCGTAGAAGAATACGTGAAAACGTATCTAGGCCTTACCGATGAAGACATCGTTATAATACGCAACAATCTTCTGACACCTAATTCATCCCGTATGTAGAGGACATCAATAGACGTTTGTAACTTTTCTTACTTTCGGGCCGGCGGTTTCTGACAATTGTCGATAATGAACGGAACACAGAATCCATCTGACAATTTATCCGAACCAGAAAGTTCAGCAACGTACACTACATCTCCATCATTCTGGTCTTTGTGTGTATCGCCCATTCATCAGGCTCCATGAGCTTCGACCTCTGGTCCTGTTGGATCTATCAGGAGCCAAATAACCTTACGATTGATGTATACCGGAGTATCCGTGTTCTCAAAATTCGTTCTCCTCTTCCTCATCTACACTCGGAGCCCTTTGTAGGACCGCACCACGTAATGTTACCTGCCTGCCGATTTGTAATTGCAACATCTTAAGCGGCGGCTAGGTACCTCATGAGTTTCGGCATGCGAAGCAAGCATTAGGAAGCGATTAACAGTAAGCGTGTGCTACATACAACAAAATGAACCCAGAGTGACCTTCTAAGTGACACTGAAACTTCAGAGACCACCAGAGCTACAGCAATGACAACATGGAAAGGAGAAGCCTAACAGAATCTAAGAATGGTCCATATACCCGCCGTCAGCCGAGTTCGTATCATCCAAGTCTGAGGATTCGATGGCGCGACTTCGAGCCTCCACAAAGGCATTCACAGACACCTATTCGCATCATTCATTAGCCTCACAAGCCATCGATCAACGCGAAGTTCGTCACCATTCGCTCGTGACCAACATAGATCCCGAACCTGTCAATCCTCTCCTGCGGCGACAAGTCCAAGAACTCCTCCACTGTAATTTGGCAGAGAATGACATATGCAGCAAAGCGATTCATGCCAGAAACAGCTGCTAGACTTTCCTCTTCCTGTGGGGGACGTGAATCAGCTGCAAGAAATAAGAAGCCTGAACGACATCTGGACGAACTTCTGGTACATCGCCATCGAGCCAGCTGCGATCGCCCCATACTGTACCCTGTGAAACATCTTCGGCCTCGGCAACGTCACCGAGATACCTAGCAAGCATCGCGGCGTCTTCTACGGTATCGGCGAATGCCATTCGAACTCGACAAGCGAGGCTCTTCTTGTCGCAAGCTTCGGCAAGGTCTACATCACGCCTAAAACGTCCTATCGCCTTGAGATTCGGAGGTGTGTACGCATTTAACAACGTCACGGAAGCAGATCCCTTGTACGAAGCAGAAATTGGGTACGCTTCGAAAATGACGAGCAGGTTCGTATATCGCCAGGACTGCTCAGAGACTGTCGATAGGAGAGCTTCGCGCTGAGATGCTAAAGAGATCAGACTTGCGAAGATGATTGCAGTGTTAGGATCGAGGATGAGGTCGACGCCAGAAAGGTGGTCGCGTTCCACAAGTCCGACGGCACACAAGTTCGAGCGAAGCGTTCGGATCAAGACTTGTTTCTGTAGGGTCTCCATCGACGCCATATAGAAATGTGCGGTGGATGGATCACCACGGGTAGGTAGACACATAGTGTTTTTGTCAAAGATTTCAGGGGGTGCTGTTCGCGGTGCTTCGGGAATGTCAGGGGTGCTTTCAATTTGAGCATCAGGGGCACAAGGATGGGTGATTACAGATGGAGCATCAGTAGAGTTGATGTGTTTGGCACGCAACTTGAGGAAGTCAGTTATACCGAGAGGATGGGTTGCAATATTGGGAATGAGCATGGAGTCGTTCGTGACGGGAATGGGATTAGCAGGAGAATGAGATTGAAGGTTGGAAGCAGGTTGGGTAGGTAGCGCAGGCACAAGACTATCGGTGACAGCATATTCGTTGGCTTCTGCATCCAAAATACCATGCCCATAGTCAAATATCATCTGAGGAGGTGCGCTATGAGGTTCCATAGAAGTTTCTCGCCGCGTAATATGTTGTGACAAGGCCTCGTTCGATTCAAAAGACAAGGGCTGGAAGGGTCCTTGTTGAGATTGAGAGTCCTCCCTGATACCTGTAGAGAATTGCGACATCGGGTAGACGTCATCATCAAACAGTTGCTGCTGGTCCCCTTGTTCGTGTTGATACGAGGAAGCGCCAACCATGGCAACGTCATCAGGGTGAGAGAAACGGAATGGATTTGAGATGTCTTCGTTGAAGGTGACAGAAGGAGAATAAGTCGCTGGAGACGGATTTTCGATAGATAGTTGTTTGAGAGGAGAGAAGGCGATGCCGGAATCATCATCGATGTCATGGCGGTTGATGTCAATTCTTGCTCTCTTCGTTGGCCTTGGAGATAAAGGTTGATTCTCTTTGTCACTGCTACTGTCGTCTTCCTCGTTGTCTTCGACGTGTTTGAGCCCAGAAAGCCGACTTCGCTCGACCCGAGATAACATAATTTCTGAGGAATAGAGGTCATCTTCGGAAAGTGGTCCATGATCTTCATCAAGCAAGAAGTATTTTGTATCGGAAACCATGGTCGAAGAGTCCAACTCCGTTATACTTTCTAGCAGAGACTGCACCCGAGTCTTGATATGATCCTCAGGAAGACCGTTTCTTAAATCGTCACCATCGATAAGTGTTGATGATCCAGTAACATCCATGTGCGTAGGTAGACTTCCCTTTATCATGAATGGCCTGTTGGGACATCAGGTCAATGGTTGAGGCGTATAGTAACTCGCAACGCTTACGTCCAAGGGAGAGCTAAGCTTAGAGATTGTAGTCCTTTGGCCTTTTTCAAAAACTTGTGTGTAGGTATTACCTGATCACTGTGTGCTTTCGCCATCTTCGGTGGACATACGTATTCAAGCAGCTTCGTTGGTAGGAAAAGAGCGCCCGGTGGATGCTCGTTAGGAGGAAATAGATCAGGGACTGTGCAGACTTGATGTAAGTCCAGGGGATAATGACTCCTTTGGACATACCCTTCATGAGTAAGCTAGCCTCTTCGTTGAGTGTTTCATTGAGGATGACGTCTTTAGGATTATCTGTGTTCACACTCTCGTATATCCGGTTAACTTCGTCGTCCAACGTGTCTGCGCTCTGAGCAACAGTATCCATATTGGAGGGTGGTTGTCCCAACATTGACGTTTCAGGCTCTGGCAACGAGGAGGATTCTTTGGGCTCTTTTTGGGCTGGCGTCGACGTGATAAAGGGCAGAAGAAACGAAGACAGTCTGTCATCGCCAATTACGGACCCTTGAATATCACAAATAATCAAAAAGCATACGATTTTCCTTTTCCAATGGGCGAGACTTGTTCTTTAGAGCCGCGAATTCTTCTGTTGCGTGGTATGGGTGGCACATCTTTCCAGACAGTTAAAAGATTCCAGCTGCATGAAAAGGGCCTTACCCATGCGGGTCAACTTGAGGGGTGATATTTCAGTATCGGGGGACGAGACGTTGAAGAGTTGATCAATTTTATCTTCTTGACTCGATGAAGGCATTGAAGGCGATGGAGACGAAGTAATATATGTTTCTGTAAGGAAAAATCTCATGAGCATTGGATGAGATTGAGGGATGGGAGTGCAATTTACGCCATCCATCTACAACTATCATGTTGGCTTTGAATTGTTCCATGTCATCATCCTCCACTTTGGCTATTGGTGGCAACTTTGAAGGCAGATCACGCATTTTCTGGAAGTCAGAGGGAAAGAAGCTATCATTGGTTGGATAGCCAGCACCCAGTCTAGCTGATCTCGGAAACATAGGGACGGAGTCCTCTTCACGAAAGCTGAGAGGCGGGGAATCTTCCCTGGTGGAAGGATCCAAATATTTGTTCTTGTATGCCGGCCCTGGACGAGATAGAGCGGCAGCAGATTTGAGAAAGGCAGATACTGCCTGATGTTCTTCGGTTTGCAGGCGGCAGTTGAGATCCCTGAACGCTTTCACGTTGAATTACGGGAATTTTGAGAGAACAGGACATACAGGACTACTGCGGGTGAGACCTCAGGGTCATTGAAATCGTCAAGCGAGACGGGCTTGATACAGTACTGCGACGTCAAAAGCGCTGCACGACTTTGGGGCATTAATGTAGAAGATCCATTTGAACCTGGATGAGGGGTAGCCCGTCTCGACCTTCGGTTGAGCTTTGGAGATAAGGGCTCGTGAACGACAAAGTCCTCCGTGCCATCAGCTGCGAATCATGATGTCAGTAGAGCAATGACGCGACGAGCGAAGCAACGCACCGTCAAACTCATACGAGATACTCTTACTCTTTGTTGGTCCATGTTTGACCTTCATCACATTTTTTAGATATTGCAACACCTCAGGAAGAACTTGAAATCTTTCTTGATAAGGTTCGAGGTGGTCAAAACGATACCGCTGCGTCAGACTCAAGAACGGGTCTGTGGGCAGTCGTATCGAGTGTCTATCATGCAGTGGTACCTCTACGAGAGCTTGAGATAGTAACTGGAAAGTGGAAAATCAGCTCTATCCCATTAAAAGTAAGAATGAGTCGTTTACCTCGGAGACAGCATCTTCAGTAAATTGAACATAGTCGATGGTCAGATGGGTGACAGCATATTCGTATAAGATGTTGCGGATATGCTCGCGTAGAGCCCACTCTTCCTCGTCGCCATTGATGTCCATGGTGACGGTGTAGAATCAAGGAAATTCTCCAGAGTTCGACAAAGGCGCTGACGTGAGCCGACGGCAATTGCGGTCCCGGGTCCGTACCTCCTTGACAGTGCCGGCGGTGCTCGTCTGTCCAACATGATCGCAGCGATGAAGTCAATTCAAAGGAAAAGATCCATTTCTCGCTAATTCTCTAATTCTATCGCACTCCGGCACCAGGAAGCCTGGAGACAATCCTCATCACCTCAATGCTCCAACTCGTGTCTTGTTTCGGTCTTCGAAGTTTAACTTACTACTTCTAGTCGGGAGGATGTTAGCTCGGATCCCAAGGTCAGCCATCGAGGACCAAGATATACACTTCCTACCCAGGAGATACCAACAATTCGCTCACGTCGTCCTCCCAGGCTTCAGCACGTGGCCTGTTTTAATTATCTCAGGCATGCCGTTACGGCCTATCTTGTACCAGACTCTGTTTAACCTGGACCAGAATGTCCCCCATTGTGAACTACGACCACGAAAGCGGAATTCCCGTTGTAGACTTTGGCCCATTCCGAGACGGGACTCGGAAGCAAGAAGTCGCTGATGCCATCCTAAAGTCCTTCAAGGAGGTCGGGGTACGTGCCAATGTGTTGCAACTGGCTTCGTTGTGTTTGTCACTAAACTTGATGAAAAGTTTGTATATTTAGTCAATCATGGCATACCCCAAGAGAAGATGGACGGTATCATTGGTTGGGTACGCCGGCACCATCCCTTATCCATCCAGCTTCTGAGACTTCGAGCAGGCCAAGAAGTTTTTCGCCCTTCCCATGGAAATAAAGATGCTGGCTCCACATCCTCCTCTTGGTACTCATCATCGTGGTATTCTTTCATACATTTATCTCATTGCATAGATGAGTTATGACTTTTCAGGCTACTCGCCACCTGGGCTTGAGAAAATCATCCAGCATGAATATGATCCTGACAAGATTGTTCAAAGCAGAAAGAAGGCTCCGGATGCAAAAGAAAATTTTGAATCCGGGAAAGAGAATGACAAAGTCATACCGAACATCTGGCTGCCCGATGGAATTTTGCCAGGGTTCAAGGAGGCATGCTTGGATTATTTCTGGGTGCGCTAAGTTACTCCTATCACACGCCTTCGATGTGTGAATTTGATGAATTTCATTCATAGACCTGTTACGATGTGGAGTTGAATGTCTTTAGGGCTCTCGCACTTGGCTTTCGCATCAACGAGGAATATTTTACCGAATACCACTCTGCTGCTGACAATCAACTTCGTATATTGCATTATTTCAGGTGTGATATACATACTTCACTCTTCCTTCTCGTCACCTTGGAGTCTGCCTTCTAGCGTTCCTGTCAAAGATGTCGAAGAAGGATTGGCCCCCCGTATCGGAGCGCATTCGGATTTCGGTAGCATCACTATGTTACTTCAAGACCAAGCCGGTGGTCTCGAAGTTGAAGATCCTCATAGCCCTGGCGAATTCAAAGTATCTTCGTGCTTCTCTCGTTTCGGCGTCGTTGGAATTCTATTTCAATAGGCGGCGACACCTATTCCTGGTTCTCTCGTGATAAATGCAGGCGACCTTTTAATGCGATGTATGTCATAGATGTCTTTTGTTCTCCCGCAGCACTTATTCGTTAAGAAGGGTCCAACGACACCATTCGAAGCACCGTTCACCGCGTCCGTGCGCCGAAGCACATGTACGGCACTGATTGTATGACACCGGAGCGATACTCCGTTCCCTACGTGAGCAATGGCTCCAGCTTCGCCACTTGATATCTTACCTCTGCAATGTTTAGTTCTGCGGCCCGGTACGTTCTCTTTCTCAAGCATCAAAGGGATTACCGTAATTCTCGCTATCATCAGAACCACTCTACTATCATCGATAGCATTCCCGGGACATGGTCTGAGACTGTACCTAAGAAATATGAACCTATTGATGTAAGCCATTAGTTGGTTGTGCGATTCTATTAACCAACCATCTTTCAAGTCCACCGAGTACCTGATGAAGCGACTCGCCATGTCATATACGTGATTATATGTTTCTTTTTACATTACAGAGGCGTAAATACTCCATCTGGCTGTTTCTGCTTTCCACCGGAGTACTAGTAGTATTTGGATGATCTGTATTTTAAAATGCGTTGGCCCCTGTCCTGAATTGCTAGAATAAGCCGAGCCGACGGCAATTACGAACTTTGACAGTGCCAACGTCGTCGTCTTACAGCAATCAAGCTAGTCCAAAGCCAACTCGAAAGAAACGATGCCTTTCTCGCTAATTGTCAGGTATTATATCGCGCTCTCTGGTAGATCGGAAACCGTGGTCATCCCTCGACTCTCCTCGTGTCTTGGATTGATCTTGGGGGTTCAGCTTACTTCTAGTCGAGACTCGAAATGTTACTCTTAACGCTGGCCCCCAAGGTCTACTATCGAGGATCCATTACACTTCCTACTCAGGAGATACCTACAATTCGTTGTTCAAGTCGTTCTCCCAGGCTCTAGCACGTGGTCTGTTTTAGTTATCTCAAGTCTATCAATCTCTGTCTATCCTCGACCAGAATGTCCCCCATTGTGAACTACGACCACGAAAGCGGAATTCCCGTTGTAGACTTTGGCCCATTCCGAGATGGGACCCGGAAGCAAGAAGTCGCTGATGCCATCCTAACGTCCTTCAAGGAGGTAGGGGTACGTGATGTGTAGCAGGTTGCTTCGTTATGTTTGTCACTAATCATAATGAAAAGTTTGTATATTTAGTCAATCATGGCATACCCCAAGAGAAGATGGACGGTATCATTGGTTGGGTACGCCGGCACCATCCCTTATCCATCCAGCTTCTGAGACTTCGAGCAGGCCAAGAAGTTTTTCGCCCTTCCCATGGAAACAAAGATGCTGGCTCCACATCCTTCTCTTGGTACCCATCATCGTGGTATACTTTCGCGCCCTCATTTCATCATGTAGATCAGCTAAGACTTCTAAGGGTACTCGTCACCTGGGCTCGAGAAGGTCATCCAAAATGAGTATGACCCTAACAAGATTGTTCAAAGCAGAAAGAAGGCTCCAGATGCAAAAGAAAATTTCGAATGCGGAAGAGAGAACGACGAAGTTATGCCGAATATCTGGTTGCCCGATAGGATTTTGCCAGGGTTCAAAGAGGCATGCTTGGATTATTTCTGGGTGCATTATCACCCCTTTCCCTCGATTCGTGGACTTCATTAATTCTATCCATAGACCTGTTACGAAGTGGAGTTGAGCATCTTTAGGGCCCTCGCTCTCGGCTTTGGCATCAACGAGGAATATTTTACCGAATATCACTCCGCTGCTGACAATCAACTTCGTATATTGCATTATTTCAGGTATGATTTACGTGCGTCGATCCATTGTCTTTCTATCTTACTGTCCCCTTCTAGTGTTCCTGTCAAAGATGTCGAAGAGGGATTGGCCCCCCGTATCGGAGCGCATTCGGATTTCTGTAGCATCACTATGTTATTTCAAGATCATACCGGTGGTCTCGAAGTTGAGGATCCTCACAACCCGGGCGAGTTCAAAGTACCTTCTCGGCCTTCTTTGTTTCCACATCGTTGAATGTGTGTTTTTCAACAGGCAGCGACCCCTATTCCCGGTTCCCTTGTTATCAATGCGGGAGATTTTTTGATGCGATGTATGCTGGTTACCTTTTGTCCTCTCGTACGGCCCTTATACATTGAACAGGGTCCAACGACATCATTCGAAGCACCGTCCATCGCGTTCGTGCTCCAAAGCACTTGTATGGCACTGACTGCATGACCCCAGAGCGATACTCTATTCCTTATGTGCGTTGTGCTTGCGAACCAGCTTGGATACCTAACATCTTGTCTTCTCATACTGTGTTTAGTTCTGCAGTGCAGTACGTTCCCTTTCTCGGGTATCAACAGGCTTATTGTAATCTTGCTGTCATTAGAACTTCTCTGCGATCATTGACAGCGTTCCTGGGACATGGTCTGAGACTGTTCCTAAGAAATACGAACCTATTGATGTACGACCCTAGGTTATCGTGATTCGTCAACTAACCTGTTTTCTCCAGGTCATCGGGTACCAGATGAAGCGACTCGCCATGTCATATAAGTGATTATAGATTTCTTTGTATATGATAAAGAGGCAGAAAATACCACCTGGCTGTTTCCGCTTCTACTGGAATGTTTGTACTGGTATTTGACAGTCTAGATCTTAAAGAACATGGATTAGCTTAACAGTATAACATGGACCTCCGGAGAGGCTTTCGACCTTCCGGCTGATCGGTACTTTGAGGGGATACCAAGGAATCTTAATGTCTTTCCGTCTTGTTCCTTCTTAGAATGAGCTGTCCTGTAGCGATATCTGCGCAAGTTGCGGCTACTATTGTAACACTCCTGAAATTCCTTTCGGGTACGTCGCTCATTTGTTAGCTTTCCTGCGGTCATCTAAGGGTTAGTCCCAATGTATTGGTGTTCTCGTTTTAATGGCCGTCAATTCCCAAGACTTTGGTGCAGACCGGATACTTTCCGAAGCTTCGTTTACAAAAGGACAACTCGCGGGCTTCCCATTGGACGAAGTGGATCTTTGATGAAAAACCTTATCGTAAGAAACAGAGAGAAGTTTTAATGGTGGTACAAGGTCGCTGACGAGTCTAGCAACGATCTATATCTGATACACTTTGATTATATAGATCCCGGCTTGTAGTAGAAATGGATACCGCCCGAGGGACCTTTCCTACAGTATCCGCCTCTGCAAGTGATCCACCTTCGGGGTATGCTGATTTGTCGGCGTGCCTTCGGCATAATTGCTCATGCATATCAGAGCACATCAACCATAATTTCTCCGGCAGGAAGACAAAGCTCGCCTTCTGCCGCCTTAGCCGACAGACCCGACGGATTTGGCCAAGACCTATCTTCCAGGACCAAGACATCACAGAAAACTTCTAATTAGTTTCCCGTGCCTCGGAACTATTTTACTGCAAGATATTCGTAGCCAACCGATGGGTAATTTGGATATCGCTTCGGACCGGCTTGCGGCCCCGATGGTCAATGAACGGAACCGTGATGCGCTCTGGATCCGCGTTCCTCTCGAAGATACTTCTCCGCACCAACGTTAAGTCACCAGGCCCCTTCCCAACCTTTCCTTGGCTTCATTCAAGCCATCTGTCAAGCTCTGGTTCTGCGCAGCACATCGTCCTATCAAAAGTCACTCCTCTCAATGTTCCGTAATTCGAAGCTCCCCCGTAAATCACCTATAGCAAAATCAGACTGAAGCGTTACAATATTCATTTACATTATTGACCGTACGTACCTACAGATCATGATCAGGGTTGCCGTTGCAGTCCCGTCTAAAAGTTTAGATCCATCAGCACCAATTCACAGGAAACTGGATTTAGTAACGGCTTCGATTCTCGATCACTCGATCGTTGAGTCCGTGTCGGAATCGGAGGACATATCCACATACGAAAGGCTGTGTCCACATGCACAAGGTCGCTTGCTCATAGGGCAGGGTGGGTACGGGAGTGAGCATTTGGCTTCCGCCGTTCCAGTAATCCATTCATTTCTATCTAGTTCCACAGAAGCAGCTCAATGCGAGAGTTTATAGATAGCGATAGCAGAAGATGACAAACACCTCGTCTAAGTAGCGTACTTGTCCCCGATAAGTGGCGAAACGCGTCATAAGCTGCACCTCGGCCATTGTGGCGTCACCTAAGCACATATGGAATTTTCATGTACAAATTCGTCTAGATAGCACGGTGCACTTACCGAGGGCGCCTTCCATCGAATGATCATGCCTAACTCCGGATGGGATTCTTTAAGAATTACAATTTCGTCCAGTATAGTAGGTCCAAACCAGAACAATAGAGCAGGTCTGTATACCATACCCGGTATCGATGATAATGGTGGTTCCTAATGCAGGTTACTCTCCGTATGTTCGAGCTGTGACCAAAATATCGGACCTCCTTTCGATCCAGTCGCGTCCCTCGATATATCAGTCAATGGTACCAAAGACGGTCTGTAGTAAACGGTTTTATTACCCAACAGCGAAACAGCATGTGAGAACAACCCGACCGACCTTCCATGTGCACATTGAAATGGAAACGCAGTATTAGCCAATTGCAGTACCAGCCGTTCACACTGTGCCATACTAAGCGCATCATTAAACATAATGGCACCTGGAAGGAAAAAGTCTAGTCAACAACCTTGAGACTAAACGTAAACAAGATCACCTCTGCAGGCCTTTGAATTAACCAAATCCATGAGTTCTCGGGGGCACCATCTCAGAGCTTTCAACCAAACAAAACTATTTTCATCCGACTCTGGTGTACTATCTTCAACGGCTGGATCACCGGACAGGTCTGGATTGGATAGAGATCCCTTGACCAAATCACGCAGTTCGTCCCCGACTAGGAGCTGGTGGTACCTGTGTTAGCGCATGGAAGAAGTTGGACAAAAAATACTTCCCGACCTTATTACCGACGAGTTCCGGGATAGTATCCACCATAATTTGTGTATATCCACTTTCGTCGGAATCTGGCTCTGATTCTGACCCGACTGTATCCAGCCCACAAAAACCAAAACCCCAATGGCGTAGTATACTCCGGACTTGCGGTCTACAGGCTAACTGAATCGCTTCATGTCTCGTTAAGAGTATAGGTATATTCGGAGAAAGTAACCTCGTCTCCACCATCCTAGTCTTATCTTGGCCTCCCGTCTGGCTATACAAAAAGCCCGAGCAAAGAATTTTCAGGAATCGTTCAACCCGGATACGTTCGTCAGCAGCATGCTGGTCGATAAGGACAAGTGCCCGTCCATGTTGACCGCCACCTTCGATTTGGCCGGTGTCATTGATAAGGCAGGCTATGAACTTCCTGTCCACCTGATTTATGACATGGGCATTTCTTAGGTCCTCCTTTCGATATCGATGGCTTGAAGAGCCACCGATGGTCATGGCGTAGGTCATCGGATTGTGCTGTCCGGAAGGGAAGTAGCGGGAGGATTGGCAACCGTGAGAGGGATTCTTGCGTCCTGGAGCATCTGCTGTATTCAGCCACAGTGTGGAGTCCGAAATACTAATAGAGGGTATTTTGCGTTCAGTCTGGGTATATGCGTTGTTGGCCTGTCAAAAGAAATGAGTCATCGAACAATGAATGCGAAAGTTAAACTAGCCTCAAGCGCCTCTTGAATCCACTCTGGCATTACAGATTTATCAGCTCCGGAAGTTTGTTTTGAGCGAGGAAAAGTGATTCTGGAGTTTAGCGTCCGGAGCGTAACATCCCTCACTTCGTCACCTCCCAGAATAGGATTCTCGCAAGCTCGCGAGTCGCCAGTTCGGCTGTTCACAATAAAGCCTTGCCCTGTTGTTGGGTCGGTCCAAACAAACTCGCCCGGCACTTTGTCACGCTCTTCCTGATAATTGAAATATATGAATTTATTTCTGGGACGCCTGATCGAAACACATACCCGTCTGATGAACAGCGGCGTGGCGGTGTGCTGTAGTTCTAGGCCGCCTCCATCCATATCCTCGTCAGAAACATAACCCGAGTCGTCAATATTAGTTTTTCTCCGTTTAAGAGGGGGTGGAGACGCATCGTTTCTTAAGCTTCCCTCTCTCATATTAGACGAAAAGCCATTACGAGACAAAAATGATTGAACAGCGTTAGATAGAAGGGTGATTACCGTGCCTTTGTTCTGAAAAGAATCAAGGGGTAGTAAGATGGTATGATGAAACCGGGAAATCGATATTACCCGAAAATGGAGGTCGCCTTTTGCGGGTTCAAGGCAGTTGTCTACTTCGCTGGGTGGCACAGCCAAATTCAAGACGTAAACGGGCTTTTTCTCTGATTTTCTGGGAGATCTCCGCGAGGCTGTGGACTGCGCTTAGATGATTACCCCCCATCTACAAGAAGTCGCTTACTTGGGCGCAGACTTGTCTCCCCGGTTTCGTCATAAGCCTGTGAAAAAAAGACAAGTAAGCGTCATCCTCAGGGAAATCCGCGGAGAATGTACGTACATGCTTGGCGAACGTACTCGCAGCAAACTTGGCATCAATGAGCCGGTGTAAATCGCCTACATCTATGGGATGTTTGTTGACGTCTTTCAAAAAAGTCAGTGGTGAGCCACAGAACTGGAGTGTAAAATGAATACATATGTATTGATACGCCTGCGGAAACAGACCTCGATTGTCGTTAAAAATTCTCAAATTTGTTTATGACGCACCTTGGATGGCGCGCCGTCTAAGCTGATGAAGCCTTCAAGTGTGAGGCCGTTTTCTGATGTATTAATTTCTTCTACGTGCTAGAAACCCGTATTAGACCCTTTGGACAACAGAATTTTGAACGGGACCGGAGCCGGAAAAAAATGAACAGATTTTGATTTTCCTCGGACTACAGCTAACAAGGCGCACCTCCAAAAGGACTGAATTGGAGGTGCCGGGAAACGTGGTCTTTGGGATGCAACCCGCCAAGATTCAGCAATCCTCCAGACGAGAACATATTGGCCACCGTCACGACGAAGGAAAGCGCTCACCTGTACCAAAGCCTTGCCAAACAGATGCCGGAATGTACAAAGCGACGAGGGCGTCTGCAGCGACCCTTAATCAGGGAAAAGGGGACATCCTATCAGGGCGGAAGCCGACCGACCTTGGGAACCTTCACTACGGGCCCACTATTCCTGACCGCGTTCGTATTCTCGAGCGAGAAAGCAACGCTAGGAAAGACCAACGCGTAGGTCTCGATTTCCTGTTTAATCAACTCCAACGTCCGGGCTGGGGATGGGTGAGAGCGCCGTCGGACTGGGAGCTGGAGAGTGTCAGTTCGCACACTATATGCGCCCACGGGAGCCAAGGCGCACGTTGTATAAGGCATCCCGAACACAAACGACTGTTCCGGGGGTCTCTCTCCTCCATCGAACGGCGGCACCGGAGTATAACGTCTGGCCGCCCTGGACAACGTGAGAAACGCTGGAAACTAAGTGCCGGCTGGTGTTTACCTTGAGTATAACAGACCAAGTCTCCCTTGACACAGCCGTCCGTGAGGATATCTCTAGGCAGCACAAGTCCGCCGCTGAGGCAAGCGCTAGTCACGTTGGTATGTGAATACTTATCAAACTACCAAGTTACAATAAGGACGCACCTTCGCCGCGAAACCCAAACGTCGATAAGACATTTAATGAATCCGGATCGTAGGCTTTCGATGTGGCTGACAGGAACTCAGCGAAGCTAGCAATTCATTATCGATTCCAGCTACGCACCGTAGCGCTCTTCGATAGCTGTCAACGCATCTTTGCTCATTCCAGTCCCGTCGTCCCTAACCCAGCACGTCCACCCATCACAGTCAACCCCGACATCGACATGCCTCGCCCCGGCGTCGAGCGAGTTCTGCATGAGCTCAGACACTATCTGGGGGAGGGAGGTGAGTATCTGGGTGGACCGTATTTTGCTCCGTGTAGAAGCTGGGAGAGGTTCAATGTGGTTTTTCGGGTCCATCGCTATGGTGGTGTGAATGAGTGCAGAGAAGGCGACATGCAGGTACGGGTTCAAGTTAATAGAGCTGAGAGTCGTGCAGTGAAAATGAGGATGTGATGATGTCATCGACACAAATAGACATGGCCCCTGTTTTACTCGCGCATAAATAACTTCGTACCTGTACTACGATGCCATCTCACAGGCTACTATTCAAAACTGGTCCAGGCGTATAATGTACAACACGGGAGGATCCTCGTATCCAGGAAGGTTAAATCGACGTTAATCCACGAGCGGTATTACGACTCTAGCCGTCTGACTATAAAAAGACCATATATTCTTCCGTTATACAAAAAGTACAGCAATACATGTAACGAATACGAAAAAACCGGATAGATCTACAACTACGCACCATCCATATCCTCCGAACTAGAATCATACCGCCGTCGCTTATTCGACCCATTCCGACTCCGCTATAGCAAGTCCAAATTCCATTAGCCATGTCCTAAAGTATCAGATAACAGCTCTCACCAAAGGAAGTTTCTGTCCCTGATTTCCAAGCGCAATAGACAAGCCTGTCATATCTAGAAAAGCACCATTACCACCCGTCAAACATAAAGAAGAAGAACAAATGCCCATACCCGGAACACCAGGAAACCTCTTGGCCGAAAACACCGTAAATGGCTCCGTGAACGTCTGTGCCAGCACAGGCGATATACCCGTATGCACTGCCGACGCCCCCGCTTCAGGTGCAGGAGGCGCTCCAACGTTAACCAGCCTCAGACGCAAGCGAAATGTACCCTCAGTACGGACAGATAAGTCTTGGAAGAGGAAGAATATCCCTGGCTTGCGGTGCTCGTCCAGAAGGCGGGTAGCGTTGGCAGTGATAGGACCAATGAGGGTGCGTGTATATGTGTGTCGAGGAAGAGACGGGAACAAAGGCGTAGGCGAGGATCGTTTCTTTTCAGCTATAGACGGAGAAGTGGGAGCAGGAGCGGGGGTGGACAGTTTAGAGCATACATTTGCCGGTGGATTAGGATTAGAATAAGCGTCTGAAGTCCATTCAGACCCTTCGGAGCGGGTGGGGTTGAATTTCCATGTTTCTCGGCCGAAAGTTTGTGGAGGTTGTGGGAAGGGCGTGTTGGCGTAGTACCACGCTGGAGCAGGCTCTGAATAAATGAGGTCTGTGGGCGGTGGATCGGGCGATGTCAGGCGAAGCGGCTGTCCTTTTTTGGATGTACGCCGCCTCTTGTTACTACATAACTTTGGTGTCTGCTGCTGCTGCTGGACGTATCGTTCAGCTAAGGAGGGGTGTAGGACCAGGTTCATTTCTTGTTTCCCATCTTCAGACCAGAGATCAACTGTTACGAGGCAAAACGAGCAATCCACGTTGCTACAGAGAGGTGAACAATGGTCATCGGTAAAAGAAAAGAGCGACGTACTCGACATCGACTACACTGTCGTCTTCCAGCTTGACCACCATCTTCACTACTGTCGCTGGCGCTAGCGGTCGTCGGTCCTGCAGCAACGTATCACAATTTTCCACTGAAGCCTCCAAACAGACGTCGACCGACGAACCTTGTCTCCAAAACCGCACGTCCGAGCTCTTAGTGGGTTCTGGACGACCTCGAGACTGTACAACCTATAAAAATTAGGCCGAAAAGAGATGTCGAAAAGCCCAAGTACTCACTTTCGCCCAGACCACTGGCTCCATGTAAGCTCTGAACCATCAACGGCGGCCTTGGCGGGCATCCGTGCCTTTTATCATCAGGACGAGAGAGGGAAAAGAGAGGCGATCCGTAACAACGGAACGCATAAATACCTAATCATGCTGGGCCTACTTGCGCGATATCCCGACAATCAATTCAATACTCTTCAAGTTAGCGCTGTTCGGCATGGGTTGTGGATCAAGAGCGCGTTTCACTGTACAGCCACACTGACGCGTCTCTTCACTCGACGGCGTGTTTACACCGCAGCTTCGGCTGTAAGTACCACTACTCTAGCGTGGCACTCAACCGGTCCTCGAGCGTCGACAATCAGCCGGTGGTCTTCGTCTACAACGGCTTCTCATCCAAAACGAGGACAATCATTGATTGCCTTGTATTGACTAGGCTGAGAAAACCGGGCTAATCCAATCAGGGTCGAACATCCACCGCTGCCGCTCTAAAAACAGTTGCAAGAACCAAATATTCTTTCCTAACCAATTGAAAGAGATGTCCCGTGGCGTCTTTTGTATACAGTACGCCCCTGCGTATATACAACGTTGAAACAAATCGGGCAAAAGCCCTGGGAATTGAAACTACGGAGAACAGATAAAATCATCGCCCGGAATTTTGAATGATATTAGGTTTCGAGGCGACGGAAGGCCTCCCGCATATCACGATGGCATCACTCCCAACAACCTGGTACCTACTATCCCGGTTGGACCAGGTCAGTAACCGAGTTTTAGAATATAGGTACATCGGTTGCCAAGAAATACCTCCAATTTGAGTTCGAGGATATAGGCTCGACCTCCAATCCTTTCCCTCACTATCAATTGCAAGTACTAACTAATTCCCACCCCCACCTTCGCAGCGCTACTCCTCGATACCCGTCTCCTGAGTCCTTCTATGTTTCCCTGGGTCCCCGCGGACCGGCAACTCGAGTCAAGAAGACAATAAATCATACTTTGACACGGATGTCAAGACCTGCGAGAGCATCACGGATACTTTGCGGGATCTGAGAGCCGGCGGCTTGCCATACAGGATCGGAAACAGACCGCGTCTACAAGTACCTCGAGGAATATTTCGAGTTGCGATTAAAGATAACGCCGAATTTCAGCAGGGGCCACGGTGTTTTAGCCCGCATAAATGAAAACTCAAAGAAGTGAAGTGGGTACGGCGCCTCTTAACCTGGAAACGGCACATAACCTACTAGGGTCGATCCCCTAGGATTCTGTTATATCGATTCTCTCCTCTTGATTAAAAAAAAAAGAAAACTCAAAAGGCATCTTTTTAGCGAGGCACACTGAAAATGCCATCAATAAAGAGATGACTTTTCTCCGTTTTTGATAGCCCAAATGCGATCTTACAAAGGTTTCCTTATCTGCCTCAGTTTTTACACACCTGTGTGTTGAGCACTGGGCACTGAGTCCTCAGGTATTCTTGTAATGTACCGAAAAGATATGTACGTTGTTGATTCCATTGTTCCATACGTCAATCTCTGCAGCCAGGGCTACAAATCTAGAGGATGGAATCATGTCGACGCACTTCAGGATCTGAAAAGATAAGCAGGACAAGTTTATATTCCAGAGTCGCAGACTAACAAACGTCCGACAACCTCCAAATGCATAAAGATACCATAAATTCTTCCGATAAACAAAAAATATAACGATAAATTTTACAGATATAAAACGAATATGAACGAACCAACGAACAAATCTACATTCCCACTCCTTCCATCCTAGACCTCCTCCCCATCCGAATCATCCTCGGAAGCCAGATTCATGCCGCCGTCGCTTATTCGACCCGTGTCGATTCCGCTACGAGTTCAAAAATCCCATTAACCACAACACAAACGCACCACACAATCCCAACACTCACCAACGGAAGCTTCTGCCCCTGATTCCCAAGAGCAATAGACAACGCCGTCGTATCTAAAAAACCATCAATCAATCACCACTACACACCACACCATAAAAACCCACACATACCCGGAACACCAGGAAACCTCTTTGCCGAAAACACCGTAAATGGCTCCGTGAACGTCTGCGCTAGCACAGGTGACACGTCCGTATGCACCCCCGACGCCCCCGCTTCAGGTGCAGGCGGAGCACCGACGTTCATCAGCCTCAAACGCAAGCGGAATGTACCCTCAGTGCGAACGGACAGGTCCTGGAAGAGGAAGAAAATCCCTGGTTTGCGGTGCTCGTCTAGGAGTCGGGTGGCATTGGCAGAGAGCGGACCGACGAGGGTGCGCGTGTAGGTGTGTCGAGGAAGAGGCGGGATCGAAGGCGTAGGTGGGGGTCGTTTCTCCTTGACCGCAGACGGAGACGTAGGAAGCAGGAGTAGCCTGTTCCCAATACGAAGTTGGACTAGGATTAGGATTAGGATTGGGTGGTGGTGGCGGCGGATTAGAGTAAGTCTCTGCAGCCCACGGACGGTATTCAGGCCCCGTCGGTGTTGTCGGGGTCGACTTGCCATGGTTCTCGGCCGAATGACTGGGGTGGTTGCTGGGGTGGGAAGGAATTACTGGGGTATCCCCATGTCGGCGTAGTCTCTGGATATGCAAGGTCAGTAGTGGGCGGCGGATATGGCGGGTACGGCTGCTCGGGGGATGTCGGCGTCTGTGTCGGCGTGGGCGTTCGAGTCGGGTTGGGCGGTTGTCCACTTTTAGACGCACGCCGCCTGGTGTTGCTACTTGACTTTGGGGTCTGTTGGACGTATCGTTCGGACGACGAAGGGTGTAGGACTAGGTTCATTTCTTGTTTTCCGTCCCCAGACCACAGATCGACTGTTACTAGGAAGAAGGAGCAATCCACTTCGCTGAGGGAAGGTGAACCATGGTAATTGATAAAATAAGAGACACGCACTCGACATCTACAACAGTGTCATCTTCTCGTTTAACTACCATCTTCACTACCGCTGCTGGTGCTAGCGGTCGTCGATCCTGCATATACATTGATTTCCAATTGATATCTCCAAATTAACCTGACCTACCTTGTCCCCAAATCCACACATCCTAGCTCTTAACGGGTTCTGAATGACCTCCAGAGCGTACAACCTACAAAAAATCAGCCACAACTCAAGACACTAACAATAATAACCGCCCACTTTCTCCCAGACCACAAGCCCCAAGTAAGTTCTGAACCGTCCACAGCTCCTCCACGAAGGCTCGTTCCAGCCTGACGAGCATTAGTTTGTTGGATCATCCAGGTGCTCAGAGAGAAGGGGAGAGAGAGTAGAAGAAGGAGGGAAGGGAGAGAGTGTGATGAGAGAGGTGACCCAAAACAGCGGAACGCTCGACGATCAATAATCTAGTCACGCTGCGCTTGCGCGATATGCCGACAGCACCTGCTTTGGAATAACGTTGTCGCCGAGTTTGGGCCCTTGCTGTTCGATGGTGGTGGTCAAATCGCAAGCGCGTTTTATTGCACAGCCACGTCAAGGTCGAGCAGCCTCGCTTGCGAATGACTCACTTCGACTTCATCGTACCGCTCTGCTGGTGTGGTATGCCACCGGTTTCTTGGAATACCAATTATCACTGATGAACCGGTTCTCGAATCCAACTATCACCCGGTTGTCTTGTTCCGCATCTTCGAATTCCTGACATCTGTTCTTCGTCCAAGAACGGGTTTTTCGAGTCGTACCGATGCAATTGGGGACGTTAGCAAGCCGATGTAAGTAGGACTGGTATCGTGACGCAAAGATCTGCGACGTTCGTGCTGACTTCGGTCTCTAGATATTCGTTGCTATCTGATATCCTTCTATCGTCCCACGCCCTTGGTCTGAACGTCCCCGAGGCTGTTTTTAGATCCTTTTTTCTGTGCTGGTCCTTGTATCTGGGAACACTATCGGGTCTCTCGCGACCTGTTATCGACAAGATCCTCCCAGTTTTGAGTCCACTCCGAGTAGCGAGGTTTACCCTTTCGAAGAAATTCTCTTCCGCCGAATACCTCAAGTCCCGAGGGCTCAGAGTCAGACGCCTCTCTCATTCATCCCACTGAACCTCTCTTATTCCAAGTTCGTCGAGCCAGTCTCCATCAAAGCGACAGTCCCACGGAACAAACTAATTTTCGCAGATATCCGCGCCCAAAAACATGCACGCTAACCATGGACCGACATTCGCTTGACGCTGAAACCGTCCCATGGTCACTTTACCGTCAACTCGCGCGACAATAACACTCTATTTCTGGGCTGCATCCACGCGATCGGAATCGGCGGCCGTCGTATTCAAAGGGCCACACTCCCTTTTCCGCTGGAGACAAGGGAACCAATCCTCTATCAACTGCGCACGCAGGAGAACCCTCAATAATATACACGCTTCCGCAGCCCGATGGGCGGACCAAATCAATCTCAGCTACCTACCACAACAGGAGTGCTCGTCGATTCGTCGCAAAAGGTAGAGACGAAATTTGAAAGTCAAAGAAGTTTGATTTCGAGACAAAAGTCACAGGAAGAACTTCTTCATCATGACGTACCGGTACGCTACTCAGATCCTCGACTCTCTGCATAGAAAAAAATTGTTACAATCCTATTATAATACTTTTACAATGACAACACGAGGGATTCGAACCCCTCCCATACGTACTTGCTGGTTAAACCACAACTGCGAAATCACAAAGTAGTAACCTTGCAAAATCATTCTGCTGCTCAGTAACATTGCCTATCGCTCTTGAACTGCTCGGTACAAATCATGTAATTTCACCAAATATTCAAAAAAAACCCGAGTCATAGGGGGAAAAAAAGGATACAGAAGATTTATGGATATTACAATGGGACTTGAACCCACATCATCTCTGGCAACCAGTGAACCAATACACCAAAGTGTAGTCAGATAGCCTGGTGCCGTATCAACAGTCGAGACCTAGGTTTATTACCAGTAACTTATCGATAAGTTACCCCCTTCTCTGGAATTTCAGTCACTCACCTATCACCAATTCACTATAAAAATTCAATGATTTTCTATGCGTAGCATATTGATAAAATACACCTGTAGTTAGGCCATCTTTCAGGTGTACTATAGTACATGAGTTCAAGAGATTGCAAAAGACAAAAATTCTGGACTCATAGCAGATTTTTCCAACATGAAGGGTAACGGTAAAATACCGAATCAAACACCTCCCTCGGGGAGGGGTCCGCAACAAGCGATTAGTTAACCCCCCCCCCCCTTTCACCCTGGAGGTTCCTAAAGTAGGACTTTGTCCCCGCTAACGTTGACAACAATGGGACTCGAACCCATGTCCTTTCGGACTAGAAAACCATGTGACCTTTAACGGACCTGGATCTAGCGCCTTAACCACTCGGCCATGTTGCCATATCAATCTTCTCACCACCGCTCTATTCGCCTCTCAACACACACTCAAAGTACCTACATCCTAAACACCCCAAACCCACCCCCTCCCTCGCTCCTCCTCTCCCCAGCAACACCCAAAGCCAACCCCAAAACATCCCTCGTATCACCCGGAGCCACGATCCCGTCGTCCCAAAGCCTCGCCGTCGAATAGAGCGCCGTACTCTGTTCTTCGATCTCTGTCTTGAGGGCTGAGTGTTGAGTTGGGTCCCTGCCAATAAGTTGGTTGAGAGAAGGAGAAAGGAGGGGAGGGAGGGAATGGTGAACATACTTGGACACGGACGTCATGACTTGCGAGAGCTGCGCAGAACCCATTACGGATACTTTGCGTTCTGTATTATGACGTTAGTAAATTGACGGACAGAGTAGGAAGTGAATAGTATAACGTACAGGCCACATCCACAGGAACCTCGGAGAATACTTGAGAGAGCGAGAGAGTTGTCAATGTCAATGTCAAACGTACTATTGACGGGGACCTACCGCTCGACCGGCCATACCTGAACAAATTAATTAATGAACACCAGAATGCAACTAGTACGAACACACCGTAATTTCCCCGCTCCAAAGCTGCCACCGACAATGACAGTAAACTTTGGGACAGTCGCACATGCAACGGCTCTGACCATCTTTGCACCTAGTACACCAGTTCACCGAATCACGTACTCAATTGAAGGGTAACGTACCGTCTTTGGCTATCCCCCCTCGTTCCGCTTTGGAGCCTACCATATAACCTACAATCCCGGTTAATACAAAGTAAAAGTATCTCAACAACGCAAACACATTCACCTGTGACATTAACGAGAAACACCAACGGCACCCCCCTCTGCTCGCAAATCTGTATGAAATGCGTAGCTTTCAACGCAGAAGGGGAAAACAGGATGCCGTTATTCGCAATGATTCCCACTTGGTAGCCATGTATATGTGCAAAACCCTATAGACACATAAGCACCAATCCACACACCAAGAACTCACTCACAGTAATAATAGTCGGACCATACTCCTTCTTGAACTCTCTAAAACGACTGCCATCAACCACCCGAGCAATGACATCACGCATATCAAACGCCTGTCGAACATCCGTACCCACAATCCCATGAAGCTCACTAGCAGGATACAACGGCTCCTCCACCTCCGCATCCACCCTCCTCTCCCCGCCCCTCCCCACCCCCAAATCCCCCACAACCCCCCTCACAAGATGAATTGCATGCTCATCATCCCTCGCCAAATGATCCGTCACCCCGCTCTCCCCCGAATGCATCCTCCCCCCACCCAGTTCCTCCTCACCCACCTCCTCCCCCGTCGCAGCCCTCACAAGCGGCGGACCAGCAAGGAATATTCGCCCCTGATTTTGCACGATGACGTTCTCGTCGGCCATGGCGGGGACGTAGGCGCCCCCTGCGACGCTTATACCGTGGACGGAGGCGATTTGGGGGATACCCAGGGCGGACATTTGGGCCTGGGGTGGGGATGTCGCATGAGCGTGAATGGGGAGAAGGAAGGGGACGCGTAACTTACCATGTTGTAAAAGATCCTCCCGAAATGGTCTTTATCCGGAAAGACATTCGCTTGGTGTGGGAGTGCTGCTCCGCCCGACTCGACTGCAACTGATCAGATAGACGTGGAGAGAAAAAATAAAGAGGCGCACCGAGGTAAATACAGGGTAGGCCGTTCTCCCTGGCGATCTCTTGGGCCCGGAGGTGTTTCTTCACGGTGAGCGGGTAATACGCGCCGCCTTTCACAGTTGGGTCGTTCACGACTACCATACACTCTCTTCCCTTTATTCTGCCTATTCCAGTGATAATACCCGCTCCAGGGACGTAATCGCCCGGGTAGACGTCATGTGCAGCGAGCGGGGAGAGCTCGAGAAAGGGCGTGTGTGGATCGAGGAGAAGGTTGAGCCTGTTGGAGATGAGATGGTGATTCTAGGATACACGAAGCTCACCTATCCCTAGGAACGCGCTTTCCTTTGCTCCTCATGCGTTCTGCAGCCTTGTCGCCTCCTCCGAGTCGAGCCCTAGCAAGCTTGGCGTTGAGATCCGTGACAAGCTCATCCATCGCCTGTGCTTTAGCGACAAACTCTGGAGAAGCAGAGGATACACGAGAGGGCAAGACAGAGGCATGATACCTCCGTCGTCCGAGTTGTATGATGCGGTTCATGGTGGAGGAATGTGGGGTAGAAATCAAATTAATTAATTTCCAATAAATAGGTGAATCTAATAATAATCTAAAAATCCTTCCAGTCGTCATCCCATCCATCGCCAGGCTTCTTTGGAGGAGGCGTCGGGGCTTTGGTATTGTGCTCGAAAAAGTCATCGTCCTCGTCTGCATACAAGGACCTCCTCTCGCCCTCCCACCCAGTCGGCACAGCCCCATACCCTTCCCTCGACGGCCCACCACCCAACTTGCCCACAACCTCGCCGACACTTCCTGCGACATCGACTCCAAACTGATTCTTCCCCCAAGCATTCGCAGTACTCCCAACACTCACCGCGCCCTTCTTTGCACCCTCCAAGTAACCCTTGACGTTCTTTTGAAGCTCAGGATCCGACACCTTTTCCATGCCCGGTTGGATGACATTTTCGTTGACGACTTTGGACGCGCCTACGACTGCAGCGGAGAGGAACGACCAGCCTTTACTGAGTGCAGCCATGGGGTTATCTTGGATGGTGGTGGAGGATCCACTCTGCGATGGGGTGGGCGTGCTCCCAAAGCCTTGGTAGCGTCCGCCTTGGGATGGAGGGAGGTGGTCAGGACGGCTGGCATTCATCTGTCCGAGGGAATTAAAGTAGCTCTCGTTTGCCTCTTTCTGGTTAAGGGCAGGCGAGGGCGTCTCTCTGGGCGGGGTGGACTCTGCGAAACGCGACGACGGTGCGGGCGAAGACGACGCTCCTCTCCGAGATTTACGCAATGCAGGCGAAGCAGGTTCAGGCGGAGCCGAGGGCGACCATTCCTTGTCCATCAACTCGTAATCAAGCTACACACACATTAGCCATAGCACACGCGTTATAGGAATACACACCTTTTGCTTATACTGACTGGCAGCCCAACAATGATACGTATCATGCACACTCAACGAATCAGTATACCCGCCCTGCTCAACCGGCGTATACGCCCGCATGAATTCACGAAACCGGGCATTCCCACCGAGCTGCCCATCGTCAACGAGCCAATTCACACAAAGACCAGTGATCGACTGACTTGCATACGCTTCACCTGGTCATCCTGCCACGTATCCATCGACAACGACCGGACAAACCTACACAAAAATCAGCTTCACAAAACCAAACCAACGACCAACCCACGTTATATGCACCCCAAACCCACGATGCATCCCCGCACACTGCAGACACATGAACACCGCAAAGCTAACACCATCCTCAGTCTCAGCTACACAAAACCATATAAAACCCACCTCAGAGACGCCCACTGCGGGTTAGGACTCCCACAGTCCACACACGCCCGATTCCCAAGATCTTCCCGCTTCACCAGTTCTTGAAGAATCTTTTTGGCAGCTGTCTGGTCCATGATGGTAAGAAGGGAACCACCACTTGCCTTTTCGGGACTACCATCAACCAGACCATCTAGTCTCCGCCAACTAGACTTCCATTCATCGAGGAATTATCGCCATTCGCCTGCAGGCTTATCTCACTCGCCCTATCTCCGACGGTCACCTCCATCATCGACGAGAGCTCGTGTCAGATTCGCAACCTCCCAACAGATTCACACCACATCCTCAAAAGGACTCCATCATTCTACGACTCCGTGACCAATGGATATGAACTCGTATCGTCTTCCATCAGATACGCGTTCCATATTCATTTTCTCAAGAACCAGTTATATGGCTGAGCAACATGGAATCTCGTTATCAAGAAATAGGCACCACGCTCTTCCAGACTTTTCGGATATCCCTTCTCGTCTTACTCTCAGGTCCTATCAAGACGTCGTTTTAAGGACAACACCTCTGACTCCGACTCACACATTCGTCCGAGGTCGCACGCTAATAAGTAAGTGGCGCGTCTCATGGAGAAAAGAACTCACTCTTATTGCGGACCCGCACCGTAAAGTTCCTGCGCTCCTGATGGTTACATTCCTCCGTATCCTCCCACCTTCTAGTTCCACATATGGACAACTCGCTGAATGGACTAAACACCATCCCCTGCTGACGCGAAAAGAACTCACTCTCATAATTTATTACTACAGTCCCGCACCGTCCATTCATATCCACGGCGGTAACGGCTTGGCCGTGCGTCTCCAAACTCCCTAATCAACCCAGATACGATAGCGATTTCCCCTCATTGCAAAACTGTGTCTCCGAGGGTAGGGCTTTCATCGAATCCATCTAGAACCAACAATCCTCATTTCACCACTTCACTAGCTTGGGGGTTCCCGCGATCCGAGGAGTCTCTTTGATAGGCTAAGGACTCGCTGTGAAGGCGCATCGCACGCCATGAAATCTGAATTTTCCGACCTACTCGGCCAGCTATGACGAATAAGTGACGACGCAAATTCACCTCGCGGCGAAACGATATGGCTCCCCCGGTGCTAATAAATCCTATGTGTATCCACGGCAGCTGACGCATTGTGCTCTGGTAGTCGATCATTTCCCCGCGTCAGAATAACCCCCAGCCTCGTCTGCCTATCTAGTTCCACGCTCGCTGAATGGACTAAATCCGATATCCTCTCATACTCTGCTCGCAACAGCGGCGAAAAGAACTCACTGTTATAATTCCGCACAAATTAAACTCTATGTACGCCTACGGCGATGATAGACAAGTTAGTATGAACTCGTGTTGTTACCCCCTGTCAACTCTGATGGGTATGGAGTGCATTTCCTGTGTCTCTCATGACTCCCAGCCGCGTCCAACCACGGACGCCTCGCTTATTTCGTGTATGGACTAAATACAATAGCGTCTTCCCCTCATAGCTTGTGCAAGATGGTTCCACTTGCCCATAAATTTCTCAGGTAAGCTTTCATTGGAATCTATGGTGGGAAACAGAACCAAAAGTCTAAGGCTTCGCCGGAGGAAACCTTACCCTTTCCCGTTCGCATCACTTACCCTCTTCCAAGGTAACCAAAAACTCACGCGATTCAGTAAGAGACTCATCTCATGACGAAAAGAAATCACTATTATCGCGGACCCGCACCGTGCGGTGCTAATAAATCCTATGCTTGTTCACAAGTTGGGCCTGGCCAACACGTTGTGACCGTCCCAATTCTAATGAGTGCTTTCTCGTGTCTACTCATCTCGTCTGCCTGGGCCCTGTCCTAATTTCCAAATACGAACGTTCATTGAAAAAAATCAGCATCTTTGACAGGAAACAGAACTTTGTTAGTAAATCCTAGCCCTGGTATTGTCAACTCTGAGACGCACCTCACGGCGAAAAGAACTCACTCTCGTTGCGGACCCGCACCGTCCCGGATCCACAATTTAGGCTTGGCCAGCGTATTATGATCATCTCAACTCTGATGGTTGCGTTCTTCCGTATCAAGATAACTCCCAGCTTCATCTCCCTGTCTAATTCCCCCTCCCCGCACGGACGACTCACTGAATGGACTAAATACGATTTCCTCTCATAATCTGCGCAAGAGGGTTCTGAAAGCTCGCATGCTTCAGCAACAGACGCCTCTCACGGCGAAAAGACCTCACTGTTATAACCTACCCCGCAACGTGCTCCCGTGCAAATTAAACTCTATGCGTTAGGCGTAGCCGAGTATGAACTCGCGTTGTCATAAAATATTCAGCTGGGCTTTCATCGGAATCTATCCCGGGAAACAGAACCAAAAGTCTACGGCTTCGTCGGAGGAAACTGTACCCTTTTCCGTCCAGCGCACCCGCACCGTAATAATCCACGGCGGTGATACACAATTCGGGCTTGGCCAACACTGTCTCGACTCTGATGGTTGTGTTCCCCGTGCCCACATCAAGATAGCTCCCAGCCCCAGCTTCGTCTGGCTGTCTAGTTCCGCGCGCGCTGAATGGACTAAACACGATTCCATCTCATAGCACGAAAAGAACTCACTTTTATAATTTATTACTACGGTCTCCCGGTTCCATTCATATCCACAGTAGAGTAGCACATAAATCAGGCTTTGCAATTGGCGTGCGTCTACAAGACAACTCCCTGCCTACGACCAAATACGATAGAGATTTCCCCTCATTGCAAACTGTAGGGCTTTCATCAAATTCTAATACATCTAGAACTAACAAGCTTCGTCAGAAGAAATTCCACCCTTTCTCATCGCATCATTAGCTTGAGGGTTCGTTCATTTCCCGATCGGAGTCCCTTTGATTTTGTGCTATCAATTTCACTATGCAATAAGGACTCGTTCAGAGGATATCCGAACCTTCTTCTATAACCCACTCAGCCACCGATGAGTGCGAACTCGTGAAGCCTAGTACAGCCTTTCGATAAGGATAACAGCTTTGATTCCCAAACTTGTCCAAGTTAACAAAACCTGCAAGCTTCAGTAAGAGATGCATCTCGCGGAAACTCCCCCACCTCCCCTCCCCCCGGTGCTAATAAATTCTGTGAGGTGAGCCTGGACGTCTCGCTGAATTTTGTGAATGGACCAAATACGATAGCGATTTTCTCTCAGGTCTGCGTGTGCAAGATGGTTCTGCTCTGTAAATTGAATACCCAGAATCCATGGCGAGAAAGAGAACTAGAAAGCTTCGTCGGAAGAAACCTTACCCTTTCCCAGGCTTTTCAGATATTCCATCTCGTCTTGCTCTTAGGTTTATCAATAAGAACAATGCCTCTAATTCATAAATTCACCAAAACTCGCACGGTTCAGTAAGAGGCGCGCGCAACGAACTCAGTGGCAGACTCGCACTGCCCCCTGGTGCTAACAAATTCTATGCGTACCCACGGCGGTGATCGACAGAATGGGTCTGGCAGATTGTTATGGCCCTGTCAACCCTTACGAGTGCTTCACACCCACGCGCACGGCGAAAGGAAATTGCGCAGCCGCACGCACCCTCGGTACTAATAAATGCTATGCGTATCCACGGCGGTGATACACAAGTTGGGCATGGCCGAGTGTTGTTGCCTTGTCAACTCTGACGGGTGCTTTTCCCATGTCTTCTCAGGGTCAAGACCACTCACAGCTTCGTCTGCCTGCCTGTCTACCAGTAGACCCAAGCACGGACGTCTCGTTGATTTTTGCGGATGAACCAAATGTGATTTTCCCTCATAGCTGTGTCAAAGATAGTTCTACTTGCCGCACGCGATACTCAGGTGGGCTTTCAATTATGAGTTCTATTACATCTAGAACTTTTTATGAATGGTCCATATACAACTGCGATTTCCTCTCAGGCCTGCGTGCGCAATATGACTATCTTATAATACTCGGGTAGGCTTTCATTATTGGAATTTTCAAAATCTATAGCGGGAAACAGGACAAGAAGGCTTTTTCGGAAGAAACTTTACCCTTTCCCATGCGATTACCTCGCATCATTCACCCTCTCCTGACTCGTCTAAGGTAATTAGAAATTTGCGCACTTCAGTAAGAGACACGTATCATGATGAAAAGAACTCACTCTTATTGTGGACTCACACCGTATCGTGGTGTTAATAAACTCATGCGTATTCATAAGTTGGGTCTGGTCAACACGTTATGGCCGTCCTAACTCTAATAGGTGTCTTCTCATTTCGTCTGCCTGTCTAAGTACTTCCAGGTACGAACGTCCATTGAAAAAAAAATTAGAATCCACAACGGCCCGAAGAAACAGAACTAAAAGACTTCGTTCAAAGAAACTTTACCCTTTTGCATGTGATTATCCTCGAGCCGCATCACTCTCACACTCTTCCAGGCATTCCTTCTCATCTTACCCCTAGGTTCCTATCGAAGTCTAGTACGACCTCTCAATAAGGACAAACTCGTCCGATGGAACCAAAACCTCGCACGCTTCAGTAAGAGACACGTGTATATTCACCTTGCGGCGAGAAGACATTGATTGGAGAAGAACTCACTGGTATTGCGGACCCGGACCGTCGTTCCGTGAAGCAACGCGTATCCAGAGCGGTGATACACAAGTTTAGCTTGCCCAACCCGCCGTGATCGTCTTTAACTTTAATGTAATCATCTCCCAGTGGCATCTGCCATCAATCACTCTCGTCCAGACTTTTCGGACATCCTTTCTCGTCATACTCTCAGGTCTCTATCTAAGTGCGCGACTTCTCAATAAGGACAACAACCTACTCCACAAACTTGTCCCGTGCATCGCACGCTCCACTAAGTGCCGCGCGTATATTCACCTCCGAGTCGTAGCAAAAAATGAACTCGCTGGTATTACGGACCCGCACCGTCCTTCCGTGCTGATCACGCTCTATGCGTATCCAGAGCGGAGCGGCGATACACAAGTTGGGCCTGGCCGAACACGAACCCGTGCTGCGATCTCTGATGCTTTCCCGCGTTTTCTCATGGTCATGATAACTTCCAGCTTCGTCTGCTCGTCCAGTTCCGACCACGGACATCCCATTAATTTGTGTGAATGGATTAGATACGACAGCGGTTTCCTCTCATAACTTGCGCAAGACGGTTCT